CTCGGAAACGAAGAGGGTTTTATCTCACAAACCATCACGGAATGCGATGTTCTGTATTAATCAAAGGAGAAGCATAGAGAAAAGCTCTCTCTCTCTCTTCCTCTATGATTCAATCGCTTGCTCGCCAAATTTCACATGCACTCACAATCGCATGTCTTTTGCCACTCTTTCGCCTCCGCCGAATTGTCTCTGTCCCCAACTGACGGCGAGGCGGAGTGACAGGCTAATCTGGCTATTGTGAGGCTCATGATTGATTCGAGGCTCCCAGTTGGATTGTGTGCAAAAGTCGTGTTGTCAGTCATGTGGTCAGTCTTCGGTGCACAAGAAGCAATTCGCCATTCACCGCGTGACGGCTGAGAAACCTCGTGCTGAGGATCAATTTCGGCTGACTAATTGTATCCAATTCATCTGTTGCACCCTCCAAAGCGGATTCCCAGAGATCAGCTGCACTTGTAAATTGATCCAATGCGCTTTCAGCAATGCCATTCGTTTGCAGACAGAACAGACAGCCCGAGACGAGTCCAAGGGACGTTAGATTTGTTGATATTAAAGTAGTACGTGGGAAATTCCTGTAAGACTTTCAACATCTCTCATTCTTATCAGACATTTTTGTGCGAATTTCAGCTAATTCCAAATTACAAATTCTCCAATTTTCTAGCCACACTGATGCATCACGGGAACACACCCTCGGCAGGAAGCCTGTGCGGCGTGTCTTCCGCTGCGCCTGAGCAGTGGACTGATGAGGACTCGGGAAGGTGAAGGCCGAGTAACCCGCGCTGTGTGATTTATTGCTGCAATTTGTAAATGGACAGTGATATCGCGGGTAATATCTCTGGGTTTTTCGATGCTCTACGCGGGCGCACGGAGGCGGTCTCAATTGCCTATTTATGCAGCTTTCGGGAGGCTCGGTAATCCTTTTGTCCGCTTCCTGCCAGTCGCCACCCAGAGCGGCCAGAGACACTTCTTCCCGGCCTTCCCGCAGGAACAATGCACACGCAGTGATCACCGTTCCTGGGCAGAGACACATTAATTTCCACCTGCGACGGTGTGCATTTCGGCGGGCGCGGGCGAAGTGTTCGTATGAAAAATAAACGCTGGCAGAGACAAAACGAATCACTGTGTGTCCGTTTGGCTGATTCGGAGAAGAAGAAAAAGAGCTGTGAGTGCCTTCGGAGGAGTAAAAAAAGACGCCACTGCGTTCCTGAATCTCTCCGCAGTGCCATGGGGTGAAGCTCTCTGATCTCATATAATGTGGTCTGTCACAGAATTGACATGAACCGATTAATAAGGAGTTAAGAAAATTATTTATTCTGCTCAAATGCTGGATAAATACGTTGAATTAGTAAATGATATATGGGAAAGAAAGGGAAGAGGAGTAAAAAGGCATCGCGAGAATGCTCAAAATCATCATTGATATCTTTTTTTCTGCCCTCCGCTATTCGGAGTTAATATTAGTAATCCAGAGAGTTATTATTTTATTAGTCACACATTCAATTGAGGAGAAAACAAACTTCACTTTATACGATCTTCGCGCTCATTTCGCTCCATGGGATTATCATTCATCTTCCCAGCATTTCCTTCCCACTGTATAATCTCCTCTCTGCCACTTTGTGGTGTGAATTGCACCTAATAGATGGTTATTGAGGGAAAAACTATTGTTATTATCAATTGTATCCATTCTCGCACCGCTGGATCTTCCTCATCTCCAGTAGTTCAGCTCTCTGAACGCACTCTGAACCTCCCGAGATCCTTCCAAGTCACAATTAGGCACCACTAAGCCGCAGATTGGAGAACACGCGTCTAATTGAATCTCCCAATAATGCCATTAGATATCTGGCGTGGCGTAATTGATTGGAATCTATTAGGTTCCCGTGGATTCGATCGCGCGCATTTCGTGGTTTAACCTCCAATCTCTGGCCACAATGAATGGATCATATTTGCCCCCTTCGATCGGGATAAATGGGAGCTGTAAATAATGTGTCTGCTTAATATCATTATTGGTGGCGTAATGCAATATTATTGGACTCGAGCAGCGCTCTATGACACGATAAGGCGAGTCCATTGGCTGTTTCCGCGGCGGAGAGCAAAAATCCAGCCAAACATCGTGTTTAACATGAGGAGATACACAAGCGGAGGCAAAATACCATCATCATGATCTCGTCGCGCAGTGGTGTTAAATTACATGACTTCATTCACTGTTCACGTAATTAAATCCAATAGAAGACCACGATCGCTTACATTGCCTTTCTAGGAGTCATTCTAAACCTCGTTTTAATCTTCACCATGACCATGACTTTGCCCACTTCGTGAAGACTTTCTCAAGGCAGCACACTTGCGGACGGCATTCTGAACAAGCTGATATCTTCGCCATAGAAGAGCGAATTGCGGAGTTAATATCGTCCTAAAAGACCATATTAGAACTAGATGATCAGTCTCAAATGCTTTATAATAATCAATTGCCCTTCAAATGATTGACACTGCAAAAAGAGAGGTTTAGAAAACTCCAAGAAATTAGTATTTTGCTAAAAAGAGCCAATTTCTTGAAATGCGATCTTAGCAAAAGTTAATAAAGCTGGAAAATTGTTTGCTCTTTCGCAAATGAATATTTTCTGATAGATTCCGTCACATTTTTGTGGTCTGGATAAAACAGATGATCATTTGGACTTCTCTTCATCAAGATCTAATGTAAAGTAAATAAAGCATTGAGGGATGAAAAGGCGATAATCAAAGCTTCTACAACTGAATTTAACAGGCTCTCTAACGTATTTGTAAACTGAAAATCCCAGGCTGATATAGAATATTCAGACGTGTTATTAAATGCCTCAAAATACTTACGCTCAGCGTATTCTAACAGTCGCTTGTGAAGGGCGGGCGGCGGTGGGAAAATAAGAAGAAAATTTGTATAAATGAATGGGAATGTGTGGAGGAAAAAACGAGAAGAGGAGAGATCATATGGGTGACTAGAGAAACGAAATTACGACTCGCACTGAGATTATGTGGATCGGATACGAAAATCGATTGATACAAATTGATTCGGTTCTTTGAAGATCTTGTCTTGTTTTTTTCCCTCTCTCCCTCTCTCTCGCCCCTCGTCCGCCCCCTTTGGCAGCAGCGGAATGACTTTTTGTTCCTCCTCCCGATCACCGTGCTCTTTTTGCCGCCATCGCCTCTCTGCCTATATTCTTCACTTCTTTATTATACACTGTGTGACCCTCCTCTGTGGTGTCCATTGAGTGTTTTAAATATTGGAAGCATTTCGATGTAAAATGTCAAGCTTTTTTTGCTCCCATCCTCAATTCAATATCAAATTCTTCGTCCCAGAATGTTGAACACTTTGTAATGGATGTATGATAACTTCTTCTCTTCTATCTTCCACCAATATTACACCAATTCACCGGATCTGCTCGATTGATCAAGCACACATTGGGTGTGTTTGACAACGAATTAGTGGGAAATTTTTTACTCCATCCACAAATGTGACATTTGACATCACACGTGCGGAATTTGCAAATGACTTTAGAATGTTTAGAATGCGTAGTGAAAGCCTTACTTGTGGAGGCTCAAATTCTCTCCCTTAAATTTCATCCAAGAAATCCCACTCAATTACCCATCCTTTGGCGCACTGTCTTCCCTATGTCATCGCGGAACACTCCTTTCCCGAAGTGCAGCAGGTGGAGTTCTAGCCTCGATCGCATAGGCTCTTAATTAGGCGACCTTAATTCAATTTGTGCTCTCGCGAGGCCGAGGCAAAAAATCATGCACGGACACATTTTGGGGTGGGACGCGAGAGGCAAGAGAGAGAGATTTATATGAAAAATACTGTCAGATTGAAGAGATAGGAGAACTGATCAATCACGAGATGTTTCCAACCTTCTTTTCACCCTCGTTGGTCGTTTTGTGTGGTTGGCAAATGAAGAATTTGCTCTCGGCCATGGACACTGTTACACTTATTTGAATTTTAAATGTTCTATTATCCATGTTTTCTCTCTATTAATCGTTTGTGTATTGTTTCCTCCGTGCGTCCAATTGTTCTTTTCGGGAGGGAATTTTCACCAATTAAATGCAAATTCAGCTTCTAGCGGATAAATCATACGGCAAGCAGATGCCATCCTTCCGCGGGAAGACGCCGTGTTAATCTGGGACCGAGGCGGTAATAATTGTCTGAGAAAATAGACGTGGCGTGAAGGAAAACAAGCCTAATTTATTGGCCTCTCTTTCTCTCTCTCTCTCTTTCTCTTCCCTCAAAATCGATCTCGAGATGTGCTTTTCCACAAAACATACGCGCCGTAGCATCGCTTATAAATTCTGATTTCCATCTCATTTGAAATCAATTGTTGGCCATCCGAAGAGAAAGTCTTACGTGTTTTGTGCACATGACAAAGAAGCGAGGAATTGAAATAATTAGGAGTCTCTCTGCGCCTTTATTTATATCCCCGACCATCTTCCAATCCACACTATTTGCATTTGCGGCCATCACTTAACGATTGTCGAGAAAAATCGCCGAGAGGGATTCGATATTTGCATGTATAGCATAGATTTTATGATACCCCCAACTCGAGATGATTTGCTAGGAAGACGATTTGTTAATCATTCAGCAATGGGTCTCTTCGCATTTTATAACCATCGCATATTGACTCGCTGATTGAGTTTCCTGGTTTGGATGTCGAAGAGCGTGCCTTTGCCCCAGAAAAGACACTCTTTCGCGTGTTATTTCGCTGGCATTGCATGATTTCCAAGCCAATTGTTGGCCTAAACTGAGAGGCTTCACTTTCACTGAAATGCTATTTGACTGTGAGATAATTGCTCCAAATCAGGCACATAAAAACCATTGCAGATACAAAAAAAAAACAAATGCAAAACGATTGAAATAATATTAAAACCATTGAAAAAAAAACGATTATCAGACAAAATTAGTGTTTATTGACATTTTATTTACACATGGAAGATTTTTTTGAAAATTGTCCTTAAAGGTCAGAAATATTCAATCTTGATCTTTGGTGTTTTACTGTGTCTTTCATCAGTATGCAAATATTTCTCTACATTCGCAAAGTGGCTCTTGATTTAACTATTAAAAAATTATAATAGACTTTATCAATTTTCTCTATTTAAGGCTCTAATTTAAGATCTTTTTTTCTTCCTTTACTTTGGTTTATACTTGATTATACCGTTTTATTAGAAATAAAATGTGCAAATTCATTGGAAAGGCTTAATTTACCCTTTTTAAGTCTTAAGGTCTTCGTTAGTAAGACTTGTAAGATTGCAATTATTGCACACAAGAGAGTCTATTTGAACTTGTCCCTTAGTATTGCGATCTCTTCGCATGACATCAATGGAGCGGAGCCCTGAGAACTCATCTGCAGCGCCCCATCGGAGCCAAGGTGGTGACGTGGGAGCGGCGGCAAGGGCGCGGACGTAAGTGAGGAGGCTGACATGGTGGCACGGAGGTCAATTCGCCAGCAGTAACCTCTTCATCACGTGGCCAGCGCGAGTGGGCAAGCGTCGTGCACTCGGCGGATTCAATATTACAAATAAATGGTCGGAACGCGAGACCCAATTCATAATAAATTCTATCTAAGGCATAAATAGACATTGATGTATGTTCTGTCATGAGAGTCCATGCCACAATTCCCATCTTCTCCTCCGCGCCCGAGCGAGACGGCCGATCATGCGCTTATCTTGCGCATTACACCTTGCACAGAGTCCATCACTCACGGCCCAGCTCATCCGCCGCGAATCATCCCACCAATTTATTACATTTAATACGGATACTATTGCCATTGATGGTGACTGATGGCCGCGCTGGCATGCGGGAATCCATCGGGACTGTTTGGACAATCGCATTATAAATGGTTAATCGCAATTGCATTATTTGCACGGCAAGACGTCCGATTAGATGCCCAATAGATCTCGGCTAAGTGAACAGATTGTCATTCCCATGATCGTATTATGATCACCTCTGGACATAAATACACAACTCTCTTGCGAGTTAATATTTCACTTTTTGTTCACTCTCTCAGGCTCTGTCGCTCAAATTGAGTGAAATATCGTGAAAATGCTCCGATTATGCGCATTAATGTCTCCCACAGAGATTACATTTTCCCCTCAATCGCTTCTTTACCTCAATACTATCTTCTTCTCTGCTGAAATTTATACTGAGACTTTATGGCGACTGTTGATCATCACATGATTTCAAATATTCATCTTCTCGTCGAAAGATAGTCGAACGACTCTTTCTGCTATCCCCACCGTGAGGCGCTGTAGTCAATTTAAGGAATGTTTTGATTTCGTGTGTCAAAATTTTCATTTCCTCAGAAAATTGTAATTTTTCCGTGTAAAATCGAGTGAGAAAGATTCGCAAATCATGCATCTCGATAGAGTGACCAACGACAGGAAGCTTTACCTATGCAGATGGTATTTCAGAGGTGATTTCCTATCTTTAACTGATATTTGAACACACACTTGATAAGTTTTGTTGTTGTTGCTGCAGCTGGGTTTGCTTGTCTTCCCTTCGTTTGGGCAATCAACACCATCTGGTTCTTCAGCGAAGCCTTCCGGAAGCCGCCCTACGAGGAACAGGCACAGATTAAAAAATGTAAGTGACTGTTTTGGTTGAGAGAATGTCATGAAAACATGCACTTTCTTCCAGATGTTCTCTACTCCGCTTTGGGCTCCATTGTCTGGCTCGTGGTCATCATTTCCTGGGTGACTATTTACCAGTACCATCGAGCGGAATGGGGCGAATTTGGCGACAGGATAAGCCTGTTTATTCCCCTGGGCAAGCCATAAAGCTCATTCATCATGTCATTTTCTTTTTTTTTTATTTATATTAAAACGCCCTAGCAATGCTAGAATTTTCCCTGTTTGTGTCCCTGGAAACGGTCTAGTTTGGTCGAAAGGTTGTGAGTCGAGGAATTCCTAAGCAAGCATGACGGAATCCAGTCGACTAATTCCCATACAAATCCAGCCAAAGACAATCTATGGCTTCCGCTCGGACATTGTGGGCAACATTCACTTCACGGCGCGTGAGGAGGTGATTTATCCAGTGTCAGGAGTTCTCGCGTTCCACAACTACGCCACCGGAAAGCAGAAGTTCCTGCGCCTGCCGGAAAACTGCGAAATCAACATCGTCACAATAAGTCCGAGCAGAAAGATGCTGGCGATTGCGGAGAGGAACGCCCAAAAGGCGTACATCAACATCTACGAGATCGGCACGTTCAAGCGGCGCCGCACCATCAGCTTCCCCAACGAAATCGCGACGAAGGAAGTGGCCAGCATGTCCTTCACAAACGACTCCAAGGGATTCGCCATTCTGTCCAGGGAGCCAGACTCACAGCTCATCCTTATGTTCTTCGACAAGACCGAGTCCACGGTGATCGGCAGAGTGTCACACAGCACGCATCAGCTCGGCGTGGCCAGGTACATTTCCTGCAATCTCTCCGACACGGGAATGGTGGCAATTGGCGGCGACTATGTTTTCAAGGTGCTCAACAAGACAGAGAAGGGATTCGCGCCCGTGGGAACGATCAAAGGCGATGGAGTCGTTGTGACTTCCCTGGCCTGGATCACGGGAGAGATTCTGTTGGCGGGAACGGCAGATGGAGATCTGCTGTTGGTGGAAAATGGAGACTTGAAGGTGAGTTTGTACATCAATTCCTCCGCCTTAATCTTGTCATCTTCATTTTCCAGATCACATTCGACGCCACGGAAGTGGCTTTTCTTGACCTGACCAAGATTGCCGACGACGAGGGCGAAGACGGGCGAAAAGAGGCGCCCACGATGACCCGGAGGAAACCTTCAATTGGCGAAAGCAAGAAGCCCAATAGAGAAGTCGCCTGCCTCACGCACTTCTCCACGGGCTTCTGCTACGCGCTGCACAACGTCGTACACGTGTTCGAGAAGGAGTCCAACTACAAGTACCAGAAGAAGAGCATCATCAGCATCCCTGTGACGCTGTACGACCGAGAGTTGTACAAAATCGCTAATGTGGCGATCAATCAAGCCCAGGACACTGTCATGGTGTCTTGTGCGCACTCGCAGATCTACATCGGGCAGTTGTTTGTGCCCGAAAGCGTGACCGTGAACAGCCTCGAGTTCCGGACACTCGGCGAACCGCTGCACATCGCACGGATCGTCAGTCTGGCCGTGTGCATGTGGAAGCCCATCGTGGTGACGATCTCTGAGGACAAGACGGTGCGTGTGTGGAATTACGTCACGGGCAGAGTGGAGCTGGTGAAGAAGTACTTGGTGAACATCACAGTGATCGCTTTGCATCCCTCTGGGATCTTCGTCGCGTTAGGTTTCTCAGATCACCTGAGATTCATGGAAATCTTGCTGGACGACCTGAAGACTGTGAAGGAGTACAACTTCCCGAAGTGCAGAGTCGCTGTGTTTTCGCACAAAGGACACATGCTAGCCGTATCCTTTGAGAGCACCATCGAGATCATTTCTGTGTTCTCATTCGACATCATTCAGACGCTGAGGAGCCACAACGGCATGATACTGAGTCTCATGTGGGCTTACGATGACATCCATTTCCTCTCTGCTGGTCAGGATGGTGCGATCTACGAGTGGAATGCCATCACGGGTGAGAGGATGAACGAAGTGGTGCAGAAGGAGATTCAGTACCGCTCCTTGGCAGTCACTGGTGATCTCAGTGCGGTTTATGCCATCACAAACTCTGGCGTCCTGCGAGAGATTTGCAAATCCGAAATCGTGCGGGAGACAAAGATTCCCGATCTGCCGCCTCTGACTTGTCTCACACTCGCGCGATCGGATCTCGTGATGTTCATTGCAAGCGAACAGGGGCACATCTTCAACGTGCAGCTGCCGTTCATGGAAACTGGCGGCGGAACTTGCACCAATTATCGCTTCTTCAGCAGCTCGATCACTTGCATGAAGATCACGAATGACGACGCGCTACTGATCATTGGTGCGGACGATGGAACGCTAGCGATTTGGGAGATTCTCAACAATGAGGGCAAGAAGGCGCCCGTTGATGACGAATTGGGGAAGTGCGTGGATGTTCTGATTCCCAGAGAAGAGCTCCTGGATCGTCTGAACGCCATCACTTCGCTGGAGCAGCGAATGGATCAGCAAGCGGACGAGTACGAGTTCCAGCTGAAGAGGAAGGACGAAGACTACACCAAGCAGATCGCCCAAATCCACGCGGAGTATCGCGAGATTATCGAGGATCTCAAGGATAAGAATAGGAAGCTTGAGGCTGACCACATTGATGAGATCAACATCATTACAGCGAGCATCGCAGAGCTGAAATTCGAGCACCAGAAAGCTCTAACTCTGCTCGAAACTGATTTCCATCAGAAGATCATCGTTGAGTACGAGAAAACGAGTCAGGTGAAGAAGCTCATGGAGACCATGAAGGATGACTACGAAGTGAAGCTGCGGAAGACAGCTGGACATTTGCAGGACACCGTTCAGTCACTGGAGACGGACTTCAGGAAGCAGCTGGACGAGAGACAGACGCTGATTAAGCTGCTGATTAAGGATGCTGAGGAGAAGGGATTGGAATTCAAAGAGTACAGCGATCAGGTAACGATGGAAAACGAGCGGAAAGTGGTGAACATGACTGTGGACTATGAGAAGAAGATCAAACACGAGCAGCAGATTGGCAACAAGTGGCGAGGAGAGGCGGGAGTGCTGTCGAAGAAGTACAATCTTATGAACAAGAGCAATAAAAAGCTGAAGACAGAGATAGAAACGGTCACGGAGGAGCACGAGAGGCTTAAGGAGAACATCCAGCAGCTGGAGAACACAATTCAGGAAATGGAGACAACAATCGGAGCGAAAGACAATGTCATTCGGGATCGAGATCACCAGATTTCGGACCTTCAGGCGCGTCTGAGGGAGAAGAGCGCCATTCAAGAGGCTCAAGAGGTGAAATTGAAAGAGTTGAACGCCCAAATAGAGCCCAGAGATGAGGAGATCAGAATTGGGAAGGATAAGAGAGTTAGCATGGAAATCGAAATGCAGGCGCTGCAGCGGAAGAATCGCAATCTTGAGCACAAACTCAAGGAACTCAATGAGAAATACATTGGAAACACGATTCTCTTGAAGGCACAGCTCAAAAGATCCCAGACTTTGCAAGCTAAGCTCTTCCGGATGTCAGGCGACATCGCTAAAGCTTCCGACATCATTCAAGATCCGCCCAAACTTAAGGAGTTGGCGAAAAAATTGCTTGACAAGTACACGAAAGACTTCGATCCTGAGCAAGTTCCCCCTGCTGAGGAGGCCAGAAGTCTCTCGGGCAGAACTTCCAAGCTGTCAGCGCGAGTGAGAAAGCCTAGAGAGTCAGACGAAGCGAAGAAACTTCTCCAGCAAAACATGGAGCTCATAAAGAACCTGGAGACTCTGAGGGCGGAGTTGAATGATTGCAAAAGGAGGAATCGTCGGATGGAGAGCTTTCTGGGCATTCCCGGACACCCAATGCCCAGACTGGCACGTGAGAGATACGAAAAAGCTCTGGCGGTGAGTATTTAGGGTTAAACAATAAAAAGTTGGCTTTATTACATAAAAAGAGAAATGCTTAAGAGGAGTACAAGAGCGTCCCAGGAAAGGTGACATCCTCTGGATACTTCAGCTCGATTTTGTACTCGCGCCAGCGTAAGAGACTTACCATTATAGTTGTTCTCTGGCTCAGGACTTTGACGAGATCGATCGCCTCCATCGCGAGGAGCTGGACGCCCTGCGGCTGATCATCGAGGAACTGGAGCGGCGCCTGGTGTGTGTCAGTGAAGAGTGACGGCGGACAGACGCGCGGCGTTGAGGAGCTTCGTCTGGTTCGTGGGCGACTCCGTCATGATAGACACCTTGATCCAGGAGCGCTGCTCACTGGAGCGCTGGATGGCGTCGAGGACGGCTTGCACGTACAGGCCGTCATCGAAGGTGGCGGCCATCTGGACGGGTTCCTTGATCCACCCTGTTTGCTCCTGGACGGGCAAGAAGGCTTCGCGCAGCGCGCCGACCATCTTGCACAAGCCCTTAATGTACGGCCGCGGCAGCAGAGTGTCCGACGTGCGACAGTGCAGATCCTGAACGTCCACGAAGAGTACTTCCTCCTTGTCGCTCTTCGAGCTCACGCGCTGCCCAAATAAATCGCCTCCACGGACCGTCAAATGACCCTCAGAACCGCAAACGATGATCTCCTGAAAGGAAAACACCATCGGCAATTTAGCGACTAAGCACAGACACATGAATAACTAATAAATTCACACAAAATTTGCAGGTCACACTCGTTTATTTCCTTCCCAATACACCAAGTACTTTGCCACCTTTTCCACTGCATCCAGCGGATGGACAGAGATTCACAGAAGTCGTGCCACAGTAAAGTATGTTAGACGGATTGGCAGGATCAAAGACTTCAAGCTTGATCTTGATATTTTTCTGAGGCAGAATAAATTCATATTCAGCAGGAATGGTTATAGTCTCTGTTACTGAGTACTTTCCCGTTCCGGACAGTGGGCAAGGTCCCATTTCGCATAAATCCTTGGTTATAATTGCGTCGGAAGAAAACTGTGGCACAGACAAAGAAACACTGAGGCTCTGAAGAGTCGTTGTTGAAGTCAACACGAAGTAGATCGAAAAAGGATGTCCAGAACGAAAATTGCAACCTGTTTTGTCGCATACGCTGATCTCAACGGAAACATCCTTAAAGGCCGAGCCTAAACGAATATTCAAATCAACTTTCGATCTCAAATATCGAGCAAAAACTCACTTACTAGAACATGAAGTAAGTTTTAGAGAACCAGCAAAAACTGCAGAAATGAGAGAAATACCAAGTACAAGTATTTGCTTATACATTTCTATTGTTGTAAGTCTCACTTTGAAACTGAAAAATTACCAACAATCAGACTGCTTTTATACAACAGTCAAACAAAGAAAATTTTACATTAGCAACGACGGCAGTCGGTGTTTCCAACTTGGTCTTTAAAGAAATTCTGCGAACGAAAATCGTGATGATATTTGTTACCAAGCTCGTGAATGTTGCTTGCGATCATATATTCAGTGCTCCTTCACGGAAAACTGAAACATAAAACCATTTTTTCTCAAAATTTAATGTTTTTTTTATTGAGTCCAATGAGTCCAAATCATAAAACTTTCCAGATTACTACTTTCCAGAATTATACAGATCTCGCAATTAGACTTGTCTAACCATAAACTCAATTCAGGAAAACCAATCAGGGTATTTGGAAATCTTGACCCTTGCCTCGACCAATGCTAAGATTGCTGAATGAAAATTAATCTAACGTCTTTAAATTTTTTATATTTACTTCTAACCCCTATTTCCACATCCTGACGGTCGGCAAACAGTAGCATTAAACCGGAAGCAATAAAGTATAGCAGCCGGAGTGGCAGGGTTGTAGATACGGACCTCAACCGAGACCTGCAGACCGCTTGCGGGTATAAAAGCATCATAAGGAGGAGGAATTACAATGGGCTGATTTGATGAGTACGTTGCCGAACCTGGGAGAAATGGACAAGGCCCGCTGCTACACATATTCTCTACTCTCAATACACCTATTAAGCTTTCGTAATCCGGCGCATGGACAGAAACGGTGAGGTTGGATATTGTCACCGAGGTGGTCAGCGTGGCAGACATCGCGTAAGTTCCGTTATTTACAAAGGTGCAAACTCCATTGTTGCATGCGCTTATGTCAACTGCAGTTGGTAAAGCTCCAGACCCTACACCAGAGAAGAATTCAAATGAATTTGCAAGGCGCAAGACTATACAGAAACTTACTGCATGTAGTCATTATTGGAGGGCCTGCAGCCACTGCAGCCACAAGAAAGATGCCAAGTATAAAGAATTGCTGATACATTTTGTTGTCTTCACTTGTAAGTTTTACTTAAGACTGGTAAACCTAGATCACTCAACCTTCTTTTATACAGCAGCTAAACAGAGAAAATTTCACACGTATTAACAACAGCGAATTTTTGTGTTGTCAACTTTGAATTTAAAGGAATTATTCGTGATGACATTCTGTAAATCTGTTGCCAAGCTCGTGAATGCTATTCGTGATTCTGTTTTTATTGCCTATCCACGATAAATGAAGGCATATAAAAAAAGTCACTCTAGTGAACAAAATTATTATCAAATCTAAGGCAACTACAACCTTAAACAGATATTGAAATGTTTGACAATTCCCAAGGTTTCTAAGTTCATTTAAAATAGAACAGATTAGAAAGAACATCTGCCACAAGAAGATATACGGATAAAAGATTCCATAGGGCCTCGAACTGTGCGAAGCCGTTTAATGAAAATTAAAATATTAGATTCTGTAGACGGTTCTGGATTTGCTTTATTTACTTTAATTCCTTCTAGTTAGGACATCCACCTTCTTGGCATTGAACAGTGACATTAAACCGGAAACAATAAAGGATGGTACTCGGAGCGGCAGGGTCGTAAACATGAACCTCGAGCCCATTAATAGTTATAGGTAGAAGCGGGTAAAACTCAGGAGGAATATTGACCTGCTGCGTTGCCGTGTACGTGCCCGTGCCTGTGAGTGGACAAGGACCGTTGGGACACAGAGACTGAGGCGGGAATGTTTGTCCTAATGCAGTGACGGAAATGTTGAGGGATGGTATTGGCACCGCAGTAGTCAGCGTAACAGTTATCGTGTAAGTTTGTCCGTTTACGATAGTACAACCATTGCTGTTGCATCCACTGATATCAACGGTAGGGTTAGGTCCGGTAGCTTTAGAAACAAATATTGTAAGCAGTTAGCTAAGTGAAGAAATTCTGAATATAAAAGATTAATACCGGTGCAAAAAGACAGTGATGGTGGAGAATCCGCAGATGCTGCAGCAATAAGGCAGATGCCAAGTATAAAGATTTGCTTATACATTTTGACGTCGTCAGGTGTAAGTTTCACTTCAAACTGATGATTACCGACTTACTCAGCCTTCTTTTATACAACAATGAGACAAAGAATACTTTTTCTCTTTAGCAACAGTGAGTGTCTGAGTTTCCAACTCAAAAGAAAATTTAAACATGTAAATCGTGATATTTAATAAATTCGTTGCCAAGCTCGTAAATACAGTTTGGAGCAGATTGAAATATGAGCCTTTGGTTGCTGGCAGGCTCCTATCGATATTTTACAGAATTCAGATACAAAGTCTATGATAGAAGTCTTTATCTTGATCTTTATGTTTCAACTACTCCCGACCGAACTTAACCATCAGCAGATTTGGCATAGAATAATATGAACGTACTTCCAGATTCTGGAATCCAGATAATCAACAGCAACATAACGTGACACTACAAATATTTATAATTGATAAGGATGATTAAATCCCAAATTGGTTTCATTTTTTTTATTCTGTTACAAATGTCATCTGTGCAGATATTTATATATATTTCACGACATGTAATTTCGGCGGCGCTCAAAAGTTTTTCTATTCCGTGATATTGTGTAAGCAGTTTCTTTCGGTACCTAAAAAGTTTATTGAGATAGAAGATTAGTAGCTGTTTACTCGGTCGTTGGAGGTTCGCTTGTGGTTGGAGACGTTGAATCTGTTGGTGGGTCAGTAGGGTCCGTTGGTGGGTCAGTGGGGTCCGTTGGTGGGTCAGTGGGGTCCGTTGGTGGGTCAGTGGGGTCTGTGGGGTCCGTTGGTGGGTCAGTGGGGTCTGTGGGGTCCGTTGGTGGGTCAGTGGGGTCCGTTGGTGGGTCAGTGGGGTCCGTTGGTGGGTCGGTGGGGTCCGTTGGTGGGTCAGTGGGGTCCGTTGGTGGGTCGGTGGGGTCCGTTGGTGGGTCGGTGGGGTCCGTTGGTGGGTCGGTGGGGTCCGTTGGTGGGTCGGTGGGGTCCGTTGGTGGGTCTGTGGGGTCCGTTGGTGGGTCAGTGGGGTCCGTTGGTGGGTCGGTGGGGTCCGTTGGTGGGTCGGTGGGGTCCGTTGGTGGGTCGGTGGGGTCCGTTGGTGGGTCGGTGGAGTCCGTTGGTGGGTCGGTGGGGTCCGTTGGTGGGTCAGTGGGGTCCGTTGGTGGGTCGGTGGGGTCCGTTGGTGGGTCGGTGGGGTCCGTTGGTGGGTCGGTGGGGTCCGTTGGTGGGTCAGTGGGGTCCGATGGTGGGTCGGTGGGGTCCGTTGGTGGGTCAGTTGTAATTGTAGGACATCCGCCAGTTGGACAAACAGTCACTGCGAAACGAGCGCATACAACTAAATTGGTTTCTCCAGTTTCATCGCTGACACCAGAAATATCAAATTGAACAGTAAGAGTTTCAGGCAAGGTGGCGTTCGTAATATTTATGAGCTGCATCAACCAATACGTTTGCGTTCCATTAAGCGGACATATTCCATTTACGATGGTCGGATCACACAGTGAGATAGGAGTTGGAGAGTTATCCTTGCCCACCGCAGTGACGGTGAGGGTCAGATTATGAACATCGTCAGTTGAAGTCAGAGTGATGGATGTGTTGTAAGTTTCGCCATTCTGCACTGAACATTCTAGAGCATTGCATCCAGTAATGCTAATAGAATTTGGCAGAGATTCTCCCTGACCTATATGAAAAATTTCAAATATAAATATGAAACTAATATACACAATAAGTACTTGAACTTACCGCATTGTTGCAGAGAAACGTCATCTGCAAATACCGCAGCAAACAGGACAAAAAGCAAAAAGAATTGCTTAAACATGACTCTTTTGGTTTAAGTCTCACTCCGAACTGATGTACCACCAACTCAATTACGCTTTATATAAGAGTCACACAAAAGATTTAAGCTGATTAACAAGAGTAGGTTTAAATGTTAACTCAGCACGCAAAGAAATTCATATCAAACACGATGCATTTTAAAACAACAACCATTTCATTGTACAATTATGAAAACAAACACGAGTTTCTTGTGCTTTGTAGCCTTGTCCTTTCTTATGTGAGTCTTCTATCACAATTTCTTCACCGAGCACCGAAATTGTCTCTGTGGCGGATGATATCGAAAGTGTCAAGACGTTTTTACGAAACCTCAATATTTATCGATTTGCTCATTTCCAAAATTCATGAGATTTTTGGAATTCTCTGCAAGTTCCAAATCTTATCTTTACATCTCTGAAAGAAAAGCCACACACTAACTAAACTCCGCCCAATGAGAGGACATACTGTCTTATCTCTCTATTCTAAATTCACCTCGAGCCTCTCCTGCAAATTCTTCGAATAACCCTGTAGAAGCGCCACTGCAATGAATGTAAACAAACTCACCTGGGAGAATGTGTTGTTGGAAACGTGACTTTGGAGTGTGGCGGTGACCAGAATTCCCCCGTCCAGCTCCATTTGGAAGGTGCAGAAATCCGGCGCGGACACTTGTCGGATTCCGTTGACGAAACTGGTGGTCTTCGTGAATGTTCTCACCACTCCATGGACTCTTGTGGCCCTCCGGCCGGTCAAGAAGCTGATGACATCGATCACGTGGCTTCCAATCAGATTCAGCACGCCGCCGCCCATTGTGGCGTCGCAGATCCAGTCGAACTTCTCCCTCAGAAGGCTGCCCATCTGCACACGTATGTCAATTAGGCTCACGGATTCACCTACGTAGCTTTCCTGGATGGCTTTCCGCATGTGCGTGAAGGCGGGCAGGAAGCGCAGCGAGTGGTTCACGAGAGCGATCAGCGTGGGATAATACTGCGACGCGCGGAACATCTTTAGGGCGTCCGTTTGGCCCAAACCACTGCTTCCGCACACCAGATGCTTGCCAATGCCCAGCGTTTTGACGCTGATCTCCGAGTGAAGGAGCGGCTGACACACGATAAACACGAGATGGACGCTCTTGCGTAGCAGCACGTCGTCTATTTTGCTGGTGTGGAAGGGAATCTGGAGCTCCTGGGCGGCCTGCAGAGCGAAAGAAGAGCGTGAGAAAAAGGGCAAAACATTGACACTTCCGGACACACCTCCTCGGCTTCGCGGCTCGTGCGGCCCCATATGGCCTCGATGTGGAAGCCCTTCTCGCGCAATAGGGGCACCAGCACTCTGGTCACGTTTCCCGTACCGAATATTCCCACTCCGGGCAGCATTTCTCCGCGAAAACGGGGCGACAAGAGCCACACACGGAATATGAAATCACTTCTTCGCGACTTGTTGTGACGGTTCTGCACGCATGCCAGTTGATCATTGCAATATCGATAATAAACGAGTATATTTCAATAATTCCGCTGCATTATTTACTGTGCATTAATTCTAACCAATTCAATTCGACCCTGCAGGGAATCCAATAAGACGAAAAAGAGTGTAAATTGCGAATAAATTTCTTGTTTGCCAATGGCCGATATATCGGCGGGTGAATTTTTATAGCACGCTGACAATCCCATGACAGCATGTTTTTTGCATTTATCCCTGACAATCAGTATCGCGCCTAACCTCCGAATGTTGTGCCGTTCGCTGCGGGGCTCTCGTTGTCGCCCCTCGTAGCCCGGCCGTGCTGTGTGTTTTCTCTTTCGTTGCCCCCATTTGTTTTCATTTCGAGTTCCGGGGGCGGAGTGCGCGAAGTCATGGTGGAGGCGCCCAAGGCTGTGCCTAACGGCCTGCGGGCGTGCAGCGAAATGGGGCGCCGTCGAGGAGTGTTCGGTGAGTCTCTGACTTGCACTTTGCTGATCGATGGAGCGCAAAACCATCAATCAGTGCCTCGCGAAATAAATTAGCCACACATCAGAGGCTGAATCACACTCACATGGAAGAGTGACATTGCGAGAACAGCGTTAATTATTGCGTGAAATTATGCTGTAACATATCCGCATAGGCCAGCATAAACAGAGCTTCTTCAGATGATGAACATTTCACAAGATAACTATGAAGTTGTGAAAAGTTGTAAACCTTTTTACAACTCAAATTGCCGAGGTTAATTGATAAAAAATGAATCAATAAAAAAATTAGAAATAGGGGAGAAACAGGCATATTTGGACAAGGACTTATATGGAATATTACTTTGAGAAATACTATATAAATTCATCTGGTTTCGTGTTACATCTGTAGCTTAATTTAATTCGATTCACTGCCAAATTACAATAAAAATAAATAAACACAGCCTTGATAATGCTCATAATCAATTTTATGCACTGTGAATAACTCTGATTGGTAGCTAGAATGCTTTCTTCTCAATCTGTATTGCATTGCAACGCTTTTTTGCTGAAGTCATGTTAATTCAAACAGTAAAAAGTTCACCTTGTAATTTCACGAAACGAAAGGAAAATAGCAATTACTTGCACTTAAAGCTAAACCGCACTTCAGCGATTAACTTGATTCCCAGACGCCATTCCGGCCCGCGTGGTGCTGTACTTCCTCTCCTGGAGCGGCTTCCTGGTCTCCTTCGTGATGCGCAACGACATCAACATTGCCATCGTGGAAATGGTGGCGCCGGCCGGCGAGCCCGCGGCGCCTGACCAATTCGATTGGTCGTTCAGGGTGCGCGCCAGTATCCTGGGCACCTTCTACTGGTGGTACGTCGTGGCGCAGGTAGCGGGCGGCGTCGCCACGCAGCACTTCGGCACGAAGGCCGTCTTCGGCTGGTCACAGCTCGCCACGGCCATCTGTAGCCTTCTCGTGCCAACCGCGGCGCGCACGCACTACGGCTGGCTCGTGGGCCTGCGCTCGGTGCAGGGTTTCGCCTCGGGGCTCACGTGGCCAGCCATGTACGCCATCGTGGGCTACTGGATCCCGCCGTCCGAGCGCAGCCGCTTCATGTCCAGCTTTCAGGTGGGGACAAAGCTAACGATTTCTCCTCTAGACCCTTTCGCAATGATTGGCTCGTGTGTGACACAGTTTTTGATCACAGAATTGCACTGAAGATTTTACACATTTTACAAGCTGAAAATATCGAAAATGTTAATGTTGAAGAATCTGGCGCAATGGGTCTAAACCCGCGATCTTTCGGTCATCAGTTGACACACAAGATGGCGCCAAAAGACCAAGCGTAAATGTACGTTGCCTATTTTTTACACTCTCTGAAGAGATGCAGACTATTTTGGCAAGAGAAGCTCGTCGTGAAAGGGTTAAGGAATGAGCATACTTGCTCAGCTATTTTTCCAGTGGGCTAAAGCACGGCTGATCTTGCGATTTGCAGGGCTTCAGCATCGGCATCGGCCTCACATATCCGCTTTGCGGCTGGATCATCGCGCACTGGGGTTGGCCGCCAGTCTTCTACACCACAGGCTCGATAGGTGCCGCGTGGTGCGTCGTGTGGTGGCTGCTGGCCTTCAACCGCCCCTCAGAGCATCCGCGCATCACGGACGCCGAGCGGCGTATGATCGAGGCGGCCGTGGCGGAGGACATACGCGGCGGCTACGGTATGGCACCGCGCTGGGGCGCCATCTTCCGCTCGGCGCCCGCCTGGGCGATCGCCGTGACCACATTCGGCCGCATCTGGCTGCACTACATGTTTATCATGTTTGGGCCTGTGTACATGAACGACGTGCTGGGCTTCGACATCGAGACGAACGGTGTGCTCTCGGGCGCGCCCTTCCTCTGCTCCTACCTGTCTGCGCTCGCCTTCTGCGCCGCCGCCGACTGGATGGTGGCGCGCGGCGTGCGGCTTCTGTTCGTGCGGAAGATCTTCACGGCTGTGTCGCAGGTCGTACCTGGCGTGCTGATCTTCTGCATCGCGTGGTCGCAGCACCAGGTGGCCGTGCTCGTGATGTGGTTCGTCGCCGTGTCGTGCATCACGGCGGGCTACGCGGGCGCCATGGCCAACATCATCGACATCGCGCCGAATCTCGCCGGGCCCGTGCTCGCCTTCGCACAAACCATCCACATGAGCGCCTCCTTCATCGCGCCCATCGCGGCGTCGGCCATTGTCAAGGACACGGTGAGTCGCACTTTTTCTCTAACTCTGTTGTTGGGATAAATAATTCATACGTTCAACCACGTGAAAGACAACAAATATGTTTGTTCTCTCATTCATCGTATGACTCAATATTGCGATCTGCACGCACAGTAGATTTCAAACAATTCCGAGAACAATTTATTATCACTAGATTCGCTCAGTGGGTCAGATTGTGCTTAGTTGGAAATTATTTGTTAGTATTGGACAGTAATGATACTAAAATTTCATATCTCTGAGATTGTTTATGATGACATAAATGATATAAATAAAAGATTAGATATGAAAATCGTGAGTAGCGAAAACGACAAGCTTCTGCTATAAAGACATTTCCCTCATCATCTCATATCGTAGCAAATTTACCATACGATCTTTTCTACATCTCTAAAGGTTAAAGAACTCTCAGAAAAGCGACAGAGTCCGAGAATTCGGGAATTCTTACGAGATTGCCAAGACTGTATGGAAACAATAGTTTCAAAGGCGTCAGAAATAAGAAAAAAACGAAGGCTTTTAGAAGAATTCTGGGTGTTTGTGTCAAAATTCCGCTAGGAAATTCTGAGTTTGCTGGGAATTTCCATTACAAAATCATAATAAAGCATTTAAACACCGAGAAAAACCTGTACAATTCCCAGAATTTATCGTGTTTTAACTCGCTTGGGTGATAAATCTGGACCAATTGGTTTGCTTATCATATCCAAAGCTCATTACTCTAAAATGTTGAGTGCAATTTTCCTGTTTACACTTTCCCGCTCAATCTTATCGCGTGTTTTCTATTTAATGGATCTTAATTCCCACTTGCCGTACAATTTAAGATAAACTTGAAGCTGTTTTACACCAGCCACAGCTGTTATTCGCATGATTGGTAGTTGAAGTGTTAGGAATAATGGTATGAAGAATGGTTTGCATCATATGTGGGATAGGAAGTTCTGGAAGTTTTTCACACTGATAAGAAGCGGAAAAATTTGTGAAATACAAACCGTGATTAATCACGGTGATAAATCTTCGCGTCACCTGAGTTTGCCTGACTTTTTCACGTGCTTTTTCTCTCTTCATCCGTGCAGAAATCCACGGAGCAGTGGATGACGGCCTTTGGCCTGGCCACGGCCGTCGCAGTCGCAACGTACTTGCCATATTTGGCGTGGGCTCAGGCGCGCCCGCAGCCCTGGAACTACCCGAAGGAGTCCCAGGACGACGGCGCCGAGGAGCCGCTGCAGACGCAGCGCGTGTGACGCAATCTCTCTCTCTTGTTACTTAAGTCACACATTCCCGTGACCGTGCATTCCACACCGTAACGCCATCGCAATACCAGCTGTCTGGCCGGCACAACTTACGGCCGCTGGGGGTTCCGCAGAGGCTACCAAAGTGACCTTCGGCGCCACTTTAGCAGTAGGAGGATTTTGTTTAGCGTTTAGCGACAATAAATGTACTATTTTTTGAAACAGGGATCAACCTTAAAACACTTGTGATGCGACGCCGGGCGTCAGCAATGAGATTAGAGAAGGTGACAAATCAATCTGCATACGAAATCCCTACAAGTTCGTCTCATAAATATTAATGAGGAGCATTTGCTCATGTCTCTAGCCTTGGTATATCTAATCGCAGAAATATAATAATGAAATGTCAGCTCATGGTCATTTTCTGCTCGCATTCGATGATTTTTTCCATGGCCCAGTAAAATCAATAGCATTTCTTTTGCGTCGGCATTTTAAGGGTAAGCAAAAGAAGGTGTTTTTTGGCATAGAAAATTTCAGTATATTACAAATGACTGAATTCACTCAATGGACTGCGTTGACGCCTTCTCCTTCAGCTCCCAGCACTGATCCCAGAACGCGATGAGCCTGTGATCCTGATTCGTGCAGAAGTTCTTGAAGTCGCGCAGCATCCGCAGCTGGATGATCTCGCCGTCCGGAGAGTTGTTGATCACCAGCGACTTCCATTTCTTGTTGGGCACCATGTGATTCCACGACCACAAGAATCCCGTCTTCCGGATTGTGTCGATGTCGTCCTTGTTCTTCCCAGACACGTGCCGCGTGATGTACGCCTCATGCGGGCTCTGCACATCAGTGCTAGCTGGATAGTGTTTGAGGAAAGTGGGCTTCTTCTGAGACCCGCCGGAAGCTAGTCTCTGGCGCGATCTCAGACCCTGATGGGGCGACGGCACCAGCACGAACATATTTCCCGAGCAGTGAACGTACTGAAAGTCTAACGACGCTTGATTGGAGCCCGCTTTCGTCTCCACGGCGCACGGCATGAAACCGAACCGCGCCAGGATGGCTTCCTGGAAGAGTAGCAATCGCGTGGACCAGGTGTCCTTCTTGAACTCCTCGAACAGGAAGTCTCTCTTCTGTTTCAGGCAATCCGTGTCGAGTGGGATGAAGATGGGCCCGCGCAGAGGATCGGATTTCTCTGTGAAAGGCTCTGCCAGAGGATCAGCGGGAATTGCCATGAGCTGAAAGCCACACTGTGCCGCCTTTCTACTCCATCCATAGATCAGATCGTAAACTATCGGCCCCGATGCGATCACCCATTGCGCCATGATCTCGAAGGCGTGTCCAGGAATCATCACGCGATGATATCTCGCGTGGCCCCACTCAATCCTGTCGCTCTTCTGATTGATGTCAATCTCCAAGTGGCTCTGCTTGTACAGCGGTGCCTCGCTGAAAACACTCCCGATGGATTCCCTGAGGAACTCAGGCACGTTCACCTCGTGCGGATGCACGCCCTGCATCTTCATCTCCGGCGTCACAATCTCCACTTCCATCCACTCATTCTCGAAGGCTTTCAAGTTGCCCAGAGGCGGTACGGCTTCCTTCTCCTGCTTCGTGATATAGTACAGCACAAAGCCCACAATGATTGGCTTCGAGAAGTCTCCGGAGGCATGGCAAATCAGCTTCTCCCGTCGCATACGCTCCAGCATCTCGATGGGATCGCACGGACCCTCAATCCTGCACTGCAGCCACTTTATCGCGTCGTACGACACGAAAGTGCACGATGGCATGCTCTGCGCTGGTCCAATGAAGGGCACTCCGGTCACAGGATGCTTCATGGCGTCGTAGATGTCCATCAGAGGATCTGTGACCTTAAATTTGATCTCCACGGCGAGACTGGAAGAGGCAAAAAGCGTTGTAGCGCAAGAAGATTCCCTGAAAAAGTTTCTATTACCTCTCATCCGAGTCGTCGATGCTTAAGGAATCTCCCGGTAAACCCGATGCTGTGGCTTCCTGAACAGCCCGGCCTGCAGCCAAGGATTTCCCACTCCTGCAGTGAAGAGGAGAAAGTTAATCACCACGTGATTCAATGTAAAATCTAGCATTGCGGATTGTTTAATTTGATATCTGTCTAGTTTACAGTGATTTGCAGAACTATTTCATGCATATTCTTGATGTTACCACAGTTTTTAAAGAACACTAATCACATTACTTACCTTCATTGAAACCTATTAAATTTATCTAGAACAGATTTGAGTAGACAATTCAACATTTTTAATCTGTTCAGTAGGGGTAAGTGGGGCAGCTTCAGATTTAAAATGCTGTTCCAACTTGAGGATTTTTTCTTGAAAAATCGGCTGAATATATTGAAATAATCACAACGCTCAAATAAACTCTCGTCTATTGAGCTTCAGAAAATGCCTTTCATTGGGCATTAAAACTGATCCTTTTTCCTCTAAAGGAGATTGAAAAAAATATTGTAATTAATCTGAAACTGCCCCGCACGGGGATGTTTCGGATTGCTCTGGGGCAGCTTCAGATTTTCACTGATATTTACCATAAATTCCATTGTGGAATTGTAAAATCGCGGACAAATGATCACTTTGGTTTCTAATCTACACACTGAAACTGTTTAATTCCCTAAAAATCGCCTTTAAAGTAATATTTTCGCGACTTTTCTGGACCCTTGCACGGACTGTCAAAATGTCTGAGCGAAAAGCAAGTTGCCCGTCATTTTTCCTGTATCGCAACGCCACCATGCGTGAGTGGTGGCAACTTCAGTGCCACCACAAATCAAATCAGCGCAAATCAGTGATTTTCGCGTGTATTTTCTCACTTTTCCACTAAGAAGTCGTTTAACGTGATGAAGCAATGCAGCACAGAACGGCACTTTGTGAAAAATCTTCAATATTTGCCACAAGAAAATTTCGACCGTGATGTTGCGTCAGACTGTCAGAGCGCGCTGTTGTCAGTCCGTGGCGATCCGAAACTGCCCCGTGTGCAGTGTTTGTGCATTTTCCACCACCCACTGAAAAGGCCGTGATCAGGAGGAAAAGTTCGGGCACATTTAGAATCTCTACTTAATTCTCAATAACCTTTGATTGTGTTTCACGTGAATTGTGGCTTTTTTAATGGAGAAAACACGCAATCAATTCGGCAGCAAAATTCTAGTTTGTGAGTGATTTTCAATTTTCACTTATTTTATCTAAACAGTAAATCAAATCCTGTGCAAATTTTCGTCAATTGTAGTCCTTAAGGACACAAACATTGTGTGAAGACCAGGAATTTATTCATGCAAAAACCTCTGAGAAAATTAAGAAATCTGAAGCTGCCCCAATCTGAAGCTGCCCCATTTACCCCTATACATAAACCATTTTAGAATCTAACTTCTAACAAAGTAACGTAAACCAGAGACATGAAATTAAACCAAATAAACCGAAACATTGTGTTGATGAACTAAAAAGCACTAACCTGTGTGCGCTAATTCGTGTCTCATGATGTTTTAAAGCATGCTGAAAATGCAAAACCCAAAAGCATGAAAATTAAGAGAGTACCAAATGTGATTGACGACCGAAATGAAACCAAACTGTGTGGTGGAGAAGCGAAAAATAAATGAGTGAAATTCTGTTAATGTCCCGAAAGAAAATCCAAGTAGAAAATACATGAGAGTGAGTCAGGCAGACAATCAATGCCAATTAGCATGCCTACGTTAGATCTGCTTTAAATGGTGTCCCAGAGCATAACAGAGAGTACAGCTAAAGAAAACTAAAAGGAGCCCTTTTGGGGCCACTCAGTCAATACTAACAGTCTCGGTCGCGCTCTCTCAGGCAATCGATTGCTCCCGACGCGATCTCTGAACGGTGAATTACCAAGAGCCTACAAGACAAACAAACACATGAGTCGGGTGGCGACAATTGTCTCTTCTACAGTCTAAAAAGAACTCTTGGTTAAGATAAAAAAAAACTGCAAAGAGAGAGGCAAAAGATTTGTGTGTGTTTGTGAAAAGATTGGCACCTGATTTGCCGGCCGCGAGATTATGCTGGTGCTGTGGCGGCGCCTCGTTAAATGCGACTGCTGGGACGTGGGGCTTCCCTGCAAGAGCAACTAGAGAAATCGTGTCGGAGAGAGAAAATAATAAAAACATTTTGAGAGAACAACAAAATCCAGCAACACTCATTAATCCTTCACTCTTTCCACGGCCCAATTTAGAAGCGAGATTTTGACGGTCTCTTCGAAGAGAAACTCATGCGATTAATCAAGCAATTCGCACTGGAAGCGAGTATTCAGCGCGTAACTCACCCGCGGCTTCTTGCACTGCACTCGCTTTATTCTGTTGAGATGCATCTCCACATAGTGCAGAAACTCCTCGATCTGCTGCTTCGGCGAGTCCGTCTGGATCTCCGTAAAGATGTCGCAGCGCGTCGTCAGTCCGTCGAGGATCTTTTTCATCGCCGGATGATCCTTGGGTAGAAGATACATCCTGTAGCGCCAGTACTTGAGGTTCTCATGCAGCATAAAGTCTGTGTCGCCGCGCGTGCAGATGTACTGATCCATGAAGTTCCAGTTGTAGTTCTCCAGCTTCTCCGTTGTAAAATTCACGCCTGACACCTCGTACGTGTCATGTTGCGGTGCGTGGAAGCGATAGCGGTAGTCCACAGTTATGGGAGGATAAGGATGTCTGCAAGGCAACCATGCACTCAGTCACGACAACGTGTAGTCAAATAGAACTCACCTTGGCCTGTAGCGCGTTACGGTGATCACAGATCCGCTCAGGGAGATCCTGTGGAACATCCTGCCGATTGACAAGAGATACTCCTTCGTGGCCTCTTGCGGCGGCGTGCGCAGGATGAAGTACTTTGGCACCTGAACGCCTCCGCAGCACGGCGCCGAGGAGGGCTTCTGCTTCACCGTGTCCGGCAGCACGATCAGCTGGAAACCCTGCGCCAGGCGCTGCGAGATCAACTCCTTGAACACCTGCTCGGTGGTCAGGGGCTTCTGCGACACCGCCCTGTTCGTGGCGTAGTCCGCGTACACGTCCTCCGGCAGGAGAGTGTAATCGGACACCACGTAGTCGTTGTGCAGCGATCGCTTGTCGGGAAAGTAATCCGTGGTGATTGGAAGACAAGCTGGAATGGTCAGCGACTTCCAATCCACTCCTAAATGCGAGAAAGACCGCGTCAATGCGTGAATTTTGGAAAAGATTTCGGTCTAGTAACAATTACAGTGCACTAAGCTTGCGTTCTGGTGCAAAATTGTGGAGAAAAATTATAAGGAATATAACAAAATATGATGCAGTAACTACAATAATAATGCTACTTGAGGGAACAGTGAATAATGTTGGTGAAGACTTAATCACAGCATGCAATTTGGCACATAAATATTCTTAAGAAATAATAACCAAAATCACCAAGAATACCAGAAAATATCAAATAACTTCTAAATATAAATTGTAAATTGACTTCAAAGCCTCTGTAAAGTGGAAAAAATACTGGATTCCCATCTGGATGGACAGATAATTTTGAGTGTAAAATCAACCACCAAAAGCAACTCATCCAGTGAGGAATCCTTACTTTACGCTCTATTGTAAATAAAGTGGGCATATTGAATATTGTCTCGGACCTATGATGATCTTTCCGGCTGCTTCGCAGATTTTGTACAGACACACAACGTGGTTCGCGGATGAAGAGTTTGGTTTATGGGCAATTTTTTTTCGCAGCCGAATCACACATGAAATAGAATTGCAAATTTCTGGATGAAGATCTTAGTCTATATCACTTGATTATGTACAGGAACCTGACAAACATCTCCTGAATTGAATATTGGACAGATAAGAGGATGGAGGGCAAAGAATTCACCTGTGGTCAGCGCTGGTGTCCACTCCTGCTCTCCCGTGGCGCCCCAGAGTAGCGTCAGGCTCTTTGACGGCGTCACAGTGACCGAATGCCCGGCAGCGGAGTGCAGCGTGGAGATCTTCCGCCGCGGTGTCCCGGAATCCGTCTCGCTGACGCTCTCGATGCGCGCGTAGTCGTCCAGGCTCTCGGCGATGGAGCACGTGGCAGTGTGGGCGTAGTCACTGGCGTCTACTTCGCTGTATGCGCTCTGGCAAGACTTGGGTGCCGGGATGGCCTGGTAGTGATGCTGCTGAATGAGCACCCCCGTCGGGCCCTTTGGAAAGATGTGCGTCCAGCGTCTACGATTGCTGGTCAGCTTGATGGTGACGTGCGAGGGATCAAAGGGATTGATGAGCGCTCTTCCCGGCCGAATGATCGATCCGTTGCCGATGAATCCCTTCCTGTTCGTCTTCTCGGTCAGCTTGAAGGACTCCGAGAGATTAGCTCCTGTCGGCGAGTCCACTTGACTCAAGTTGCTCAATACGCTATTTCCACCATGATGAATATCCGGATCAGACATTTTTCGCCTCAGAATTTGCCGCGGCGACGTCGACAACCACTCATTGTTGGCCGACGCCAAGTACCCTTCTAAGCTGGGAACTGATGTCTTCTTAGTTCTCGGCGGGCGCTGAAGCGAGCACGTTCCGTGCGCTGGTGGCATTTGAAAGATCTGCGCATCGTAGGCGTCATAGTCGAAGAGGGAGTTGTGGATGTATTCTGTGTGATTATCCGGTAGGAACTTGAACGTTAAGTTGTCCTCCTCATCATCTCGATCCGTGTCCGGACGTCGCGGAGGCAGTTTGATCCTCGGAATGAATGTGGAATAGGCGACTTTCTTGTTCGTGGAGTAGAAACTGAGGTTTATCCAGTGCGGCATGGAGTAATCGTCGGCATTCAGAGATGAATCCTTGTTGTGGAACTTCAGCAGAGGCACCGCGTGAAGCGGCTGTTCGCCGACACACACCAAATCGCTCCCAACGCCGTTGTCTATAATCCTCTGCTTCGTGATGTTCGTCAGTTCGCGATCGACTTCGAAGACGCCCACGCCCGGCGTGATGACGACAGAGAGTTGGCCCGTTCTGTCGAAGCTCCTGTCCAAGTAATGCTTCTCGAAGACGTTCAGCGATATGTTGAGCACCTCCAGGAAGTTCCCTTGCGCAGCGGTGGAGTTCGTGGCCGGCGGAATGACAATGTCTGGCCGCTCGTGATACTTCAGCACAGTGTTCTGATAGCCAGTGAAGAGCCTGCGCAACTCCACGAGGATCGTGCTCCAGTCGTCATTGCGCTCATTCTGGATTGCCACGCGGTAGAAGTCCTCGTAGAACCTGCCCTTGTAGTCCATCTGCAGGCATTCCCTCATGTGACCCGGGAACTCATCCAAGCTCTTGGCGGCGTAGAAGGTGCGCGAGAAGAGCACGATCGTCACCTCGTGGTTGCAGCCCAGCTTCTTCCACTTCATGAAGAGATCCGTGAGGAAGCCGTTGACCGCCTTCTCGAAATACAGATCGCCGTGGATGTCGAAGTCCCACATCTCCGAGGACATCTGGATGAAGAGATAGACCATCGAGGTGCTGCTCCTGAACACTACCTTCGTGTCCGCCGTGATATTGCCGCACGCCACGCGGTCACCCTGCGCCCACATCTCGTACACCTGGCACCGGATGGAACCCTCGCAGTACTCGATCTTCTTGTTGATGTACACGCATGTGTTGATGAAGTGACTCTTGAGGCGCCACATCTCCGACCGGCCCATATACTGGTCTTTGAACGTGATTTCCACGGAGTCCAGCGCCACGGCGGCCGGATCGACGCGCCGCATTATGATATCCGCGTACGTGCGCAGGTTGAATGTCGACGCAATGTTCGTCTCCACGCTGATAGTCTCTGAAAGGCGAAGAAAAACTCGTTTATGTGGATCACGAAGAGTATTGACTAAGTTCACTAATCGTGCTAACGAATGAGCATTTAGGTTAACAAGTTATTGGGCTCTATTCTCAAAACCAATTCTAAATTGACCCTAATTTTAATGACCACGAGAATTCTTTTGGCTGGAAAAAAAATGAGGAAACAATTGTTTCAACACCGTACAAACTCTTCACTTTTATCCCATCCCTATAAGTTATTTACATCCTCATTTAAATAGCCAAATCAATCGCAATATTTGTGACTCGAGACAATGAAGAAGTTGGCAAACAAATCGCCCGGGAGTGATAAGGTCTCACCTCGGCCTTTGAACTCCTCGTAGAAAGTGGTGACTTGCAGGAGCAGACGACATCCCTCGTCGTCCGGATGGTAGATCTCCACGATGTCGCCCAGGCTGAGATCCGGGTGTTCCTTGGGATGAAGCAGCAGATCGGCAGCTGCAAAGACAAGCATTTCCACAATGAATTCCTTCTTTCGACCACAAATATTGAGCACAAACTAGAGCACAAACCATAGTTGGACTTTTGGTGTGTGTGCAGCTTAAACAGCTTCATCCTCCAGGACACTGAATCGCTCAGATCACGTGAACTCCACAATGGTCCAGATTGATCATCTCATTCACTCCAAATCATTGACTAAATACAGCGTATTTGCTGAGAATCTCGCGTTATTTATCACTTTCTCAGCGCAGCACAGCCACTTGAAATCAACATGACGATGACAGCTACACTGTAAAACACGAAAAAACGGTTTCCGCGTTTATGGCATTTTATGGCACAAACAGCCGCGCTCCAATTGGAATCCTTTAGCGTACTCGCAATTTTCGCTGATTTTCGAGGATATTCTTGTAAGTTTTCGCATCAGGTAAATTAAATGCGTACTAGTATTGAAAGAGTATGTGTTATTATTTCCAGGAAGGCCAGGAATCTATAGAGATGACTGAGCAGCGCAAAAATGGTCGCAAGTCCAGATGGGGATTCCCCGTAAATTCCCACTGTTCTAAAGTTCCTGATTTTCTCAAGAAGCAAGAGTGCACGTACTTTATTTCTATCCCTTTCAAGAATGAGCACCTGAAGAGGTCCTTTAATGTCTTTCGCGAGGACTTGATTCAAAACTACCAGGAATATCGCGTGAATGCTGACATAATCCAGAAGACTGAAAAATTGCACAAGACGATCCTTAATCTGAATCTGGGAGACGACACGAGTACCGATCACGCCAAAGACGTCCTTGAAGGAGAGAAAGAAGCTTTGAGAAAGATCTTGAACGACGCTGAAGGCAAACATGTGACCATGAGAGGTGTGAAGAAGCCAGGAAACCTGAGGCGAGTTAATCGTCTAAGCGCGAACGTGCTTTCTGAAGTCATTCCAAAGATCACCGTTCATTTGACGACGGCTTTCGCAAAGGCAGGATTAAAGATGAGTTCTCAGACGCCAAATCTGCACCAAATTGTGGTGATGAATGAGAATTTGCTGATCCCTGAGAACTGGCAGAACATTGACTACACCTTCAATCCAAAGCCTGTGCTGAAGAAATATGGAGATTATGAATTTGGCTCGTTCGATGTGGAGGAAATTCATCTGTCGCGCAGGTAAAAATACGGAGAGGGTGGATTTTACAGGTCTGTGACCGTCTTCAAGTTTTCTGAGAATTAAATGAAATACAGAAAATTTCGTTTGAAAATTTCACGGTCTTGAATTGCCATAAAATTCCATGAAATTTTCAATGTTTAGTCCGGTTCTCGTTGTTTTGATTCCGACATGAGAGAATCTTGAGCATCTTAAGTCGTCGGAAAAATGGTAATCGCGATAGGATTTGAGGGCAGTGCCAACAAGTTGGGCGTGGGAATAGTCAAGGATGGCGAGGTGATTGTAAATGTGCGGAGAACCTACATAACACCGCCGGGAGAAGGTAAGAACTCCACCTAACCTCAACTCTGCGGGTCGCACTCTGGCATTCTTGCGATTCTTGCAGGATTCCTGCCCCGGGAGACTGCGCAGCACCACCGCGGCAAGATTATAGAACTGCTGAAGGAGGCGCTGAGGGACGCCAAGATGTCCTATGAGGACATCGACGTGGTGTGCTACACAAAAGGCCCGGGAATGGCGCCTCCGCTGCTCACAGTGGCCATCGTAGCCAGGACTGTGGCGCAACTGTGGAACAAGCCCATTCTGGGCGTGAATCACTGCATAGGACACATCGAGATGGGGCGTCTGATAACTCGAGCGCAGAATCCCACCGTTTTGTACGTCAGTGGCGGGAACACGCAAGTGATCGCGTATTCCCGGAAACGCTACAGGATCTTCGGAGAGACGATCGACATCGCCGTGGGGAATTGCCTAGATCGCTTCGCGCGCATCATCAAGCTATCCAACGATCCGAGCCCGGGATACAATATTGAGCAGTTGGCCAAGAAGGGTCAAAAGCTCCTACCGCTTCCGTACTCCGTCAAGGGCATGGACGTGAGCTTCTCAGGCATCTTATCCTACATCGAGAGACACGCTGTACCTCAGAAGACGCCCGGCAGGAAGACCGTGGAACAGTGGTCGCCCGAGGATCTCTGCTTCTCGCTCCAGGAGACGCTGTTCGCGATGCTGGTGGAGACGACGGAGCGCGCGATGGCGCATTGTGGCTCAGGAGAGGTGCTGATCGTGGGCGGCGTGGGCTGCAACGAGCGCCTGCAGGAGATGATGGGCGTTATGTGCCAGGAGCGCGGCGCGCGCCTGTTCGCCACTGACGAGCGCTTCTGCATCGACAACGGTGTGATGATAGCACACGCGGGGGCGGAGATGTTCAGGAGCGGCACGAGGATGCCTTGGCGCGAGGCGACGGTTACACAGCGCTTCCGGACGGACGACGTGGAAGTGAGTTGGCGAGAAGATTGAGAGACATTTGGCCAATAAAAGGATATTTTATTGCATATTCAGAGCTGAACTACAGTCTCAGCCTCGTAATATCCGTCAGCATCGTACTTGTGCCTGCGCGACAAGTGAATTTCCTTTATGTCCAGCTTCCCAAACTCGTGATCTCTGTAGTTCTGAAGAAGTGGGCCTGGATTGAAGGAGTAATTGATCCTCTTCATTGTCTCGTCAGTCAAGAGACCCTTGTTGATCAACAGAATCCTTCCGCCGACGGGATTTCCGGATAACATATTCATCTTCTCACGCTCGAACGCCTCAATCAAATGATCTGTGATCTTGCTGATCACCGAAGAGGTGATATTTGCGTATATATCACTTGTAAACATGAGATTTCGTGGCTCTTGCAATCCCTTCACGATCACGTGCTTCTCTTGAGTGTCACTTTTGAGGATCTCCTTGAGCGCTTCCTTCTCACCCTCGAGAGTCTTCTTCGCCAAATCTATGTCCTTCTGCTCAGTCAGAGTCAGATTAATTATGGTCTTGTGGAGCTTCGGGGACTTCTGAATGATGTTCTCATTTATGCGATACTTGTCTAGGTTCTGAATCAGGTCATTCCTGAAATCCTCAAAGGACTTCTTCAGGCTTTCATCCTTGAAGGGGATCGAAATGAAGTGAGTACACGTCTCACGACGGCTTAAATTGAGGTTTCTGAGTGCTTGTATATCCCTGGGAGTGCTGGAATTGAAAGGCCTGGATGGTCTTGTGTTTTCGGGGATTCCCCGGCCACGTCCACCGCGACCACGGCCGCCGCGACCACGGCCTCTGCCCCTCTGTCCCGTCTGTCCCCTAGGCTGATTCATATTCACTGAGGAAAGGCGAGAAAACTGTAAATATTCCCGCACTTCCTTCCAATATAACGCAATTATTAATTACCTTGAGCAAGTCCAGTTCGAAGACGTCAAGATCGCGGAATTCACAATGGCGTAGTGAGCGTGTAGGAAAGATCTCAGCCGTTACACTTTTCAAAGAGCGCCATGTTGCTTGCATGCCATTATGGCACGATGACGGATTCTGGACATGCATGCATGTCAGTGGACTGTCAAGTGTTTGTTTGCAATTCTATGGTGTCCCCCAAAAATCACCCAGTCAGTGTTTTTCCCAGCCTGTGTGACCCTCGAAATGTGGGCAAATTCATGCCAAGTGTCCGCCTAACATGGATCTCGTGAGACAATAAATGGCGCAGTTCACCTGGTGAGTGGCAATCCTGGCCAAGGGCGCGAGTGTGTGTCCAGCAAAGGCTGGGAATCTGGGTGCCGCCTGATTTGCTAGATTGTCTGTAATTGATTGGGGTAATTGAGTGTAATTGATCGAGGTCTCTCTCCTCGCCAGGCACCAGAAGCACTCACACAATGGCCAAGCCAGCGACCCCGCGAGATCCAGCGACTTCGCCATCCGCCTCTGCTCCACCACGGACGTCCAATTGAGGTTCCTCTGTCCGGACGACCTAGAGGAGGTGAGGACACTGTGCCTGGACTGGTTTCCCATCGACTACCCGTTGTCCTGGTACCAGGACATCACTTCCTCGGAGCGCTTCTTCGCCCTGGCCTGTGTGTACAACTTCGCCATCATCGGGCTGATCGTAGCCGAGATCAAGCCATACAACATCCTCAACTACGAGGACCGCGGCATCCTGCCGGAGTCCATGGGGCGGAACTCTGAGGTGGGCTACATTCTGTCGCTGGGCGTGCACAAGAAGCACCGCCGCAACGGCATCGGTTCGCTCCTGCTGGACTCGCTGATCAACCACCTGACCACGGCGGAGAGGCATAAGGTGAAGGCCATCTTCCTCCACGTTCTCACCACGAATCAGCCGGCGATTCTGTTCTACGAGAGTCGAGGGTGAGTCGATGCTCTTTTCTGATCAGTCGCCATGTCTGCAAATACCTCCGTTGCAGGTTCATTCTTCACTCGTTCCTGCCTTTTTACTACTCCATCCGGGGGAAGAGCAAAGACGGCTTCACGTATGTGTCCTACTTGAACGGAGGTCATCCACCGTGGACGCTATAATATCCTTTTACAATGGCAGTACACTTTCATGATCATGACTCAGTGATTTGACGACGAGGGGAAAGTTCAACACGCGTTGAAATGTGATAATTGTCGATCTCTCTCGTTGTCCGTGTTAATTTGTTGGGCAAAGGCACTGCCAAATAGAGAATTGCCCACTCTCTTCATAGATTTGAGGCATCTACTAAATCATAGGCAGCATTTAGGGATTTCTGAATGTTCTTATCAATGCAATATTCCAACAAACAAATAATAACAATTCCATGAGGATTTATGTTTAACGTCGAAATATCCACAAGGTTTTTGTCCTCTAAACACCAATTTTAGGGAAAAGTAGGACATGCGCCTATCTAATCAATATTCTTAATCGAAAATTCCACTCTCTGTGTAAGAATGAACAGCATAAGAGAGTGTGTAGCTGTAAAATAAGGTTCTAATCGTCATTTCTTTTGTCGTTTTCCTAAAGAAAATTACAATGACAAGTTGAGTCCAAATGCTTAACAATTGATGAACTAAAAGAGGCTATAAATAGAAGCAGTGTCTATTGAAATTCCTAATCAGATACTTATCATTGCAGAAAGTTGTTGAAAAGTAGAACAAAAAGATAACTCTTCTAATGCCGCGCCCCTTTTCACGTCCCGCCCACCACAAAGTCCCTTATTGTTTCCACAATCCTGAAACTTACTCGTCACTTCTATAAACAATTCGGTGGATTCTTGCGCACAATGACAGAGTATGATAAGGCAAAATGCGAGCATTGAGAGTTGATGTTGATGATTCGGCAAAACTCCCCTCACTCTCAAGTATATAGTTTACAATTGCCGGCTATCAGTGAAAAAGGCCGCGCAGTGAGATACAATTAAGCGTTGGTGGCAAATTGTGAATGGGAGATAATTAGTCATCCGGATTGCGATCACTTTACTATGCGATTTCCCAAGAATTCACGGTCGTTTTTGTTTACACGCGACTCTCAATTCGGATGATTTTTTTTGTGCCTCAATTCAGCTGAGTCAATGACACTGTTGAGTAGTAAATACTCAATTAATTCATTCAGTTTTTCCGAGGGAATGCAATGGAAATTTATGTGCGGGGTCGAAGATGCGAATTTCTCCTTAACAGCTCGTGCACTGATCATCTGAAGCACTGGTGTTCACTCGTGACCAGAGCTGGAGGACTATGTTCGTGGATTGGGAGCCGCATCAGGAATGCCCTGCGCTGGATTTGCTATCGCACCATGTCGAGGTTCAAGTCATTGCCATTTTCACGGGCCTTTGCAGCCTCTCGAGCCTTTTGGCGCAAACTAACTCGCTATTCTCTCTCTCCCTGTCTCTCTCTCTTTTCAAGTATAACAGGCAACAACTAGTGAGCGGAATGCAGCAAAATGAGCTCGAGAACAACGCAGCGAAGCGAAATGGCGTGAAGGGTGTGTAGAGAAGGACTCATTTACTCAGAACGGCCGCTTAGAGTGGTCGAGAATCAAATTGGAGGGCATTAAACCAATAGGAAGCAGTGTAGCAAGAATGTATTTTGTAATTTTCCTAGAACTCACTGATAATTCATTAACTGTTAATAGTATAATTTGGGGGATTTGAGACACTCTTTCAATCCAACACTGCATTTGCCACTCGAGGAATTTACCGGAGTCACAGCGATAGTGTGACTATCGCGCGTTTTCATTTTTGATCTGTGTGAAGAGCGCATCCTGAAAGTCACGATTTTAATACGTTTATCGTTGCTTTATATTTAACAAGAGATTGTAATATTTTTTTTCAACACTGTGAGAAAGACACTACGTATTATTGATGGGAGGAAAACTATATGTGTACATAAAGTAGAGAAAGAATTTATCCTTGTGTAGAGAATGTTTATAAGAAGTGAAAGCGTTTGAAGCCAAAAGTAAAATATTTAAGATGAATTTAATAGTTCAATAAATATTATTCACTGAATTTAAAAGAAGTGTCTTCTTGACCGTCTTTCGTACTTCCTGAGAATGAATTCCTGCAAAGAAAACCTCAAATCACTAATTGATGTTTTGTGTTATATTTCAACATCACTTGCCGTTGTCCATTAATTTTAAATTTTATGCCATCTTTATCATCTTCAGGTGAAAGTTTATTGGCCTAATTTCCATTTTTCTGCTACCTGTTCACTTTTGCTTCTTCGTAAAAAAGGGGCTGATCAATATGATATCAGAAAGTCAATCTTTACCAAAAAGATAACAGATTTCCAATAATTCCTCTTATCGAAAATAATAATTATTTTCTATACTCAAAATTGCTATTCATTATCTCACTTCACTGCAAATTACGCTGAAAAGCCTTCTGGGCAAAAATACTCTCTCAAGCACGTGTTCTTCTCACTATGAAATCCTCACACACACGCAAGATTCATTGCATTCCCACCAACACAGTCACACTATTCCGCCCTTCAGAAGACCCCAAAGGAAATCCCACGGAATTTTGCCTCCTATGCCGCCAAATCTGCCGACATTCTGCAGAGAATACGTGCGAAAATCGGAATGTTTGCCAGATATTCACGAAATATGTGAGCAATTTCTTGATAATTTTTATATTAGGTTCATAAATAAGATCCCACCTATGAAATATCATGTGATTAAATATAGATTTTCCTTGTACTGTTCTTAAAAAATAGCTAGGACAGCTAGAATCTTCTGAGAGCATATATTCCAACCAGGAAATATGGAAAATACGCACTTGGAAAACTTTTTCCACATTTTTATCCATACAATTAATTCAGAAGTGGGATTTTGATACTACCAATCTTGAGCCTTATCAAAAATCTTTAAGCTTCACTTTTATTAGTCATTTTTCACGTTTGTAACTTTTTAATGTTTTCGAAGTTTACCATGCTTTTGAATACTAAGAATTCTAATTTCCCTCTCATGCTTCTTATCTTCTCCAGAGTGTTTCCTTGTCGCTCTCGCGCAGTGGAGAGGGAACGGTGAATTGTGAATGCGAAGCATGCTCGATTGGCGTGCGATTCTGTAGACACCGGCCTTAGTGGGGCGCACGACGACCGTCTCGAGGCGGAGGAACTGTGCCAGTCGGTGTTTTGGTATCATGCTGTTCAGATCCACTCCGACCGCGGACCTTTTCACAACGTAGCAGGAATCGCAGCGCAAAGGCCGCTGTGCAGTGTTGTGTAATCTACTGATAAGGAGCACCGTGAGAAAAGGTGTCCGAGTGACAATATGAGGAGTTCCAGTGGAATTGCGTGGACGTGCATTTGGATCTGCTGCCTCGTAACCGAGATTATATCATCGGAGACGTCATCCTGGGGTGAGAGACTTTTCAGAACATCTTTCCGCCAATCATGTTGTGGGAAAAGCCGTGTGTCGTATGAGAATTTCCTCGTTTTCCATGCCGTCGCGAGGTTAGGTCTTATCATAGTCTTTTTGTGGCGGAGAGGAGAGTCTCGTTGCTACCAATTCGCGTAAAATTTCCACTAATTGACAATTTCGCGACTATTTGATCTCTTGGCATTACATAACGCGAATTGTGAGACGGAATGGCGAAGAAATAGTGCATAAAGGCGATGTAATTGGGTGAATGGACACATTGCAAATTGATGTCAGAGCATAAAAAGCATATATGCTCGCCATTGGGAGGAAAGCCCGAGTCACGTATGCCAAATATTCGTCCCGCTCTTCAGCCACCGCGTGCTGACTTATCGAACTGCCGAATCAATGTGCTCTCGGCAAAATCAATTGGTCCAAGAATTGATCCCTCTTGGTCTTCCCGGGCTCAATTGGGAGGTCAGACTGTCCGCGAGTGCCGCGCAAATTTATGCTCCAAGGCAGAAAATAGCCCCAAAACGTCCCGTTATCGCTCCGCGTGATAAGGGAGAAATAGTAAACATGACGATGTGCATTTCTCCAATATCAAGGTGATGGCCAGAGGCGATTTTCTGCGTTTCGCCCTGCGAAATTGATTATATAATTGCACGATGGCGCCAAGTGTGGAATCCCGCGTGCATAAATCGAGTGGGAAAATGCACAGAAATACACACAAAACGCACAAAACAAAGTTATCACCGTTCTCGCGAATTTCATGATCATGTATGACTTTCGCGCCTTTTCACGGCGCAATTTCGCTGGATCAAACGCGAGTTTATCAATATACGTTCTTGGCATGAATTGGAATGAAAACATGGATTTATGCAGAGAAATATTCATCCATTGATGTTTGTTTATATAGAACATGACATGTAACCCATTTTGCAGCTTAACTCTTTAAACTTGAGCAAAAGAAATTGACTTTTATTGTGTTTTGTGGATCAGCTTTTGTCCAATATCATTAAATTAAAAGAAATAAATGAAATCATCTCTCGTTTGTAGCAAAGATAATAAAAACTAGTCGCCAAACAGCGCTGATAAAAACTCGAACTTTTGTCGCTCAGCAATCATCATGAAAACATCATAATTTTGCTACTTGCTGAAACTCATTAATTGACAATAATTTAACTATTAAGGTGAGAATTTCAGGCGTACGTGATCCAAAAATTTCCAAAAAAAACTCCTCTCATAATATGATGAATAAGGCAAACATGCAATAATTTTATCGCGACTGTAATTTATTGTGAGTGGAAAAAGTGCTCTTCTTAGATAAAATATTTGTCTAATGGTCGCTTCTGTCTCATTAGAGAGCAATTATGCGAGGCGCTCTCATCACAAAATATGTCACCAATGAGCACTTTTCGTGATCGCGTGACGGGAAACGGCGTGAGGGAGTTGCGTAATATCAATTAGGTGTCTTGAGTGTATTTATAAAGCGCGGCCATATCGTCGCGGGCAACCTTTCGCTGATCCAGTGGCATCAGAAAGACGATCCCTCGCATGCACAGCTTTCAGCGGAATTCGCCTTCCGCCTACGTTTGCGAAAGAGAAGGTGAGGAAATTGCCACAGAGTCAGTCACGTAGGCCAACAATTCACCGAGATACTCCGGCTCAATTGCTCTGTTTGTATAGTGCAAAGACAGCCGAAAAGGCTTGGGAATCACTGGCTAAATCACAAACTAAAGTTTGCCTCATGTTTAGATTCGATGGCAATCGCGCCGTGAAAGTTGCGTGCGCTTTGGTGAACAGCGCAAAAAGTGACGAAGTTTTTGCGGTGCGAGATAATACACAAAAAGTCGCCAATAATGATTACAATTCCCGAAAAGCTTGGAGCATTAGTCAGCGGTGGTGAAATTTCCCCACCTGTTGAAGCACACAAGAAGTGGAGAATTGAAGCTGGTTTTTCTGACGCACTTCGAATAAATGAGGTATTTCCATTTGGCTGCAAGTGAACTTGAGAGTTTATTGAGTAATGCGAAGAGTAAACATTAATTAGGGTCAAATACAATCCACAAATCGTGCAACAAACTTTCAAATGGCATTCCCGAAGGGCGGGGCTTCTAAAAGGGTGGCGCTTCAAAGAATTCTTCTACTTCTGGTGTCACAAGATTAGAATATTTCCCGTATAATTGCGGAAATGGAATTGCGTTGTTGTTTATTATGTTTCCTTATTCTGTGCGCTTCTGGGAATCCCTCAAGTCGCATTGATTGTCAGCTGTCCGTTAGCCTTTCACACACTGGAAACTTTTTTATGGAAATAATTAAACACGCCTGACTGAAAATGTGGGAAATTCTCATATTTGCTTATGTTTGCAGCCTATTTTTTGAAACTAATTTTAATATAAACACTATGTATAATTTAGAATTCACTGCAGAACCGGACAAAGAACGTGCGCAGAAATAAGAAGGCAATTCGAAAACCGCCCAGATACCAATCAAACCATATAAATTAATGAATAATGACCATTAAAGCATAAAGCAACGCCAACCAAAAGCTAATGCCTCAATTGAGGTCCTTGGGATATTTCCGACACTTTCTTTCCATTCCCTCGCGCAACCTTGCGACAAGTCGTGCTGCTAAAGGTGGACAAAAAGAGCATCGCATGATCGCGCGCACTTGCTCGAGATCTTCCGGCAAAAGTTCCGGCCGACGAAAGTGATCTTCTAATCACCTTTGTCGCACTCTTGGACGGTCACCTTGGCGCGCGATCGCCAATTGAGCGATATTCTTGTTTTTTTTTTAATATGAAATCGAGCATGAAATATTCCCGGTGTGATAAATATGCGATCGACGGGCAAATGTAAATCCAATGGGTTCCGGTTTGTTGTTTTCGAGCTGCGCGTCAAAAATGACTTCTTCAAGTTATACCTCTCGAAGCTATTGCGCTCGTAGCAACGCGCAGCATTATTGGAACACGCCGCGCACGAGGTTTTGAATGTCAGCATGATAAAGAGAAAAATCGCGATCATCATTCTGATACGTGAGATCGTGTTTCTCTGAGTGTGAAAGAGTCGCACTTTATTATCAAATTCTCGGCCATCAGCAAAAAGTGATGGAGAAGAAAAAAGAGATTGCAACATTTCTCAGATTAGGCGTGAAGAGCAATTCTGCAATGTGAAATCTTGTGAAGGGTAGAAAAAATGTTATCACTCTTGTATACAAATATTCCCATATATTATTAATTTTTGTAATGCTTCTCTTCTTCTGTTTGTAGAATTTGCCGTGACCACAAAGAGCAAAATCATATTCTACGATAAGAACTGGACAGAATTAACCACTGCCGCTCAGCAATTCGACGCCCTGTCGGCGATAGTGTACGATGAGACTGAGGACAATATCTTTTTCAACGACCAGGAGGAGGCTAAGAGCAGCATTTTCCAGCTGAAGCTGTCGACCAGCGATGAAAATCACATTGTGCGCAAGATGGTGCAGAAGGTGCAAAAGGAGCACATCCAAGGCCTCGCATATGATCCATTGAACAGGACGCTATATTGGACGGACGCGAGGAACCACCGAATCTACCAGGCGACACTGGATGATGATGGAAACATGGGACTTCCGAGCATCTTCATGCAATTCAGCGAGGAAGTTCCGCGCGGAATCGCTGTAGACATTTGCCGGAGGAAGCTTTACTGGACCAACTCCAACTACATGAACGGATCCATCGAGAGAGCGTCACTGAATGGGCAGAAGCGCGAGGTGTTGATAAAGGATGTGCACATGCCGACGGGAATTGTGGTGGATTATTTCACCGACAAGATCTTTTGGCTGGACAACCGAGCGGGAAACCACTTTACGCTGGAGAGTGCTTCTCTGGTCGGCAGCCAGCGTGAGGTGATCATCGAGAGTCTGTACAATAATCCTGTGGACCTCGTTGTGGACAGAGATTACATTTACTGGACGGAATTTTACCAGGAATCCGTCTGGAAGGTGTCCAAGGTGGCGAGCGGAAAGGAAGAGGCCATGAAGATCCTCTCCAATTTCACCTCAACACCTCGTGGGATCATCATCAGGACGGACTTCCTACAGAACCACCAGAACAACCCACTCTGTCGCAAAGTGATCAAAGAGATTCGCGAGAGACTGTCCTCTCCGGCGTTGCCAGAAGTAGACAACCTGCAGGATGCGCCGGAACAGAAGCCGGAATTGCAGTGCCTCAACCAGGGCGTCCCCAACACCGCCACCAAACGCTGCCTGTGCCAGAATGGCTTCACTGGCGAGCACTGCGAAGTGCCGCTCTGCTACAACTACTGCGTCCACGGGAAGTGCTTCATCTCCAGCGCTGGCTATGCTGAATGCAAGTGCGATCCGGGGTTCCGTGGGCAGCGATGCGAGGAGGATGTGTGCTCGGGATTCTGCCTGAATGGCGGGCGATGTGGTCTGGAGAGAGCGGAGCCTGTGTGTCACTGCTCGAGCCTGTACAGTGGTCGACACTGTGAAGTGATGAAGACTGGCGAGGAGATTTGCAGGAACTTCTGCGACAGTGGATTCGTGTATCCAGATCTGCCGTGGAACATGCCTCAAGTTTGTGGAGAGTGAGTATTTACCACGCCCATTCGTATGCCCGGCCCATTCTCTAATGATTCCTCATAAATTTCTTGCAGTTGCTCTGTAAATGGCACTCAATCGCAGTTGTTGAACGTTGGCCAGGAAGACAGAGAGGAGCTTGATGATCAGAAGACGATAAAGATGATCTGGTTCATCTTGGTTTCCGTCATGCTGACCGTTTTGCTGCTCCTCAACGGCATTTACTTCTTCATGTGGCGCTTCCAGAAGCCCGTGAGGCCCAAGATCAAGAAGACATACGTGGTGAGGAAGAACCTCACGCCACTCACGTGTCGTCCAAGCGGTGCTGAGCAGCAGTGTGAGATCACAATCGAGAACTGCTGCAACATGAACGTGTGTGATACGGTGAGTTTTGGTTGAGGGTTTCAGAGGGAAAATGCTAATTTTTGCTCTCATTTGCAGCCCTGCTTCGATCCAAAGGCACTGCAGGAAGAGATGCAGAAAGAGAGTCGTAAGGAGGACAAGAAGAAGCTCCTCCGTCACATGGTGGACACGAATGGGGATTTGTATTAGGGGTGAAAGCGGTGAAAGTGGTCTAAGTTATCGAATAATTTATAATTTGTGGAATTTTGCCACGTTTAATGTGGTGAAAATGCAGTTTTCATGCGCTCCTAAATTCAAAAGTGAAGGAATCAAAATTGTGAATTTTTTTTTAAATAGTATTAATAGGAGGAAATCTAGGAAGAATTATTACAATTTGGGCATTTTATGAAAGCATCAAAAGCGCTATTTATTTGAAGAGTAACATTTTATTTTCGCCTTTTGTATCTTAATCTCTCTCTCGTCAGGAATTGCAAGATTACTTAACATAGTGCTGAGGCAACTTAAAAGACAACCGAAATACCTGTTACGATTATACCGAGGATTATACTTAATTTTATTGATGGAATACCAGCCCTTAGTTCCTTTTCTAGATGTGTAATTGTGAATTGAAAGACGGCCAAAAAGCGAATTTATTAATTGTGGTTAATGGCAAGTGCTGCAGCTTTAGTGATTTAGTTAACAATTGAACCTGCCTGAGGCACAAGTGCTGCTTTCTTCCTTAATTTTCTTGATAAATAATTTTGTGCGTTGCCAAGAAAATGTATCCCAAAACGAAGTGTCGGTTTATCGAAGAAGCAAAAGCAAAGACTGTGGAATATCCACATGAGAAATGTGATATTACACTTACAACATATACTAGAGAATATGTATAGAAAAAATTCATAGTGTATTTTCAATTGAAACACGCGAAATAAAGTGATTTTATAAAAAAAAAAAAACATGATTTTTTGGCGCGAATAAGCGCGCGAAACGATCACGGAGTTGTATAACAGTGTGCCATAAAAGTGTAGGACAGTCGGCCATAACCTCAGCTGTCAAAATATTTTCAGTGAGTGCGTTTCAAGTTCACTAATTGCTTGTAATTATCTAATTTATAAGCTATTAGGGCGGTATTTAGTGACTCCAATCAGTTGCACATCTCCTGGCCAGTGTGAGGACGATGGAAAATCACTGAGAAGCGTGCTGAGAAGGCATTTTATCCAGGCGGTTTACTTGATGCCAAAAACCTCTTGTTGCATTTTCTCATAATTGCTGTAGTTCTGGTGGAAAAACTGCGTTGGTAAGTAAATCACCATCGCTGAACTTCACTCGGTGATTGTGGCTGTTTGCAGATCGAAATATTCGGCGAAATGGCAACGGAATTCGAGGGAATTCCGAGTGATTTGGCCGACGGCGCCTCAAAAGACGGTCCAGAAGCACAGAAAAAAGATGAAGAGAATGGATCTGAGATAGTACTTCACATTCCTATCAAGTCTCACGAAAGTGGAAGCGAAAATGATCGGCACTTTCCGGATATCTCTGAGCAGATCAATCCCATGTCGCCGCTGAAGGCGGTGCAAATGTCTGGAGAGCATGAAACTCTCCTGAGTGACGACGAGACGCCCAAGATTCTGACGGAACTGGAGCCGGTGAAGAAGAAGCAGGAATCCGCTGAGATAGACGAGCAGCAGGAAAATAGCGAAGAGAAGGAAGATGTGGAGGCACAGGAAGATCCTGAGTCGATTGCCAGGAAGCAATTGGAGACCCTAAACACTCTACATCGTCGAAAGGGGCGTCCCAAGGCGGACGAGCCACGGGCGATTGACGTCCTAAAGGCTAACGCCTCGAAGAAGATCCAAATCCTGGAGAATCGTGTTTTGCCCTCAGCTGATGACTTGATTTCGGGCCTAAGGAACATCAACAGGCAATCACGATCGTTGCACAGCAACATTCTGACCAGAGAGGAGCTCACAAGGGAGATCATCCAGAAGTGCCGCAAGTCTTCGACATCTATCGAGAAAGTGTCGCAGAAGAGCGTGCCGAAGCGTCGAGAGGAGTTCTCTGGGACCATTGAAATCCCCCAGGAGTTGATTCTCAGCGCCGAAGACACAACGCCGCTGCTCGTGCAGGAGAGCGAGAGCCTCGAGGGAGAGGATTTGCTGGCCATTCTCGAGGGAGACGATGAAGATGGCCAGTCGACCAGCATTTACGAAGTGCAGTCGCAAGTTCCCGCCAAGAGTGACGATAATATGCGCGTGGAGGAGTTCACTATCTCTCTGATCACGGATCCGGCCAAGAAGAAGGAGATGGACAAGGAGCGCGAGGTGGAAATCGCCATGAAGCAGATCATGAGCTTGCCTGTGAAGCCCAAAGGGCGCCGACCAAGGAAAACCGAGAGCAATAATTCTGTGAAGCAGGAAGAGGAGAAGCCCAGAGTTTCAGCGTCTGATCTTGTGAGTTCTCTCGTTTCGGATTGGAGTGACAATGAGGATAAGGCCGACGAACTAATGGTGAGTTCAGTGCAAGGTGAGACTCCTGAGACAACTGTGGAGGTTGTCGTGAGTTCTGCGCAGTCTAGTGCGCCTCCAGTGCCACTGAAGAGTTCCAGAATCATCAAGAAGAAGGTGATCTGGGATCCAGATGCGCCAGAGACGCAATTCTCCTACGCCAGCAAGGTGCAAAGCAAGCGTCAACAGCCCAAAGTGCTGGTAGTGGAGGAAAGATCATCAGTGCTGCCCACGAAGAACGTCAAGAGATCGCCAGAGGTGCAGCCGAGGGCGTCCGGAGGCAAGAAGCGGAAGCTGACGGAGATAGACAAGCTCCTGGGCGACGAGGGAGCTGTGAATATGATCTACTCACTGGAGCGGGAGAATAACAATCAGGACGTGCCTGAGATTGTGACGAAGCCGGACAAGAATCAAATGGTGTCCAAGTACAAGGAGAAGAACGCTCTGGTAGAGCGCGCCAGAGCGGTGAAGAAGGTGGTGATCAAGCAGATGGATTCGGGCACGCCACGTGGACGGCCGAAACGAGAGGCGACGTCTGTCCAGGTTTCTCCACCCACGCCGGCCAAGAAGACGCCGACGAAGAAGCGCACTTCGGCCAGAGATTCGAGCTCAGCGTCGGAGTCTTGGGATTACATCTACTCGACGCCTCAGGGCGATGACTCAATGATCATCCGACGGCGCTCCAACAGCTCCTACTCGGGCAGCACGACCAGCCCGCGCAGGTTGAGTATAGATCAGCACAACTTTGAGTTCGCGAAGCCCGTGGACAAGAAGACGCCGAAGATGGATCCCAACGCTGCCCAGAATCTCGTGGCGGAACTTAAAGGGAAGCTGAATCAGGCCATCAGTCGCGGCGTGACCATCCGAAATGCTGAGGTAAGACTCAATCCCGTGGTGAAGATCGTGAAGGATGTTTCGGTGAAGCTGCGCGCGAGCGAGAGGAAACTGGGCAATGTGGAGTTTAAGGAGCTCACGATCAGGCGCTACGATAACTTCGTCCAGGTGATCTTCTCGTCGACTTTCGGGACGCTGAAGAATGTCCTGACAATTGGGGTGAGTGAATATCCTTTCGAGGAATCGTCTGAATTACTAATATTTGCCATTGCAGCTTCTGAGGGAAGTCAAGACTGCCTTAAATATCTTGAAAGAAGACTCCAAAACCAAATTGGTCCTCGTGACGTCTTCCGGTAACAATTTCTGCCAAGGAATCGACTTCTCAAGCCTCATTCAATCGAGTGCCGACAAGAGGAAATCAGCCGCTCAGCAATTGTCAACAGCCCTGATGTGAGAACGCTTTTAAATGCTCTATCCTTGATTCGTTATTCTTACGTGGATGTGTTGCTTTGCAGGGAATTCCTTGACGCTCTGTCGATATTCCCAAAGCCCCTCCTGGCGGGAGTTCATGGCACTGCGAGCGATTTGGGAGTGACAATGCTGCCGCTGTTTGACGTCGTTCTCTCGAGCGAGGCGGCGACTTTCAGGACGAACTATGCCAAAATCGGGCAGATTCCCGAGGCAAATGCCGCACTTAATCTGTCTGGGAAAGTTTCAGCCAAAGGGGTAAGTTTTATATCATGAGCATTTATTTAGGTTTTTATTACAAATTCGTTCAAGATACATGCACTATTTCTTCAGGAAAATGTGCATTTTTATTAGTTTTTATTGGCTTTATTGAGCCTTTCGCAAAAGAAACACGCTCTGTGATGGCAATACAAGTCGTTCCAAATTGCGTGGTTGTTTAAATGAAGACAAAACTCGTTTTCGTTGTGGTTATCCGGTTGATAAGGAGCCCAGTTGGTGTATTTGATTATCTCGCCATCGCTCAACCAGCGCCAAACCTTGTCGTCCTGATAATTGTAGCCTCCTAACCAATAAACTCCAGCACAGTTATCAGAATCGTAAAGACGTTTGGAGGCATTAATGAAAGCCTCATCTTCCGCAGACGATCGGATTGAGGCCAGAGTTAAGTGATATTTCTCACAATATTCCGCAGCGTCTATCCAGTTTAACTGAAACCCAATTTATGTATTTGACATTATGCTAGAAAAGGCGAAAAGTCGATATCATACCGTCAAATGGAAGAGATAAAATATTTTGTCGCCTATTTTGTGCAAGGAAATCTCATCAGAACAGGACAGATGAGCATTTAAAAGAAAAAGGACCGCGAAAACACTCAAAGAGACTTTCATGTTTCTTACTTTCGCAAGTTTCGATCTTTTCAACACGACTTTAATTGCTGTACTAAAGACATAATTCTTGCTGAATATTGAAGTAAAATAATATAATCTGTACGAAATGTGAATCATGCGTTATATTTTGATAATGATTATTTCCGCTTTTCAGATTGTATTTGATTTAATTGTGATTCACTGGAATGTGCAATCTAGAATCCAGATTGAATTTCATTAAGTTCTGGAGATCCCTTGAAATACTGGCAATTTGTTAGGAAGTGGGCGTGATATTTGAGTGGGCGTTTCTTTTATTAATTGATTACTCAACGAAATTGCTCCGCTCTTCTCTATGTCTAGTGATAGAAGGTTACATTTTCTCTATTTTGTCTTACGCAGATCACTCTTCTGCTTTTCCTCTGCGAGACGTTGTCGGCAAGACAAGCGTGTGACTTCGGCTTGGTGACAAAGACTCTGTGGCCGGACAACTTCCAGGATCTCCTGATGGAAAATGCCAAGACTGTGTCGTCCTATTCTCTGCAGGTAAGTGAATTTATTTGGGGATATCTTTGCTAAATTACCACAAATCGTCATCGTGGGCGAGGCGACAGTGAGCCTCATAAGCTGTGCCATTATAAAAGAGCTCCTGGACGCCATCGAAGACCTCCAGACTTCCGGGATCGAACATGCATCTGTAGTGTTGTGGACAGGAGCATCTGTGATACACAAAGCCATAATCTGTCCTTGCGAATCCGCAAAATTGACCAGCTGAGCATCTCTTCAACTCCACGCACTGGAAGTTGTCGGTGATTGTTCTGTCCTGAGTCTCCTCGCTGTGTCTCTCCATGTGGCTGAAGTACTTCCAGTACTTCTTCCCCTCGCACTTGCAGTGAAGCTCTATTTGCTGCTGCATTCGCAGATTGGAGAGGATTTTCTGGGTGATGCTGAGGCTGATGCTTGAAGAGTCGCAGGGAGGCAAATCCGATGACAGAGGCTCACAAAAATGCATCTGCGAGCGAGTGTTCACGGCCAGGAAGTTACTATCTTTGGAGTAGACGACTGGGCAGGGTTTTCCCGGACACTTGCACACCTTTTCATGTTTATTGGGCAGCCAAAATCTGCAGGGGAAAAACAGTAGAACTGCTGATGAATCCTTCAGCTTTTCCCCTTTTGAATCTCACCTGTTGTGAACAATGCTGCAAACTCTGTTCCTTTCGCACACTTCCTCTTGACCCTGAGCCGAAATGACCAGGAGAATGAGGAGAATGTTCGTTTTGATTCCCATCATGGCGACTTTGCTCTTGAAATCTGCGATCATGGGCTATTTTTATCGCATTTCTGTTTACATTTGCAGGCACTGGAGGCTATCAAGGCGGAATCGAGACGAAATTTGGCGGCAAATATCAGTGAAGCGCTCGCGGAGGAGCACAAAATCCTCATCCAACATTGGATCAGTACTGAATGTCAGGAGAAATTCAAGAAGTTTCTCAATAATGAGGAATGGTAAATGGTTAAGACTCGGTAATTTTTCTTCTTAATTTCTTTATAGCAATTTATATTCAGTTGAATTTAGTTTAGCGGACAGCGTCCGGATTTATTTCATCGACTTAAAGTGTCGATTAAGTACAAAAGGTTGAGTTTAAAATCAGGCACGCATTATTATTCATTTATAATTGTATTTCCTGGGCATAAATTCACTCCATCAATGGAGCGTTCATTTACAATATTATTAGACATTGTGTTGTGAAATAATAGTTAAAATTGCCTCTAGAAAGCACTGTAAGAGACATGATTAGTAATTAAAGTTGAAGCTCAATTCTTTCCTAAACCTTGGTCGACAAGTACTCGTACTGGTTGAGGATGAGCGCTGGGATATGCTTAATCACAGAAGCGCGAGGAATGTTTGTCGTGCGGATGAAGGCCTCGAGGAAATGCACAGCAATCAGGGCTTCACTGCTAAACTCGCTTTTCACCTTGATTCCCGCTTCGATGTAAGACACGATGTATTGACAGAGGTACTGAAGGAAGAGATCTGTGATCTTTGGGTGGAATTGTCTGAGTATCGTGACGATTCCCGTGATGAAAGGCGCTCCGTCGATCTGCTCTGACTGCTTCTTGGCCATCAGTGTGGCCAGATTCTTGACGAACTGCATCTTTGCCAGATGCGAAATGACCAGGAGGAAGAGAAACTGCGCAAAGTGGGCGGAATTCTTTGTGATGACATAAATCTTGTCTAGCGGATTGCAAATTCCTGCCGCTTCCAGATATTTGTTGAGTTCACTGAGCAGCTCAGCGCTGGGATAAGGACGTTCTGGATCGATCTCATGGGCTCTGATCTCCGTCAAGAGAGCGTCATTCATGGTTCTGAGGGAGGATTCGAGGTTTTTAGAATTGAAGGCACAGCAGATGTTGATCTCGTAGCCAATGTGACGCCTCAGGATTTGCTTCTGACCGATCTTCAGCACCCAGTCGAGGATCTTGGGCCAGATCTTGACGCACCGATTGATGTAGTTGGGATAGAATTTCCCAGGATTGGCAATTGAGGGACCTGAAATCTCCTCGGCGAAGGAAGTGAGCGTGTCCAACCAGATCTTCTCCCTGAAGATGTTCCTGTCCATCGTGGCCAGCAGTTGCTGCAGCTCAGTGACAATGGTGAAAGCGTAGAGCTTGTCCAGACCCAGCAATCCTGGCGGTCCAATCGCCCCGATGATCTTGGGGAAGAACTTGAGGTTGATGCCCTCCTTTTGCGTCCTGATGTCATACCAGGCCGTCTGGACTTCCACGTAGACAGTGTTCTGGGGATCTGTTTGCCGCAGAATCTCCCTGCCCAGGCGTCCGATGAAGTTCACAGACGTGGCGTCCGTTGGTGGCATGACGGGGATCGGAATGATGGGATTCTGGTAGATAGATTGCCAATCCTGCACTTTGCTGCGCAGGAAACTGTTGCACTCCTTCTCCACATTGTAGTTGATAATCCTGGACATTTCTTCCTGCCAGAACTTCAATCCCTGGATGTTGAGATAGTCCTGGACATACTCAAATGACCTCCGATACCCATCGATCACCTTTGTCAGCTCGACAAGCTTCTGCTCCAGTTCTCCAGGTTTAATCTTCGGGCTGAACGAGAGTGTTTCGTGCAGAGCGTTGGAGAGATTCCTCACCAACTCCTTGCGGATGCCATCTTCCAGCAGCTGCTTCGGGTCCAGCTCAATCACGCCCACGAGAGTTTTCTTCATCATCAGGATGCCTTCGGTGAAGACGGACAACGTGTACGTCAGCCTGGCCACTTCGAATCTCTCCTCCAACTGCGCGTACTCTTTCAGCTTGTCCTTCTCTAGTCTGGTGGGAATCTCCCTGATCGTGTTCGTCTGCAGACTCACAATCTGTGACAGGATGTAGAAGATGGTTTGCGGAATGATCTGCACGACTTTTCTCACGTAATCCACGAGTTCATTGCTGTAGTATTGCGACACAGAGATGAGATCTTCACTCTTGGCCTGATTGATCCTCAGTAGAGGGATTTCCAGAGCACTGGCCAGCTTGAGAAACGTCGCTCGCAGCTTTATGACCAGACTTGGGGACTTTTTGATGTGCTCTTGCATTATTGGCGTGTACTTGTCCACGATCTTCCATGCATAGCTCAAATCTCCGATCAACTGAAGGTTGATCAGTGCGTCTTCCTTGATATTGATCGTGTGGATCATCTGATGAAGATAATCTCGAACCTCAATCAGAAGTTGCTTCACCTAAAAGATAGTGAAAAAGAGTGAAGTTCAGCACCAAAATTCCGCTTATTCTTAAGCCCTTTACTCACTTGCATATTCGTGTCTAGACTGTGAAACTCCTGCACCTCCTCTAGCGCCTGGATCAGTTGCACAATCTTCCTGCCGCACACATTGGGCGCCTTGTTGTCCAGCTTCTCAATCTCCTGATGAATATCGCTGAACCACTTTCGCAGATTCTCATTCTTCTCTATCTTCGTGAGTGTCTTGGCGCCCGCAAAGACTTCACTCAGTTCCCTGAGTCTGTCGCCAGCCTCGAACTTGTATCCATCCCAGCGCTTCTCCTTTTCACACAGCAATTCCTTCAGGATGTCCCTCACGCGAAGCTCGAGCTGACTTGTGTTGAGGAGCAGCTCGAATACTTCCACAGCTTTGTAACCAGAGTCCTGGATAGCCTGTTCGCGGGCAGCGCGGCACCTCTTGTTTCCACTACAGTCAATCACGGGATCCACGGTGTGCAGGATGAGCCAGCGAAGCGTGACGTTGCACTCGCGGATGGCGTTGATCACGCGCACGGTGTTGGCGATGAGGTACTTATCACTCAGCACACCTTCGCTCAGCAGCTCGCGCGATTGCTTCAGGAGTCGCTGGATGAGCTTCTCGTGCTTCGAGGCGATCTCCTTGAGGATCTGCGCTTCGATGGTGTTGTTGAGGGCAGCCTTGGCGGCTCTATAGGCTCCCCAGGAGTCGATCAGGTTCACCGTGATGCCCATATAGATGGACACAATCCAGTTGTCGGAGAAGAACTTGTCCACAATCTCGCGCATCCGCGAGGGTTGTTGCTGTAGCGTAGCTGGCGAGAAGAAGAGACACACGTACAGCATTCCCGCCTGGTTGGCTAGGGCTGTTGATCTGTGCTCTGGCAGAGGGTAGACGGCGATCTGGTTGTACACATCATCAGATCTGAGTCTGCCAATGACCATTTCCACAAACATCTCATCTAGCGACACGCGCCGGAAGTAATCCTCTGGATAATTGGGGACTTTCTTCGCTCCTGGAGCGTTGGAAAAGCCCGTGGATCTCAGCAATTTACACACATCGTCCAAGTGACTCTCTCCATGCGACTTCTGGGCACTGTATCGGTGGTAAGACACGAGCAGGCGCTCCCTGATCACGCCCGGAATGTGGAGGTCTAGAACCAGCAGCATCACTCCATACAAATAGAGGGATTCACACAGCAGCTGCTTCCCCTCGTCATCTTGCAAGATGCTCTCGAGGCTCTGCTGGATGTAAATGCCATCGTTCACCTCCTGGATGAACGTCTTCAGGTCCACAACGTACTGATGAACGCTCTCGAATGCCAGATAGAAACGCGTCAGGATTTCGATGTTGTTGTCCCGAAACTCATTATCTAGATCCTGCAGCGTTTCGTCGTTCTCTATCTTCTGATCCTGGACGTCTGAGATCTTGAAGTAGCGGAAATCCAGGATGATTTCAGCATACTTTGTCTGCTCCTCCTTTGTTGACAATCTGCAATGATAAAATGCAGTCAAACACTGCTGGAATCGCCTGAATCTAACAAATTTCACTTTACCTGAATACATCGGGGATGTAGTCTTTGAGACGCAGCAATTCCGCTATAATCGCATTGCCCAGAGCTGTGATTTGCAGCAAATTCCTGCCGCAAACGTTATTTTCAGCCAGGAACTCAGCCATTATCCAATCAGCTGATTTGACGTTTAGCATTTGAGGTTAGGTCAGCTCAGAGGCAGATTCCCATGCGAGTGGAAAACACGGACTTCCTGGGCATTTCCTGGCTCACAGTGTTGATCTAGTGATAAAATAATGGGCCAAGTGGGGTCTATGATCTCTCGCCGTGCGAATCGGTTCAATGCGGAGAATCGTGCTCACAGAATCATCGCGAGAGACAAACCGACACCGGCACCCAAATACGAGTCCAACTTAAAGGACTTACAAAAGGCGCTGGAAAGTGAGTGTGCTCCCTGGGGAAGTGAAGAAAATCTGTAATGTCTCTCTTTGTAGTCACGCCGGATTTGGTGGAGAAGCTGAGCAAGAAGGACGTCGGTCTGGACGATAGATTGAAGCAAGTTTATGTAACATCAGAGACAACAATTGTGAAGCACAACCCGGAGACTCAGAACATCGATAGACCTCTGCCCATGGACACGAAGCGTCTCCCAGACTTTGAGTTCGGCCACAAAGATCCCGAATATGTGACTCCAGGAAAGGTGACCATGCAGCAGATTTCGCAATTTCTGGCTGATCACGAAAGGAATCGGGATCTGTGGACGGTGGAGAAGATAGCAGAGCACTATAAACTACCTCTAGAAAAAGCTAGTAAGAGATTCTCAGTGGAAAACGCGTGGAAATTTTATGAAATCTTTTCTTTTCCAGGAGCAATCGTCAAACATTTTCGTGCGTTTCAAGTTTATGTGCCAGATATCAAGAGCAGTAAAAAAATCCTGGAAGCAGGCCCACAGAAAGTACTACCAGAATCTAAATCCAGTTCAGATGAGTCAAACAAGTCGTAATATTAGAGAAATTGCGGTAAAATAGAGCACTTTAGAAGGAATTTGTGATTTCTTGGTTTTCGCTCCGACACACGACATGTCCATGAGACATTTTCGAGTTCGTCGAAGGGCTAGTGTTGCCAGATGAGGAGAAAAAAATCATGCAATCAGCTGATTGCTGAAAAAAGGAATTCCGGATGACATTCCTTTTTTCCTAGTATTTATGTGAAAATGTGAAGTCTATTTATATCAAATCAGTCAGTGTGTCGTGTAAAAATCCCCGTACGTAATCAATCGATCGATTAGCACAGCCCGAGTGATATGAAATAGAGGAGAAATTCGTCCAGGAAGATTGCCAGAAAGGAAACAATGGAGCAAGAGATTGATTTAGACGACTGGAACGGCCCTCACATCGACTTGCCGTCCCAGCAGTCCGAGGTGTTCCAGCACGTGAATGTGGTACAAGCCACTTCGGACTTTCTCAGCGCCATCACAATTGCGACTTGCTTGGTGTCCAAGGTGCCGCAGATTCGCAGGATTGCGAACATGAAGTCGACTGAAGGTTTGGCTGCGTTCCAAATTCGAGTGGGGAAAACTCTGCGTGAATAACCTTGGCCACCTTGACCTTTTGCCTTTGCAGGAATCAGCACAAAAGCTCTGATCCTCGAGGTCTGCAGCTACACTGTGACTTTTTCGTACAACTTCTGCAAGCAATATGCCCTGATGTCCTACATGGAGTACCCAATACTCCTGCTGCAGGAGTACGTGCTGATCTTACTGGTACTGAAGTACCAGAACCTCCTCAATAGAAAGACCTTCATCTTTATTGGACTGTACACGCTCTGCACAGTCATGTTCCTCACCAAGATCTTGCCCATGTGGCTCCTCACCGTACTCTTGGTAGACACAGCACTCAATCTCTGATTCTTGCCGATTCTCACACAGAATCTCTCTCCTTGTAGCCTCTGACCACGCCAGTGGGAGCCACGAGCAAAGTGATCCAACTAATGGAAATCTTGCGCACCAAAAACTCAGAATCAGTGAGTCTCATGACTTGGCTGTTGTCTTCCTTCACAAATTGCAGTAAGCTGAACGCCTGAGAAGATACTGAGTTCTCTCTCTAATCCATCTTTTGATCCTTATAGCGAGAATCTTCACTATCCTGATGGACTCTGCTGATTATATGCTCTTGATGAACTTCACGATCTCTTTCTTTCTGAGTTTTGCCGTGTTTTCTACCGCTAATCACTACAAGGGCTATAAGTTGTCCAAGATTGACTGAAGTTGGCTTCCGCGGGCAGTTTTCATAGTACATTTTTTAGTGTTTTAGAGATAAATTGACTTTTTGTGTGTTCACGCTTGCCTACAATAAAGCGCGCTAAATTAGTGAGGTTAGGTTGACTGTCTCCCATTGTTGTGTATTTTGCGCGTCGTTGTGAAATCCACAGTTTCCTGTGATTTTCCCAGTGTTTCCTTGTGCCATTGTCCTCAAATCCTGCCTGTGGAGATGTCTGATGAAGAGAGGGAGGAGATCCGCGAGGAGGATGTGATTAAGATCCTCGTGACGACCGACAATCACCTGGGCTATCTGGAGAAAGACTCGATTCGAGGCGAGGACAGCTTCATAACCTTCGAGGAGTGTCTGCAGCACGCCCAAGAGAATAATGTGGACATGATCTTGCTGGGTGGAGATCTCTTCCACGTGGCCAATCCCTCGCAGAACTCCATGAACCGCTGCCTGAAGATTCTCAGGAATTACGTCCTGGGCGACAAACCGATAGATCTGGAGTTCCGCAGCGATCAGAACGTCAACTTCTGGGACGCGCTCAATCGCACGGTCAACTATGAGGATCCCAACATGAACATCTCGATCCCGGTGTTCTCCATCCATGGCAATCACGATGATCCCAGTGGCTTCGGGCGACTGAGCTGCATGGACATCCTGGCTAGCACTGGACTGCTCAACTACTTCGGGAAGTGCCTCAATCTGGAGAAGGTCGTCGTGAGTCCGCTGATGATCGCCAAGGGCGCCACCAAGTTGGCTCTGCTGGGCCTCAGCCACATCCACGATACTCGCCTGGTGCGCCTGTTCGAGAGCGGGAATGTCACCTTCGAGAAGGCGCTGAACGACGAGGAGTGGTTCAATCTACTTGTCCTCCACCAGAACCATGCCGACCGTGGCCGCAAGAAATTCATTCCCGAGGAGGCGCTGCCTCGCTTCCTGGACCTTATAATCTGGGGCCACGAGCATGACAGCCACATCAATCCCGAACAGAATCTCAAGATGAAGTTCTTCGTCTCGCAGCCAGGCTCCACTGTGGCCACGTCGCTGAGCGAGGGAGAGTCGCTGCCCAAGCACTGCGGAGTGCTTAAGATCTACAAGAAGCAGTTCGACATGACATCCATAAAGCTACAGCGAGTGCGTCCTTTTGTCTTTGGCAACCTCAACATGGACGATCACGAGGCGGAGCTGAATGAGCCCCGCACGAAGCTGGAGGACCAAATATTCAAGCTCATCTCTCGCAGGATTGAGGAGATGATCAAGGCGGCGAAGAAGCAACTCTCGGGCGACCCGAAGCAGCCCACACTGCCGCTCATCCGGCTGAGAGTGCAGTATAGTCAGGAAAATCACTGCTTCAACCCCAACATCTTTCACGTGCACTTCTTCGAGCGCGTGGCCAATCCCAATGACGTTGTTGTGCTCAACAGACAGATTTCCCGCATCAAGTCGGAATGCAAGGTGAGCTGCTAGACTTTCCTTTTTCCAATACTCGAGTTAATGATCTTTTTCGCAGGTCGACGAGACTGCCTTCTCGGATGCCTTTGACCGGGAGCGCCAGAATGAGAATTACCAAGTATCTGACGTGGTGAATCGCTATTTCAGCACCGTCGAGAACGCTCAAAATCTGGAAGTGCAGTCCATCAAGTGCCTGGGTGAGGTTTGTCGTCATCTTATACGCGAAGACGAGGACGCAGCTGAGAAGCTGGTGAACTTCCACGTGCAGATGGCCATCGGCCACTTGGAGGAGAAGCTGCCGGACGTGGACCAGGTGGAGGAGGCACTTGAGGAGTTCGGGGCCAAGAGCGGAGAAGTCTTTGACAAAGCTGTGAAGATGCTGGACGAGGCGGGCATGAGCACAACCGTCTCGACTGCTCAAGATGCTCCCGCATCTGCTTCCTTTGTGTCTGACGACGATGAAGCTCAGGAGTCGACATCTTCCCGTGCCAGCTCGACTACCAGAGGCCGCGGAAGGGGCGGCAAGAGAGGTCGCGGAGCTAAGGCGCTGGAAGTCACGGTGAGGAATCAACGGTCTTCGAAGAAGCAACCAACAATCCAAGAATCTCTCTCGCAAGCCTCCTCCAGGCAAACCCGCGCCACCAGGAGCAACAGGAAGATCGTCTACGATTCCGGATCAGACTGATCACCAGAATCCCCGAACTTCATTAATTCCATTTGACCATTTCACTTTTTTAATGTCCATAAAGCAGGATTACAATGTTATTAAGTGAGTGTTTGAGAGAAATTGGGATTCCACGGGGATTTACCAATCAAGTGAGGAATGATGGCCCTTAGATCTTGTTGAATGCCGCGATGTCCACACTCTGCACGAGATCCTCAATCTTCTCGATCTCCTCGGTGAGCAGGTCCACAGACACCTTCTCGTCCTCCACCACGCAGCTCACTTGCAGCTTGTGGATGCCGTATGCCAGCGGCACGAGTTTCGAGGCGCCCCAGAGCAGGCCCTCCATCTCGATCTGCCGCACGGCCGCCTCCATGGCCTTCATGTCTGTCTCGTCGTCCCACGGCTTGATATCCAGGATGATGTTCGACTTGGCAATCAGGGCCGGCTTCTTGGACTTCCTGGCATTGTACTCCGCCAGGCGCGCCTCCTTTACGTTCTGCGCCTCCTCGTCTTCCTCAGAGTCCGACGCGAACAGGTCCACGCCGTCATCGTCGTCCTCTGGCTTGGCGGCCGGGGGCTGCGGCTTGGCAGCGGCCGCCTTGGCTGGCGAGCCCTTCTCCAGCGCAGTCACGCGTTCCTGGAGGCCCAGCATCAGCTTCTCCATGCCAGAGACCACTGAAACGGCGAGAAAAGAGAATCAGAAATGAGTTCAGAAAAGCCATCTCGCTCTTGATTACCTGAATGAAGTCTCTTGTTCTCATTCTCAAGGGTCGTGAGACGCTCGAAGAGTTCATTCCCAGGCGTGGAGGCGAGAGCAGCAATGCCGTCCATCTACAAGATACAAAGCAGACCATCAATTAGCTTCTAAATCGCCAAATAATGCTCTTCTCAGGTCGCTGTGTCGGGAGAATGTCTCTGAATTCATCTAATCAAGGCACTACTTACACGTTCTAGGGATTTTTTAATATGCTGGCGAGCTTTTGCAATTTCCGACACCAGGGACATTCCAGAACTACCACCCTAAATTAGGGAAAGAAATTAGTGGTGTGTTAGTCAATTGTACGCTATAATCATCTGCGAGATAAAATCAAATCAAAACCACGCGGATGAGCAAATGATGCGCATGCAGGTGATTAATGAGGTGAGAAAGTGAACTAAAGAGTGACTGTGGGCTGTCGAGGACCTTCTCATCCTCCTTGCCGCCGCCCTTCTTGTCTGACAAGCGCCCCTTTGGGATTGCAGGAGCATTCACTGCCTCGACGGTCTTATCTTTCGCCACGAGAGCCGAGTGTTCAGATGTAGTTTCCATCTCTTCAGAAGTGTCCTCAGCCTCTTCCTGAGCCTTCTTCTCCTTGCGCCTCTTCGACTTGGACTTCTTCACGGCGGCGCCGGCTTCTGGCGCCTCACTCACGGAGTTCTCCGTGGATTTCGGCTTCTGACTCCGCTTCTTCTTGCCAGCATCCGCAGAATCGGCCACCTGAGCCAGCACCGGACATTCCGTCAGCGCAGCCTCCTTCTTCTTGCCCTTGTGCGGACACTCAGACTCCTCAGACTCCTTGGCCTCCTTGCGCGCCTTCTTGCTGCGCTTGGACTTGCCCACAGACTCTCCCTTACCCATGTCCTCAGTAACGAAGGAGCAGTTCTTAGCAGCGTCCGGGAGACATTAGGTAAATACACCGGAAAGCACTCCAAACACCCTCAAAGTCATGGTCTCTCTCTTACCTTGGCCGCGCTTTCGTAGAACTTCCTCTCTGCGTCGCTGTACTGCGCCTTGTCTAGCCACACGCGCTCAGCAGATAGTGCACAGGACATCCTCGTGGGTGGTGCTGCAAGAAACTACCATCCGAAGAGGTCTTAGATAAGCTGTCTTCCCGGTATTGCCACGCATCACGATTATTGATCCGGACACATGGGCAAAATGCGCATGAGATGAATTTGCACATCCACAGAGTATTTCAGCTCCCAGAGAAACAATTCACACTTGGACGTATTGTATTGAGTCTCAGGAACCCTCTGAACTCGCAAATTGTCACGCGAAGAGGATATTTATGGGAAAATAAGGTGTTTTACCTGAAGAAAATCGCCCAAAATCCCTACACACGCGCGGTCCGATTGTCAAAGTGACAAAATCACGGCTACCAACCGCAATTGGCGCAAAAGTGGAATTCGAATTCGCAAAAAAAACCCGGAGAAATCAAGAAACATTAAATTGTGATGTAAATAAATTTTAGGTGTGTTTTATTTTATACAAATCATATTTTTTACAATGATTATTACTCACGACTCTGATGAAATGTTGATAAAATCCATAAAATCGCTTAAGCTTCCCGCCAAAGTCAACTGACGGATTCACAGAGCCTCTCTGCCCAACTCGGAAGCGCTCATGGATCCGGGCAGAATTGTCGCCTCATTAGCGGTGCAGATAAATTCAACTGTCCAGTTATACACAGCGGTCGCGCTCAGTTCTTCGTGGATTTGTCGCGTCTTCCTTGCCGTTGGGCGTCAAAATGCCGCCTCGGACGGCCTCCAGCCCAACCGCCAGGCCGGCCGCGGAAGGGTGGCCTGGGCCGCGGCATGTCTCCCGGCGGCGGCTGATTGAAGAAGTCCGGCATGCCGCCGCCATAGAACGCGTCAAAGGGTGGCATCGGCGCCACTCCCAGCAATCCCGGCCGATTTGGCGGCATGAATCCCGGCAATCTCGGCGCCATCCATTCTATCATGCGCTGTCCCCCCTCCTCCACCATCGTGAACTGTCCACTCTCGCTCAGACAGATACCCAGCTGCGCCAGGATGTGCTGCAGCGTGGGATTATGCGCCACCACGCTGAGGTCAAACACTTTTCCCGGATTGGGATCAGCAGCAAAGCGCTTCAGTTCGGCCGACAGCACTGCCAATTGCTGATTCACCATGATCTTGTTCTTGCTGCCCAAATCCTTGTACCACGGTGACTTCTGCAGCACCTGCTGGATGTCAATGCCTCCCGCTGGAGCGCTCTTGGGCACATCCTCGCGCTTCCTCCGCGGATCCTGCCGTGGACTCGGCGCCTTTGGCGGCTCTTCTGGCTCCTCCGCCGTTTCTGGCTCACGCAGGCTGAGAATGCGCCTCAGCCGCGGATCTTGAGTGTTACCCTGGGCGGGCATTCGCTTCCGGATCTCCCGATAGTCCGGCGGCGGGATGAGACATTCAAAGACTTTGTAGTGCATGGGCGCATGCGAAGCCAGAGATGCGTCAATCTCTGTCGCCGGCACGTAGTTTGTCATGAGCGGCTTGAACGGCAGCCTGAGATCCACGTCGCGCATGCTACCCTCCACCAGCAGCCGCATGTCCTGGTCCTGATTCTCCGCCACCTCCTCACCGACTGGATCGTAGATGCTGGGTCTCTGCTTTGCGTCCGGTGAGGCGATTTCCGGCCTCTTCCGCGGATCTCGCTCAGGCGTCGCAGCTTCTGGGAGTATTTGGGATGAGTAGTCGATCTTGGACAAAGATCCACCAACTACTCTAGTCACATCCGCCGCCTCCACCACTGGCGGAGCCGGTGGCCACTCATTATCACTGGATTTCCTGGCCTCGTCGTCACTGTACCATGTCTCATCGATCAGGAGCTTTGATTCCGGTTCACCTGCATTGAAAGTAGAGACGATAAAAAACTGATAATGTTATCTAAACGTTTCTTCAACTCACCTTCCTCAGGAGATTGAGCTCCAAAATCCATCACCACAATTTCCTTCCTCGCAGGCTCAATGGCTGGCGTTTCCTCGCGATCCGGAGACACGATTTCAGCCGCGTCAATTACCCTCATGTCTGTGTCTTCAGCCTTGTCCACCTCAGCAGGCGCTTTCTCCGCCGTTCCCTCAGCCTTTTCGCCCTCTTCCGGGCCCATCGCCAATCCCAGCTTCACAAAGTTCTTCGTGTTCAGCTGAATCTCACTCAGTTGCTGAAAACTCAGTCCCAATTCCGTGAGTTGCATGAACGTGAGATGCTGCACCTGATCCAGCGTCTCGATCCCCATCGTCGCCATCCTGTCGATCTGCTCCTGCGACAGCACATTGGTCAAGTGCCGCAAGCTCAGCACATCCTCCTTCGTCTCGGGCTTCTTCCTGGCGTCTCCACACCAGCGACTCTTGCGCGGCTGCTTCGGCGTTCCCTCCTCGAACTCCGCCAGCAGCTTCTTGTGCGTGGCATTCAGCATGTGAGTGGCGTGCTCCCTGCCTAGGCGCGGGAAGTCGCCCAGGATCTCCTTCGGCGCCGTCTCGAGATGCTTCAGCAGCACACCGCGCAGCTGATTGGTCAGCGGCCGTCCGTGGGAAAATTTGCACGTCTCCCGGTTGATGCAGTTCAGGCCGAGATAGTAGTACTTGCATGGGAAGTCCGAATGCATGTATAGACACTTCTCGCGCTTCGCGCAGCAGTCCATCAGGTAGAATTTGCACAGCTCCAGCTTCCTCTGGTGTCGAGACTCCGTCTGCAAGGAAAGTTTATGTCATTGGAGTTCCACCCATTTAGATTCCACGCCTCGTATTTCCCCAATACTCACATCCGAGTCATGTTGGCGTCGCTTATCGTAATGCTTCGGCCCGCCGCCACGTCGCCTCTCGCGCTGCTGCCGCTTTCGCGGTCTCCTGTAATCTCCTGAATCATAGCTCGAGTAGCTGCTGAAGCTCTGATCCGAATCCCCTTCGTACTCCCTCCTCGGCGGACTGCCGCCGCGAATACACAGCATTTCGTACTCATCCTCCTCCTTCGCGCCCTTTCTCTTCGGCTCAGGCCGCTCAGACCGCTCAGGTCGCGGTTCTTCGCGCTTCCGCTTCCGCCGTCGCGTCGGCTTTGGGTCCTCCACCTCATTGCGCGGTCTCTTTGACGGCCCCGGCGCTACTCTCGGCTCCGCCACTTCAATCCCATCCTTCTTCAGTACATTGGCTATTGCCTTCTCAACTTTCACCGCCCACTCGTCCGTCACACCTTTGACATCTTCCGCGGGTCTCTTTTCAGGCTTCGTTTCGGGCTCCTTCTTGGCCTCCTTCACTTCCTTCGCTTCCTCTTTGGCCTTCTCCGGCTCGTCATCGCCATCAGACTCAATCTCACCATCCTCGAGGTCCAATTCCTCCTTTTCCCTCTCGCTATCCATGATCTTCACAATTTTTTGCCGATAAATCTCATTGAAACATCATCATGCATTCATCAAGTGAGCATTATTCCTGCAACAAACAGATATATATGGCCATATTCAGTATGGATCATTTCTTATTTCTTAATTCTACGACATTTCTGATGGCATCTCCCACAGACACTCGTCAGACATTTCCAATCATTTCTCTCATCACGTGAAATTTTGTGCGGACGTTTTTCACCTCAGTGTGCATACGTCATCAGCTTACAAATTGCAACAGGGTGACACGGAGAAAAAATCACTGAAATCGACGAAATGTGGCAAAAATTCGAGGCTGCCTGATCCCAGATCGGACGTCCTGCCGCACTGTCCGATCCTGGCGAGGCGGATGTGGCGCGTGTCGTCGCGAAACAAAGACAAACCGACTTTGGGTCACCCTGTGGGGCGTTTTCGATGCGCGAAAGCCAGGCAATTATTCAATGGAATGAGGACAAAATGGCCGGACTTGGCGAGGAGGGGAGCGCCCCCTGGCCAGGCCGCAGTCCCATTTTGCCCATCGAAAGTACTCTCGAGGCTGCGAGGGATTACCATGACTGAAATGTCTCTCTATTAGGATAAATACCACTTTTTTCTAAACGCAAATTACTCGGCTCTCAGTTTTCATTTGCATTTTCTTTCTCCGCTTTTTTCCGTTTCGGATTCACATTTGGCGTCAAAAGTGAGAATTGCAGGTTTTGGCAAAAGTTAAGAGGTAAATAATAGTGATGCAAAAAAGGCTAATTTTAAAGTGACTTTTCAACTTCTTTGATATACTATTGCGCTCTTGGCTTTGATGCGACGCTCTCCACGATTTCACATTTTCTGAATCGCCCCCGCCGCTGTCGCCCGACTAAATACGACTTCAAACTCACCACCAAATTGTCACGGAAATCCACCAAAAATCCCTACAAATTTCTACCACAAACGAAATTTCCCATCGTCTTCACCACTGTCGGGCAGATGGAGCCAACAGCGCAGAAATGAGATCCCAACAAGACTTATCCTCTTTTTCGTACTAAGCAAAAATAGGCCTTGAAGAGTATGAAAATGGCTAAAAAGCCGCATAACATTAATTTCTACAATTGTAAAACACTGAAAACCCTCATTTTAGGGACATCGGAGAAATTTCCAGAACTTTTCCATGCTTTTCTTCACTTCTTCTCGCACTCAATCCCATACCGGTATGTGTAGACAGTGAGCGCCGTACAACTGGGTAGTCTGTGTTGATAAGTATTTTGCTGCCGTGTGTTGCAGAAATCCACGTTGCACGTCTGGGGGATTTTCCATCAATTCCATATCAGATAGACCAACTAGTTTAGTGAAAACGAGGTCCAGGAAGATGTCTAAGAAAGCTCCCGACGTGAAGAATGTGTGGGGCGTGGAGAAAGCGGCCCCAGAACCGGCGAAAAAGAGTGGTCATGGCGGCCAGAAAAAATTCGCCGAAGAGCAGCAAAAGCACCTAGAAACAGCTAAGAAACTGGCCACAGGGTACGAATCGAGTTCTGAGGAGGAAGATCTGGCCACTGAGGAAATCTTCCAGTCGGTGCTGAAAGGCTATGCAGGAGATTCTGGCGATCTGAGCCGCACACATCAATTCCTGGAGAATGCCTTCCAATCTGGCGCCGCGACATGTCTCATCTGCATTGGCAGCATCAAGAGGGCAGACTCGATCTGGTCATGCGTCACCTGCTACTGCTTCTTCCATCTGCAGTGCATTCAACGCTGGGGGAATGATAATGTGGGCCAGAAGCGTATGCGACAGTCGGAGGAAGCCTCCTCGCCGGGATTCTACACGAACCGAGGAGAATTCATCCCCAGGAAGGTGACACAAATTACATGGGACTGCCCACAGTGTCGCCAAGCGTACACGCCCGAGGAAATCCCGAGAAAATACCTCTGTTTCTGCGGTAAGGAAGACAATCCACCCTTTCATCCCTGGAACATTCCTCACTCCTGCGGAGAACTGTGCCAGAAACCTCTGGAACCCGCTTGTGGGCACAAGTGTGTCCTCTTGTGTCACCCAGGTCCTTGTCCGCCCTGTCCGCAAACCGTCTCGCAGAGTTGTGAGTGTGAGAAGTCCGCACAGCGCATGATTAGGTGTTCGACAAAGACTTGGCGTTGCCAGGAAAAATGCCAATTAACGCTCTCTTGTGGCCATCACAAGTGCAACCAACCATGTCATGCTCCCGGCTCGTGCAAGCCCTGCTCCCGTCGCAGCGTGCATCGCTGTCGCTGCGGCCAGGATCAGAAGGAGCGCAATTGCTCAGACAGCGACTGGCAGTGTGGGAAGATCTGCGGCCAGGAGTACGCTTGTGGCCGGCATCGCTGCCAGAAGACTTGTCACGCACCTGGAGAGTGCGGAGAGTGTCCTCAGGGTCTGCCGCGCTCCTGTCCATGTGGCAAGCAGAAGTCCGTGGCGCCGTGTTCGGAGCAAATCGACACCTGCGGAGATTCCTGTCTGCGACAGCTGCCCTGCGGCGATCATGTCTGCCTAGACAGGTGTCACCGCGGTGAGTGCGGTGCTTGCCAGGAGATCGTGGAGAAGCGCTGCCGTTGCGGACTCCACGTAAAGCAGCTTCCGTGCCATCGCAGCTTCACGTGCGAGACGAAGTGTCGCCAGCAGAAGGACTGCAAGCGTCATGCATGCAATAGGAAATGTTGCGACGGCAATTGCCCGCCATGCGACAAGATCTGCGGCAAGACGCTGGCTTGCGGACGGCACAAGTGCCAGAGCAACTGCCACATGGGCCACTGCTATCCCTGCAACTTGAAGGCAACTGTGCGATGCAGATGCAGCAAGACGACAGTCGAAGTGCGATGCGGACGGGAGAGGAAGACACGCCCGCCCAAGTGCCATCTTCCGTGCCGTCGACCCTCCAAGTGTCACCACGAGAACCCACACAGCTGCCATAAGGACGACTGCCCGCCGTGCACGCGAAAGTGTGGCCTGGCGAACGACACGACGAAATGCTCTCATCCGTGCGAGGCGAAGTGTCACGACGCTGTCCTAGTACGCCACGTGGACAAGAACTGGCGTCCTGCCGGTCCTTGGGATGTGCAACCCGAAGTCACAGAGATCGCGCGCCTGCCGCATCCCAAGTGTGAGATTCGCGTGCCCGTTTCCTGTCTTGGCGGCCACGAAACCATTCCTTGGCCGTGTCACAACTCCATTCCAAGGACTTGTGGCCGGAAATGCGGCCGTGAGCTGAAGTGTGGCAATCACAAGTGCGCAAAGGAATGTCACAGTGTAAAGGAGCAGGATTTGTGGCTGCAGCAGGAGTCTTGCGAGGTCTGCCGGCAAAGATGTCATAGAAAGAGGCCCAAGGGATGTTCGCATCCCTGCAAGAAAGCCTGCCACGCTGATCCTTGCGATCCGTGCAAAGTGTCCACGAAGACAGCTTGTCACTGTGGACTCACGCAAGTGATCTACAAGTGTGGCGACTTCTTCTCTACTGAGGATGTCGGCGCGCGGGAGGCTCAGCTCAGCTGTGGGAATCGGTGCATCAGGAACGTAAGTGGTTTTTTCACTGTCTGATTGATAGCAAAATACTGATCCTCTCCTTTTTTTCAGTACCCTTGCGGCCACCGTTGCTCCGCCACTTGCCACTCAGGCGCCTGTCCGGACCCGGAGGCGTGTAAGAAGAAGGTCAAGGCCAGTTGCAAGTGCAAGACCAAGAAGGTGGAAGTGACTTGCGAGAGACTGAGGAGTGGCAGCTTCGTTGTGGCGTGCGATGAGCAGTGCAGCGCCAAGCTGGCGCATAAGACGAAGGTGCAGGAGGAGAAGATGGCGAGACAGCGCGAAGAGGAGGCGGAACGCAACCGACAGGAGTTGGAGGAGTTCGAGCGGAAGTTTGGCAAGAAGAAGCCCAAAGAGCGCAAGAGGCGGGAGTACGTGGATGAGAAGAGAACAAATTGGAAGTTAATACTCACAGGAGCGGCAATTGCGATCGCGCTGGCTGCAATTGTGTCTGTAATTGTATTCAACGTACAGTAGAACACATTTCACTTGACTTTGACTTTCTTCTTGGACGCTTCCGGAGCGCTTTGCTGCTTCCTGTCCAGGTGGATAGACGAGAAGACGACGAACGCCACGAAGGCGATCAGCGACAGTATCAAGATGTACTCCACGCGATTTCTGGAAGAGATATTTATATGGTAGACTTTTGTATTTATCAGAAATAAAGATTACTCACTCGAATGGTGATCCGCAGACTGTGTACCAGACGCTCCCCTCCTTGGGCAGCTTCTTTCCAGGCAGGCAGTGGAAGTCGTAGTACTTCTCATCGTAGTCTGTCACGCAGAGGAACTGCCTCTTCTGCAGCGTCTTGAATAGTCCGTGCACCGGCACGATCTTGTCGCAATCCCCAACGGGCTCATGGAGTCCCATCGCAACCACGTCCTCTGGATTGAACAGGACAGCCGTGAAGAGGAAGGTGAGGTAGTGCAGCACCAGATGAAGCAGCAAGATCCAGTCTAGAAGCTTCATCTTCTCTAAGATGCCGTTTCTCAAGGAGTTCCTGTCGAATTTCCACACGATGACCATGAAGATGACTAGAAGAGTCACAGATGTGACTTCTGAGTGCACATTGAAGAGGTCGTGGAAGGGATGATAGAGTATGATGAAGAAGATACATCCTCCGGGCATTCCCAGGAAAGACGCGAGAATGACAGAGAATATTTCTGCCTTGAATGGCCCAGCTTCCCATTTCGGGAGGCTCTTGCCGACCATCCAGCGCCTAGAGGAGTGGAAGATGAACGACCAGAAGGCGGCGAAGCAGGCGTGGAAGTAGTATGAGTTCCAGGGAACCCAGTAGTGGCGATGCTCGATGTTAGGATCAGTGTCGTGCCAGATCCAGTGCACGAACTTGGCGCCTATGATATCGTAAGGCAAATCGATGAGCACCACCAGCAATCCCACAGCCAAGTGCTCGACCAGGCCACAGCGCAGTTTGAGCTTGGACACTGCCCAGCAGGCGTGGTAGTAGAAGACAGGATAGAGGAAGATAATGTATAGCGGGAGTCTGAGGCCCAAGAACATGACTGGCGCCAGTCCTTGCCAAAAGTTATCGATGTGAGGTACCCAGTAAGACAGCAATTCCACGACGAGTCCCTGCCCGATTGCTGCCAGGAAGAGATAAGGCCATCGCCCACCCTTTCGAATGCAGTGAACAGCGATTATTAGCGCTCCCAGGAGGAAAACAGCCTGGCAGTAGAAATACGACGGATGTGCTCGATACAGGTTCACCGGATCATGGAAGCGCACCAGCCAGTCGAGAATCTGCATACAGACAACATTTTCTACCAATTCAACTCACTTCGTCAACAAATCCCCGTGTACTTACAGAGCTATACTCGATTTTCTGCAACTCAACTCCGAATCCTTCAATTTTCTTCTCGGCCATTTTTGCCGTCTGGAAAATCCTACAAACACTCGTTCAATGGGAGACTGTGAACTCCTCACCAGTTCACCAGGTGTTCAAGACTCAGTATCAACCTACATGATTTATGAGTTGATAAAAGCCGAGCAGATAGAGAGAGTTTATCGGAGATTCCACTTTCTTGACTTTCTTCGATTTCCAAAAACACGCGCACTCGCCATTCGTATTGCCCGATGGAGGGATATTTTGACAACCACAACATCCCGCATGGCAACCCACGCCATTGCGCAAGTTTCTCGAGTTCGTGTCTCTGGCTAAAATATGCAACAATAGTGTTTTCTAAAAGGAAAAATACGTCTTTGCAATGACTTTCCTCAACTACGTTCTCCTGCCGAAGCTCTACAAGGAGTATAAGACACGAACGCCCACGGTGAGTGGCTGTTTGGGGGTGTTTTCCCAGGTCGAGGAAGACTCTTCATGACTGACAAAGAAAGTTTCCTGAGGTTTATTCCTTGTGTTTCCTCCTTTGCAGCAACGCTATGAGCCTGCAGGACTGGAGAAATGGGGCGATCAGATCATCACGACGGTGAGTTGCCCAAAACTGCGGATGACACACTTTCCTGTCGCCCATCAAAGATGACTACTAAATAGTGGCCATTAGTTTTCACTCTCTTCTTCTTGTTTGCATAAAGTTTTTGCAATCAAATGACTCTGCAAATTGATTTGAGAGGCTACTCACTCTTTTTTCCAGCTCTGCATGATGTGGAACATTGGTTACTACACTTCACCACTCATTATCACCTTCCTCTACCGTCGCGGCTACTTTGTCGTCGAGTCCATCTCCTCCCTGGCCAAGATCTCCACAGGCATCGGCATTCTGGTGGCCGTTTCCCTGTGCATCCGCGGCATCGGCAGATCCCAGTCGCCGCCTTATGTGCGATTCGCCCGGATTCTCAGCACCGTGAAGAGCAACAGTCGCAATGAAGCCGCACGGAGGGAATTGCAGGAGTTCGACTTCGACTTCAAGGAGTGGCCAGTGGATTGGTCAGTGGAGGAGTGCGAAGGGGCGCAGCCGCAGCCACGAGCCGTCCAGAAGCACGCGCCCGTGAAGGGGAGCTTCACAAGCCTTCCCATGGAGTGGATGGCTTACATTGCCGTGCACACATTTGGACTGAAGATGATCTATCCAGGCTCCATCAAGATCATGCAGACCTACTTCCAGCCAATGCTCATCCAAGGCAGGACGAAGCTGCGCGAGGACGGCGGGAATCGCTTCAAGCTGTTGACAAAGGATAAGAATGAAATTGACACGTTCTTCGTGGACAATCGCGGCAAATCTTCAAACGGCAAGACTCTCGTCATCTGTTCAGAAGGCAATGCTGGCTTCTATGAGATTGGCATCATGGCCACACCGATGGAACTGAACTATTCCACCCTGGGATGGAATCATCCGGGCTTTGGCGGAAGCACCGTGAGTCTGCAAACTCTCTAATCTCACTCAAACTCCTCTAATGCTAGTGAATTTTGTGCAGGGACAACCCTTTCCCGAGCAAGACCAGAACGCCATTGACGCCGTAATGAAATTCGCCATTCACAAATTGGGATTCTCCCCTGAGAACATTCTCCTCTTCGGCTGGAGCATCGGTGGATACTCCAGCATCTACAACGCCATCCGCTATCCAGACGTCAAGGGCGTGGTAAGTTCGCAAAGAGCTTCAAATTGTGCCTCTTTGGTTGACTGAGAGCTTCTCGGCAGATCCTCGATGCCACTTTCGATGACATCCTACCACTGGCGCTCCCGCGGATGCCAGAAAGCGTCTCCAGCATCGTGAGGATGGCCATTCGCAACTACGTCAACCTGAACAATGTGGAAATGCTGCAGCAATTTCAGGGTCCCGTTCGTCTCATCAGGAGGACAGAGGATGAGGTGATCGCTGAGTAAGTATGAAGAGAGTAAGAAGCACCTGGATGAGCTGCTCACGCTTGTCTTTCTCATATCCTTTGCAGGGACATGAAACTGGAGACGAATCGCGGAAATTTTCTGCTGATCAGCTTGCTGAAGTACAGATTTCCCAACATTTTCAAGGATCCTCAAGTGGAGTTCGTGCACAAGATGCTGTCGCAGCCGCTCGACAAGACGAGCCCGAGTGAGTGTTCTTTCTTCTCTCTTGTCCTGCGCTGAGCTGACTGAACGTCTTTCTTCCTTTCAGCCGACACAGATGACGGCCTGTGCCTGTCGCTGCTGATGACTTACACGGCGGAGTCTGGGCGCCAGTATCCGCTGGAGATCGGCGCCAATTTCACAGCGGAGCAGCGAAATGTGATGGCTGAGTATCTGGTGCGAAACCACTTGGCGGATTTCAAGTCTAGTCACTGCATTCCTCTGCCCATTGACTTCTTCAAGCAGCCTTGGGACATTCCCAACGAGACGGACTTCGTCTTCACATAGGCCGGGGGGGTATTTTCTGTGTTTGTGTGTCTTCTTGTCTCGCCATTCTTCTTTAGCTCTAAGCAGAGAGAGAGGATGAGTATTGGTGGATAGAATAAAACGCCCATTATTTATCCTTGTACGCAATATCATTAAAATTCACAGTTCACGGGAACAGCTTAATACACACTCTCAAATATAAACGCAGATTTTTGTCTCCTCTGGCGTGTGGAGAATGTGAGGGAGGATCGCGGAATACGGATAAAAAGAGGCGAGTCTCTCATGAAAATATACCCACTATTGTCCCCTTCACAGGCCAAGTGCGTGTGTGCTCTTGAGGGTGTCCTTTTTGTATATGCAAATCTCACTCTCGCGTGAGCGAACAATAGTGTGGGAAAATGATTTTCTCCTTAACTCTTGGTTTTCTCATTCACAATAAATGGTATTTTTAAAAGGATTATCAAGCGTGTGGCATTGTTTTCACCTTGTCCAAATGAGGAAGGAGATGAATTTGTGGCTGGAAAAGGGTCGGTATCATTGCCTGTATTCATTTTTCACCATGAAATCGCGCAGCTTCCGGGGCCGAGAAAATGCCATCGTCGCGCCCCAGATTGTATATTATAACCTTGAGTGTTGGTGTTTTGTAAATGGCAGGAATTGACATCTATTATTGTTTAGTGGTTCTTCTTGGAGCCGCCGAAGCCAGCAAAGCCCATGATGGCAGCCATGTCGGATGTGGCAGGATCATCGAGATCATCGACGCTCTCCTCGGCCTTCCGCTTTCGCTCTTTCCTGCGCTCGCGCTTGTGCTCCTTCAGCTTCTCCTCCTCCTCTTTGGCCTCTCGGAGACGGCTCTCCAGCTCGTAGTCCTTCTGCTTCTCCTCCATCTTCTTCTTGTTCACCTTGAAGCGCTCCTTCACCTGGTCCAGCGAGCTGCGCTCCACCTTCATGGACATGCCCAGATTGCGCTGGTGCTTCTTCCCGTTGATGTGGTCCAGGAAGTTGATAGAGTCCTTCACCACGCAGTCGCACACGTTGCAGTAGTAGCCGCCGGACTGCGACGAGGGCGTGCTCTTGCTGATTACCACGCTCTTGCCCAGCTTCCCCTCCAAGTCCACCTTGTAGTCACGCCGCTTCAGCAACTCCCGCTTGGCAGACTCTGCAAGAGAAGCCAACATCTCAGCCCACGAGAGCGCCAGGAGGTTCCCAAATCGCCCACCTTTAGCGTCCTCCTCATCCTCGTCATCGTGTCCCTTGCGCCCTTCTGTTTTCTTGCTCCGCAGCCTGTCCTGGGCGAGTCTCTCGTACTCGGCGCGGTCCCACTTGCGGCGATGGTCGTCTGGTCTCATCGACATTGTACTTGAGGGTTTGCAGCTACCTAACGTTACAAATTGGACACTTTTGGCAAAGAAAAACACTATTTTCTACGCTGAGCCAATTGGAAAACAAAAATACAATGGAGCCCGTCAAGGGCGACGTCACAAATTTCCCTCGCTTCGCTCGTGGGATATTTTTAACCCTTCCTGCTCAGACTATGAAAAGACCTAGAAATTCCCTCAAAAACTGTATTTTACGCTGGATTATCATGACTATGGCGATCTACAACAGAATCTTCCTCCTTAAATGCAGACGCATCGCTGGCTAATTGCTACTTCTTCGCCTTCACCCGATCAACCATTGAGTCGAAGGCATTGTCCTGGATGTTGAGCATCAGGCTGTTTCCGCTGAGGTACACCTTATTCTGGGCACCGGCGATCGTGCGCGCAATGCTCTGTGCGGCGCGGATCTTGCGCAGCTTCAGATAACCCGGATTCTGGCTCACGGCCTGACCCAACATCTTTGCGGCCTCGGCTTCACCCTCGGCCTGAACGATCTTCTGCTGCTTCTCCATCTTGGCGCGCTCCACGAAGAACGCCGCTCGCTGCGCCTCCTGCTGGGCCACCTGCTTGGCCTCCACGGCCGCCGTGTATTCCTTGCCGAAGCTCAGCTCCGTCAGCGACACATCGTCCAGGATGATGTTGAAGTCCCGAGCGCGCTCTACGAGCTCTCGCCGGATGAGAAGAGAAACTTGTTGGCGCTGTGTGATGAGCTGCGAGGCATTGAACTTGGCCACCACGCTCTTCAGCACCTCATTGCAGATCGAGGGCAGCACCTTCTCGTCGTAGTCCAGGCCAAGCTGCCGGTACATCACGGGTAGACTCTGCGCGTCGGGCCGCGAGAGCACTCGCAGCGAGATGTTCACCATCTGCAGATCCTTGGAGCCTGTGGGCGAGGAGATCTTGCGAGGCCGTGACCGGATATCATAGATGATGGGGTACTGGAACCAGGGAATGCGGAAGTGGAGCCCCTCGGAGTAGATCTCCTTCTGCACGCCGCCCAGACGGCTGAAGATGATCGCTCGGTGGCCGCCCTCCACCGTGTACATGGACTGGGCCACGCCGTAAGCGGCGGCACCCAGTGTGACGGCCACTTTCAGGGCTATGGAAGCTCCCGGAGGACCACCCTTTCCGAACTTGCCGGCAAACTCGTGCAATTTGCTCTGCGACATGCCTTTCTAGCGCTCCTTTACGCGTTAACTGCAACGTAATTTCAGAGTTAGGGTGCTTCTTGGGCTTCTGGGCAAGGATTCAAAGAGTAATACCAGGAATAAACCACGTTTTGGGAGACAATTTGCCTTCAACACGGAAAATTACACAATATAAATGGCCGATTGACGAAGAGAGGAAATTTCCCTAAGCCGTATAAATAAGTCTCTGTAGATGTGAATATCGCTAGACAACCGGTAGAATTGTCTGTTGAATAATTGTAAGTGGATTTTATAAAAATTCTGTAGTTTTTCCCTGTACTGCGAAAGAACAGAAAACAATGTAAATAACATGATAAATGAAAATTACACAACTTTAGATATGTAGATCACGAAAAATGCATAAACGATAGTGGAACTTTATGTGAGCTCAAGGAAAATGTCTAACGACAAAGGTTTGCAAATCTTTATACGCTCGCGCAGGTTATGTTGAAAAGTCAAAACAAAGCGCGGCGCTCACGTGGATCCGTTGTTTCCCTGACCAGCAGCCCAAAGAGACATGGGAAAACAAAAATTAGGCAAGCGAAGACGCCCCAAAGTGGTGGAGGTTGAGGAGAAGGTGGAGGAAGTAACTGTGCTGCCGGAAACTCGGAAATCCGATGAACCTCAGGCCAAGAAGGAGCGCTGGAGCAACCGGCAGCGCGTTCTCGTGATGGCATCGCGTGGCATCAACCACCGGGATCGCCACCTGATGCGGGATATCAAGACGCTGATGCCTCACCACCGGGAGGAGTCGAAAATGGAGCGCACGAAGACGCTGACGGTGGTAAATGAGATGTGCTCTATGAAGCACTGCAACAAGGCTGTGCTGTTCGAGGGCCGGCGCAAGATGGATCTCTACATGTGGGTGGCCAATGTGTCCGAAGGCCCCACGGTGAAGTTCTTCGTGGAGAACGTCCACACGATGGGCGAGCTGAAGATGACTGGCAACTGTCTAAGAGGATCGCGTCCGCTGCTGTCCTTCGATCCGCAGTTCAGCCAACTGCCGCACCTGAAGCTCCTGCGGGAGCTGCTGTCGCAGGTGTTCGGGGTGCCCAATTTCCATCCCAAGAGCCAGCCTTTCGTCGACCACGTGTACTCGTTCACGTGGCTGGACAAGAGGATTTGGTTCAGGAACTTTCAGATCCTCTCCGAGGACGGAGCGCTGGTGGAGATTGGACCGCGTTTCGTGCTCAATCCCGTGAAAATCTTCGAGGGATCGTTCGGCGGAGAGGCGCTGTGGGAGAATCCGGACTACGTCAGTCCGGCCAGGTATCGACAGATGATCCGGAAGAGCGCGGGCGACAGATACGAAAACCGCATGGAGCAGAAGCTGAGCAGAGAAGCCAAGAGGTCCGACGCCACGTATCCGGCCGATCCTTCGAACGAGATCTACTGCGCGGATCCGGCGAAAAAGGCAACGAAGATCGCTCAGCAAGAGGAGGAGTCGAGCGACAGTTCCGACGAAGAGGAAGAAGAGGAAGACGAAGAGGAAGAGGCAGAGGATTCGTCAGAGCCAGAAGACTCGGAATAGCTGATGATGGAGTGGTCAAGATTTATTATGTTAATAAAAGGATTTTATTTCTGACTTGATCTTCTTCATTGAATGTTTGCTCATTTGCAGGGGATTCCCCTCTTTAGCCTAGATTTCCATGTTTCCTTTGGGTTTAATTTAAGTTGCATGAAACTAGAAACGTAACTTCTTATCTTTTTCCCCGAGGGCTTTCAAAACTCCCCCTCAAGTTTTGCATTGTATCAATGTCGATCCGACAGTCTAAGTTGTGATTTCGGTTAGTACGTTTCTATAATTAAAGCGGAGAAGTCGAAGACAATTGGTGAATTTTGTAGAAAATATTTCTTTTCCACAAGGTTAGTCGCAATAAAGTGCATATGATTCATCAATACTTTATCAATTTCACAATTTTCGTGTCTTTTTCTCTGTTGCAGTTAAGTCTGTGAAGCGATAAGGCCGCGATGAGTGAGAGATTTATTCCAAGAAATCGGGGAATCCCCGAAACTTCAGGATCTCGTAATCGAAAGCCAAATAATTATGGGACTGTTCAGGGCATCGGTAACTTAAGCCTGGGAAAGAATGTGCCATGTACGCATTTCATCTCGATCCCATTCAAGGATGAAGTCTTCGAGAAGTCCTTCGACGCCTTTCGCGAGGATTTGATCAAGAATCAATCTCGATACAATGTGAACGAGAACATAATTCAGAAGACAAAGAAGTTGCATAGGACGATTATAAATTTGTATCTACCTGATCAAGAGGCAATTGATTTGGCTAAGAAGGTTCTTATCAATGAGAAGAATGCAGTAAGGAAGATTATGGAGAAGAAATCGCAGTATAAGCACATCGTCATGAGAGGATTGCAAGATCCGAAGAATTACATGCGCACGACTTCCTTGTATGCAAACTTTACTTCACAGGCGATTTGTGACATCACAGATCACTTGCGCAAGGCTTTCAGGCGAGCAGGAATTCACATAATTACTGGCATTCCGCTGGCTAATCGGATTGTAGTGATCCAGGAAAGACTATTGACGGATGAGAATCGCGAGAAAATTGATTACTCTTTCAACCCCGGTCCCGTAATGTCCAAGTACAGAGATTACAACTTCGGGCAGTTTAACATTGAGGAAATTCACTTATCGCGAAGATACAAATATGATTCCAGTGGATATTTTGAGCACGAAATCGTTCTTCACTTCTGAGAATTCTGCTTATCTCCGCACTTTTGCAGCATTATTCTTATCAAGCTGAAATACATAAAAAGTGAAACAGAAATCTAAACTTTTTCCCCACACTGTATACAGAGGATGATGAATGAAATATATAAAAGATAACTGCAATGAAAGAAAGGATTGTGCTTTGCTTTTGCTTGGTTGGATGCCTCTTTGTAATAGGAAACATGTTTCGTGCAATCAAGCGACTGATGGCATTAAATTAACTGACTCTACAGGCATTCAATTACACATATTCATTATTCAATAAATTGAATTAGCATAGAAATATATAAGAAATAGAATAGGAAAATCGAAAAACTCCTTAACACATTTGGTCTCCAACATTTAATATTTCATGCACAATAAATCATATCAAACTGGTTTCACGCGACTATTTGCACAAAAGCAACCCTCAAGAGCCAAACAAAATACTACCTTTAGAAAAGACTTCCTCTCCTTGTATAATATGACTTTATTAAAATGTGTACATTGAAAGACAAAAAGGTTACAAATATTTCTCGTCTTTGTCTCAACATTGAGTAAAAATGTAACATTATTAAAGTGTGCAACATTTGTAAGTATTGTTCAAAACCTTTTGATTTTCATTTGTTAAGTATTTCAGCCAATATGGTGGTCGTTGAAGTGATCTATTGCAAGTCCTTAGATTGATAGATTCAGGGTTTGCATTCAGGTTCATTTGTTGCTGCGTTACTTACTTAAAGGTCTGGGGAGTTAAACTCTATTATAACTGGAAGCATTTTACTGGATTTACTGTCTTACTTCTGTATTTTTATGCTTGAGTATTTCTGCGTTTCGTTGCATTTAATGCCTCTTTGTGCAAACCCCGATTTTATATTAGTCACTCTGGAAGCTCAATTGTCTCTATTTCACTCTGCAAGTCTCTTTTTTTGTATTTGCATACAAACTGTATTCGAAGGAGCAAAACTGTTGCTTTACAACATCGTTGGACTAAAAATGCTTAAATAAACCTAGGTTAAATATTCAATGATGATGACAAATGATTGGGGAATCGTGATGGGAATACTCTGAGGAATGCTGGACAGATAAATACACCGAATTCACGACATGGAAATCTCTCTTAGGCGTTGTGTGAGCTGAACGGCTCCTTGGTGATGGGCGTCATCTCCGTGGCCTGCATTCGCTCTTCCACCGCCTGGCGCTCGATAGGCTCCTCGCCCAACAGCTTGGCCAGGTTGCTCTCCTTCCAGCGCCCATTGTGCCCGTTGATGGTGCGATCCTCACACACGCACAGAAACAGCGTGTCCACGACGATCTGAATCCCAAAAGAGCATTAGATATCCTTTTCAGAGCCACAAATCAGTAAAAAAAAAAAACTCACCTCGTAGAGCGACAGCACGACATGGGCGATGAAGAAAGCAAATACTGCGATAAAGATGACCGGCGCTACGTAGAAACTCACTTCGGAACTGTCCTTCAGGATGAGAATTGCCACCAGAGCGCACACTCCAGCCACAGCGAGTTTTCCTAGAAAGAGTATAAAGTCCCCGATTCCGTTGATTGTGGCCACTTGAAGAGCATTGGACATCATGGCATTCCACGCGATTCCAGCTGCCGGACAGAAGTTGATCCTCTCAATGGCAATGACGGTGTAAGCGTTGTGATTCAGGTATCTGATAAACTTCTCCAGGCCCCAGAAGCAGCACACGCAGCACTTCACGCAGCACGCGGCGCACTGAGATCCGTCGTCCTGACCGCGCTTCAGTTTCGCGTAGAGATATGTGAGGATGAGGCGCGGAATCTTGAAGATGGTGATGAGGAAAGCACCTTTCGCCACTGATCCCATGTGGTACTTCACCAACTTGCTCATGGCCACCAACACGGGGCTCTCCTTGTGTTTGCCGAAATACCAGAACGCCACAGCGCCGGCCAGCGTGAGCTGCTGGCATGCGAAGATGAATTCACTGGTCCAAATCAGTCCGATCAAATACAGCCAAAGCATCCTCTTCAACCAGTCGGCGTCCAAATACTCGACCACCTTCAAAGCTGCAAATAAGGAAATTATTGGACATTCCACGCAATTTTCCACTATATTCACGCACATTTGAAGTCTGGAGATGTATGGTTCTTCTCCACACTCGCCACGCCGCTCTCATTGTGCGAAATGAGTTGAGCAAAGGGCAGCAGAGAGTTCTTTCCCGGGTAGTTCGCCGTGGCCAGGCAAATCACCACGAGCACCCAGAAGGCCAGGAAGATACTGAGTGCCAGGAAGGCCAGCAGAGGCGGCCCGGCGAGTCCCGGCAATGACAGCATGCACTTGCCAGCCTCCTCAAAGAGCGCTGACAATCCGCCCAGTTGCGTGCGCATGAAGTAGATGACCATGATGAGGAAGATCATGACGAGTGTGGCGATGATGGCGAGGGAGTAAATGGCAGTTTCGTTGCGCAGTAGCTCCTCGAGGAGGGAATACTTGGTCTCCACCTCGTGCTTGTGCTTGATGCTATAATAAGTCCACCACAGAATGGCCGTGAGCGCGATGCTGGACAGCGCGACAAACAGGCAAATGATCCATGAGACGATCTTCGTGAGCCAGTGCAACATTGCAACCATAACGATGGATAGAACTGCGGAGAAATAAATATTTAGGTACTGCAATTAGTGTAAGATCTGGGAAAACAAATAGTTTCTATCCACGATTATCATTAAACTCTGGTTTTCATCAGATTCGCCATGAAATTTGAAATTTAGTAATTCCTTAAAGCAATTTCATAACATTAAAACTGACTATAAAATGAGAAAAAAGCTGATGTTAAAGTGTTGCGAATGTAATTAATATGGTGAACGGAGATAAGAGATTGTGTGTCCTTAATATTTCAAGCATATCAAATCGATAAACAGAGTAATGAACGCCGAAAAGCCATGAATAAATTACACGCCTTTCCGCTCATCAATTGCAAGTCATTCACCCCACCCTGGAATAGACATCCTTCTCAGCACTCTGGCTACGCGACTTTTGCACAGAATGCGCGCGGTTTTTCCCGCACGCGATGGAAGAATGTTCTGGGCGTGGGAGGAAATTGCCCCAAAAGTGAGTCAATGCGTGAAGGAATGCGCGACTCACCCAGCGCCAGGATGCAGATCATCACGATGAGTGGCCAGGTGGTGTAGAGGTCGCTGAGCAGCTGCTGCGCGGTGCCCCAGGAATTGAGCAGGTCGTAGGCGTCGCGCACTTGCTTCCCGGGCGCATTCTTGCCCGTGGGCACGCAGCGATGCAGTACGGGCGTGGTCTCGAAGACGGGTAGCGGCGGACAGGGACCCAGAAGGTGGTTGTACTGCGCCTCGCGTGGTTCCGGCTGTAGCAGCAGGGACATGTTGAAGTCGTAGCGGCACAGACTGTTGCCGCGCCGCTGGTGCTCTTCCCAGAGATCGTTCTTGGAGCCGATTTCGCGCGCCGGACACTTGTTCACGCATATCTTGAGCGTCTGGCGCAGCTCTCGCATGTCCAGGAAGAAGACGTACGGCTTGTCGGCCGTGTTCATGCCCGACAGTGGAATCTCGCTGAACTTCTCGTTGTTCCGCACGCCACAGGTGTTCCCAAAGGAGTCGTAGCCATTGATGAGGCGGATGGGATTGCCGTAGACGAAGGAGAACACCGCAACGATGATCTGCAAGTGACGCAATCGCAAATTCCGTGCTAATTATTCGCATTCTCCGCAATTAACGACCGCACCGGAAAGGAGTGGCTCACCATGAGAATCCAGAAGAAGACGTAGATGCACAGCCAGCAGACATCAGTGCAGCCGCGGTCCGCCGTGGGCTCGTGCCCAGGGCTCGATTTACTCGAGAAGCAACCCATCTTCGCACCCACAACACTTTTGCACACCACTTAGAGCTGGAAAGGGGCGCTTTTTGCGACTTTTTCACGCCTAAAATTCACTTTGTTTGAGCTTAGAACGTTGTTTATGTGCGACCGGGTCGCGAATGGTCGACTCTTTGCCGAAGATTTGACGCGACGCCGCAGCGCCAGAGCTCTCTGGCGACTGGGATAAGAACTGCTTTTCAAAAATTAACTGCGAGCTGGGAACATTAATGTTTTTTATGAGCGTCGTAATTAAACACCATTTGATATAAACAAATAAAGTACATATCACTTCATAATAATCCGCTATTTTTCAGAGTCTTTGCAAATTCTTTTCGAAAGAAACTGACCGTTGAAAGCTTGAAAGAGCCATAATTAATTTTCGAGAAATTTGATTTGTTTTGTAATTATGAAATGTGTCTTAATCCCAGGATTACCATGAGCGAGAGAAACGAAAAAATGAGTCAGAACGGTGCCGTAAAGCAATCAAGATTATAGAGATAAACAGATGAGTGAGATTCTTAGGCAATAGTTTTATTTAACATTTGGATTTGCAATATAAATAGGCGAATACAAAGGTAAGAGATATGACTAAGGAATCTTTGTTACAAAGTTTATGAGATAATAAAGTCTATAGATGCGAAGACATGCTCAGAGGCAGTACACGAAGCTCCAATAGAAGATATTGAAGACGAGAAATGCACAGGGGAAGAGGAAGCGCGATCGCCTGTCGATCCACATGGCGATCTCCTGGGGCGTCATCGTGGTCCAGCCGGTGTTCTGGGGCTGCGGCGACGGCATAGCACTGTTGCCCTGGAGAGTCGACGAGGAGTCCGGCTCCACATTGATCACCGTGCCGTTGTCCTGAGTGAGATCATCGCAGCTCTGCGTGGTGATGATGGGCAAATTGATCTTGTTGTTGGAGAAGCTCTGAAAAGAGGCAGAAAGAATCTGAGCACTTGCCAGCTTTCGTGGGAGTTGAGGCTACTTACATGCACCGTGAGATAATTGTTGTACGACGGGGCGGCAGTTGTGATGCTCTGCGCGTCCAGGCTGGAGCAGGAGTGCGACTTCTGTAGGTTCCCACCAATCTCCTTGCGCTGCGGACGCGGCGTGAGCGTGGACTTGAGAATGTACTTGCTATTGACCTTCTTCAGCTCCACGTTCCTTTTCCTGCGCCAGATCGTGTTCACAAAGGCGAACTCCACGAGGGAACCGAAGATGAAACCCGTGCACGCCAGGAACCACACCTCGGACGCTTTGATGTAGCTCACCTTGGGCAGTGTCTTGCCCTGGGCGGACGCTAGCGTGATGAAGGTGAGCATGGTGCTGGTACCTAGCATAATGCGCGGCGGCGACTGATCGGCCTGCAGCCAGAACGACACCCACGAGATCGCCACGATCATCATCGAGGGGATGAAGTAGTCCATCAGGTAGAAGCCCATCTCGCGCGCCAAGTGTATCGTGAAGGTCAGGGAGCTGTAGTTGCCGGCTGTCGGAAGGAATCATCGTTAGAGGAGCGGTGTTTGGCTTTGTGGATTAACTCACCAAAGGCTCCGTGCCGCAAATCACTCAAGTCAGCGTTGATCATCGTTTCGTTTGTCCACATGTTCAGCAACACGTACTCGGTGAGATGGAGTTCAGGTGCCAGAGTCACTGGGGATTTCTGTTCCCAGTGCAGAACCAGTTCCGAGGTGTTGTACATCCCTAGCAAAAAATGAGACATTTGGCAAACAAACACTTTGGAATGTGGTTCAATTTCACGTACAACTCTCGAGGATCATTTGGCAATGTTGCTCGTCGAAGGGGAACTTCTGCAGATTCATCCAGCAATAGAGCTGCGCCTGGATTCTCGTCGAGACAATCACCGTTCCGTCCGGCGAGATGGAGGTCAAGATGTCCTTCTCGTTGGTTCCTAGGATGCTGGAGGAGCGCTCGTTGGCCAGGAAGACGTGCGGCACCCACAGAGATTGCCTCAGTGAAGCCTCACCCATGATGGATTCGTGACGATTCGGCGCCACTTCCCGGAACACCAGGCGGGGATCCACGTAGCGCATTTGAAGCAGGACGTGGATCTTGAACTGCAGATCGTGCGCCTCGAGGTTCTGGATGAAGTAGATGTAGGCGCGAGCGAAGACGTCCACGGGCAGACGCGTATTGTTTTCGCCATAGTGAATGGGCCTCTCGAGGCGATCGTAGCTGAAAAGATCAAGAGAAGCACGTGATTTGGTGCGATCTTGAGGATTAGTCAGCTGAAATGCGCTTCCTGGGCCGCATTACATCACTCTCTCGCGCCAAAACTCACCGGCAACCGTGGGTCAGTGTCTTGAGCAGTTGCGTCTGCGAGAGTTCATCCGCATTCTCCAGGGAAGGACAGTCAGGCTCTGAGCTGAAAATATTCCACACATCAGATGAGACTTTTTGGCAATTTACATCGCGCATTACAGCACGACTTCTGGGTCAACAGCACGGCCAGAGGTCATTTTCACTCTCACTGGCCTGTTTTTCGGCTCTTGGTGAAGATCAACAACTCAAGACAACATCTTTTCCGCGCCCAAAGACGCCGGAGTGAATTTACACTTTTATTTTCGCGAATTGTGATCTTGGAAGTGTTTTGAATCAATATTGCCTCAAATATGCGCCTCAAGAGCGATCTTCAGGGAGTGTTTGCAGAAATGTGGGAATTGTTGCTCTCTGCAGAATGTGAGGAATTTAGGGGTCACTTGAAATTATCCACGAATTAAAGGGCCCACGATTAATGAGAAGACGTGATCGCGGTGCAGAATTAAAAGAAGTCAAGTTTTGCCACAATTTATTGTCGTGCGACGTGATGGTTTTGGACGACGCTATTGAAAGTGAATTTATTAAATTGCATGACAAAAGTTCCATTTATTTATTCTGAATCGAAAATGTGTTCTTATTCACAACTTTATTACTCCGTATTGAACTCAGAATCTTCCCAATACTCTTTTGACCACAATTGGATTTTGAAATGCCAGAGTTTCATTGCTCATAGATATTAAGTTATGCACTTTTCATAAATAAACGAGTTAAGAAGCGTTAAATCGATTGTTAAACCAATCTTTTCAACTTTCTTTCTTTTCAGCAGAAAGTTAAGGAACTTATTGAATTTATAGAGATGCTCTGATTGAATGAAATAAAGCTATATTTTGGATCCTTTTGATTACAGTTCTTGGTACATTCTATAGAGCAATTATAATCCCAAGAAATTTCTCAACCACGATTATTCTTCCAGCGGTTTATTCTCTCACACAGCAAATTGTCGTCCACTATTTAAAATACTCCTTTGCCTATAACTGAAGTTTATGATAAGACTTTTTGCGCTGTGCAAAAGCTAATAAATGCATAAGCTTTTAATTGCACTCATTAACAAAAGACCTTTTGTGCAGCACTTCTGATGCCTCTTATTTCCTGACTGTGAAACTACATTTTCTTCTCGGTTCAACAATACATGCGCCGTTTTTATGGTTGCGTGAAAATTAAATTTGATCGGATTTTTTCTCCTCCATTTCCATCCAATATTTACTTAGCCGGCTCTTCGCGCAAAGACAAGAAAAACAGCCTCATCTCGAGTGCGCAATTTTTATTTTTTACCCTTTTGTATCTCTTGTGTTTGCTTACCAACAATTTAGTGTTTAAGATAACTGGTTCGGGGAATAAATTGAATTTCTGGTATTTCATCACCTGGACACGTGCCTGGAAGCTCCAGCTGAGCAGCAAATCTGCCAGCGCAATTGGCAATGGTGAGGAAATTAAAATGGGAAAATGTGCTCCCATCGCGTCTGCAATAGACGCAGACACTCGCATTGGGTCTTAATTCCTTCCGGATACGCCGATCAATTGGCGTGATCATGTGACCGCGGGCATGATCAATACCGAGCCGCGCACACATGGTTGACATGCGGGCAAAAAGTGAAAGAAATTAGTTGATCTTGAGGACGGTGCTCTGGTGGCATTTTGAAAATTACACTCGATCGCGCAAGTGTGGAAATTGGCATTTTTCGCACACACCGTTTTTCAGATTCCTGTCTTGGGTGAAGCCCATGTGAAAACCGTCTCGCGATCGGCCACAAAAGTGAGGTAAATTGTGTGTAAAAAGGAAAAAAAAGATTGAGTAGATGAAAAAATACCACCTCAACCAATATCAATGTCAGAGTCGTTCAGCATTGCGCACGATAAATAATATTGTGCTTTTTATAACACACCGCATCTCAGCCCGCGCCAACCTCTTGGCGGATCCTCGGTGAATAATGCATTTTGTGCAGTGCATTGAGACACAATTTCAGGTCCAATTTTGCTAATTACTGCGCGCGCGACTCTCATTTGTATGCGGCAATCGCGGGACTGATAAGCGTCCTCCTGGAGATCACACAGCAATTTCAATACCAGCATTTCGCACGGGAAGCGCAGCCCATGATTGGGGTGATCGTGCATTGGGAATAAATTTTCCCCCATCAATTTTCCGCCGTCAAAGATGAGAATGACCTTTTTTCCAACTGCGATCACTCTCACACTCTGCGCCACATTTATCTTGACACGCATTCGCGTATTTGTGGCGTCCTCAAAACGTTTGCAATTCGGCCTAAACACTGGAATTCTAATTAGCCTCCTTATCGAGAGTGAGAGTTTGTGAAAGTGGGTGGAATTCTGGTTGCGAGGAAGTTCACTTGTGTATGTAAATTCGCTGCCGATCGATCGTTGTGCAATGCAGATCGGCATGCAGTGCGATTTGCATAGAAAAATTGTCAATTAATTGATATGAACGGAAAAATACCCATTACCAGGTGGAAAACACATGGCAAGAGCATTCTCTGTGGTCTGATTCATTGTGGATTTGCATCCATCTGAAAAGTAGTGCGACAAGAGATGGGAAAAACCGCCTCCGTCGCAGGGAATTCAAATAAAGCAGGTTGTGATCCGAAGTTATGCGGAAAATTAGCAAGACTTGCTTGATTATCTCCAGAATCAATTTTGATAGTCCATCTATATTTAACCACCCAATGAAACTTGTTGTTTTGACTACAAATCCACAATATTTATGTATCAACATATTAAATTGTATCATATCCATGTTTGTCTTCTCTTACACGCATCTTAAATGAATTAGAGCTGGACGAAAAGACCTGAGATTGCACAAAAAACCACAATCACACATCTGAGCACTAGAGAGAACATAATCGTGAAAAGGAATTATGAAATTTATATATTTTGATCAATTTTGGCATAGTGAAAGTGCGAAAAGCTTTCTGTAACAATGCAATTAATAATCGTATAGATTAAAAGAAAATCAAGCAAATCAATGCCATCATAATTGCTTAAGATTTTCAACTAAAGAATATTATTCAGTGGAAATGTTTCCCTGGTCGAGAAGCAATCAATTACTGGCTGTTTTTCAGTCTAGCACTCCTCAGAGAAAGGAAGTCAATCAATTAACTCTATCCACTGCCTCACCTTATCACGATGGGGCCTCTTTTGCGGGGCGCCGTGTGGTGCATCTGGGCGATGTTGGCGTTCACGGTGGCCGGCGGGATGAGCAGCTCCTGCTCGTTGACGGCCGGCGTGGTGGTGGTGGACGGCGGAGCGGCGGTTGTGGATCTGAACTCCTCCACCAACTCCGACAGGCTGCTGTTGATGATCTCCGCGGCCGTGGCATTGCGCTCACTGATCTCGTGCAGCAGATTCACGTCAATCTCACTGGAGTTACACAATATCACACACAGTCCGATCGCGAGGAGCAACACAAGGATGATTCTTTCCATTCTCTCGCGCGAAAAAGTCCTTCACAGCTTCACTGGATGCGCGCGCTTGATCTCGCCACGGCGGAGGCACACGGACAACTAAGAACGATCCGGCGGGCGACTCACAACATATTGACTGCAGATCTCGTGCGATTTTCCCAACACACCGCGCGATCCCACCACTTTAGGCCATTTCTCACCTCCTCAGTCGTCGCGGAGATCGCGCGAAAAGCCCACCTTTAGAACGCGCCAGCGAAGGCGCTCTGTGTGTATAAGTGTTGCGCGCCTACCAATATTGATCCAGCCACTGTCGCCAAAGAAAGTTTGCTGATAAGCACACATATTTGCGATTCGTGCCAAAAGACAAACAGCCACTCGAAAATAAATTTAAATTTATTACTAATTTCAGTATAATGAAAAAATGATAAAATTCTCATTACCTTTGTATCCGTGCTTTTCCTCGGCCAATTGAGTAAATAGCACGAAGAAGCAATTAGCAGACGAGATGGAGGATGATAACACGGCGTCTCCTGAGCCAGGCTAGGGCAATATTTAATTAAATTTTGTCTTAAAATAGTTACCAATGTTGATCTCTTTGTGACCTCATAGCAACCTGACGATAGAATTCAGCGAAAAAAGAACTTATTATTGGCGATGGTGACAAAAAAACGCACTCACATGTTCACTCCAAGTGAAGTCACTCCGGAAAGAATTGGAAAATTGAGTGTGATGCACAATAAATCGATATTTTTATTCACTTATATGAAGTGATTGGCAATTTCAGGTGAATTTTATGTCTTTTTCACTCTTTGTGTTTATTTACACTGTTCTCAGAAAGAAATGTCGTGAGTCTTCTGACAAATAAAGTTCGATAAGACACGGTAGTTTTATCAAAATTGCGTCTTTGGCGTTAGAAAACAATTTCCAAGCTTTAGTGGTTGAAAATGGGCGGGCCATTGAAGTGGGCAGAGCTTCAAATATACGTCCTTTCACCAGGAAAAGATATTCTTTTCCGATGATATCATGCATATTGTGGCAATGTCGCAGCACTGATTTAGTAAATGAGACAAATACCCAAAGCTTAAATGGGTTATTAAAACGTGTTTCATCCGATTGTGCAATTTTCACGTGGTTGTGAAGCAATATCTCTACTCTGATTAAATATTGACTGAAGAAGCCAAACCAGCAGAAGATGTTGATACATCGCAGAACCTCCTGATAAGCACCAAAGCGTGCTATCTAAGATGAAAAAAGACCGCAAAGAGGGCACATATTTGTCTGCGGAAGTGCCGGAAAGATTGCCAGAGGAAAACAGCACGGATTGGACAGTTTTTTGCATGTTTATTTGATTTTTCGTCTCATTAAAAGGCACCTTAAATATTTGAACAAATCCTCATCTCATTTTAACTAATTGATATAAAATACAAATAAGAGCAAATAGTTAAGAAACACACATTCTCTCTCTCTCTCTCTTTTCGTTAAACTTACAAGACTGCCGAAAAATCGAAGGCTTCAGGCGAGCAGTCTCAAGGTTGGCGCGAAAAAGGGTTTCATTTATTTATGTTTATGAGAAATGAAAATATAAACATTAACATAAGGCAATATTTAATACAAAAATTAGTGATTTATGGAGGAAAATCTCAACATGATAATTCTTCATAATTTCCAGTGATATATTAACTCTTAATTCTCCTTCTCTCCTTGATAAGTTACAACTTAATACAATCTACTGAATTGTCACCTTGGCTAAATTGTAACACTACGCAGTTCTACACTGTTTCTCTCCCTCTCTCTCTCCCTTTCTCTTTCCTGCTCTACACTTATTAGAGAATTGATATTTAATTTGGCAAAAATGTTCTGCAATTGCTTAACAACCACCATATCTCGCTGAAATTATGTACAAAATTGCAGTTCCGCCTTGGATGCAGCAATAAAATGAAGAGAACTTACTTCGTTAATTGATACCTTATCGTGTAAAAAAAGTGACAACTAGTTAAATATTATTGTTACTCCACAATTAGCATACACAATCTACTTAATTGTTCAACTTGACACTCTATAAATATTGTTTTTGAAACCTTATCAGCATCCACTCACAAAATTTCTCTATTCCTTTCTCTCTTTCTCTTTACTGATCAAGATCACAAAATATTCATTCACAAGAAGTTACAATGATAATATTGAGAAGAAATTCGAAACTCTTGCTTTACTCTCCATTTTTAGGATTGAATCTCAGGCAAGATGCACAAAATTGCCAACAATAATCCATGTAAATATTGTCTACTTTTAACATTATCTCTCATGCATTCCACTAAATAACTTCGTAAATACACGTTTTGGATGCGCATGCGCGGCTCAACACCAATCGGCCATGTAGGTGAAGTCCTTAAAGTACATTTGCTCATCTTCAGTCAGTGGACGAGGCTCCTTTGGTGGTGTCAATTGAGGCTTCTCCGATGTAAATTCCTCGTCAAAGTTGGACACATCCTCCAAGTGGCGCTAAAGACAGGCAGAAAGAAACAATTGTCAAGCCAAGAGCATCTTTGCCATACAATTCTTGTTCTTGATACTCACAATTGTCGGGACAAACGGTGGTTTCACTTTTCTCATGAGCAAATCATCCCAAGCAATTTGCCGGAAGAAAGCTTGCTTCTTCACATCCTCAGCATCACGCTCGGACGAGCCCAGACGTCGTTCGGGATTCTTTCTCAGCAACTGCAAGTAGCAAATGCATTAGCACGAATTTTCAAATCCAATTGCTCTCTCTCTCTCTCTACTCACTCTTCGCATTATTGCTATGGCCTCGAGGGACAGGAATCGCGGATATCTCACTTCGTCATTGACAATTGAGTCAAACACCTCCTCCTCATCATCCCCGGGAAAAGGCGATTCACCCACGAGCATCTCGAAGATGAGCACACCCAGTCCCCACCAGTCCACGGCGCGCGTGTACGAAGTCTCCGTGAGAACTTCGGGCGCCAGGAATTCCGGTGTCCCACAGAAAGTCCCCGTGCGATCGCCGAAACCCATGCCTTCCTTGCACAAGCCGAAATCAGCAATCTTCACATATCCTGCAAAGGAGAAATGTGAGAAAAGACCTTCACTTGCATAACAACACTTAACTCACCTTCAGTGTCCAGTAGCAAATTATCCAACTTCAAATCTCTGTAGATAATCTTGCTCTCGTGCAAATACTGCAATCCCAGAACCACACACGAGGCATAAAATACTGCCCGCGGCTCTGAGAACACATCCGTGTGGATGTGCATCATGAGATCCCCACCGGCTGCGTACTCCATCACGAAGCACACGTGCTGCTCCGTCTGGAAGCACGCGAACAGGTTGACGAGGAAAGGATGGCGCATGGCGTTGGCCACCTCGAAAATGCGTTTCTCACTGAGCAGCGACTCCACCTCGTCGCGCGAGATGATGTCACCCTTCTTGAGCGCCTTGATGGCAAAATACTCGCCCGTGTTGCGATACTGCGACAGGATCACCTTGCCGAAGTGTCCCCTGCCCAGCACGCTGAGCAACTTGAAGCTGTCAATGCTGAGTCCGCCGCTCTGCGACTGCCGCCTGGACTCATACGCGCTGTCGCGGTACTGCAGCTGTCCGCGCACGGGGCGTCGCGACGCCGGAGTCGGTGGGCCGTCACCGATGAACTCATTCGGTGGCGGAATCACGTGCCCTTGAGCGGGTGCGCGCGACACTTGAGCAACTGGCGGCGCGGGCGGCGGTTGAGTGGGCGGCGGATGATACTTAGGCATCGCCTGATGGAAGATCGGCTGTGCCATTGACGCTCCAGCGAACTGTGGATTGTTGTTCATCGCCAAATTCTCCATCGGCTGAATTATCTGTGAAAAATTTTAGTGCAAACGATTAGAAAAAAAAAAACTGTACAGCAAAAATCATTCTAAATCGATCGTTAAAATCCACACCATAAATTAATCTTAAATGCCTGAAATATGGACGCTATTTAATGCATAATTTAGTATCGCACAATCACAGACACACATCGTATTAGGAAGCTGATAAGATGTTGTTACAATTTGGAATTCTGGCCAAAAAGCAGCGTGATGGCTGGACAAGAGAGATAGAATAGACAGCTTGCAATTAGACATGCTGAGGATGACTTGTTAGCAGGCGATACTTTGTCACAAATGCAACTTCTCTGACCTCGATGCAATCGTCATCGGGAAAGTCAACAATTTGCAACTGACTGGGCGCCGGCGACGGTGGCATTTCGACAATGGGACTGGGCGTGGGCACGCCGAAGTGCGTACCGCCGCCGCCCATCAGCACAACGGGCGGCATCGCCAGCACTGGACGGAAAAGCTCACGCGCCAGAGCCGATGATGATGATGTGGTCTCCTCGGCCACGTGCTGTTGCTGTGACGTCTCCGGCCTCTGCTGGTGCTCCACATGTGGCAGCTGCTGCTGATCGACATGTTGTAGAAAATCAAATTCTTGCAGTGCATTCTGTAACTAACGCCCAGAGAAACATTCCATAGATGCATCAGACAGGACTCTATCACGCACACTTCTACACTCTGTCTCTATCTCTCAAGAGCCATAATTAAATTACTTTTCAATCAACAGGAAAAAGGCGTGCAAAAGAATCCCCTTATCTTGTAAAGGATCATTGGATTCACCAAATCACACTCTCTCTCCTGTACACAATATATACAGCAGGCAAGGCATCTAAACACACTCCTTGTCTCACCTCTTTGTCCATCTTGAGGGTGGTGGGCGGCGTCGTGGGCGTAGATGGGGTGGATTTTATCCGCTGGAAGGACGTTAGGATCGGCGGCGGTTGCTGTGGACGTGGCGGCGGCATCGAGATGGTCGCATTGTTGTTCTGATTCTTCTCATTCACCACAGCGGCGGCTTCTTGTCCCAGAATAGCCATTCCCTGAATGCCTGCAACAGCGCAAAAAATATCATTAGCAAAGGTGTGGCTGCAAAATCACCGATCAATTCGCGCGCGCTCACCAAGAGGTCTGGCACCACTCAGCCCAACGATATTCACGTCCGGATTGTCACCGGGCGTCTCCACGGGATCATTCTCCGTGATTGATGTGTCGAAGACGAGCTGCGTGGGCTGTGGTCCGCTACCACTCTCCTGGCCACTGGCAGTCGGCGTGGCGGGCTGTGGCGTCTGCGGAATCGACGGTGTCTTGCCCACATTCTTCAGCAATCTGCCCCACGTGGCCACATTGATGTTCATCTGCTTGGCGCGTGGAATATTCTTCACCTGTTGCTTATTGAAGATCATGCGCTGCCTCTGCAGTTTGGGCTTCCGCGAGATCATGGGATTGAGGAATTTAATCTCGGCAAACAGCAATCCCTGCGGCTCCAGCTGCAGCGCCATACCATGACGGATGTCATCGATAAACTCCTCAAGGCGCAGGAACTTGACAGCACACAGTGATCGCCAGTCGCGCCAATAAATACCAATTTCCAGCTCACGCGATCTGTCTAGGTCGATGGAGAAGCGCTGATCCCAAGCCTGCTGCGAGCAGGGCTTCCACGATGTCTGACCCACTGTGATGTTGTCCAGCTTGATAATCGCCATGATCTCCGATGACGTTTCATCCTTGACACTGTAGCTCTTGGAGGAACTCCTGCTCGTCACACCCTTCACGAAACTCCTCAAATCACCCGTGGGACTGGACGTGGCGTCCTTGTCCCGACGCGATCTGCCCGGCACCTCCTCCAGCAGATCCTGACACCCCATCAGCCTCACCTCCAACTTCCCCGTCACGGCAGCACACCGGCTCAGTGACGAGTGCGACTGCACGGGCTTCCCCTCGGATCCGCCGCGGAAGGGCTGCAGCGATGTGTACGTCACAGGCACCGGACTCGACGCCTGCACGCTCTGCAGCTCGCGCTTCAGCTGCTTCGCCGCCGGCGAATCCGGTGGCAATTCGTTCCGGCGCAACTCCAACGCCTTCCGCAGCAGATCCAGCTTTCGTGATGACTCTGATAGTCGAGATTGTGCCTGAAATATATCGATAAGTTACACGCGTTAGTTTTTGCACGAATATCTTATCTTATCTAACGCGCACGATTCAGACAGTTCAATTTCCCCGGCGTTTTATGACATAAGCAAGAGAAGATGATTCTAAAAATATATTTCTGTCAATTTATATCAGATGCGCGCGATAACATTGAGAGTTAACAATCTGGTGATAAATGGAATTTCTGTGCTATTGTGGGAAGAAGTTACACATTGAGAGAAACATTGACAACAACTTATTAATTAAATGCACATTTATATGTAATTCTTTCTGGTGCGGAAGCCCTCAAACGTCAACGGCATTTCCGAGATGGAACTCGATCTCCCTCTGCCTCTGTCCCTCTCCGCCATCCAGCGTCGGCAGTGCTCACACTGGCACTCGGGATTCTTCGCTGGACCCACGTGATGGCCAGGCTTCTTCAGAGCGCCCACTACAGTGCCGAACTTCCTCGCCTTGGCCAGATACTCGTGCGTGTAACCGGATAAGTGGCTCACGAGCGAAGAGGAAGCACTCTCAGAGTCACGATTGAAGTTAAGGAACATCGGTGGCTTCTTCAGCGCCACTCCCGGCCAGATATCTCTCGGCTCTGACACCTCCCTTCGAGGATCCTCCACAGTCTTCACCGTCGACGCCGGACTGGGCTCTTTAATGGACATTCCTAATCCCACCATAACATTGGGCATCAGCGTCTTGGCCACCAGCGGCGGGTTGTGCTGAAATCCCTTGTCAGATTCTGTGATATTCCCCGAATGCTCGGATGAGTCTGTCTCCAGAACGCCCAGAACCATCTTCATCTTGTCATCCTTCTCCCGCTGCCGCATAAACTCGCTCATCCTCTGCTGTTGCATGAGAAACTTCCGCTCCGCCTGAGGCGAATTCCACACTTTGTCCGTCGATGTGCTCTTCTTCTGCAGAAACTCCTCCATCTGTCTGATCCTGTTGCGATCATTCGCATTATCATACTCAAAACTGTCTGAAGATTGCGCCACTGAAGACGCATGCGGCATGTGCGTCAATCCACCGACTTCGCCGCACTCCGATTCCTTCCACGACGTCTCCATGATGTCCTCAAACAAAGCAGACGTGGACGCCTGAGCACTGGAGATGCTGCTCACGGTCATGTCGCGGAATGTGGAGTAGGATGAATTGGGATAATTCGAACTTAGACAATCATCACTCGTGTCCCTCAGAATTCGCTGCCTCAGTGACATTCTACTACTCCCATTATTGCTGCCCAAATGCTTGTCGAACAGCATTTGCTTCGACTCATTAATCTCATCCGCTACGCTGGATTTGCTCGACAATTGCCTGAGATTCTCTCGACTCAGCGATGCCAAATTGGACTTCATTCGACTTCCCGTTGAGTCTGCAATAAAACCCTCAATCTTTACTCAACTTCACCGCCTCTAATCCTATCATCGAATATTCACCTAAACCCGGCCGATTCCCACCCATTCGCCGTGGCATCTCAAATTTGCCCGCTCTCTTGTGCATCAGCCTCATTTGTTGTGACTCAAACACCGTCTGTGGCGTGGAATTTGACTCGACATCCTCCACATGATCATGACTCGAAGAGCGCGATGAGGAAGATGCACTGGAATTCTCCTCTCCATCTGACGCCGTGCAGTACACGTCGATGTGCACAGTTCTCGGTGGCTTCTTGGCACTGCCACCCCTCTTGCTGGACGTGGGCGATGTGAAAGAGGGTGAGAATCGATTCAGTGGTGAACGTGACACGCCGTATGGGGACTATAAATAGCAAAATTCATCAAATGAGCAATCATTTTGCGGTTGATTGAATCTTTTTTCGAAGGTAATATCGCAATTCTGGAGGCTCCCAATCGCACCATTTCCGGAAACAATTCCCCCATTGTTTATTCTTGCGGTTAGATATTGTGCCGCATTGATTAGATATTTAATGAGTGTAAACATATCATAAAAGAGACATATTGTTATCTTCCCAAGTTCTTCACAAACTAGCCGCGAAATATTCACATGACAGAATATTGCTTTAGTGTCAATCATCGGGACACATATTAATTCGAAAGTGCACAATTGAGAGCCCCCAGAATGATGACGAAAAAAAGAACTGGAAACAGGTTACCGAATTAACTTTCCCTTCGTCAACAGGTGTCTTTGGTGGCGAGAGCATGGATTCCGTCTTCCTGCGATATTCATACGTTTTGCCTCTCTTCTCCGTCAGCGATGACTTCCTCTGCACTCCTCTGTCAATGTACATTTCACAGTCACTCGGCGTTGTCTGCGAAAATGCGTCTCTCAGTGGAATAAGTCTGGCCGATGACTGAATTGAGGATCCCTGGACAGAAGAGAGAGAGAGAGACATCACAGAGCGCCAATCAAACACCGTCTTGAGAGGAATTTCATGAATCGCTCATCACGCACCTGATCCCGTGCCAGAAGAACACCGGCTGTGTGACTTTTCGTATCTGGGTCATACTTATTTTGAGCATTGGTAGGCAATAAATCCGCACAGGCGGATAGTACAATGCTGCATGTGCTCTTGCATTGTGGCATCTTCTCCTGCCCGTCAGCCTCCTGGAAGAGATCACATGTCATAGTCCCAAGATGTCAAGTCATCAGACATTCTTTCTCTTCATTCTTACTTGTCGATTCGCTGATGATGATGATGTAAAGGAGACATTCCCCTTGCTGACACCATTCGTCTCGAGAGCATCTTTCACATCATCTGAGCTCCATTTGTAAACAACAGTCACGGGCTTTGGCTCGCCATCCTCAACAGACGTCCCATCGCCAGGCTGACTGATTGTGAGCTGTGCATGAACTGTCCACTCTGCCGTAATTTCATTCGTCTTGCCACTCATCTCGTTGTCGTTTTCGTCATCATCCTCATACCATCATAATCACCATCGTCGGACAATTATTATGGTCGGAAAATCTCACTATCACACACTTCCACAATTGCGAATGAGGACACACAGCTGCTTCTCTCTTTCTACCTCCCAAATCTCACATTATTACTAATAATAACAGACAAACGGAACACATTTCTGGTGCGCGGTGGTTGATCTTCTACAAGCGTAGGAATCTCTGAGAATTTTCAAGGAATTTTCACAATTTCCTCAGTTACATTTCTTCCACACACAGGAAAAACTGATTGATGATTGTCTCCTAAGAATAACTCAGTTGCAATGTTCATCAATTTCTAAAGGTTTTCCACAGAGATCATCTAATTTCACTTCTTATCATTTTCCCTACACTATTTTCTATCACAATTTTTTATAGATCTTTCTTGCTTTCTCTCACAAAAGGCTTTCGGGAGGAGTTTGATGTGCGCCACTCTCTGAGACTGTCTTGCCACTGATGATGACCACACAATTTTCCACCCAAATGAAAATGTCTAACATTCAATTCGCCACCGAGAATCACGGATATTTTTCCGACTCTTATATATCTCTCTCACTTCACACAACACTGCCAATGGGGAATATCGAGCAGGATGACTCGATATTGTCGTGTGATTTTAATTATAGATCACATGGGTGGAAAAGTCTTGCAGGAAAAGTTTCTGTCTGTGTGTATTCGTGAAATTCGTCGCTCACATCCCAAGTTATATATTTAGCTCATACCAGAGAATCCAACACAATTTTTCCCACACACAATCTTCCTCAATCGAAAACGTGTGAAAATGCCTTCTCCGCCATCAATTACATCACACAACACAAAACCTCCTCTCTTGTGCCACTAATCTTCAGCACATCCACATTGCACTCATTTTCCAATTTGAACACGACAAATCGCCCATGGGACCCCATAAGTTTAAAAGGGCAAAAGCCGGCCATTCAAGTGAGCCATAAATATAAACGACTTTACCAGAAGACCATCTTGAGGGCGCGCATTTGTAGGAGGAAACTGCTTTAGGAGACATCACAGTGAATTAACACAGAATACTCTTGAAATTCCCACCAAAATATCCATTTTTCTCCCTATATTATATAAATTTTACACATCTCCCACATGAAACTGATCGTTTTATGTCTTTCCAATATGAATAATAGTCGTATAAGAAGTCACGAAAGACAATATCAAGTTGATGCAAAAGCTCTGACCGAAGACTTAAAATCTCTACTTGCGAATATATCGAAGTCGATTGAAAGCTACGCCCCATCGGAAGCCCCGCCCATAAATAATAGTCTGTTAAGTGGAATAATTTCAAGAATAGACAGAAAAGTATTATTATGTGACAGTGGTGTAGAGAAAAAACCGCAAACACACAATATTTTTACTGTCGCATAAAAAAAAGTTGAAATTTATGAGAGTCACAGTCTTTTGAGATGAAATCACATAACTATATTGCATACTTTTTTTTAGGTTTGCGCTTGCTTACCATTCAATAGATTTTATTAGGAGTGAGAGAAAGAAGTAGAGCATCGTGAAATTGTGTTCTCTCTTTTTATGCAATTAGGAAGTGTCGAGTGTCATATGAAATCACGGTGAAAATGACATGAAATGTGTGATGAAATACTATTGAAATTTTTCATCTCACTGCACAACCATTCTCAGTTGCATATCTCACTCGACACTCTTTCGTTATTTAATATTATTAAATTAAATCAGACCATCTGACTTCCTTTCTCGCTTGCAATTGCGCGATATTCTCATTGGATTGCCGAGCGTGGAAGATTGAACTGCGCTGTCTCGCAATAATTGTAAATGGCAGATTCAGAAAAAGAGTATAAACTCACCTCTTGGAGGGCCTTCTTGTCCGGTACTTTGCTGTTCTGTAGCGTTCTTATCACATTTTTCGCACCATCCACCACCGCCGCCTCAATCCTCAGCCGGTGACGCAACTCCTCGATCCTCTCCTCGAGGGACGTCTCGAGATCACGCGGCCGCACGTCGCCATTCTCCTCCGACACCTGGCTCACGTGCCTGTTCTGGCGCACCTTGAGAATGCGCAGCTTCAGAAACTCAATTTTGGCTTTGGAATCCGCCAGCATCTGCTGCGCCTCCGCCAGCAGCTTCTTGTCACGTCCATGGTGTCCGCCAGAGATTGACTGTATCATATTCTCAGCACCATTCTTCACCTTCATCTCAATATTGAGCTGCTTCTCGAGCGACATGAGCAGTTTGTCATTCGGTGTCATTTCTGGACCACTGCTCGGTGCCATTTCCGATGACGCGAGAATGTCTGCCAAAGTAACAAGAGAAGAGACATCCAATTAACCACAATTGCACAGACACATACTGAATTTCCTCAGTAAAATACCAATTTTTTCCCACCCACAAATAATTGCACCAGACTTTCAGCTTTACATTGTCAGGGAATTTATTGCAAAATCCATATGGGTATTTTTTTCTCTCTGGGCTCACACAATCCTTGTCAACATTTCAAAATAGGAGTCTATCGATGTTCTGTATTCGCTTTTCCAACGTCAGCCCACGTTTAGAGACAAGCGCGCGAGGAGATAAAATACACTTTTGTGCTGGCGTGCCAAAAAAACACCCAAACTACAAGGTATTCTTCTCTTGATCTTCCTCTCCGCACAACCACGCACATCTCTCTCCCTCCCCCCATGTGTCTGCCTCAAAGCCGGAGAATTATGCTACAATGGCCACAATCGTCGAATGGAAACAGATCATAATTGATAGATAAATAAAACATTGGATTTACACCCAAGATTTTCACTGTCAACAATTTTTTTCTCTCCTCACGTTGTCTTCACCTAAGAAAACCTTCGCGAGTAACGCACAAAAAGCCCACTCAACTTGACCATGAATTACTATCAATTTGCCTATACCACAAGAGAGCCAACAGTAGTGAGAGAGCGAGAGAGAGAAGCAAAAACACAGACTAATCAGCTCGAGAGAGTAGACAAAATTTCTGTCTTATCATCTTGATTCGCACAAAATTATCTCTTTTATATCTTCCTCAAAACCCACCCTCAATACCACTCATCAACCCATGATTGCCCACAACCATATTGAAAATGAGAAACGAGCAGCAATATCATCACTTTATAGGTAAAGAGAGGAACTGCCATGAAAGCACAAAATAATAAATTAACATTCACGTTTGATTGTACTACGCGAGCAATTTGGATGCGTGTGAATTGTGGGCCGTCAATCAATTTAATTCGCAAGCTTCAGTCTCACCAGAAAAAGCAAATAACCCGTCCATTCATGACCAGAGAACACAGACACACATGAGCAACTATGAATTCCAGGATTGCCACTCCGAAAATCGCATGGCGAAATTGATGAAATATAAATTCAATTCTTTATGCATTTGACAGTGAAATGTAAATTGCCATTTCATGTTTTGCATAAAAACCAATCAATTTTTCATCCATGTTTGCGCCTTGCGAGAATGTAAATTAATTAATTGACCCAGAGAGTATGTTTTTTGTCAAAATCTTCCACTTGCCCACTAAAGTGCAAAATATTCTTCAGTGTGTGACTAACAGAAATTGTCGACTGGCAATGAAAACCATTTGTGGACAAATTAGTCTCACCTCTTTAAATTTCTTAGTGATTAATCACACTAGAAGGCACAATTTTCCTCTTCATTGACACAAAATTCCTCAAGTGTGTACAGAAAGGGTGAAATGATTGAGAACTTGTGGCTTAAGAGATTATATAATTTATCGTCTGATGTAAAGTTGAAATGCGTGTAAAAAATCCACTTCCTATAAGTTAAAAATTACCCAGCCCGAAGCATAAATATTTCTCCAGTGAAATTATTTCAATAAATATCTCTTCCCACGAGAAAAATCACTCGCGAAGCCTCAACCTTGCAGCAGAAGTGCTCTTCTCTCTCTCTCGCACATAAAATGCGTTGTCGTCAGTAGAGCAACACGGCTTTCGGGTGCGAAAATAATAATCATTGAATTAAATAGAAGACAGAATCAGCCGAAATGATTCACTCAATGCTATATTGCGTCAGAGAAGATGGTTTGTGATATTACGAATTTCTCTCCTGAGCAAAGTTTGAGTGTTTGGAGAAGCACAAGTGCGATATCAATTCATAAGAACACGTAGTTTTCACACTCTATGAATTATCTCTCTTCTCTTGCTCTTTGTGTGTGAGAATTATTATCATAATTTCACGCGTATCTTCTGTGAGACGCTCTTCTTTCGACTCACTTCCATTTCACTTCGAGAAGACACTTGAATCCATGCCAAAATGTGTATATTTTTTGCAACTCTTTGTGTGTCCTGATGCTATGAGAAAAATCTTTTGCAATTGCCACTCAGACATAACAGAAATATTTGCAATTTTCTCTTTTCCCACATGGCAGAAAAATTAAGTTGTCTTCATGCAAAAATGTATGTATATAAGAAAAATGATGTTCCATCTGATAATGAAAAGTGAAAGAAAAGAGAGATGATTAAGTATAATTATTTTTATGACTGATCTTTTCCCTTGATCTCTTCGCGAGATTACAAATACAATTCATTGTTTATTCATTTCAGCGCAATTGTCAATATTTTCTGTGATGCATCGTGGCGATGGAATTAATTTTAGATACAATATTTTCCTCCGACGAACCATGTTAATTTCCAAGATTTATATATAGTGACAAAATGGGTCTCTTTTCCCATCAACATTACGATCATCCTCGCTGCGTGTCTTTTCCTCTGCGCTACGCAAAATGTCAATTTTCTAAATATATCCCTCTCTTCGCACACTGCTTAATTCTTTCACTCGACATGCAATAAGAGCTTAACAATCTGTCGCACTATTATATTCTCTTCCCAAATTGCAGCTTTTTCCCGCATATTGTCCATTGAAAGACAACAGAAGAAGAAGAACATCTCTTCGAACTCGTTCCCGAGTGAAGAAGACCGCGAAATGAGGGCAAATTTGACGTTTTTTCCAGTTATTGTGCATAAAAATTACACAAATTTCATTCTCTTATCTCACGATGAAACACTTCTGTTTTGCATGTTTATGTCGTCACTGATTTTTTCTCATTTCTCTCTTTCTCCCTCTCTCTCTCTCTTTCGCTTTTATTGTGCTCTTTCCCTTCCCATTCACATCATATTTCTATGCATAGTCTAATTTTACTATTCAAAAAAGAGGCAAGCATACAAAATGTGTGATGAAAAAAGATCTTTCTTCTACTGCTCCAATTCTGTTTCCGTTACTCCACAGAGTCGCGCAATATTCAAACAATTCCCTCGTTCAGCATTTCATTTTGGCTTGCAAAAATCACTTCAATATTGCCAGTGAATTTCACATACGCACTAATTTTGCAATTCCCATCGAATTGAGAGAAGAAAAATGAAAGAGACTCACCTTGACCATTGCTGGTGACACTGTTGCCCTGCGTGAGAATGATTTGGCTCTCGAGCTCGTGCAATTCAGACTTCAGTTCGGCCAATTTGTTGTTGCTCTTCTTCACAATGGACGCCACATCGGAGAGTGATCGCCTGTCGGTTGCCACCTCGCGCAGCTTCTCTGCGCCCTCCTTTATCTAATAAATCCAGGAAGAAAGGAAAACATGCAACTCGTCAATTTGCCGCAAGAGTATCACAAACATCGATTAAGAGGAACACTCTCTGAAGAATGAATCTGATAAGATTTAATGATTAGAAACCGTTTTCTCTACCAGATAATAACCAGCTTCTTGAAGCAAATATCCGTGTACAGTTTTTGTGTTTGTCCAAACACTGTCATGGAATAAGACTTAAGACTCCAACAAGCAATTCAGTCTTAATTCAAATGAAATTACAGGTGACTTGAATCATAAGCATCTTAGCATGAAACTTAATTTTCCGCTACATATAGAGCAATATACACCCACCTTCAGTTCCTTCCTAATTTCCCGCCTAATCGCCTCCTTAATCTCCTCCAAGCGATTCGGGAGCGCACTCTCCGGCAGATTGTCTGTGAATCCATACTTGTGGCTCAGTTCGTACAGAACAGGATGCTTAATGTATTCCCCCTGCAAAGAGGCAGATAAAAAACAAATTAATTTGCTATTTTTCCACAACATAAATTATGTTAGATATCATTTATAGATAGTTAAATTTGAATGCCAACTTTTTCACACTGCATGAATGTGAAAGTACTTTTTACCATCTTCCCTCACTCTATCCACGCTCTTTTTCTCTCTCTCTGTCTCTCTCACGCGCCAGCCAACAATTGCACGCGGAGATTCATTTGAATTTCTACGCTTTTCGGCACAACGTGGAAATGTTGAATGAGAAATTAGAGAGTCTGAGTAGGACTTCTGGGGAGAAAAACAGCCCAAAAGAGGAGTGCAAGAGACAAAAACAGCAAGATTGATACAGTGGACATTGCGAGAACTCCTGCGGGGGCTATAAATTTGGTGAGAAACAACTCTGCCTAATGTGAATAACTCTTTTTTACATCACATGGTCGCTCTTAATGATAATCACGTTCCTACACACATCTTCTAATGAGCCTGAATCACATTAAATACCACAGAAAAAAAGCAGAGCACATTTTCTGCTCTTCCTGCGCTTTGAGAACGGAAGTGGCCACAAATCGTACCGTCGAAAAGCTGATAGAAGAGGTTCCAAAGTGTATCGGTGCCAACTCATAAAAACTTATCAATACGATAGAATTCAGAAAATGTTGACAACTAATAGTTAAGGGCCTCTTTTGGACTCTATGATTCAACACGATGAGTCTGTCCTCTTGATGATTACCTCTTCGAAAGATCTGACACAATTTGTGAAGAAGCTGCGTCTTCTCAATCTATTACTCATTTTTCACACACACCAAATGTCTGTCGCACATTAAATCCATCAAAGGCGAGTCAATAAAACAAATAGCACTAAATATTGCACAAGAATGTGAAGTAATGGAGAAAAATTGTCATGCTTTTTTCACATCCAGCAACACTCACTCATCCACAGCGCCAATATTAATTGAGCTTGTGCAAGACTAACAGCGCGAGTAACACTTTGTGGACAAGAGAGAAATGGCAGAGGATGTCCTTAATTATATTGCTCAATATTCACTCCACGGACTTTTTTGCCACCACTTATATTTGGTCTGCAATTTGTACATTTTTATTATTTCAAATCCATATGGGAAAAAGAATTTGCAACACAGCGCGCGCACTCGTCAAACTCTCTTTTATTGTGTCAACGGAGAGTTCATTGGAAAACCAAACACTTTGTTGCCCGCATGACACAGAAACCTCAGCATTTGCAGTGCGATTGAAATGGAAAATTGTGATTGATCAGGTGGAATTGTTTCACATTGAAAGTTTCCTCTCAACTCTCTCGCATCGCGCACCAATGAAAATAAAAGTGGCACTCTTGCCTCACACAACAGAACACGATAAGCTAAGGTGGCCGATAATACACACGACATAGGCACCACTTTCTTATCTCCACCACTCTCTTATCTGCTTCCACACATGCCGAAGTCAATGTCGTATCAGTTTCGTTAGCATAATTCTCACCGAATTAATTCCCAACACGTCGAGTCACCCTCTAAAAGTCCATTGATTCCCAATCACGCGAAAATTCTGGGCATTCAATGGAAAGACAGTGCCTGGTCGTAGTAATAGAACGACGGAATCTCTCCCTCTCTCTCTCTCACTGTGATATCATGTGATAAGCAACAGAGTGAACAGCTGAGGTGATAAGAAGGTGTGCAATGTCATAAATCGCTCCACCATTGTCTTGACATTGCGGAGATTTACAATTATATTACTCTAAATTCCTTTGCAGTTTGCAATAAACAAAACGTAGCCTCAAATTAGTCTAAAACTGCCACTTCTTTTCGACTCCTCTGCAAAACACTTTTCCCCAAATAATCTCCTCATAAATCACGCGAAAGTTGCAATCATTATGCAGTATGAATGCTGCAGAAAAAACCTACCAATTGCCATTTCAAACAAAATTTTCCACACTCACTCGCGAACAATCCATGAAAATGAGCGAGAAAGGTGAGCAGTAACAATTACTACAGGAATGCCAAAAAGCTCACCACGAAAGTACAAAGAGAAAAAAACGCATCTCATCTCAATATTCAAATTGAAATCCATCACGATTGGGATTTAACAAGGCACCACTCATTCTCACTCCACATTATCCATCGATATGAATCTGTGTTAATAACATTCACGGGAATTCTGATCGTTAAATATTGATTAAGAAGAAAAAGAGTGTTCAGCAATTTTGAGAATTGTACCCACGCCTCAAGAGACTGAAGATGTATGGAGAAATAAAACCTTGACTCTCTTCTTTCTCCTCTTGAGAAATGCACCATTTGTTCGCCTCCTTGTCAAGTGTGTGTGTGAGAGCGGACGAAATAGATTTTTCCACTATCAGGAAAATCCCATTCGCACACCCAAAGATACCGAGTCTACTGACAAAGTTCAATATTTAACATGATAGCTCGAAATAATTATTTTCAACTCCATTAGGAGTACATGTTGTTTATGTACCGATAACAATGCATGCATTATTTGTCATGATATGCCATTTTCCTCATGTTATATTCCTTCGCCATTAAAAGCCATACACTTCATCTCGTCACTTTTTCCATCAGAGGCCACCCTCCTGCCAATTAATGCAATACTATATCAAATCAATTAATATGAGATGTACTGCTATTCGGATTGAGACACAAGTCGATGGCACTGAGTGGAGATTAAAGGCTTTCAGTCAGTGCAAATGCAAATGCCACTATATATTGAGGAAATACAATATAGGTCGCAGTGTTATTAAATAGCATGCTTCATTAGCTGTGATCAACAGTAATGAAAATTATATTTGCACTACCAAATCGATTTTCTGTGTTTGATCAAATCTTGCAAACAGTTTTGCATGCAATGCTTTGACACACTAAACAGAAACTGCTTCTTTTCCAAGCTCCGCCCACTCAAATGCCCCGCCCATTTCTTATTATCCTCAAGAAAAAATGATATATCTAACCTTCAATTTATCACTGTTTCTTTTACTCAAAAGAATCCCATGAATTGAAATCAATCTCTGAGACGCGAGTATACAATTAAATTCGCGTTTTTTCAACCGAACAATGTTCATCCCAAACAATTTTAATTGCTCAATAAGAATAATTTAATCGACAATAAAAGAGTATCTCATGAGTTATAATGATGAGATAAATATGACCATTAAATTCTGTATACAAAAAGCTGCCTCAGAGGTTCAATGCCAGAAATCTCTCACTCGCACTTTTGCGAGGGACATTTCTAAATTTAGTCCGCAAGTATTCTCTTTTCAATCTCAATATTTCAAAGAGACCCAAATCAATTCTGTGACAGTCTATCAATGGCTCATCGTCTCTCGAAAACATGTGTGTTGACCTCTTCGGCCATTTACCAAATTGCATTTGCACATACCGCATTCGGGGTCGTCATGTGGTGTTGTGCTATTAGTGCGTCTCATCAATTTTTGGCGCATTTGTAAATAAAACGGAAAATAGTGCACAAAGTCCGCCCAAAGACTCTCCAATATTTTGTGTATAGTGAGTGATCTGGGTAAGTGGTGTTTGTATATTCAACAGGCAAAAATGATGAGAGAAAAAGTAAATAAACACACCAGAGAATACAACCCGAAGTTGTGTCTATGCGACACACAAATTTCTCGCCTCTATCTGCGTCTGTCGATCTCCCGAAAATTGAACGCAATTGTCCAACAAGGCAAAGCTCTTTGGAATCACACAGCTAATTAATTTTAGATTAATTGCACACACTCTTTGGAGTCAATTGTGGTCATGCCCAATTAAATGGTCCCATTTAGACATACACACACACTGTGTGTCCCGCTTTACGGCAATTGCTGCATTAAATTGCATTAGGCGCAAAAGTGAATATATGGCACAAATGGGCAAACGACGTATAAAAAGGCACCCAAGAAATCTCCTCTAAAACCATACTCAAAGGCCTGTATATTGATTTTTTCTCACATTATTCTTCCTATAGGTGAAAAAGAGTAAGAGAGAAATCCAATTACGCTAATTTACCTCGGTGAAAGTATCTTTTCCCTATATTTTTGTACGCCACATACTCATGACTCTAGTGTATTGCAATATATTTATTAAACAATGAACGTGAGTGAAGCGATCGATTGTTGGAAACTCTGTCCTTTTTTCGGCTATTGCCTCAAACATCCACCAAGCCAATCAACTACGTGGTTCGTGGGATTAACAATATCCCATATGTTTTGCCAATCAATCTTACTTTGTCCCTCACCCAGAGATTGTGCTCGTTGAGCACAATTCACTTGTTCACGTGAATCTCTTTCCCACCCACGATTTATTTACATTTTTTCTGCACCATCACAGCGCGGTCATCAGATCTCTCGACAGTGAAAGAAGAGCTGCACATTTGCCTCCTCTCACCTCGAACTCATAATAGGTATATAAAACACAACATGTCAATTTATTCGTTAAAACTCTCTTTCATTCAATCAACTTTTGCCCAGTGTTTGTTCTTCAGTGAAATTTCACGACACAGAAAAATAAATAAAAATCATATAATAGTTTTTGAAGGCGCTCACAAACGAAAAAAAGCCAGCCAATTTAGCTAGACAAGCACAGATTTGGACGCTGGTCATTTCTCTCCTCATCATCCGCCATCCAAAGATCATGTTGTGATTATTTTTAGACAGAAAAGAAACTCACTTTTTTCTGCATCTGTTGACACAACTTTCTGACGACAATTAAAGGAACAGACGTTCCACATGCCTCAGAAAATTCAATAATCACACAACGAGCATCTAAAAATTACTCTCCCTGTCCTTAGAAAGACACCAAGACCAGCCGCACTTGTATTGTCAATTTAATTAAACAGACAGAAATTGCAAAGAAAAATCGCGATGCGGAAATATTCCTCCGTGTCTCTCTTTCAATAACACGATCCACGCTCAAAGGAATTATATAAAAAGGCCATTAAGCGAATAAACCAATTTCTCATATCCAATTGGAAGAGTCATTTGTTAATTTTCAAACATCTGCCGTCAACTGTTGTGCGATGAAATTAAACAGATATCCACACGGTATTTATTTTAAATGAAGAAAGATTTCATTTTCCAACGAAAAACCACAATCACAGTCAAGGTTATTTCAGTGGGAAAACATCTATTTCGCATTTTATATAACCCCATCGCCAGAGTAGTGAAATGCCATCATAAATTTCCATTCAACATGACTCAAATATGAGAGTAAAATGAGATATATAGTGGACTTACACTGAATAAATAACCCTTGATTTTCGCTGATAAATCCTTCAGGAATACCATATTGGTGGACATGAGTGGTGTTTTTATTTGCAGAGATGAAAAGCTCGCAAGTTAAGTTCGTCATACACAAAACTAGGCCTTTTTGTCTCAAGTCAATGAGAAAAAACCATGGGTAAAATCATCCCATCACTGTGCACATAAATTATTTAATTGCTCCGAGTCACTTTGCACTCTTTCCGACACTCTTTTCTCCTTCTTCTTGTGGCCTGCGAAGCACCACTAATTTCGTCTTCTCTGCCAGTCACACACCACAGTACGAAGCCCAATGAGCTAAATAACTGGCTTGTGCTCTGTGACAATCTATAAGGAAGTGGCCAGTCTGCAGCTTGACCACTTAGTAAGACAATTCTGTGATCAACTTGCCTCTCTTCCACTTGCACACACACTCTCTCTCTCGCTCTCCGTCACACTGGTGGTCTTCCGAGGGTGACCATCAATTGCAAGGTTTCCTCTCTCACTGGTTTCTTCCTCTTCTGATGCCAAAAAATCCTCTAGTTCTCAAATGAATTACCCCCCCACTCGTGGCAAAGCCCAGCGCAGCAATTTACCAAGGATTGTAATGATTTTCCTCCTCCCTCTTCCCCTCACAATTCAATCACGCAGTGTGTACACAATTGCTTTAACTTCCAATGAAGATGGATAAACCTTCATTATTATTTACAGCGCCAAATGAGATTACCCACAGAGGAAATGGCTTGGCTTTTCACATGAAAAACAACATAATATACGCATCAGAGTAGTATAAGCATATACTTTATCGTGCTGAGACTTATCATTTTGGTAAATGTGATTATTTTCCTCAAGAATGCAACCTGTTGAATTGATGTGTAGCTTGAGAGCGAGAAAGAGAGAGATTTTTGTATGATCGCCAAACCGCACAAATAACAATTTTTAGAATCATTAATTACATGAGCCAACACACAACAATAAACACCCGAAAAGAGGTGCTTTCAGCCAAAAAACCACCGTGTAAAGCACCGTTTCGAGACTCAAGAGGTCAATAAACAGATGAGGATCTGTCTCTCGCGATCATCAGAGGCTCAATGTCTCTCTTGCCAGTCACTTGATCAAACACCCAAACATCACCACACTTTCACGGTTAATTACTGAGCTCATGCACTTCTTGCATTGCATCTATTTTCTTTTCACCCCTTCTCGAGCCACTTTTCACACAACACACTGCAAAACTCACGCACAAATTAAGAGGAAATGTGCAGCAAAAAAATCTTTCGATTAATAACAACAAATTGATTTAGTGCTGATTGCTGAACGAATTTCACTTTTCTGATTTTATACCCTCAAAACATCCATGCAGAAGGGAAATCTCCTCTTTCACCAAATAAATCCACTCTCTCTGGCGATCGCTGAGCGACTGAAGAGCTGCACGTTTTATTAAATTGAAATAATTTTCGCGGCAGCAAACCCACTTCTAGTCTCACAATACACACACGCATATGTAGCATTGCCCACAGAGACATTAAAAGCCATACAGTATTATATATCGCGAGTGTACTGTTAAAATCTCACCATCACTTCTCGTCTCTTGTTGTGAGTTGATTTTTCTCTCTCTCACAATTTCAAAAAGAAAAACAAGAGCAAAACGAAAAAATCACTCCGCCAGAGAGCACTTGTTCGATGGAGCACAAGAGACGAGGCATTTTACACTCTTTTTAATTAATAAAACTTATATGTTACCATCTAATGTATGGTTTAATATGGAAGAAAGTGGTTTTAAAGTTACATTTCATTATCTATCTATACACCATTTTCGTATTTTAATAGTTTTGTATCTCTCCGCGAGGCATCTCTCTTTACTATACTACTATTACTTCTCATCATCAAGCAATTTGACGGATGCATCGCCGACATTGCCCGAGAAAACTACTAGAAATTTGCAACATTGATTCCCATTTAATATCTCTGCGCACACACGCTCATGATCAAATCCAAGAAAGTTTAATAATAAATGTGGAGAGAAAAAAAAACTTCATAATTATTGTCTAATTGCAATCTTTCCTCCGCAATTGATTAGATATATAAATGTTTATTGCAACATTGCCAGAGTCACTCAACTGTTTTAATAAGAATCAAAGCACAAGAGAGTCTCGTGTATTTATCAAATAAAAACAGTTTCAAACTGTGACTTTGCCATAAAGAACCAAATATAGAGACGAATTCAGTGAGAAAGTCAATAGATGAGAAAAAAACATGAGCAAATACAATCAATTTAAATAAAATCACAAGACCGTGAACAACACTATTTAAGACTGTCTCTATATGCTCCAGAAAGTCATTGCGACAACTCTATTAGGACGATCCTTTACCTACCAGAAAGCATTGATAATTATCACGTGAGCGACACTTAATTGGAGCCAATTTCCCTCTCTAGAGAAAACTATATGGAATTCGGAACGACACTTCATCAAAGTGCTCTGTAATTTCATCAACCACCCTGAAACCTGCAGAATTCTATCATCGTCAGTGCGTAAATTGAACAAGTTGTCTGACTTGTGTGTCTCATGAAACTCTATATCCATTGCCAGCACATGAATAAATCACAATAAAGATGGGCCTTTGAATATGTACGTGCCAGACGGCAAAATTTCAACCACTGGAGATGAAAGTAATTTCAATTGATGGCATCGCACAGCCTCAGATGAATGTTTTATGCACGAAATCCTCTCGATAAACGACATTATTAAATGAATCTCTCTGGACGGCGCACATTGAGACATTCAAATGCATGCGCGCCCATTGAAATTCACTGAGCTGTGCTGGCGCCCCCGAAAATTGATTGAGCACTCAATGGAAGTGAAAAGCTGGAATATCAAGTGGAGTCGGAAATAGAATGGCTGAATATAAATATTGATAAATCTCTCATGTTTTCCACTGACAGGTAAATTCAATGTTTCACCTTTTTGGTGACTGACTTCAGGAAGTGCAGATTCACATAATACTTTTCCTCATTGAACCAACTTCTGCATGTGATTCACACACAAGTTTTCCGCTCCGCACCTGACCTTTCCATCCAGACTGCATGAATTTCTGGCGATTCGTCTTGCAGATAAATGACAGTGCCTTCGAGAGGCATAATTACCCCCAAGATTAAGGCATATACAATTAAGACCAAGTGCGGTGTTTCCACGTTAAATCCCATGGAAAGTTTTACACACACACACACATTGTAAAATAGTTAGTGCAGCATTTATCATCTCTCTTGCAATTAATAAGTCAAGTGACTGAGAGAGAAATTGTAAGAATAGTCTTAAGAGTTTATTGACCTAACAATAAATTTTGTCGCATGTACAGAATCATCAACATTCACCAACAAAATCACTTCGCATGGCACGAAAGAGAGGCCCATCAAGTCTCTCTCTTTCCTTCTCTGCACAAAGTGGAAATTTCCCCAGCAGATCTCCACATATCGACAGATATCTTTAGCAAAAATATTTCATTCCGTCTCACATTCGCTCCACTCTTTCATATTTTTTCCATCCACCCAACAATACCACTTCACTTGATCTCAGTTTCTCTCAACATCTTTCTTTCTGAAAAAGCACCCAATAAAGTTGAACACACTTCTTCATCGCCAAACACGAAAAATTCACATGCAAAAATCACAGGAAATTGCCGACACGCTGTTATTTTTTCCTTTTTTCTGTCTTCTATTGCCGAACAGTGACACAACATTACCTGAAAAACATGCTCGAAATCACTCAATTTACCCTCCTCAATGAGTCTTCAACCTTAAATACACAATCAACTCTGTCCCCTCACGAAACTCACACCAAATGATTAAGTAGGCAACTTCACTCGTTGCCAGAATTGTGGTCAAGAACATTCTTTTACTTCACCGTGGGCGCCTTCGGTGCAAAGAGAACACCACAACAGGTTGTGGCAAGAAGAACAATAAAAATTTTGTGAACAATAACCTTTTTTCTCGTGCTGGTGAAAAACAACACAAAACACATTTTTGCCGCCAGACTGTGGCTCAACCCTATAAATTCCCCCGCGATGATGTTATGAAAAAAAACCACTTTGCTGATGCTCAACGAAATTCAGCTGCACTGGAAATATTCCGCTTACACTAGTCGGTGTTTAATTAAACCCCCAGCACACCTAAAATAGAATCAAATTGAAGTTTCTTTGTTATGGAGACAGTCAAAAAAAAAAACATGTTTTAAAACTTCGGAATCAATCTCTGGACTTAAATTTAAGTTTTACTGCACTTTCTAATTGCCCGACATTATTCTAATCTTCATGGAGATTAACAGTGAATCTCCTTCCTTGTGCAAACCATTGTACGCCACATTGTTAAGAAATCCAACACAAGATTGATAGAAAGAAGCTCATCTGTTGATGGTTTTTCAAGTGAAAGGAATGAAAGAGCCAAAAAAACACACATTTCAGGAGCCCGAAGACAGCATAAAACAAATCATTAGTTGGCAAATCGTAACGATCTCACAAAATTTATCGCACATTTCTGTCAAGAGCACAACAGATAAAAAAAACTCCTCCGTTGCATAGAGGAAATAAAAATCGCTCAAGTTGTGGGTAGATTTCCGTAGGCGTCCAGATGAAAGATCTAGAGTATGTATATGCAATTAATGAAGCCTCTTCGCTATTCAGCGCAATGTTGGCTACAAATAGTCCAGAGCGGGTTGACATCAGAAACAGTTGGAATATTTCAGAATTTTTCCAACGACGCCATCGCGTACTAATTCCAGAAGTGAATAGCGCGCGCCTTATGTAAAGAGGTCAATTTGTACAGATCTTATCCGCAATATTGTTAGCAAACGGTGATGGCAGACGAGGTGAAAAATGCTCAAGCATCGCCCAGAGGGATAATTATGGGAACAATAATTCCCATTTGAGAGAAAATATCTGGTTGAGAACAGAGAGAATTATGCACACATGACAGAGTGTCAAACTATTTATTCCCGTTGTTGAGCCCAATTGTCTCTCGCTCGACTCTTGCAGGCTCTACAAGTAAATTGCACTAGTTTTGTGTGCTATTGCATGGAAATGTATTTGGCCAAACTGACGCTATATATACATATAGGTTGGGTAAACAAGTTCTGTTCTATCTTTTTTTACCATCGCGCGCCACTCACCTTTTACACGAAAAAACACGCGCCAAAACTCCACTCGCTGAGGAATTCTATGTCAATGGAGTAGCGGCTTGTCAACATAATGGTTCATCATTTAAACTGTTAGATGCATCTCATTTCTTTTCTGCCTCTTCTCTCTCCACTCTTTGATTTTACGGGCATTTTCCCAACACACACAAATAAGCACAACACTTCTTCTTCCATGCGTCGAAGAAAATAAATGTGCAAATTCACCCAGAAAACAACATTTTGTAACTGTTTACCAGCTCTTGAATAATTGTTGGCCAGTGAATTTTCATAAGCAAACCTAAATGTGTTAAGTACCACTTAAATATCTCTAAATATTTATACTGAAATAAGACGATTGTAGGTGAAAATTTCTGCATCTCAATTCTCTCTCTCCCTCATTTTTTTTACTACCTTTAAAAAACAAGTCAAAACTCCACCTTCAATGGAAGATTTATATTTTCACACATTTGCCTCTCATTTCTCATTTTTTTTTGCACCTCAGGTACAACTTTTACTTTCTTTTCTCCATGAAAGTGCACCTCTCTTGGCAAAGATACACACAAAAAAAGAGAGAAGAGTCAGTGTGTCTGAAGGAAGGAAAGAGCAGAGATGAAGACAATAATTGAACTGACAGAAGTCTTATCATTTCACATCACTTAGCACAGTTTAATTAGCGATTGCACATGGCACAGAGGTAAGAGACAGGAAAGATGGACTGCTTAGGAAATGCTGTGATGGATTTACTCTCCAAAGCAGGGCACAAATGTGACCATCAAAGCCTGGCCGCAGCGTCTTTGGTCATACAAGAGAAAGAGATGATAGATTTGAGAACCATGTAAGAGTGAAATTTTCCCCTTTTGAGCAATTCATCAACAGCCATGAGATCAACTTCTTCTGACTCGCGCTTCACTGACGTGCTATTAAAGTCTGAATAATTTAATTGACCCCTAAAGTCACTCTAAACTACAAATTACTAATCCGCACCAAATTGCCGGAAATAGATTTTTTCTTCGCTCCTTTTTCCATCCCACAATTATAGTGTGTGAGTCATGTTGACGAGCATCGAGCTGGCAATTGCCATTGTCACTACACTTTTTCTCCTGCACCTCGCGAACTATCCATTATTTTGTATCATTGCAATCAGGGTGGGACAAAAGAATTATGGCAATGATTCAACTGGGAAATCGATGGTGTAAAAGAGATTGAGGGAACGAAAAATTTTCCTCACTCTGTCGAGCGCACAATTTATAATAAAAAGAGAAACAGAGAAAATACACAATGCATCCAGCGCAAGAAAAGCGTAAAATTGGACAAAAATTTCAATTTCCATCCCATCTCTCAAACATCTCATGTGATCTCCACATCAATTTCCAACTCAATACATAATACTTGTAATTTTCTTTTCATTGTTTCGCTTTTTTTCTCCAATTTTCCTTTTGCGTGGGTGCAGAAAAAAAGAAAATACAAAGTTGGAAACATTGGCTTTTTTTCATGTTTCTCATATAGAGAAATTATAACTTTTATGGCCCGAAGCAATGATTAATTCACATTATTGCTCAATGATAAGGCTGAAAAATCTGCTTTAAGTTTAAGAGCATCGCAATTGAAATGTTCACTTCATCTTCTAAGGGTTAAATTGTCCTCAAATTCAGTGAATGCATTTGAAAGTCTCACTGCTGTTCTAGCGAGAGAAGCAAAATGAATATAATATTTGTCCTCAATTGGCCTCATCAGCCCATGAAACACTCTCTCAACAGTGCAATTTTGCTTGCAATTTCAACCACAATAATGAGACATTTCCAACATTCTCCCAATGAACTTGCACCAGAGACAAGTTTTCTTCCCAAAAATGCCAAAAATTGTGCCTCTTCGTCATGGAATTCTGCCAAGCAACGCTGAGGAATCCACAGGCACACGAGATCATGTGCATCATCTTCTCATGGCAATTTTTGTGTGAAAGAAAGATGCGCGCAAGAGGGAAGGCTGAAAAATTCTCAGCACTAAATTCATCTTCCTTGTGTACATATATGTACATATTTTCTCGTGACGCCAAGAAATACACTTTTACTCGCAAAACTACCGCATTCAGTCGTGATGTTTCTCAGTAAACTCATTAGCTTCATTGTTGAATTTCATCAGAAGCAACTCAAGACATCATCATCTTCCCAGCTTCACCACCATTTCTCGTATGGCATAAGAGGGAATCCACCACGTGAATATGCGACTGTGATTGCTGTGCGTTAGAAAATTAACTTGATGCCGGCAGCTCAAGTCGTGAACACCCATCATTTCCTATCCATTCCAATTCTCTGCCATAACCAAATGCGTTTCCATGTTATGCACACAGCAATCGTACATAAAATGTGATTGCTGGCTTCTGTTTGATCGCCACACCGAAAAGAAGAAACCAACTGAAATCATCTGCTTCTCTCTCTCTTTCTCACTCACTCTTTCTCTCAGACTCCAAAGTCAATTTCTTCATCACAATGTTGGACAAGACAGAATGAACGGGATTAAAACACTGAACAAATATTCACAAGTTAGAATACAGTTGTAAAGTAGCAGTGTTTGAAGGCGAAATAAAAAGACGAAAAATCTCTTCTCAACAGAGATATAAAATACAAACCAAATGCCAATCTTTCTTCTTTTTCCCTCCCCCCAATTCCCATTGGATACAAATTTACAGGCATCAGTTAGAATGCGTGCCAGTGCCGCAAAAGAAGGCAAAGAGAAGTAATAGTAGAAAGAGGACGAAGAAATTAAAACGAGAGTGAAGAGAAAAATGTTCAATTTACACAACAAGCCAGCATTTAAACAGAGATTGAAGCACGATTTATAGACTTGAGAACATCACTGAAGAAGTCTTCATATTCATCACGCCTTTTGAGAGTCAAATTCCCTCCTTTTTCCGCGTGAAGTTGGAGAAAGAAGTGTCCAAAATAGATTTTTCATGCGGATCAAAATCAATGGTAAGAGGGAAATTTACACTTGATTCCCTTGGATTACGTGTTTTACACCATTATCGCTTATCACATGAGCGATAAGAGTTTTTGCGCGCACGATATTCTAGGAATTAAATTGAAATTCTGTCATTTTATCATGCAATTGTGGGCTTCGAACATAAATCTGTCATTAAGATATGGAGAAAAATGCATGATAAACATTCCTCGCGATTTATGATGAATTGTATTCATCAACATTCAGAAAACAATCTGAATAATAACATAGAAAAGGAAACTAATACGAATGAGTGAGGCACATTAAGACCATTTAACTCATACTTGCCTTAAGATTTTCCAAAAGAATCTAATAAAACTGTCTTGTTAGACAGAAAATTCCTTCAAAATTTAATTTTTTTTAATTCATTTTAAAACAGAAATAGACGTGAATAAAGACATTTTAGCCTGTCTTGCCATTAAAACCATTATTCGTACCTACATTTGAATTATTTGAGTAAATTATTATATTCTCAAATTATCGGCTGATTGTGATTTTTGTGCAACAATTTTTCGATTAGTCCTTAAATGTACAGAGAGTGGCCTTATGAATACCCTCTTTCGATTAAACAAGACGTATCTCTCTTGCGTCACTCATTCCCATAAAAAAAACCCTTGTCTCTGCAGCAACTCCACAGCCGGCAATTGAGATTAATTGCATCCCTGTAAATGGGCAAAATGATGGTGAAAGAGAGACTTTTGGCCGGGAAATGGCAAAACAATCCCGCCTGACTTTTCGGCTGTCGGCCCGTAATTCCCACGCGACCAGATAATTGCACATTAATTGTCTGCGCCCCATTCCAGCTTCCCAGTAGACAATGAGATTTGTGGTCGGGTCCAGAGAATTCGGTAAACATTTGGACAATTTCGATGGCGGTCTCGAAGGTTCCCTCTTTCGCGCCGCACGTTGAGGTCAGGCGAGACAGGTGTTCGAACTTGAGAAGAAACCTCTCGCCTTCCGGAATGCGTGACAAAGAGCAGAGAGGCGCCCGTGAGTCACTGATTGTGCCATGTTGGGGCACGTCTTCAGGCGTGAATGAATACTATAAATAGGCGTCTGGATGGGTGTGATCGGGCGGGAGTGAGCGAACAAACACACCCGCTCGCGATCCGTCAGCGGAGAGCCTCTTCGTCGCACTTTCTTACCTGATAGTAAGAATCCGACGCCATCTTGCAGTCCTTGAGTCGCAGTGAAAAATCAGCGCTTCGATGTTGAATTGTTGCCTGTTGCTTCACCGATATTACAGCGTCTCACAACATCAAACAAAGACCATCTATTTTGGGGCAAAACTCCGCGTGCCGAACGGACGGAAAATGCGCACACACAGGAAATCGAGGTGTTCCTCTGGAAGACACTCGCGAATGCAAGATCGCACGCAATCTCTCGTCAACTGCAGCACCACCGGTCGGAAATTGATGCTCACTGTCCAGGCGCACAATCACATTGCTCGACACACGTGAAAAACCAAAGGACGAAAGGAAAATAAGAAAAGAAAATGCGGGAGGAAAATCCACCGTCAACAAACTCGAGGGATTAGTGCGGATTAATTCCGCGCGTGTCGCTCAATCGTCTGTCATCACGCGATGCTACCGCCACCATGTGTAAGGAGCACCACTGGCAACACTTCGAATTCAAGATTTATCAGAATTTTATTTCATCAATTTCTCTATAAAAAATTAACTTGTCAGTGATTCCGCCACCTGTTCAGGGGATCTGCTGAAGAGTGACTCTGGACTGTCATACCCATTCTCGGGATCGTGAACTTTCTCATACAACTGTCGGTAAATGGCGATGATCACGTTGAATGACCTCTTTCGGACGGTTGTTCGGTGAATAGGGCTCTGCAGCAGGTTGATTTGCTGCAGGAGCAGGATATCCGGTCTCTCCAGGAATGTGTCGAGTTTCGCATTGAACATTTTCAAGCTGCCAACCTCAAATTTACTAGCGTGGCTCTGCAGAAGTGTATAAATGGGCCCCAAATTGAGATTTGCCACCAAAGAAGAAGCCTGTTCCGACGTGAGGGTGTCAATCTGGGCATCTGATTGTGCCTGGAGACGCTCAATTCGCTCCTCCATGTACTCGTACATTGCCAGAGTGCTCTGCATTTGATAGAGACAGTTCAGAAGGTAAACTGCCATATCTATCGTCGGCAGATGAGACGCAGACTCTGTGATTGTCCTCAACAGAGGATCAATTACGCACGAAACGATCTTCTTTATGTCTGATTGCCTGCCCTCTACCATGCTGGCCACCGAGAGGATCTCCTTCATGATGCCCAGGAGAATGGAGACGCTCTTGGGCGGCGCCAAATCGCTCTGTGGCGGTTCGATGGTAGTTCCCATGGGCCCGACCAAGAGGTTTTTCACCTGTTGCATCAGACTGCCTAGATAGGCCTGCTCGCTATTCTGCTGCATACTGGCCAGACACGCTTCCAGATTTCCGCCGTTTACCACATTATTGATCACACCTTGATAGAAGCGGATGAGATTTGCCACAGCGTACAAGACAATCGTCTGCCTCTCACCGCTGAGAATCATCTGCACGCGTACTTCCAGCGGATGGCACACGCCATCGGCAATGTTGGCCAGAGCCACTTGAATCTGATCCGTGACGTCCGTCTGGTCGCAGAGTTTCACGAGATTCAGCAGATTCTCGCGCTCCGAAGGTATCGCCTGATGCAACCAGGCAAACATGTCGCCAACGTACCGCTTGGGATCCTGAGCGTGCATCTCTATCGGGCGCGGATTGCCTCCTGGGCCGCCCACGGTCAGCGCGTCGATAAAGTTTCTCACCAGAATCGCTCTCCTTGCTGTAGCGTACTCGTCAATGACATATTTGAAGAGCACCGGACGGTCTTGCAGCCGATTCATAGCCTGCATCACGAGTGGACCAATTTCATTGGCGTCAATATTCCTGCAGTGGTTCTGCGTCCAGCGATAGAGACGCTCCAGAGCGGATTCCTTCAGCAGATTCATCTCATCCATGATATCTAGAGCTGCAGTGTGATGACCACACTGCATCAACACTCTGCAATCGCCGTGAATAGCGTGCAAACGGTCCAGCACGGTGAAGAACTCTCCAGTGACCGGAGCATCTCTAGGACCGCCACAGAGAATCTGCTGCTCCGCCGAAGACAACTGGAAGCGCGTGAGGAAGGCTCCTGCCACCTTCTGTCTGAATTGTAGCTTATTGCTCTCCTCCTGAAGACTGTTCGTCTGCTGAATAAGATCCTGTGTCTGGCTCTGGGTGGCTTTCAACCGAGCTCTCATACTGTTCACAGAGTCACTCATCTGTCCAATCCCTTCGCAAATCTCATCAAGGGATTGCTTTACAGCCTTGAAAGACACTAGAAAGTCTTCATTGATCTTCAGACTGCGCTTCTCAATCTCAGTGTGGAGTTGTCGCCGCGTCTGGACGGTGTTATCTGTGAAGAAGTTGTCCAGGTCACCCAAAGATTCCAATACTTCCTAGAAAATACAGTAAAAGTGTGAAATATTGAAATTCCATATATATCGCCACTTTACCTTGTCAGTGTCGATTCTCATCTCAAGGATCGCGTTTAATTTATTGCTGATATTATCCATTTTTCCTGGAAAATCACACCCAATCCACAGTTTTCTAGGAGCCACGGAAGCAATTTGGAGGTTATGTTCGCCGGAAACCCGTCAATTCGAAGCATCTCAAATTCACCCTGTAAATTTTGACAGTCTCATCACGAAGAATTTTCTGCATCCGCAATGAGGGCAAATTTTGCATTTCTCGTGATTTTTCACACCCTTCTGGGCTACTGCAACTTCGGCCAAGCAGCTGAGGTATCCCTAGAAGAGGTCGAGGATCAGGGTAGGTATACAATTGAGGGACGAGTGTATCCGCCTGAGTTGTTTCCGGACACGGAGAGTCAATGGCAGAAGGACACAGTTATCAGCATAAACGGAGGCGAGTCCCTGGGATTCCTGCGTGAGGATGGGTCCTTCATAATCAGCGGAGTCCCCTCCGGAAGCTACGTGCTTGAGATTGTCAATGCCGATTACATTTACGAGTCGGTGAGTACCTTTGTGTGATCGTCTCTATTCTGACGCAATTCAAGGCTGTGTTCTTGTTGCCAGGTACGCGTGGAAATTAATCCCAAAGGCAAATTCCGGGCCCGGAAGGTGAATTTCGTGCAGCCCGCGCAGGTCATTCAAGTGCCCTATCCGCTGAAACTGAAGGCGCTCACGCGGTTCAAGTATTTCCAAATGCGCGAGCAGTGGAAGATCACTGACTTCCTTTTCAATCCCATGGTTCTCATGATGATCCTCCCTCTGCTGCTCATGTTGGTTCTGCCCAAGATGATGTCTGACCCGGAGGCGAAGAAGGAAATGGAAAATCTGAATTTGTCAAAGGTAAAAGCTAGGAAGAGAAGGCTCGTGCGCTCAATTTGCTGATTTCTCTTCAACTTTCAGATGACTAATGAGATGCCGGAAATGAGCGAATTTATCACATCCTTCTTCACTGGTGGTCAGCAGAAGCAGGATAAGCAGAAAGCAGCCACAAAATCACAGGCGAAGCGAAGAAATAATAATTAAATTTTCCATGTTATGCGTCTATTTTTGTCCCACGATAAGAGCGAGGAAGATGTCGGACGTCTTTTTTGAAGGGTGTAGGAAAATTTTGAGAATGTCGCGAAGCGCTACAATTGCACGGCGCCGCCTTTCAAATGTCTAATCGCGTCTTTCTCTGAAAGTTTTTGATGGGGTGACGTTTTGGCGTGTGTGAAAATTCTCGTCGGCCGATATAAACACAGTCAGGGTGAAATTGCAAGTGTAAAATGGCCGATCTGGCGCTGGGACACGACGAGGAGGCAGACATCAATGAGGAACTGCAGCTGCAGCAGCTGGACGACACCTTCGACACCCGCAGCGAGGCGTCCTCCAGCGACTCCAACAATCGGCCCAGCTGTATCAGTTCCATTAGTACAGAGTCGAGCGTGAGCCCCAACGCGCGGAACCGCACACAGAGCGCCCGGAAGGGTGCGCCCAAGAAGGCCACAGACGACGATGAGCAACGGAGTCGAAAGGCTCCGACGAAGGTGCTGGCGATGAAGCGGAACAGCGTGAAGAGCCAGCCGAAGTCCTATGACTACATGACAAAGCTAAACTACCTGTTCCGGGAGTCGCGATACTTCGTCATCAAGTCCAACAATGCCGAGAACGTGACGCTGTCCAAGGCGCGCAGTGTGTGGGCGACGCTGCCGCAGAACGAGGCGAACCTCAACCAGGCTTTCCGGGAGTGTCGAAATGTGCTGCTTATCTTCTCGGTGAAGGAGAGCGGGCGCTTCGCTGGCTTCGCCCGCATGAACACCGAGGCACGCCACGACGGACCCACGGTTAGTTGGGTGCTGCCGCACGGGCTGTCGGCGAAGGCGCTGGGAGGAGTGTTCAAGATCGACTGGATTTGCCGAAAGGAGCTCTCCTTCACCTGCACTGGTCACCTGTTTAATCCGTGGAACGATGGGAAGCCTGTGAAGATTGGCCGCGATGGTCAGGAGATTGAGCCGAAGGTGGGAGCCGAGCTGTGTCGCCTCTTCCCGGAAGATGACTCCATCGAGCTCACGTCTATCCTGCGCAAATCTAAGGAGACATCGATGATTTTGCGCGAGAAGGGTATCCGCCCCAAGGTGGCCTACCGGGGGCCCCCTCCTCGAGGCTTGCCGGCACCGCGCGGCCGCCAGCCGCCCGTTGTGCGTGGTATAGCGCGCAAGAAGTTGTATCTGACGAGCCGCAGCAAATTGGCCAGATCTGGATCTCCGTACAGTCGCGTGGACAGACTGCTGCCGCCGCCGCTGTGGGAGCGCTATCCCACCAGCACGGCGGCCGCGGAGGCGTACGTGGAGAAGTACATGCGCCAAATGCAGCACCAGCTCCCGCCGATGCCTTACGCCCCGCCGCCGGGATTCACCACGATCCTTCCGACGCCCTACGACGCGCTCCCGCCCCCGCCGCCGCCGCCGCGATACTACGACGGCCTGCCGGTGCCCGAGTACCCACGACATTCCTACGACAGTGGCCGCTACGAGCGGGAGGACTTCATGCGCGCCGGCCTGGAGCGCCACCCGGACTATCGGCACAGGGCGCGCGAGCGGGAGCGCGATCGGGGCGAGTACCGGGACAGGAGCAGCCACCACCGGAACTACAGAGTGCGCCGATGATCGACCCAGAAGCAGTGGCAATTTTGAGGCGACTGGAGGACGGCGCTTCGTCAGGGCGGCGCAGGGGTGAAAATCTCAAGCAGAATGTGAGAAGAAATGAGTGGTGTTTAGATGCCAAGTCAAGCAATGTTTCGCTCCTCCTAATATCAATGTCTAATGAGTATTTCTATCGATTTGAATGATGATATAAAGCTTTGATTTCTTAAATTCATGCAAAATAATTGTCAATTGTTTTCTTAGCGCTTTCTTGAGAAATGCGCATTTCTCAAGATTGTCCTACTTGCAGGTGGATTTGTCTGTCAAGTGTCCCAAGTGCCATTGACTCTCGCCCAACTCTCGCCTTGTCGGTCAGAGCCAGGGTCAGATGATCTGGGACCATTCAAATTTTCGAACAGGCATTCTACTAATTGATACTCATCCGAAACATTCGAAAAGGTCTTAAATTTGAGAAAGAGAAAAGCCGATTATCCCAGGATTATCCGGAGAGTTTTTGGCTAAATTTGCCCCCTGTCGCGATGTTTTTCTTCGTCAAGTTTTTCCCCTCCGCGAACGCGTTTTTGCAGTGTGCCGATCCGCCGGTCGGCTGCACTCGGCTGTCGATCGTCGTGTTCTGTTGATGGGGCAGTACAAGTTGAGATGTGACGGAGTGCGGTTTTATGGACGGGTATTGTGCTGGAAAAACAAGAGATTCGTGTGAAAATTGTGGAAAAGTGAAGCTGAAGTGTGCCCAGTAGTGTGCAAAGGTGAACAATTTGGGTGTTTGTGCAGAGGGAGTGTGCGAAAAGCCGCAATTTCCAGCCGCTGTATCGATTTTTCCATCCACTTTGCCACTTTTCAGTCTACGGCGTATACAGGGTGGTACTCAGGAGGCCACCCGGGAGGTTTTTCCCCATTTTCTCCACGGATGCCCAGCATCTGCCGCGGAACAGCGCTGGAATCAAGTGCCAAAGGTACACAGAAGGGCGTCCCGAAGGGGATCTCCCGGAAAATGAGAAGATTTCGCGAGGTATTTAGTGGAATCTGGCCACTTCCTGGAGTCCTCAATTTAGATCCATTTCGGCCAATGTTGCCCTAAAAACATGCATTTTCCCACTGAATTTCCCTCCTCAGCGCAATTTGATGATCTATTCGGGTAGAAATTCTATAAATTCGCTATTTGGTGGAAACTTTGCAGCGCAATCAGTGGAAAAAGACACACAAGAACATTGTGGCTATGGTGAAAACAAGAGTTGCTCGCGCGGTGAAAAACAAAACCATAGACGGCTTTTCCGCTGCGAAGATGCGAGGAAATTTTGTAGTATTTGGGCGGCACCTCGTGCGAAAATCCCAAGTGCGCACAATCACGTCTGATTCCAGTGTGTCTCTTCCTGGAAGGAGAGTCCGCAAAAGGGCGAGAAGAGTGCCTTCCCGAAAGGAAGAGCCCATCCCTTAACGCTTCGTGCCTCACCCGGAAGTGCCAGGACGGCTATTGATCTGTGACTGAAGGTGAGATGAGGCGAGAAGATGGAATTTTTGGCCGGAGACAGCAGAAAAAACACTCCAACGACTTTCTCGCGTTTCACTGGCGAGTGCAGGCAATTTCTTTTCTGCAGCCCACCTGAGGAGGGCCTCTCCTGTCCATTTGCCAGACCGCAATATTATCAAATTTATTAAGTGCTGCGGAGTGAGAAAAAAACAAGCTTTTGTGTGAATTTAGTGACAAAAAGTGACGATTAATGATAATTTCCACTTTTTTCTCCCACTTCGCGGGCTTGATTTGTATTTTACACGAAGAAAAACTTGATTTGCTGCAGTGCTTTTCACTGAGTGTCGAATATCGAATGAATGCGAAATAATTATCAGTGTTTTCGCTTATATTTTTATCAAAAAGAGTCAAAAGCACATTCATTTTGAATCTGAATTGTCCTTTTCCTGTTCTTTTGTTACTAAAAAGCTTTTTCTGTCCACCAACTTTAAAAGTCAAAAGTCAAGCCGGAAAATCAATTTCTCCCATTTTTCACTGGAAAGTTAAATTTTTCCAGACATTGGCCCAAACTTGCTGAATTGTTTTATGCATATTATTAAGAAATGTCAAGAATATGTATAAAATTAGTTAAATTTTGAGGAAGCAAGTTTCCTTGCAGTGTGTTTTCGTTCTGTTTTTCAAAATTCAACGAAAATCCTTATCAGATTCCCCGCCGCTCCCCTAAAGAGCCAAAAATAGTGTTTCTGAACAGTTTTTTGGACACAGTAAAAACATTTTTGCAAATAGAATCTCTTGGACTTAAGAGTTTGACGGTCAAGAGAAAGATAATTGTTTTTTGTGTTCCCTTTTTTAAGTGTAGAATTTATTATTTATTCATCGAGCTTCGCTATTCCATGTTGAGAGGAGTGCGCGAATACAGGTTTCTGTGTCTCTCTTTTGAAAAAAGGGGGGAGAGAGAGAAAAAAATCGCTCCTCTGCTTTGTCAAGTCTATCTTGTGAAAATTAATATGCAATACTTCTGGCATCGGAAGTTGCGGTGCTGCAAATTGAAAAAAAAACGCTTGCAGAGTGTCTTTTTATATTGTAAACAAGGGTATCAGTTACTTTATCTTATCTATTCCACCTTCAATTGAGATATGCTTTACAATGTGTGTGAGATTCTCCGTGGATTTCTTGTGCCTTCACTTTCCTCAAAAACTCGATTAATGCTTGATAGCAATTTCATTTCATTCACTCTCTAACCGTTATCTCGCGCTCAGGTATGAGATTGTTGGTTGCTGAAGGCGCACGTCTTGGTCAATGTGGAAATTTGTGAGAACAAGTGTGTAAATGTAAAGTGTTTGGGATTTGACGGGGAGAGAGAAAGAGAGATGGTCTTGCGCGAGAGTCATAAAAGGAAATTCCGGCTTCTTTGCCACGCTGTTCTAATCATCAGTCAATAACCTAAATGCTCCCCGACACACACAACTAGAGATTATTGAGAAAGAGAGTCAACAATTGTGTATATCTCCCGAGTTGATGATGAAGAATGTCCCACCGTCTCTCAATGTTGTGTATTTGAAAGCGAACATTTATGAGAGATTTTACTTGAAAACAAGCGATAAAGTGAAGTGCGAGAGAGAGAATGGTTCTTGAAAGGGAACTTTATGACTCTCTTCTCACTTTCTACTTTTCTTCCCTCGACGTAATGTAAAGAAAAAAAACTGACTTCTCACAATTGTATTTTCCACCTTTCTTGCAGCAAAAGTGACGAAAAGACTTCTGAAGAAATGCCACACAATTCCAGACGGAGGAGCAATTGAGTGTCCTTGAGTAGAGATGGAATATTAGGGAATTTTCTGGTAGAAGAAGAATCACAGATCAAAACAGTTTTCCATATGGATATTACTGTGACGAGTGGATAAACACAGGTGAGCATTTGACGGCTTTATTGGGTGGTTTTGGCGTGAAAGAGTGCAGAAATGCCTGAAAAGTCATTTGAGTCCATTTCTTAAGAAAAACACCATTCATGTTTGTTCAACATGAGATGCATTAGAGGATCCCACTTTAATTTTCTCATATCATTTTGTAATTCAATGAGAAGTATACTTCATTATGTGGCTTTTTTCTGCTTCCCATTTCTTCGCCCCTCGCACAATGGCGTGATTGAAGCAAGTGGTGGTAATTGCTGCTTTATTTCTATTCTATTTTTTCCCACTCGTTCGGATAAGAGTTGATTCTTGAGCTGGTAAGAGATTTCTCTCGCTTCACTGAGTGTGGCGAAAAAGGTAGAAGAGTATTATTTGTACATTGTAGTGAGAGACTTTTACTTTCTTAATCCTCTTAGGATCGCAGTTTCGGAAGTTTTCTCCTCTGGGACTTTATATCAGTGAAAGTCCTTCAAATTTCACAGTTTATATTTAAAGTCATGCTCAGTGATGAGTTGAAATTCCTAATGATACGACGCATTAAGCCAATGGCGAGTGAGAAAGAAAGAAGGCATGTGAGATTTTCAACAGGTAATTAATGGGATTTCATGGCATTTGCATGAGATATAAAATTATTAATGTACTTTTGCTATTAAGTGAATTGAAATAGACAGAGAAAATATAATTGATGAAATTATACAACTCTTATTGCATGTAATACAAATGTTTTGTGCAATCAACGGTTTCAGTGTCAGGTGGATAGAGTTCCGATACGACAAATCCATCACGGTCCACGCAAAAGATTTCCCCATTGAGATCTTGGAGGTTGTTGTAATTACCATTGCCAGCGCAAGACAGCGTGAGGCTGAGGCCATTGTTGGTGAAGATTCTCTGATCTCGAGCGCAATCTGTAATTGAGACGGAAAGTGTGAGTTTGTGATGTGATTTGGGAAGGAAGTGTTGAATTGACTTACTGCAATCCATGGCATTGACTTGATTTGTGGGGGTGGCGAAGGAACCAAGACGGGAACCGTCACGCCATGTGCAGAAGGCCCTGTAATTGAACGGTTTAATGGCTGTTGAGAGACTCAACAAAAAAAGAGTGAATTCAAGAGACTCACTGTCCCTCGGCAATGCCGAAAGTGCCATAAGTGCCGTCATAGTGGCACTGGATGTTGGAGAAGGAGACTTGAGTGGTGCCACGCTTGCGGAAAGCATTCCTGATGATGCTCTGGGCGTGAGCGGCGCTGTCGCACTGTCTCAGGTACTGTGTGCCGTAGAAAGTGGCATTGTAGCAGGGCAGGAGGGTCCATAGGGAGTCGGGGACGGCGATGGTGTCTTCAGTGATGAATCCTGTCGCCGGATCGGCGCACCAGCAAGTGCCTTTGTCACACTGGAGCTCCTCATAATTGCCATTTTGCTGACAGTGAAGTGTGACGTCGTGACGGCCGCCCTTTTCGATGCTGTGCCTCTTTTGGCTGCATGCACACGTCATCTCTTCAGCGCTTCTCCACCACTCCCACCCGAAAATCCTCTCGCCATCCTCACTAGAGCAGAAGCATCGTCCTGTGCTTCTGTCGCCTTTGCACTGCTTGGCAGCGAAGGTGCCATCGGGATTGCAGGTGGGCAATTGGCCAAATTGTGTCTGATTCAGATGTTCCGTGAAGAAGCAGGAAGTTTTATTCAGCTCACACACGAATTCGGTGCACTGGAGACCACGATCGCAATTGACAGGCGTTGGTTGATGATTCACGTTGCAGGATTCACCCAAACCCGCGGCATTTCCACCGGACGCAAGGAGAACGAGTGAAATACTTGCCCACAGAAGTGTCATGCTTTATGACGACTGAATGAGCACAATTTCCACCAAGAGCCAGGAAATAATATTTCTCTATCAATAGATAATTACACGGCAATGGTTTGAAGTAATTTCTTGTGAATTTGATATCATGGTATCTTATCATTTTTTCGCTGAACTCGCACTGTATTCATATGAATACTTTCAGTATCAGAAAAGAGTAGAGAGAATGGCTTAATTGATGGCGAATGATGATATTCTGCATAAGAATTTGAGAGCAAGCAGCAATAGACAATTGCCTTGGCCATGAATGTCTTGATAATTTCATTATCATTCCCAAGAGTGACTTCGTCACAGAGCTAACTTGGGTGCTTCGCCAGATAAAGTCTCCATGACGTTCACCTGTGCGGGGATTGTGAATTGAGTGATTTATGGGTGAGATAGAGATTTGCAGTTTACACGCGAAATTTCCCACTTCTCGTGAAGGAGTTTCATTTTGTTTTTATCATTCTGTTATCACAAGACTTGAGCGGTGAATTTATCAGAAAATGTAGAGAGTTGTTTCATAGTTGTGGGAACATTTGCCGAAAAAAGATGGTGTGTCTGGAAGATTCCCAGAATATATTTAATGTAGACTGACTAATTTTATCTCTTCTTCTTCTTTCAGAAAAGCATCATTGAGCGAAGAGAGTGCGCTTTGGCGGCGGGAGAGGCGGATTCGTTGTGTGTTCGGTGGTGGTGAAATGGAGAAAGGGATAAATCCGGCGTCGGGACCAAAAGTCTCGCAGATTGCCAATATATTTCAGCGTAAGCCAATTGAAGTGTCAGCACAGATGGAAGATCCCAAAGAGACACAGACTTCGGTGTCAGTGGTGAGGACTGAATCGCATGCGGCGCGTTTCAACAATGCTCGGGCGCTCTTTGAGAAATTGGGCGTGGAGAATCGCGTTCCGCGGCCGGCGTTTTCAGTGAAAATGAGTAACTCGGGCAGTCGAGAGGAGAATCTCAATGAGATGAGCCCCGAGAGGACACGTGGATTCCCCACGGCGGCCACATGTGGCAGTGGCACAATAACCAATGGTGTGTCGAAGATTGACACGACGAAGATTCACAATGTGAGTCGATTGAAGAGTGCGGAGAAGCCGGAGAAGCCTGAGAAGCCGGAGAGGAAGTTCAATTCGCGCGAATTGATTGAGAAGCAGAAGAATTGGACATCGCATTTCTCAAAGACGCGAACAACACGCTACAATAGTGATCCGAATCGATGTGATATCATCCGGACGGTGCCTGGCACAGGACTAATCTCGGCGGAGGTGCTCAAGGAGTCGCCCAAGGCGAATCCCAGCCCCTATCCGGACATCAAGCCACGCTTCACGCGTCCCACTTCTGTCAGCAGTCCAACGCGCTGTCCGTCGATTGGACAGATGTACAAGAGTCCGCCGTCATCGCCGGGCGCTGGGCAGATGGCAAGTTCTAGTCCTGCCAGATCAAAGATCAAGGATGACATTCCGGAGAAGCGACGCAAGAAGTCAACGGATCTGCTGATTGAGCCGCCGCCAGAGCCGGACCAAGCCATGAGCATGAGCAATGAGTCTGACGTGGTGTCACCAGCCTGTGGGCTCAGCTCTACCTCCAGTCCGCTGGCCAGTGCATCGTCCGGGCCCACCAGCCCCATTCACACGGAGGACGAGAAGCAGGAGAATGAGTCGAATGAGAAGTTAGACAAATTGGATGCAGGTGAGAGACACAGGCTTGTGCCCAAAAAGTGTGCAATATTCCCCTTGAATTTCTCAGAACATCTCAATTTCTCCCCCTTCTCGAGATGCTCTCTCTCTCCAGAGATTTAAATAGTGAGGGAGGCGAAATGGCCTTTTTTAATGTTCACAGCTATTGTGGATATAAATAAGTTTCTCATTGCGTGTGTGCATATGTGTCTGGAAGGGGGCGCGAAGTGTGTTCCATTCTTCGATGACTTGATGTTATTTCCGGTGTGAGGAAATATTTCTATCAGAGAAATGCCTCGAATCTCGCAAGAGGAATGATAGAAATTTATTTGCACATGAAAAAAAGTTGAGAGAATTGAAGTTCATATTTCGATGCGGCATAAAATTCTTATGCTTGCTGAAGTGCTTCCACATGAAAAGAAGAAGAAAAAAATAAGTGTCTCAATTGAGAGAGTGTTGGAGAAGCAAAACAAAGATCTCCCCAATAAATTCTAGCGCGCAACTCAGAAGATCGCTTCTTGGCAAAGCCGACGAAGATGCTGATCATGTATTTTAGTCTCCGTCTGTTGCTCCATTGAGGATAATCGTGCGAAGATTGCGTTTCGTCTGCAAATATTTCCTTGTTGTCCTCAAAGACAAGAGTGTTTTTCGGATGATTTGTGTGACCACGGAAAGTGTGTGTGTTTTTATGATATTGCACTGAGATTGAAGTTGTGATTCAGTTGCTTATGAGCGGGAAATATGTGGGAAAATGTATTAAAGAGTCATTCAACTGTGGATTTTTTATACACCCATCACACAACATCACTAAACTCCCACATTTTCGCTTTCTTTGCCGCGCGTCTCTTGAGATTTGGCAGATTTTTTGTAGAGTCTGCTAATTGTACGATGTTTGGCTAATAGATAATGTGTCCTCTTGCGTTTCGAAGACTTTGCTTTTAAACAATCACACAGAGATGATTGAGTGAGAGAAAGAGGGCGATCAAGAGGCGCTCTTGTGAATAAATTGAAATCAATTGATAATGCGCGTGGAGTGATTTGGTGTGTGCAAGGAAAGGAAATGAGGGGGAAAATAGAGAAAAGTTCGATGCTAAATTGGTCTCTGTTCTGCCTTGGACAAGATCCTCCGTGCGAAATGAGACAAACGCCACGGTCTTTCAGACATTTGTGATGTAACGCAAATTAAAGTGTATATTAAGAGTGAATGCTATGTAGAAAATTATATTTAGAATTTCGTGGTGACTTTCCTCAATAATATTATTCATACATTGCTTGTGTACAAGGGTAAATGATGACAGAGGCGAGTGCATGGCATGTTTCTCAGACACAACATAGAAGTGAAGACTTGTGGGATTATTTTATTCATGGACAAGAGTAATGTTGTGAAGTGTTGTACAGTGTATTGGATGCAAAATGTGCTTCAATATTCGTCGATTTTGCATCAATTGCCGAGGTTTGTTAATTCTTTTTCACTCTTCAACTTGCCAAGGAGTATCGGTTTCACTGTGAATGGCCAGAGAGATGAAAGATGATGCCGTGTCATTGATTTGGCGAGTGTCAAAGTTTGTGGAACACTTGATATTTGGTGTATCTTTTTGGGATTCCAGCCGATAGAGCTGCACAAGGCTTTCAAAGGGTTCCATGAGTTTAGCTTCGGTGAATGAGAAATTTGCATCGTCAAATTTTGTGTAAATATCCATCTTTGAAATGTTATGTTCTCCGGCAATGAGGATGGTAATTAATGTTGCGAGAAATTTGTTTCTCTTCCTGGCCACTTCAATGATGGGCTTTTGCTGAGAGTCCAGTACTTTCATAATTTTCTCCAGCAGCTTTTTGTCCTCTTCCGCGTTTAGATTGAGTGTTGGATTAGCCAAGAGGGATTTGAGGAGGGAATATTGTTTCTGTAGTATTGAATTTACGGATGAGAAATTCATTTTGTTCAACAGAAAATATTTGAAAGACGACTAGATTAATTAATTTTCTTGGTTGTCTCTTTGTAGGAAAATCCCTTCGCGATGATCATGCAGAGGATTCAGCGCAGAAGCAATTGAAGGGTGTCACAAGTATTTGTCTCAATATTCCCGGTGTGCGTTCTTCGAGTATTTCCACGGTTTCCGGATCGACTGACGAGGGTGGCTTCAATGAGCCCTCGCCGGAAATCAAGGCGCCTCTGAAGCCACCATATGATTTCGATTTGCCAGTCGACTTGCCACCGGAACCGCCAGCATCACTGCGAGATTCCTCGTCCCTCGACTCGAGCTCGCCGCACGAACTGCACTACGTAGATGTGGGCTATCGCCTCAATCCGGATGGCAGCGAGGGCGATGATTACAAGGAGAATGACTACTACAGTGGCCAAATGTCACAGGGACGCGGCATTCCTCCACCACTGCCCTTTCCGCCGCCCATGGAGATTGAAGGCAGCAAAGTGGTGTACGCCACCATCAAGCCCGAGTTGCCTCCGCCGAATGAACTATTCGCCGACAGCAAGTCCAATTCGCTGGAGGAGGATGTGCAATCGCCGGTGAGCGGAAGCACGGACTATCACACGCCACAGAGTATTCTCGATCCCACGCGACCAACGCTGATTGGCGGCGCGGCACCCGAGGCGAATGGGGTGATTGAGGATCCAGAGGTGTTCTTGAGTCAGAAACCACTGCCGCCGCCACCGTCCCCGCCCATGTCCGACGGCCCACCGTTGGATGTGCAGGACGTGAAGTTTGCCGATGCCAGCGACAGTGACCATGAAAATATCCCAGATGCAATGACGGCCGACGAGGCGGAAAGACTCTTGAGTTCCAGGTGAGTTGTTGCCACCCTTTTTTGTGTCTCTTTCCCCTCACACTCTGATGGTGTTTAATTCATTGAGCAACTATCATGTGACGGCATTTGCGAATGTCCTGCGCGGACATGGGATGTGAATGGGAAATACATATGTATCTTTGCCCCAGATTTGTTGAGTTGAAAGTGGACCACAAAATCCCATGCACTGTGTGGAATTTTCCATGAAAATAAATTCATGGTGATTCAGTGACGTGATATTAGGAGTCCTATTTAATTGTAGGATTTGCAAGCCACGCCCCTGTAAAAGCCCCGCCCATAATCATGATCTATTGATTTATTATTCACACAGCGCTTACGATAGTTGCTGATTGAATTGGGAGATTTCGTACCTCTATTCTCCCTCACATTCTCATGTGCATGTTATGTGGTGAAAATGTGGGTGAAAATTCACGTTATGGGAAACTCCAAGGATTTTTCAGGGAGGTTTCGCGCGCGCGACAGAGAAAGGCTATTCGAGGTTGAAGGCTCGTGGAGGACGCGCGCGATGAAGGACGTTTTTTGGGGGTGGTATGAGAGAGAGAGAGTGGTGGGGGGGAGTAACACATAAGAATTCCCACCCAATTTTTATTTTAGCATTTTATTTGCGCTATGTTTTATCGATCCCAAGTGGCGATGCTTACGCTGGGCGCGAGTGGGGGTGGACTTGGGACAAAACATGGCAAATAGCATTTTTTCACGAGATTTCTCTCTGTCTCGCTACCTTTGCTTGTTTACAACAGTCTGTTCTGTTGCCTGTTTCCGTCCAATTGCTGTGATTTTCCTCTTTAGTGTCGTTTAATCTGTATTCCTCATTGTATGTTCTCCACAATGTTGTAGTGTTTCTGTTGTGAGAGGGAATTTTGAGCTAAATATTCTGGCAATATAGGTAAAATTGGGAAATTATTTGACATTATTTACACATCTTATACATGTTTCTATACTCAATTATGATTTGATGATTTCTTAATTTATTCTTTAAACACAAATATTTTCATGTTTTTGCTTCGCTTCGCCGAAAAATCTTCATCATATTGTCATCCAACATATTGTCATCATCTGCATTTTATTTGCTTGTAAATATCTCTGGATAATTTGCCACAATCCTGATTGACACACAAAAAAAACATAATCAGGATTTTGGAGAGTAAAATTCGGTAAGTTTATTCTTCATTTCTTTACTTTTGTGTTTGATACTCACTCTGGGTTATTATTACACAGTGAATGTTGTTCCCTTGAGGAGTGTGTGTGTTTGGTGCGGATTGTTAGTTTTGAGGGCTAAATGGCGAGGGATATTGTATTAGAATGAAAGTGTGTCCCTGAAAAGTTGTGTTGCGATTAACAATTCTGACTCACTTTCCTCTCTTTCTCTCTTCGCGCCATCGCTGCACTTTCTATTCATAGAGAACAATCAATACTGTCAGATGAGCAGGCGAAAGAGGTGGAAGCGCTCCTCTCAGTCAAATCCCAGCCACCGCAGGAGGTGGAAGCGCTGAAGACGGTGCCAGAGGTTCCTGTGAATGGCCTCAATGGGAATCACGCGGAGGGCGATCCGCTGAATGAGTCACTCGTCTCAGTGGAATCCATGCAGAGTGCCACTGAAACGGCCACCAATAAGGTGACATCTAGTCATTTGGATGATGAGTCCGCGGCTGGATCGGTCATATCGCTGGCCGAGGGCGAGGCGGACGTGTCGGCGGATGAGAGTCACGACTCGTACGTGCCAGAATATCCGCCTGTGAAGGCGAAGGAAGTGTATGTGGAGGCTGGAGTGCATTACTTTGAGGATGGGAACTTCTGGATGGAGGTTCCGGGCCTGCTGGAGTCTGACGATGAGGATGACGAGCTTGAGTATCCGGCCTACACGAAGCGCAATTCCAAAGTGAAATTCAGCACGGGACCGATTCAGGTAATTAAGAATTCACCTTTTTCTCGGCCATTTCATTTATTTGCTGTAATGAAAATTTCTTTTTGTTGGCCCAATAACTCTAATGGATTAGGTCTTTATTCTAAAAAATAAGCCAAAATGGTAAAATTAATATCCTTTTTACTGATTAGGATAAGAACCTTGGCATTGTCATCAGCTTCTTCTATGGGGAAGAATTCCTGTCAGGAACTTTGAAACTAGACTTAATCAGTGAAATTTTTAAACTTATTTTATTGGTCAAAGAAGTTACACTAATTCTTTTGCTCAAAATACACTTTTTTGTTGTTCGTTCGCAGGTTTTCTCCACCTATTCGGTCAATGACTACGATCGCCGCAATGAGGACGTGGATCCGGTGGCGGCGTCGGCGGAGTATGAGCTGGAGAAGCGCGTGGAGAAGATGGACGTATTCCCGGTGGAACTGATGAAGGGTCCCGAGGGTTTGGGCCTCAGTATTATTGGCATGGGCGTGGGCGCGGACGCCGGACTGGAGAAGTTGGGCATATTTGTGAAGACAATCACAGATAATGGTGCTGCGGCGCGTGATGGACGCATTCAGGTCAATGATCAAATTATCGAGGTGGACGGGAAGAGTTTGGTCGGTGTGACTCAGGCCTATGCGGCGTCGGTGTTGCGAAACACTTCCGGATTGGTAAAGTTCTCCATTGGGCGCGAGAGGGATCCGCAGAACTCCGAGGTGGCGCAGCTGATCCGGCAGAGTCTCCAGGCGGACAAGGAGAAGGAGGAGAGGCTAAAAGTGTAGGTGTTTTGCCAGTGCTTTATGAGATAGACAGTGAATTGACATTGTGAGCTTGATTTTGCAGGAAGCAGCAGCAAGATGATAAGTTTAGACGAGTGTCTGAACACTCTGATGACTCAACACTTCCGGCTTCGGCTAATTCGAGTGTGTGTGAAGGACCAATGAGTCCAACGGCTGCCATGGAGTCGCTCTTCGATGCAGAAGCAACGCATTCGCAGGAGGTGGAATCCCTAAAGAGGCTTCTTCAAGAGGTGAGTTTGATGAATGGTTTTGCATTAATTGAGAAAAACATTCTAAACTGATCTTATATTGCTATTTTGTCCTGGACAATGCAGCACAAAGCGGTAAAGCTCGTGTGTTTCTGTCTTGAATAACAATATCTATAGTTTGATTAACTTAATAGTTGTCTATATTTGAGTGTTTGATTAATTTGCCGTTGCTGCAAAATTGATTTATAGTACATTTTTGTTGTGTGCTATTTTTAGACACAATTATATGCGTGTTCTTTTATGTTTTCTGTTGATCCACTTTTTTCAGAGCCAATTGAAGTATTTCAGTATTGAAAGAGAACTTATGGTCACTAGAGAAAAGGTAAGTTTCACTGTTTGTGTGCCACTTTAACTGTGCTTTTTAAAAAAAAGAGGAAGAAAAAAAATATTTCTGGCCTTTACCGATTTACTTTGAGTGTCAAGGTTTGTAGTGAGAGTGCAAAAGAAGTCTTTTCGGCACATGGAAAATTGAGGGTGTTTTTCTGTGACTTGCATGAATTGCAAATGTGCTCCAGAAAGTTCAGTAATTCAGCAATTTTTCCCTTTGATTGTCATCTGCAGCTCATTAAGTTGGAATCTACGGGAAGTGAGACGGAATTGCTGAATGAAAGACTGAGACAGACGGAGCAGGAGTTGGTGAATGCCAAGAAGGAGTCGACAAACTATCAGAGCATGCTTCAACAGTCTCAGGCACAATACTCTGTCCTGGATAAAAAATACATGAAGGCTAAGAGAATTGTTCGGGAGTTCAAGCAGAGGGAGATTGAGTTGGTGGGTTTCTATTTTTGGTTGTATTTATCGTGCATAAAATGCGGTGATAATGATGATGCAATTCTGCAGATCCACCGAGAGGAGTTCTATCTGCAGTGCCTGCAGGAGAAGGACACGGAATACAATGCTCTGGTGAAGAAGCTGAAGGACCGTGTGATATCTTTAGAGCAGGAGCTGGAGACCACACAGAGGAAGGCGGGCTTCCCCGTCTTTTTGCCCTACGAAAGTGCAAGTCTTAAGGTAAAAGCTTCCGCCGGACTTCCATTTTAGTGGGCTTCTGTTTGACTAATTTCGCATTCTGCAGTTAACACCACAAATGTCTCGAAAGCAACCGCCAAAGCCGCTCTTTCCCAAATTGGACACAGAGCTGTCTGACACGGAGATCTCAGATGTGTCGATTGAGGGCGAGGGCGAGAAGACTGCCACGGTGGAGAGGAAGTTGCCGCTGAAGGATGAGTTGGACACGGCAATTCCGCAGCACGAACTGCTGGATAATTCGGCGAACAAGTGCAAGAGCGGATTAGGTGAGAGAACAGCCAACAAGAGCTATCTGCATGTGTTAAATTCTTCCTGTGAGTTTAATTTTTAACATTAATTTCTCTCTATATTCTCTATAATTTCCCCATCGTTGATTTGTGGCGAACAATATTTATACCTCTCCACGCTCACTGTTGTTTTTTGACTACAAATTCTTTCTCTCTGTGTGTCGTTGGGCATGAGAGACGTGATTTAGTTGGGGGATTGAAGCGATTTGAGGTGCAATTTGGCGTCGTGTTGATGAGCGGGTTGAGGGAGATGGGCAAGTCGCTGGAATTTGTGTGTGTGGTTCTCTTTGCAGCTTCGCGAGGGGGGCTTTCGAAGCGCCAATTGCCGTCAGGTAAGAAGAGCCTGAGCAGCAGCAGTTCCGATTGCGCTCTCGACGAGACGACGGACGAGGAGGAGCGCACACAGTCCACTTCGGTGTCCCAGTCGGATGCCTCGCCGCTGGTTGTGGAGGAGAATCCCGTTGTGAGTCACTATGCCGCGACGAATCTCATCTACCAGGAGATTCCTGCCGTTCCGCCACCACCGCCGCCGGTCTCTCTGTCGCCCTCGCCACCCACGACTTCGTCCACGCCGACGACCGTCTTGACGCCGAATCTGGCGCCCGTGGCGATCGCCGAGTTGCAATCGTCGCCCCTGTACGCCCAGGTGCAGAAGGACAGGAGTTCAACGGCGCACACCACGTCTGTTAGCACATTCAAGCCGAGCGGGAGTGTCTTTGAGTCTTCCGTGTCGCATGCCAGTGAGCTCAGCAGTTCGTACGACAGCATCCTGGGCGGATCAAGCGAGAAGCTGAGCGACAGTGGAAACGCATCGGACAGCTGGATGTATCCGGTGCGACGCAAGGGTCTCCGGCCGCCGTCCTCCTTCACTGAGCAGCTCAATCAAGTGCTAACAAAACGCGAAAGGTGCCTCTAAAATGTCCAATTGCGGAACTCATGGCAGCAATTATAATTTGCCATTTCGTTACATTTGTCCTATATTTGTCACTTGAAATTATATCAATTTATTTTATTCTCGAGTGAGAAAGCCGTGAAAAATTTGGCGAACATCATGAATATTGCCAAGTCTTGATAGTCGCCACTTTATTAAGTAGCATTGTGAAAACATTGTAAAAAAGACAGCTAATCTATTTTCAGCTAATTGCTCATTAGATGTCTGTTATCGTTGATGTGTCGCGCACAGGAATTGGGTGTATTTTGATGTAATTGAAAATTGCTGCCGCGAGTTTTCCAACGCAATTCCACCCAGTCCAAATTAATAACTTTACCACTCTGCCCATCATTATCAAAGTGTGTGCGGAGAATGTGCTTTGAGAGTGATATTGTGGCTGTTGTGACTCTATTTCTCCTCTTTTTTTCCGATGACTCTGATTTTTGGCCATTAAGAATCGCATTTATTAACACACGTTTTTTCTCTATCCTCGCCCGCCCAATTCCAAATCCACACTCTCTGTTCATCTCTCTCGCAGTAGACGAGGTGGAAGCGATAATTCGTCGAGAGAATCTTGTGATAATTATGCAGAAATAAGTCGACCACAAAATCCCACGGCGATTTTAACACAGAATTTGCTCGTTGAAATACGACAGGCGGTCAATGAGGCACAGCCAAGAGGTAAAGAGAAGCGTGTGTGTGTGTGTGGTTTGGAGAGAAAAAAAGAGAGACTTTTCCCTTTCCTCAAGAAGGAGTGGAAAAGATCGTGCAAAAGAAGCAAGACACAGTTTTTCCTTTTATTTGACATTACTTGCAAGCAGACCTGAAAATTGCAATGCAGAGGTTTTCTTTTTCGTTGGAATTTACACACACATTTTTTGTCGTATTGGTCGTGTTTTATTTTTCATTATGATGTTGTTTTTTTCATATTGTTTGAATTTACTACTGAATTTGTTTGGTGTCTTTTCTAGCCTCTTCCTGTGTTTTCTATATTTGTGTGTTGATTTTCTTGGTGGTTTTTCCTCTTCAAATTTTCACTCTGTCTGCGCAAAAAGCACTTGCACGAATTTCTATTGGTATATATTTTCCCTTGCAATCAGCTTCTTCACGATGTTGTTTTCTCACCCTCTTCGTGCTATTTATTTTTTTGGTTTGTTCTTTTCCCCTTTGCACCAGAAAGTTGTATAATATGTGTACTTTTTGAGAATTTGTAGTCAAATGGATTGCAATGGCACTTTAAGGTGCAATTGAGTGATTTTCCATCTTCTCTTTGGATTGTCTTGCAGTGAAAAACATCTTCCCGAAGACTCTCTCTCCGCCCGGAACTGTGCCGTGGCAGCAACAGCAGGGACCACCGTCACCGTCCAGCATCAGCTCGGGATCGACGTCTCCGGGCGCGCACTCGCCCAATCGGACGCTCGATCTCAGCGGCTCCAGTGGCAGTTTCTCCAGCCTGCAGAAGAGCAAGGCGTCGCACAACTGGCAAAATGGACCAGTTCACCAGTGGTCAAGGGAGCAAGTAAGATATTTTAACAGTCGTTCTTGAAATATTTTTATTTTTGAAAAGATAAGAGACTTTTTCTTGGAAATGTTTTGTCGCATTAACCTTCACGGTTGCGTGGATCTTTTCTTTGATAAATGCATGTTGTTAGCGCCGAAATAAATATGAATCACAGAAGAATTGGAAGTAAAATTGGAAATTCAAGGACTGATTCATTCGAAACACTGTACTTTGATTTTCTTGCTACATATGATTTTATATCTGATTCATTTGAAATTTACGGCGATAGGTACATAAAAGTTTCACTATTTTACTCATTTGCGCAATATTTGGTCATCAATAGTTTGTCGTGCAAGCATTTCACCTGGAATTTAGCTCTTTGTTCTCCTCAAACTCATAAAATCAGTGCTCTCTGGGCCGTATTCACTATTATTACTGTCTCACGACATAAGTGCAGCTCATTGCGTTGCTTATCTTCATTTAACCTCCGCTCTCTTGGCAGGTTTGCCAGTGGCTGATGGCTCTGGGACTGGAGCATCACACAGAGAAGTTCATTGAGTGTGGTGTTGAGGGCGGCGCTTTGCTGCAGTTGGATTCGCGTGACTTCAAGATTCTCGGCGTCGCCGGCGATGACAAGTCCAAGCTCAAGCGACACTTGAAGGTGCTGAAGAACATGATCGAGAAGGAGCGGAAGCAGCAGGAGAAGACGCGCAAGCAGCACGAGAAGCAGCTGCGCAAGGCGGAAAAGGAGGCGGCCGCGGCGGCCAACAAGAAGAAATAAGAACGCGAAAGACTCATTTCTAGTATTGTATATGTAATTTCTGACCCATTTGTTGATTTGTCTGTCTCTGCATTTGAGGACTTTTTACACAAACCATTTACAGAGTTGAGAGAAGAGTATTAGTAATTTTTAGGCAATAATTGTCTCTTGGCCGATATTTGTTGGCCGATTTTAATTAAATATAATTATTCAATGTAGTTTCACAAAATGTCACTGACCGGTAAAATGGCAGAATTTTAGGAGAGCATAAAACAATGGGTAATGAAAAATGTAAACGTTACAATTTATGAACAATGAACTGTGTCAAATTTTATGATAAACAAATTTATTCTAACTTTTACGAGAACAGAAGGAATAGAAGGGTGGATTATAACAAGAAAAAAATACTACAATTATAAATATTTAATCTATGTGAAAAAATACCGATGATAATCTTATTAGAGAAAAAAGAAAAAAAAACATAACTACAGAATTAAAAAAAAATGATCAATCGAGGAGATAAATTTTTATTTACAAAAATTTACATTCCCGTATTTATTTAATTTATACGTTAACAAATTAATTTATAGTTGGTAGTGTTAGTTTTCCAGTATAATAATGATAAATGCGCGGATAGCAGGCAATTGTGTAAATTTTGTGATTATTTAAATATCCTTTTTAGTAGGGCAAATTGAGTGAGATTTTCGAAACTCTAAATAGTTGTTTTCCCTCCTCTTCCTTTTACAAATTCACAATTAAATTATTACATAAAATGCATTTTAGCAAGGCTTAGAGAAGTATTTTAAATTTTAACCTATGAGATTATGTGTAATCCTATTGTCGAATGGCGAGAAGAGTTGAGAAAACATTTTTGAATGCAAACGATACGCAGTGAGAGTATGATTTTTTTACATTAAAAACAAATTGTAGTTGAGATTGATTAATATTATAAAATGACGAGAGACAGAGAGAGAGAGAGAGAGAGAGAGAGAGAGAGAAAATCAAGGAGACGAATAATAAGACATTTCAGAAAGTATAATCAATGAGAGATTCAATGAACTATTTATAATCTTGACTTTGGTTGGAAATGCCAGTGATTGCAGCAGAACGAAAGGAAGATGGACTGATAAGGGGTCACGAGGGGGATCAAGCAGAGACTGATCACACGCAAACAAAGCGGGGATCCCGGAAAAAATCAACACTTGTTTGTCTTATTCACTCTCATCGCGCGCATTATCTCAATAATATTTGTGATTGTGGCGTCGAATGGAATTCAGGACCTCTTCTCACTGATCGACGATGAATCGCTGCCCGAGCCCCCAATTATTGAACCTTTGGATCCGCTGGATTCTGGATATTCGACTCTGCTTCACTGATTTCAATTTTATATTTGTTTATCAATCAATTGAATTCCACTGAGTGGCTTTATCACGCGGGAATCTTATGAAATTTCACATGCGACTCAAATGGCGAAAGTCGCATGGCGACAAATGTGATTTCGCGCTGCACTCGCGTGGAAATAGTGCGGATTGGAGACCTAAAAATCCCGAAAAACATTGATTTATCTCGTGTGTTTATTATTTTGAAAGTGAAAAAAGTAGAGCATATATTTGTGTGGCTCTGCTGTCTTATCAGCGAGAGCAGCGCTGTGTTTTGTAGTTGATTCTCGTGCGGACAGTTTATCAATGGAAGTGCGCGCGTCAATGTGAGCCAGCTGATTCCAAGGATCTCCTCATAAAAGCTCGAGACACTTTAGTTAGTTGCTTCCGAGCAGTCGAGCGAACAAGTTGAGAGAATATTTTCTGTGATCAGAGTGCGCAAGCGAAGCAGTTGGAGAAGATTCCAAAGTGATCGCGCGAAACTCCTGAGATTATCACACAACTATTCCTGGGCGATTGAGAAGGACGCGGACAAGAATTCACAACAATGACCAACACCACGAACGGCAAAGTGATCAATGGGAATGGCACCAGCGAGAGATCTCGCAGCCCAAACAGCCAGAAGCCAGAGGAGCTGTAAGTGCTAAATACTTCCCCAAAATAATTTATCTGTTGGTCATTAGGAAAATTTCCAGTTTAAATATTTTTTTCCGAGAGTTTAATCTTGAGGAGTTGGAAAGGGGTCAAATGGAAAGTGATTACGAGGCGCAGTGCAAAATTTGCCAGTGATCTTTAGCAAAACAACTCTGCGCGCCAGTTGTCAATATTTCCCCATTGAAGAGGTGTTAAGGTCGCACGCAGGAAGTTGTCGTGCACGTGGCCAAATTGCCTTGACTTTTACATAGCGCGATATACCAATTGAGATGTGTTGCTCTGCACTGAGATCGGCCAATTAACTGCCAATTGGCGGTAAGTGCAATTGATAACGTGATTTGATCATGTGACCAGGAAATTGAAGAAAAAGAAATACTCTCGGCAAATTATGATAAATGATCTCAATACAATCGTAGGCTGTGTTTAACTCAGCAATGTTCTCTCTTCTTACTATTTGTCACGCCCACTCTTAAACCACGCCCGTCCAACTTAGATTTTATTTTTAGGCATTGTCTATTATCACCAATGATTTTTTTATCGTTAGATATCCCTATGAGATGATCAAGGAGATCGCTGATCATCTGCTGGAGAAGACAAAGTACCGCCCAAAGATCGGGATCATCTGTGGCAGCGGTCTCGGGACTCTGGCGGAGAGTCTCACTGACGTGGACGTGTTTGACTACGAGAACATCCCCTACTTTCCGTCCACCACAGTCGAGGGCCACGCTGGCAGAATGGTCTTTGGCCAGCTGAATCGCGTCCCCGTGATGTGCATGCAGGGCCGATTCCACTATTACGAGGGACACTCGCTGGAGAAGTGCTCCATGCCCATCAGGGTCATGAAGTTATCAGGCGTGACCCATCTGATCATCACGAACGCTGCTGGTGGGCTGAATTCAGCCTACAACGTCGGCGATATCGTGGTGATCAAGGACCATCTCAATCTCATGGGCATGGCGGGACTCAATCCCCTCCTGGGCCCCAATGATCCGCGTTTCGGACCTCGCTTCCCCGCCATGAACAACGCCTACACGCCAGAGTTGCGCGCCATGGCGAAGAGGATCGGCACTGAGATGGGAATCGCCAATGAGATGCATGAGGGTGTCTACACGTAAGTCACACACCATGATTATCGATTGACTCGCTCTCTGTTATCTCATGCTGGCTGTTTGCAGATGTCTGGCCGGGCCCAACTACGAGACTCCAGCTGAGCTGCGCGCGCTCAAGATTCTGGGCGTCGATGCAGTTGGGATGTCAACAGTGCATGAAGTCGTCATGGCCAAGCATTGCAACCTGACGGTCTTCGCCATCAGCTTGATCACCAATAAGTGTGTCTTTGATTATGATGGGCAGCAGGAGGAGGCCTGCCATGAGGAGGTCGTGGAGGTGGGAAAGATCCGGCAGCGTGTCTTGTGCGATCTCGTGCAGAGGATGGCGACGGAAATTGCAAAGTGAAACAAATTCTTAATGTTAAATTCGCAAGAGAGACAATAAATTAAATGTGCTTGGAAATTGGCGACCTTTATGGCACTCTTGCCTGAAATTATTCTCTAAAGGCCTGTGAGTCCAAATACCTTTCTTTTATTTGACATCAAATACATTGGTGAAACATCGATTTTTGGTGAATTCTTCATTCGCTCTTTGGAAGAATAATTGGTAAATATGTTGGTGTGTTAAAGCCGTGCCGTAACAATATTTATCACAAAATGGACTATAAGATAGTGTTAATGATGAAATTATGTACCATTGAGAAATTCTCCAAGAGGCGAACTTTTAAAATGACTAGAATAACAAAAAGTCAGGTGATTAATCATGCACGCGTTGTGGTCTTTGAGGGAATTACTGAGAATCACGCTGAAATAATCAGTGGCGGGAACATAAGTCCATCTCTCTTGGAGCAACTCTCAAAGACCGGTGATAAATTCTACAATTGACCAGTGCGCGACTCGAAAAATGTATAGAAAAATTCAAGGAATTCCCTTATCAAGCACACACCCACCGACATTACAAATCCCACTGATAGCAAAAGTGTGGATAACATACACGCTACTTTAGTCCCTAAACGCTGTCGGAGTCGCTGAGCTTCGCCAGTTCCGATTCCAGGCGCAACAGCTGAACGTACGTGATGAGGCGCCAGTTCTCCTTCTCATTGTCCGAGCTGATGAACGTGGTGTAGTAGGAAATGAGCTCCTGCGAGCCGTCATCGTCCAGATCGGCGATCATCAGCGAGTTCTCCTGGTAGTTGAGATCCGGCTGGCAGAAAATCTCCTCGCCGTGCTCCTCCAGACAGAACTGTACAATGTTGTTCTGACTAGTGTTGATTACGCGTGTGTCTGTGGAGTTGAACAGGATCATGAGCACCACTTCGCGCAGCACTCGCATGCGCAGCATCGGCTCCATCGGCGAGTGCGTGTGATTGCGCACCATCTCAGGAAACTCACGGCGCTTCCGTGAGCTGAACAACTCCCCGGAAGACGGCGTCCACTCCCAGAACTTCACAATGAACCCACTTACAGCGCTCCTCGTGGTGTTCAGGCTGAGACTCGTGGGCACCATGCCGTATATCCCCGTTCCGTTCTTTATCAGCACTTCGTGGTTGTGCCTCTCGTCCGTCAGGCGCACCGTCATATTGCAGTGATGTGGACACTTGCCGCGATTTTCCACAATTAGCTCCCTTCCGCCAGCCGGATAGATGTTGTACTGGTTCTCCGTGTTCTTCCGCTGGCCCAGTAAGCGGTGCTGCTCAATGCTCTCCGGCCTGGACAGTATGTTCACCTTCAGGGCGGTGTTTGTCCACAATCTATAGAGATCCTCGAGGGATTTGCTGAACGCCACTGAGCTCTCATTGCGCCAGCAACTGAGATTTATCCGGAAATCCTTGTCAATTGTCAATCTGTGGATGCTCTCGCATTCCATCACGGTGTAGCTCTTGCCCAGGACTCTTCCAGTAGCGCCAGAGATTAGAATCAGACTGTTGTGTTGATTCGCATCACTGAGCCCGATCTGCAGGAGGTCTTTCACGCCATCTCCATTCAAATCTGGTAAAATCAGTGGGAAATCCACAGAATCTTCTGGGATTCTCGATGAATTTGCTCCTCTGGTGTTGATGTGCCACAGCCACTCGCCTGAGACGGGATCCAGAGCGCCCAGAAGGCCCATCTTTCCCACGATCAGACAATCCGGTTGGCCATTCTTATCCACATCCACGAGAGTGCAGTCTATCGACTTGGGTTCCTCCGGCATCTCGTCATACCACGCAACATGACCGCCTCTGCCAATCAGCGAGATGATCCCATTCGTGTGATGCTCTCCATCCTCGAATTCCGCAAAAACTCTGTCGCTGCGATACATGAAGATAAGATTCTTTCCTCTGCCCTGCACGCCAGCCACTGTATTTATCACGCCCTTTAGCTCAATCTTCTCGTAATCCCGCAGCCAGTTGTGAGTCTTCATGCCCTTCTCACCATTGGAGCATGTGGCGGAGTCCGAGCAGGGCAGCAACCACAGGAAGGCCACAGTGACGAGGATGCAGAGCCCGATGGAGGCGCAAAAGAGCGCCTTCCGCACACCTGACATGCCTTTTCGCTCGGGCAGAGTATTTGTCCAGGTTGGCGGAATACTTCCCCGCTCGACATTGCTGTAATTGCCCAGGATTTCCGTGGTGGAGAACATTAGATGGTTCTCGATTCGCGTGAGATTGCTGGGCGTCCTGACGGCGTTCCCAGATTTTGGCTGCAGCCGCGCATGATGATGATTCCTGTGCAGCAGCTCTTCCTCACTCTCTGAATCACTCATGGTCTGGCACAGTGGAGCATAAACACCTTGCGATGTGTCGCTACTTATCATAATTCCTTTGGAAAACTAGAAGACAAGCAAATGCAATTAGTGAAAAACAAGAATCGTTGTGTTATCAGAAGACGATCTTTCTCACCTGTTTTTGCAAACTTCAGCTGCTATTTCCACTCAACGAGACGTGGAATTACAGCTGTGCATATTTATGAAAAAATTTACACTGAAGAGATGCCGAAAATCTCGGTATTTCTTTTTTTTCACGGTCACCAAAATTCTTATCGATTGTTATTGTTTTTCTTTGGTGACTTTCGCGGCGAATGTGGCGAAATGAGGGCACCACCATCGCCATGGAGGGAAAATTCGATTCTATAAAATGTGTATTTTCCTCAAAGTTTCCTTTGAACATTCATATTTTTCCCAAATGATCTTCAATCTGCGAGCTGTGAGTAATCCCGTTTCAGATTTAGAAGGGATTTAAAAAGATTTCTTGTCGGGACACATTTCCTTTCTCTTTTTTTACAGTGTAGCAGCCGTCATTGTTGACGTTGATAATCGCCGTGAAAAACTCGCTTCTGGTGGGGGAGTTTTTTCAGCAAAACGCAAGTGGAAAACAGTGAAAATTTTCGTGAAACAGAGTACCAAAAACGTGTGATAGATCATCTATATCGAGAACGTGAGTGTCCAGCGTGTGCAAATGGGTAAAATTGACAAGGGAAAAGGTGCAGAAAGTGAATGTTTTTCTGTCTCTTTGCAGCGCAATGGCCGCCCTAGATTCCCTGGAAGAACAGAGTCTCAGGGAGTGCGAGAACTACATTCAAACCCACAGTATTCAGCAGATCCTCAAGAACTGCATCGTGCAGCTTTGCGTGCGACAACCTGAGAATCCAATCTCTTTTCTACGACAATACTTTCAGCGACTCGAGCGCGTAAGTGTCAAAGCAAAGTGCTCTACTTTGGGGACTTTCCCCGTCCGGAACACCTCTGGATGCACAAATCCGCGTGCCACTGCATGCTGGGGATGATGAGTTATCTCAGTGGGCCACTTTGGCGGAGAGTGGCTCACTGGCGAAGTGCGATTTGGGGCAATATGCCAGCCTTGGGTCGAAGATCACCTCTCCGGGAGGCACAAGGAGAGGGCTTCCCACCCAATGACGCAGAAAGATGTGCGAAAGTGCGCGATGGGTGGCGATATAAATTGGAGTGGAGGCTCTCCTCTAAATCCGGTAATTTCCAGAAATTTCCTCACTCCCATTCGCGATTATCACGTGTGTGGGTGAGTGATTTCGATGCGTAATCTCTCTCGCCATGTCTCGAGCGTCAGTGTGAATTAAACACTCCGCTGCAGATCAAACAGTTCCCATCCTCTCGCGGAAAAGCTCGCGGATCTGGGGAGGAGAGTGTCTCAGATAATCTCTTGATTCCCATCGCTAATCTCGGCCCATCTTCATCCCTTTCTGAGCCTGACAGGAGTGTGCTTCTCCGTCAGAGCAAGGATTAGGGTGAGAGTACAAGCCTATGATAAGATTTCGTGCCAATTTTGTGCCTCTCTGTTGTAAATTCGCAAGTTAAAGTGACTTGTAACATCTTACTACACGTTCTTCCGCACAAATTGTATTCACTATTCACAGATGCTGGCCATAAATGTTAGAACAGGGAGTGCAAATATTCTCCCATAAATTCCCCACATCCACAAATTACGCACAAGAGGTGGAAAGGGCAAGTCAATCAAAATTTATTCGATTCTCCTTCTGACCTCTGACCTCTGCCCACGCAAAGCACCGACAAATTGAGTGATTAAAAGGACAGTTTATCTTGAATGGTGGAGCATTTGGGGAATTCACTAATTGAAATACACTGTCTTGGCAAGATAATTGTGCAATTGCGTGAAGAAAGATGCCTGAGAAGGGATTTCGCACATTTTTGCGCGCCTTCGAGACAATCAACAAGTGGCAGTTTTAATGATTTTTCCCACTTGCTAGTTTGCACATAATTTTCTCAATTATTCAGCACTATATTTTGCCCATATCCGGAAAATTGTACCCACGAACGCAAATGATATTGACAAAATTGTGGCAATTTCAGACACTGAGTTGGGGATGAGTTGGCAAAGGGGGAGGGATTGGTTGGCAATTTCCATTGAAATCTGGCTTCGGTCTATTGAATTGCGGTCCCAGTGAAAGGAAATGGAGACCTCCCCGCCCAATCAATTGATTTCTATGTGACATTACTCCTCATTCTTCCGCCTGGGAAGGCCAACAAATTTTTCTTCCTTCTGGATAATGGGCATTCATGACGTAATTTCCCATCATTTTTCATGGCATCCCCTGTCACCCGCACAACCATTGGGGTGCCAAGATAGAGGAGCTTTTATGTTAGAAGGCGTGTTATTCTGTTGGCCAATGTACATCGTTAAATCATTTAGCACGTGAGCAGAAAGTTGAGTCTATTGAGAGTCTGACAAAGCAACTGGGTGGAGTATGAGAAGAGGCGGGGCTTCCTCACAACACGGCAAAGTGAAAGGACTAGCAATACAGCTTAAATTATTACTTCACATACATATTGATTATTGTGCATAAAAGCTTCGTCAGTCTGCTGACAAAGTATACCTTCTCTACCCTTGATCCAGAAAAGAAAAGTGTTATGCAAAATGGTTGCTTTTTCCCCTGAATTTCCACTTTGAAAATTTCCTCATATCATCAATATGAGAGTATGTGTCTCTATGGGAATTCTATGAATGATTGAGACGTTCTCGCGAAGGTCTCAGCGTGAGACAATACACAGTTTTTCTAGGTCAAGTGTTGGTGCAATTTTATGATTGACTACCCCCTCCTGGTGAGCCACAGTATACAGATCGAATTGCAGGAGAGAGAGAAAATGTGAGAGAGATTTTTCACGCCTGCGTAAATATTCGGTGGAAGCCTTGTAAAATTTATACCCATATTATGGAAGTGTATAAGTTCTGAAAACAAATAATTTGCATGAATTAGAGCTGCTGTGGCTTCTGTATCACCATCGAACGGAGAGGGGTTTGAGTGAGTTTCGGTGTTGTTTTGTGTGTTGTTTTGATTGAGTGGCCGTTGGTGATTTTATTGGCTCCACATGCGTCTAATGAGGCAATGAAAAGTGGAGTGGCGGGACGATTTCTTCCGGCTCATCACAAAGCGCGCGAGAGTCCTCTTGGATGGGCGTGAGGGTGGGCTGTTAAGTGCGTGTGTTGTATTTCAAATGGGGCGGAAGGAAAAGTTTTCGCGCGTCTCTGTGACGCCTGTGACAGTGGATTTTCTTTTGCAAAAATGCCATCAGGAGTGTGAGGCGATGTGAAGTGTCTCTGGGTTGACACCTATGGACTGTCTCTCTTTCACCCTCAGCGGCTGACTGGCTGGGAAAACTGTGTGAGCCTCTCGATGGGGTTTCTCTCTCTCTCTCTCTTGCACTCTGTTGTGCTCTGCGCGCTGGGCACGTCTCATGTGTGCCTCTGGCGGCTGACGAGAGGGACTGAGTTAGATTTTCGCGAGTGCTTCTTGGGTGTAGTTCAGTTCACAGACCAATTTTCTCAATGGTAGCTCGTCTGTGGTGGAGATAATGGTGTAAAAGGAAACAAAAAAGGGGTTGTTGAGTGAAAAGTTTTTTCTGTGTGATTGTTGGTGGGTTTTTATATTTCAGTATCTTCTCACCTAATTTACTCCTAATATCGAGACATTCTTGTATGTCACCACAGAAATTTCTCCCTTTGTGTGAATCCTTTAGCCGTGTTGCAGAGTGAATATATATTGGGGTTTGTGTAGGAGGAAAAAGAAATCCCTTTTAATATTTGATTTAATGTTGATGGTTTCTCCCCATCGATTGTGTGTGTGTTTGTGTAGTCAAATGAGCATTTTTTCTTGCTGACCTTCGCATACATTTCACATATTTAGACTTAATAATGTTTGAATATGATTTTCCCTCCCAATATTTGCGGGATTTACTGTTTATTCTTGACTTTCCTTCACCGCAAAAATTTTGCTATAAATACAATGACAATTGCATGCACTTCTCAAAGTGATTAAGCGAGAGTGAGAGCTTCAGTGCTTCGTGAGAGATGGAACAGAACTTCATTAGTAATTTCCGTTGTAGGCAATAACTTTTTCCAATGCCGAGGAAGTTAACTTGGGCGAAAATTGTGCACGGAGATTGCCTCAAAGTGGCTCTTTCCTCTTTGGCAGGTGTGTTTTGCCAGGGGGTGGGAAATTATTGTACACGACGAAAGACCCTCCGCGTGGATGTGATTTATTGCCCAGATCCTCGCGCTTCTTCTATTGGCAGTTTGTGTATTTTCATTTTGGGTTTGGCAAGAAAAAGTTTGTGTGTGTTCAGCGACTGGGATGGATTTATCGGGAATTACAATTGTTTAAGTTGAAATTTCCGCTTTGAACTCCCTAAGATTAGATGGTTGTTGTTTTCTTCCGCAAATACCTGAGATATTTCAGTAATTGCTAATGAAATGTGGGTTTTCCTGCATGAATCTGGAAGCAATTACAATACGAGAAAGAGAGAGAGAGAGAGAGTCTTTCCTAAAGGTCACTCTCACTTTATGATTGTTTGAGATAAGCTTACAATAAGATCTATTTGAGAATTGTGATGAAGCAACGTATTTTTTCTATAAATCAAAGGAATTCAAGAAGTTTGTCAGATGCTGCGAAAGTGCGTGCGCTAATATTTACAGCGCATATCTGTAACCCATCGTTAAACCTCCGAAAGCACATCTAATTTATTGTCTGTCCAAATCGTCCAAATGTTTTAATTTCTTCACGCAGAAAATCTCAAGAGATGCTTTCCATTCTGTTCTTATAAACAGACATGGGGAATAATTTATTTCCTCTTGTGTGTCTTCCAATGATGAAATATTCCGTGAGGACTTCCAAATTATCATCTCCTTCTTAATGAGATGTACAGAGGAACTTGTGGGCTTTGATACTGGCCTTAAAAATATACTTTCCAACACTGTAATTCCGTGATGAGAATCACAATTATTTTCCGGACATGCGGCGGAGTTGTTGCTTTTCTGAAATGCAAATTAATGTGACCTTTTTTGTGTCCAGATGTACAATTTTGGCGTGAGAAATGCAAATGTTGAATAGGCGTGTGGGTGGTTTTGATCGCAGACTGGTTTGAGTGAGATAATCCATATCGGAAATTCTTGTAGTTTTCTTGTTGCTTTACAACCGGTGAGAGTAATTTAATACCCTGGGGTTTTGCGGTGGTGAGAGAGTGTGAAAAATGACGTTAGAACTCTTCTTTTCACCCTGTGGCGAGCAAATTTCTTCAGTCTTGTGTTGTTTACTTCCCTTTTTCTGCTTGCCTTGGTAATTTATGGGAGTCATCATAAGGAAAATATTGATATTCTCTCACATTTTTGTCCCATTTCGCCATTAGGCAGTACGACGAAGGGTGGGCAGAAGACACAGAGAGAAAAAATGTCTAATTATTTTTAGAACAACTCTAGTGGGTTTGATTTAATCCTCTTGCTTGTAATGCTTCACCCCCGCGATTTTTCTTATGCTGATGTGCAGAGTTGGGGGTGAATTGGTCTGTTTTACAAATTGTGTGTGTCGCTCTGTGTTCCCCTGTCAGTGGTGTATATTTCTGTCTGTTGGGAAATACGATGAGTGGTTTTGCTTCTTTCCTTTCAATTTAATTTCTCTTCCAAGAGGGATTAACGTTGGAGGTTGATTGATTGTGCGAGAGTTGACGAATTTGACGAATAATTGTGCGGAAAAGTCTAAAGTTTGTGTTGAGGAATGGCTTCAAAGCTACACGTAAGAATAATAATAAGAATTTTATCTTGTAATCCTTTCGATTAGATGTTATAGTGAAATTTAGTGATAACACTTTTAGAGTGAGAAGCAACAATGTGCTTCTCCAATTTCACCTACTTTAAGCTTGATATCTGAGACTTTTTCTATCTTCTTCAGCGCTCTTTCTTGAAATTTCACGCTGTTTTCCACCGACACAATTCTTTGGTTGCATTAGAGTAGAGAAACACATTATTCTGTGATAATTTATAAAGTTTGTTGCCAATTGAAGTAACTAAAGTGTGTGTTTTATGAAACGTATTGTCGTATGAAAATCTCTTCATATGGACATAATATTGCTGTGTTAGAATTTTCTCTGAACTCTCTTATTTTCTCGAAAAATGTACACTTTCTAAACTGGCGATCTGAGATGGAAAATGTGCCGCGAGTCTCGCTTTTTTCGTGTATGGCTCATCAAGAGGATTTTTTCTTCGGCGATGGGCAAAAAGCCAGGCGGTGAAGAAAATTGTGGAATCGAAGGAGAATTTTCCCCGCTTCGTGGTCCGAAATTCAATGTGAGACTGAGAGGGAAAATATTGCCGAAGATTGTGGGAACATAATGCGCGAATAAAATGTGAACGAGAGTCACTTTAGTATCGTGCCTCAATTCATCACGAGAAGATTCACGCAAAGGAGGGAAAATTCATCTTGGTTTTCTTCAGCATTTACTGCTGTGTATGTGTGTAGTTTTCCACGTTTAATTTTTTTTCTCTAAATCTATTGGAAGGTCTCACCTGAACGGTGTGTATTTTTGTCTATAATAAGTGCGCGCGCGATCGCCAAGGTGAGATTGATGGGTTTAATCTTTGATTAATGCCATAATATTTTGCTGATTGTGTGCTGCAAAGAGAGGAGAATTTTCTTAGAGCAGAGTGAAGTTTAAATATATATTGTGGCGGATTAATATTCGAAGATTTATAAATATACAGAAATTTTTGGAAGTATTTCAGATGGTATTTGAGTTGGGAAAGAGTGACGTCTTTTTGTATCTTTCTTAACGACATTATGATTCTATTTTCGTGTGATAATTAATTATTCTTTATTACATTTTTTCACTAGTATGACTTGTCTCGTCGCCTCAAGCTCATCATGATGATAATGTGAATTTCTTTCTCGTATCATTGACTGCCTAAATATCTTTTCTCTTATGTAAGAATCATGTGAATTGCCTTCTTGCCGCCCCAACAACGGTCAGTTTCTCCAGAGAGCCTTCCATAATTTTCATTATATCTCTCCCCTGTGGCGAATACTAATGGAGATTGTGATGAATGTCTTTGCCGGACTTTATCTAATCGCACACGTTCGATTGTTCGTTCTGTAATCAAATTACGCGCGAGAAGAAGGAGAGAGAGAGAAGTTACTGGACAATCTTGTTGCCGAATAAAGCTTTCGGCGGAGTTTGGTAAAAACTGACGAAATAATTAACAGAGTGTAAATTTTAGTAGAAACGGAAGGCGTTGTGGCGCAAGTAAAGCTGTTGGGATCGTTTTAGAGAAAAGTCAAAGTATAGTCTCTGTAGTGATCATGATTGAAGATGAATATTACATCATAGTGTGAGGAGTGGAAAAAGAGTTTTGTAAGGAGAGTGTGAGAGCAAGAGCATGAAAACAATTTTATTTGTAGCTTGTCGCCTTTTGCTATTTCTGTTTCTCGATGTGTCTCTCAAATAGCGCGGGCATGTGTTTGATTGTATAGTTGGAGAACATTATATTGGTGTCCGCCAGAGAGCTCCAGTTTTGTGTGGGTGTCCGAGAGTGGCACAATTTTTAGAATTGAAATGAATAACATAATTAGTAATGGAAGGCAGAATATTTGGCACTTTTATTCTGATTAATGGGATTTCCAGCAATTGAATGTGGGCTTTTTCCCCCGATTGACTTTCTTGCAGGAGCAAGCGAAGTTGGACGCCAGCAAGCAGGCCACTAGTCCAGAAGAGTGTGAAGATTTGAGCCCAATGCCACAATCAACGGCACCGCCAGTGAGACGGCGTGGCGGAATTTCCGCGGAGCCCGTGACTGAGGAAGACGCCACGAGCTATGTCAAAAAGGTTAGTCGGGAAGAGAGCGCTCTTCCAATGATTTTCCCATAAATAATAAATATTCGCGCGCCTTGAGACTTCACATCAAGTGTTTTTTCATGGATTGTGCGGAGCTTTTCCGCGCTCAGAGACACTAATTTGAGAGATTTACGAATAATTAATAAAGGAAAAATGCGATAACATTAAATTTTTTCCTTATTTTCAATGGTTGGAGTTATTTTCATGTGGTCAAAGTATACAAGAGTAGATTTTTAAAGAATTTTTTTAAAGAAATATACGTTTCACAATTTACAATTACTGCTGAAATGATACAGTATTGATTCTGCATTGGGTTTAACAGCAGATTGTGATTAAAAATGGTCTGCTCAAATGAACTAAATATATCTTGTTAATTAATTTCTGGCTAATTCCACAAAGCTTAATTGGCAAATGGACTCACTTTACGGGATTCACCCGAATATCCTGTGGTATTTGTAGTGAAACTATTAAATTTGCATGGGAAATGTTTGCTTAGTGCTCTGAGGAACTGTAAAAAATCAATATTATCATATCAAAATTCTCTCTTTCTCTCTCTGTGTGTTCCTGCTATATTTCCTCTGTGGTATTATGTACATATTTCCCTGGAGTAACAATTCTGCTTATGAAAATACTTTTCTGAGAAACCTTTAATACAAAGTTTATGTGGGCATATTAAATCATTTTCAAGTGCTCTCGAGAGCAATAAAGCTTGGGATACTTTATGGATGGAAAGTCTCATAATAGGCATCGGTATAACCTTTCCTCATTTAGAGGGTGGGCAAATAGGGGGTGGTAATATTAATTTTGCTGTGGTTTTTAGGTCGTTCCAAAGGACTACAAGACCATGGCGGCTCTTTCAAAGGCCATTGCCAAAAATGTCCTCTTCTCTCACTTGGATGAGAATGAACGATCAGACATTTTCGATGCAATGTTCCCGGTTAATTGCTTAACGGGCGAATCAATTATACAGCAAGGCGACGAGGGTGATAATTTCTACGTTATCGACCAGGGCGAAGTTGAGGTAGGGTTGAAAGTGGTGTATTTTTGACCGGGAAGAGAGAATGAAATTGCTCTTATCTCCTCTATGTTTAGGTGTTTGTAAATTCCGAACTGGTGACAACAATCGGCGAGGGTGGGAGTTTTGGTGAACTGGCACTAATCTATGGGACACCGAGAGCCGCCACTGTGCGTGCTAAGACAGATGTGAAGCTGTGGGGCATCGATCGTGATTCATATCGACGCATCCTGATGGGTTCCACCATCAGGAAGAGGAAAATGTACGAAGAGTTCTTGTCCCGCGTGTCAATTTTGGGTAAAGTATCAACATTGATTTTCTGATTTAATTATTCATGTCTGACGTTTGTGACCCATTTTCGGGGGGGCTGTTTTGTGTGTTTGCCTTTGTGCAGAGAGCCTGGACAAATGGGAGCGACTCACGGTGGCGGACGCCCTCGAGCCGGTGAGCTTCGAAGATGGGGAGACAATTGTGAAACAGGGAGAACCTGGAGATGATTTCTACATCATCGTCGAGGGATGTGCTGTTGTCCTGCAGCAAAAGGGTGAAGCTCAACAGGTGAGTTATGTCCTTTTCCACATCCTATTCGTCCTTCTATTTATGTAAATTGTTTATGTAAATTTTACGCCGTAATTGCGCTACTCAGAATGAAGATACAGCAGAAGTTGGACGTCTCGGTCCGAGTGACTATTTCGGCGAAATTGCTCTCCTCCTGGATAGACCACGAGCGGCCACAGTGATGGCCAGAGGTCCTCTCAAATGTGTCAAATTGGATAGAGCAAGGTAAATTGATTCATCAACTCCGAAATGATGAAACATTCTCACTAATGACTCTGGTGGTTTCGTGCAGATTCGAACGTGTCCTGGGGCCTTGTGCTGATATTCTTAAGAGGAACATTACACAGTATAACAGTTTCGTCTCACTTTCTGTCTAAGATAACATTAATAATAGAAAAATGCAAGAAGCAGGAAGAGTTTAGAAAGAGGAGAAATGAGCCCAAAAATTTCAAACAGTGATTGCCTTCAATCATCCAATTTCTTTCCTGGCATTCTATAGGCGAAAACGTTCTCATATCTTTTTTGTATAGTCTCTTTTTGGGAAATGACAATTGTTTACACCGAGATAATTGCATTTCACTGCACATTGATAAGCTAATAAAACAAAGAAGCTGAAGAAAAAAAAGAATAGAGTGAACAATTCAAAAGTAAAACAATTTCTTAATAAAAAAAATTGTAAGAAAATGTATACAAAAAGTAATTGAAAAAATTCGTAAGAAGGAAAAATGATAGTAATTGACTTGCGAAATATGAATTTTTATATAGAACCTTTCAATGTATCGTATTTATGAGAATTTTTAGTGATAAAAGGAATCAACTATCATCTAATGTGGCGGCGTAATGAAGTGAAATAAAGCACTATTGAGTTGTCATTCGTCATTGAACGAACATAATTTCGCTTACCTTTCCATACAAACCATTTCTTTTCCACTTAAAAAAAAATGTGCACTTTCTTGTACTGCATTGACGAATGGTGGATGAAAAGAGGAGACACAAATCTATAACATGTTGTAATATTCTTTGATTGTATACTTAATGCGCAGAGGGGAAGTTAAGAGAGCAGAGATAAACTAATTTATTTTAATAAAATGATGTAGAATGAGAAAAAGATAAAACAAACATGCATAATAGAAGGTTGAGCCAAAATTGAATTTTCGGGTGAAATATAACTTTTGCTTGTGAAACGAGCCGCGGGCGGATCGTAATCAAATTATACGGCTAAATTTATTTATTTTTAAAAATATGAGCACACCTACACGTTGATTTCCAACAAGAGCATAAGATTGCGAAATCATTTCTAAAGTTATAACATTAGACGTTAAATGAATTTTAAATGAATTATAAGAGGGGGAAAATATCTTGAGATGAAAATTTGACGTGTATTGTAAATAAGTATGTGTAATTTAAAAGAGGAAAAAAAACAAAACTTCTGTGGCAAGGAAAGAAAAATTCACGGAATTTCTTCTTCCAATGCATTAATGGGCAATTTCTTTTAGTCAAAAAAACAACAAAGAAAAGAAGAAAAATCTTATTTAATACCATTCTCTAAATTAAAATCATTCATCTGTATAAGCGTGTAATGTAATTTAAATTCGTGTTTATTTCCATAAGATGGTAACAGAAAGAATGATGGCTTTGTGGTGTGGAGAGATCGAAGAGAAACAACAGAAAGTATAAATAAATTGAATATTATTTAAAGTCATGTCATAAATATTGTGAAATTTTATTCTAATCCATCCTCTGTGTTACATTCTTCACTGCGACAACTGGTGTAAACGCATTTTCGGGTGTCTCTCTGAAGTGTTTGTGAGTGATATTTGGCGAAAACTCATTAAATATATCAGACTAATTAACAATACATTAGCATTCATTACATTCTGTGTCGGCCAGCGTCTTTTGTCTGTCGCATGGACAAATTTCGTCATGGATTTATTAATAGAATAGCAATTGTTACAAGGCATACAACATTGTATGCTTAATCTCTCCTGTCTCGAATGATGCTGCACAACAAAGTGCATTGAATGTTTACACCAGTTTTAATGCCGCTTCAGTGACTCTCTCGGTAAAATATATGTGTTAAACATTAAACTTCACCGTTTTGATGGGGGGAGTTAATATTGTTGTCCGCTTAATTAAATTCATCTGCCTTGTTTTTCTCCATTGAGTACTTTTTGCTAATGCAAATGTTTCCTATAAATAAGTTTTCTGAATACATTTTCTTGTGCTTACTCAACATACAAGATTCACCTTCACTCACTCTCTCACGTGGCAGTGATGATAAATTTGGATATTGTTTGTTTGTGATATGGGAAAATATATTTCAGGATTTCATGGAGTTATTCATGAATATCACTTTTGGAAGTTTCTTAATATTTCATTGAAATTGACAAAACTTTTGCTCTGCAGAGGAGAAATGCTGGGAAAATCATAAGAGAACTCTTCTATTCGAGTTTTCCACTTAACTGGGCGTTGTTTTGATACAAAAATGAATCATCACTGCCTCTCATCGCTCACCTTAAGGACTATTTTGATCTCCTGTATGAAAATCCTACATTAACGTGTCTTCTACTGAGAAACTAAACATTAGAGCCTCGCTTCCTGTCCTGTTGCCCACTTACAGCTCCAGCAACAGCACCTCCTCGTGCTAGAGAATGTTGCCCAACGTGGAGTCCATCATGCGGTCGTCGTACAGCGAGAGTGTCTTGGAGGCTCGCACTTTCCGAACGGACGGCGGAACGTCTCCGGGCGTCTTCACTCTCTGGCTGGGATCTCTTAGCTTCTCCACGCTGCCCTTGGTGGGGCCGAACACTTCCCTGAACACCTCCAGGGATCGCTGGCGCTTGATCTGCTTGTCCGTGAGCATCAGCTGCCTCAGCGAGGGATCATTGAGATTCTTCACTGCATTGGCGGACTTCGATGTGACGATTCTCGCCGGCAGTGGATCAGTGTGCTCTCCGCGTCTCTGGTAATTCTCAATGGAGTCGCTGGACTCAAGTGCCTTCAGCTGACCTCTCAGGGAGTTTCTGATGAGGTTGTTCTCGAAATAGCCACCAGACTCGGAGCTGGACTCAAAATGAATGGGAGCGAGATTGAGATTGCTCGGTCTCTGGCGAGGCTTCGGCGGGGCTTCTTGTGAAGATTCCTGACAAATCTCTGGGCAAGAGATGCTATCAACGCTCACGGGCAGCGAGAGTTTGTTGTTCATCAAGTGGGACTTCTCCTCACAAACGCTGGCGCGCTTGAAGAGTTTCTTCTTGATCATGGATCGAACGCCATTCCAGCCGTTGAACTTTCTCTCTCCATTGGCCAGCCTCACTTCAGTGGCTGACTCACTCTCCACGAGCTTTCGGCAATGGCTGGAATGTCTCACCCCTTCGGCGTCTGCTGTGTGTTCTGCGGTCTCCGTCTTGGGGATAATTTGGTTGGGCGGCGTGATAATGACGGTGTCGCTGGGACAGATGGGGGAGATGCTCTTCAGAGAGTTCACCACATTGTTTGTGGTCACAGGCGGGCTTCCCATCGTGGTGGTCTTGGGTCGCAGGGACGACAACTCGTGGAGTCTTTCTTCCACGCACAGCGCCGTCAGGCGAGCTTCTGCGTCCTGATCCCAGCACTCCTCGCATGTTTCTCTGATTATCTTGCCGGCAATCCCGCCGCCCCAAGTGGGCGGGAAGAGTGGTCGCGCTTTGTGGCGAGACACGAACACCTGCATCTGCTCGTAAGTTGGGTTCTTGCCCACTTCCGCCTCGTAAGGCGCTCGGTAGTCGGCTGTGCCCTGTCCCTCGGGGTAGAAATCCTGGCATCTCGTGCTGAGCTCCCAGAGAACCAGTCCCAGGGCATAGACATCGATCTGCTTGAGGGCGGACTCGCAATCTCTCAAGTTCACCGCGCCCTCGAGCACTTCGGGTGCCATGTAGCGAAGAGTACCCACCTCGTTGATGCTCTTCGTCTCGGCCAGAGCTATTTCGCCTCTGTACTCGTATCTGGGCCCAAAGGTCTTCATGGCGAAACCGAAGTCGCACAGGACGCAAGTCAAATCCGCCTTCACGAGGATGTTTCGGCTGTTGAGATCCCTGTGGCAGATGCAGGGCTTCAAGAGGTCACCCTTGCGCATCTCGGTGTGCATGTGCGCCAGACCGTGCGCTACTGATTTGGCCATGGAGCAGAAGACAGCATAGGCGGTTGTGTTCTCAGTCAACCAGTCCTGCAGGCATCCCAGCGGCGCCAGAGACAGCACTAGGAGGTACTCAATGTTGTCCTCCATCGTCCGGCGCTCGTCGCAGCCGAAGTACATGAGCAGGGAACAATCGTCCATGATGGGGAGCGTGTAGATGTCTCTCTCGTTGATGAAGTACTGCTTGTGCTGCCCTGGGAAGATCTTCACGGCCACAGGTTGCTCGTTGACCGATCCGCGCCACACTGTGCCGTACTTTCCCTGTCCAATCATGGCGCAGAGCTTGAGATTATCCACATTGTGAAGATTGGAGCTGTACCCGGGTCCTGATGGCGCCAGTGGAGCTAATTCCGGCTGAGATTTCTCTCCTCGCTTGCAAATGACGATGATAATCACGGACAATGGGATGAGACAGGCGAACGCGATGGCGATCCACACAAAGGGATTCTGCAGAATGGAAGCGTCCGGGGCAGGAGATGGCGACTGACTGGCCCAGATATCGTCAATATCTTCGCCCTCTTCAGTCACGCTGGTCATCCGGTCGTTGCAGAGGTTCTCCGAGCAACAACAGAAGAGGTAGCGATTACTGTCCCGATTCAGGGTGTTGCGGCTGATGCATTCGCTCTGGTCGCAAGATGCCTTCGAATCGGACTCCCAGCATCCTGGTAAAATCGTGTCATGTCTGAATTAATGCGCTTAACGTGATGGATGAAATTGAAAGGTATATTTACCTTGACTGGCAATGGTTACATTCCCGTGTGCATCAATTCTCCACAGAGCGTGGCAAAAATTAAATTTTCGCTCGCAAATTGTCGTTCCGATCTATGGGATTGAATTAAGGGCGTCAATTAAATGTGATATGGGAACGTGAAAAAATGATGGCCTGAGATTGAATGGATGTCTCTCGGTAATTAATAAATTTGCCCAAGAATTTGACAGTGAATAATCTCTCCATATCCTCACCGATAAATTGTAATTGGATGCCAAGTTGCTCTGCTGAATGTCGTACTTCTCAAACTCATCATCATCCCCAAAATCGTCTTCGTATGATGAATCGTTTTCGGCTGCTTCGTCACTCCTTGGATCCTGAGCCTGGGTGATTGACTTGACGCAAATGCGACTCTGCGGAGCTGCGATGGGGTGAGGATTTTGTGTGGGGAGGGAGAGAAAGGTAAATTTGTTGGCCTCATTTTGCAGCAATTTTCCTCGATGGAGTTTTCATCGTAAAAGCAAATGGGAAAAACTTTCTTACCGGCTGTGCAGCAGAGAAGCCAAGCCAGAGTCAGGGTAGTGAAAATCGAAAGGTACACCGCATTCATGGTTGGAAATTGTGGGGATAAATTATCAATTGGAGTACTTTAAGGGTGATTCTTCACACTGGTTTTCCACTGCTATTGATATTTTGAGGATATTTCCACAATTTCGCAGAGTTTCTGTGCATTTTCACAAACGCACACCAAAATTTTGCCACCCTCTATCGATTTTTCCTACGCCGCTGTACGATGGGGTGAGTTTTTCTGCCAGTCCCCCGCAAATGCACTTTTCTTGCTTTTCTCAACACGAACACAATATTGAATTTAGGTTATTTTGCCTTTTTCACTCAATAACACAAGAGATTCTTTGCATTTTTCAGTATTGAGCTTTTCATTGGGTCTTCACGCCAGAATCTCTAATGATTTCCAGGAAAAAAGAACATGTGTCGATATTTTTCCCTTAAACTGTTGAAGTTTTCCACAATTTTCCAACACTTCTGTATAAAATGCTCTTCGCTGATTCTATTTCTAGTTCTTTTAGACACTTTAAGGTGAATTATAGAATAGAAAATAGCGAAAAATACGAGATGGTAAAATCCGTGTGAAAAACACTCACAACTTGGTTTGTTTAGTTTGCTCACTGCGCAGTTTTACAATCGCAACAGGGGTGGATTTCACTTCTTCAGGGCATTTTACGGGGGTGGACAGAGAAAATGTTGTTGAGAGATTTGAAAAACAATTTTATTTGCAATCTTTGTGAACAATTCTTAGGGAGTTGCGGGCAGAACAACTCCTGAACACGATCCAAATCCAATTCTCTTGCCCTCACCTTCGCAATAGCCCCTGATGACCACTTCATCGCCGTCCTGGAGAAACTTCCTGGTCTCACCGCCGGACAGTGGAACGGTTTTGGTGCCCTTCCAGCACAGCTCCAGCAACGAGCCAAAGGAATCTGAAGTGTCACCACTGATTGTGCCGGAAGCCATCAAATCCCCGGGACGGAGATTGCACCCCGTGACCGTGTGATGAGCCACTTGCTGCAGCGCCGTCCAGTAGAGATGACGATAGTTCGAGCGGCAAACAGTGGAGCCCCGAAGGGCGCCTTTCGGCTTAATATCCACCTCCAGCTTGATGTCGAAATTGAAATTCTCCTTGTGCTGCAAGTATGGGAAAGGCTTGGGATCCTGAGGGAAGTTGTCCACGACGAAGGGCTCGAGAGCAGCCACAGTGACGACCCAGGGAGAGATTGTAGTGCCCAGATTCTTCGCAGTGAAAGGACCAAGAGGCACATATTCCCACTTTTGAATATCCCTGGCGCTCCAGTCATTCATCAGGACGAACCCGAAGATCCTCTTCTTGCTCTCATTGACGTCCACGCGCTCTCCGAGTTGCGTTTCTGGGCCGCCGATGAAGAAAGCCATCTCCAGTTCGAAGTCCAGCAGACGACATGGCCCAAACACCGGATCTGCGCCCTCCACGGGCAGCGTTTGGCCCAGAGGACGGCGAATTGGGGTGCCTGAGACCACAACGGAGCTCGCTCTGCCGTGGTAACCGACCGGAAGGTGCTTCCAGTTGGGCATGAGGGCATTCTCCCGGCCGCGGAACATCACTCCCACATTGGTGGCGTGATGGATTGAGGAGTAGAAGTCCGTGTAGTCCCCAATGGTCGCTGGTAGGTGCATCTTCACGCTCGCTAGAGACACGAACGTCCTGTGGAGAAAAAACAATTAGCTCCACCCTGTCCAATGTCCCGCCCTAAGAAACTTCACCTTTTCTTGAGGGATTCATCCCTGTCCAGCTCCGAGTTGCGCGCCAGAAGCTGAACGGTTCGCGCTCTCACTGCTGCCCATGCGTCATAGCCCAGAGACATGAGGGCATTGAGATTCGCGGCTCGGAGAGCATTCTAGTAGAGAAACAGTGGTAGATGTCAGCACTTTGATTGGCTTTTAAGTTAAGAGATTGGCATTCTTACTTGGTAGGAGACGTCATAGAGATGAGCCACTGTCGACAAATCCAGAACTTCCTCTCCAATGGCCACACCGATTTGAGTGTTGTTCTGCAAAATGAGTTCAAGCGGTCAGGATTTGTTTATGCCAGGGTGCTGAGAGTGTGTCTCTTAAAATCCTTACCTGGCCGGGGCGGGAAAACACTCCATAAGGAAGGTTCTCGTAGGTGAAGTCAGAGTCTTCTGGGACTGGAACGAATGTGGCACTCATCTCGGCAGACCTTAGAGTGATTCTGGCGTGAAGCAAGAGGCTGATAAGATAGATTAAACACCGCACTTTACAAGAGATCAGAGAATCTCCGTGTATGTCACTCGAAACGCGGCTGGAGACTGACGAAAAGTCGGTGTCAGGTTGTTGTTTATCTCGCGGCGCTCGATGCAAATGCCACAGGCCGCTCGACCACTTCCAGGGCGAAGCACTGAAGCACGCTGTGAGCAGCTGAAAAGCAGTATGGCAGCATTAGGTTCTAAGCGAAGGCCGGATTGTCTCTTATGGCTGCAGAGCTGTTGCCGAGGAAGAGAAACGAGCCTCCAAACTCTGCATAAATTTGAATGGTAATGGAGAAATATAAATTCCAGTTTGTGTATCTATTTTGCTCTGTATTTTTCCTTACTTCTCATATGCCTCTCTGTTAGAACAACACATTTAACATCTATTTTTTATGATTTTTATACCTTTTTTGTCACTGCAGTTAATATACATTTATACTTTTCATATAATTATTCATTTTTATTATATTTCTTGCTACAATTTTTCTCTCATTTGGAATGAGCACTTCGTATCATTTAAATGTACAAATTAAACAACTATATGCAATGATTTCTTTCATTTTTTTCTCTCTCTAAAGTGAATTATTCATGCCGCATTCGAGAAAACAAAATTTACAGTGAAACTTGACTGGGTTTATTCAATTCAGGATTCTTCCCGTTTTTCCTCATCATTAATTTTCCCACTAAAATTCATTCTCTTTGCCATTCACTCGTCACAGCTCAAAAAGTCTCATTCTTAGTCATTTTTTCTCAAAAATAGGTTTTTCTCTAACTCTCGGTAGAATTGAATTTGTCAATAAACCCATCAAATCGTGATTATTTCTCAACACGGCCGAATAATATATAATTAACTTGTGTTCGAAGGAAGACTTTTGTGACTTCATTGTTTTTCATGTCATCATAATTATATACTCTTTTCTCACAGACTATCTTTTCATTTCGGTTTTCCCGCAACCCAAACCCCAATTCTAAGATTAATTAAAATATAAATTTAATACAATCTATTGACACACTTTTACATTCGCTACAGATTTTTTTTAGTGTTTTTTTCTTCACTTTTCTTTAGGAATGCATTCAAGCCATTTCTTGCTGTTTCTCCTTCTCGCTTTATTTACATAAGGAAAAATCTATTCACAGTTTCTTTCTATACATTTTGTGCATTGATTGTGGTGACTGAAAATGATATCTTAACTTAAGAGACACATTCACGAAAGATTCAGCGAAAAATAGTTAAATTATCTATTCATTGGCATCATTCTATTTATCATCTCTGCAGTTTTGTTGTTGTCTTGGAGTATATTTTTTCAATGAACAGAAACAACATGTTTTGATAAATATATATATCGCGAAGCATCATTCTGCAATTACTCTTAAAACATCTCTTCTTACTCTTGACTGAATAATATCATTAAATATGTTACGGTAATTCGATGAATTTTTACACAGAGCATAATTTTATGTTCATTTTACACATTTATTCATAATTTTCTTCTCAAGTCATGATTTCTTTTCTGGAATATTTATTGCGAGCTACACATAGACGAATGTTTCCAAGAACATTACGCAAGTAAAATGGAACTAAGGCATTTTTTCATCATTTTATCATCATGAAAAAAACTTTACCAAACGATAAATAATATTATTTTACGCTATTTTATAGTTATTTTCATTTAAATATATAATTTTGTGTACATTTTACAGCTCTTTTAAAGAATAATTTGCATTTCATCAACACAATATTAGATGGTAAATCCTTTTCCAAACAATAAACAGGAAAAGCATGTAATAGAGTAACTATTATTAACACTTGAGTGCTCTTTGGAGTAAATATTCATCTCTAAAATATGTGCTTCTCTCTCTGTTTTCGGTAAAACAAATAAATTCACATTAATATCATGGAATTAGTCAACATGTTAAATATTTTGCCTCACGTTGGGTTCATTTATCATCAAATATATAATAATTTATAGATATATTTTTTCATTTTACTTCAATAACAGCAACAGTTAATATACCTCTTCTCGCGCTTTGTCTTAAATCGTCAATAGAATTTCAGCGACAGTTAAATAATTTCCTTTAAAGTTTCATTCTAGACTTCACACACTTCTGATATGTTGTTCAAAATGATAATCCTTGGTTTTTCTTTGGAGTTTCTTATGTCGAACAACGTCCTTCTCTTCTTCTGCACCGACCATTTGTGTTGAAGGTGGCAGTTTCGTGAGCTGTGCACGAACTTACAAATCCTGACCCAATCGATCAAATTCCTCGAGCATGAAGTCAACGTCCTTCTCCGTTACGGCGGCAGATGAGATAATTGAGCGGAAGAAATTGGGCCGACGATCGTCTGGCTGATAGCCAACCATCATTGTTCCCGTTTGCATCATCCGGGCTTTAATAATGGGGCAAATCTGGGGAGAAAATTGACCGCATTTACAATTTCCACCCATAAATCTTGTGCTTAGGCGAGAAGCAAGGACGAAAGTATGAAATATCGGAGAAAGTTCTTACAGCATGATGCTTTCACGGAATTTATAGTGAACTTAAAACTCTTGTAGGGCATAAATTTTGGTGGGGCTTTGAAATATTGTATGGTCATAAACTTTATCTCATTGTACAATATGGTAAATGTTTGCAGCTATAATGTAGTGAAAATGGGTGGTGTGTTTACATTTTAGGGCGATTTTGCGGAAGTAAAGAAATACGCAAATCCAAATTCATCGAATGGACGAAAATCTTAATTTTTAACTTGTTCATTTTACCTTTCCCAATTCAAGCTCTTTCTTCGAGTCGTGAGGCACACCGCGAAGGCGCTTTGGGATGTACCAGAAAGACACATTGACGCACTCAGGCTCCATGATGAGATAGAACTTGTCTGGATTCTGCTTGATCTTCTTCACTTGATACTGCGCCAAGTCCATCAATTTATCCATATGATCGGCGAAGCCTTCAGTGCCCTGCGAATGGTCATGGGAGTTTGAAGAGCTCCTGCGAACGCTTGTAAATCAATTGCGAGCCTACCTTTGATCTCCACTGCAGCCAGAGCTTGAAGATGTCATTGTGACGCCCACACTGGATCACCTTATCGCCCGTATCGTAGCTCAGATCATAAAGTTTATCAGTCATGAAGAGATACTCGGCTGACATCTGGTTGCAACTCATCAAGAGGCCCTGGAAGGGAGAGCGAGTGTTGTAGACAGGAAGGACGCATGTGTGATCAAAGAATGTTCCATTCATTTCTTCCTTGTCGACATATATCAGCTTCTCATCAATTTCTCCTCTCTGTCTATAGCACGAGCAGATGAAAAAGGGGTGCAAATGCTGGGCAGAAATATTGAGAGCAAGGCCAACAAGGCGCTTTCAAAGGGGGAGAATAGTTTGAGTGGAAAAAATATGCACAATATGTTGCCAGAAGATTTGTCACAGTTGCTCCAGGAATTTAATTAAAAGTCACCCAAAGTTGACGAGAGAAGGTTTGTACTGGCTGTTGGAATTTTAATTCACTTCTACATTGTTGTGATTGTTGTTATAAAACAAACATATATTATCTTCAATGACACGCATAGTAGTATTATCTGAAGTCAGTTGCTAAATTGAGAAGTTATCAGTTAAGAGCAAAGAAAAGTTTATCAACACGCAACAGCTGATTACGCTCTCAGTGTGTCTTGAGACATCGCGAAAGATGTTACTACAAATCGCAATAGCTGCAGTGTCAGTGTTATTCGTGCTTTTTCTGCTGTGGAGAAGAAATTTCACTTTTTGGCAACGAAAAGGCATCGACGGCCCGAAACCCTCCTTGATTTTTGGAAATTTTCCCAATTATCTTCACAAGAATATTGTCTATGACTTGCACGATATTTACAAGAAGTACCGAGGATGTCCTTTCGTTGGAATCTACGCTCTGCGGAAGCCTCATCTTTTCATCACAGACCCTGAATTTTCACGGAAAATCTTCACTACACACTTTCGTCAGTTTTACAATAATGAATCGTCGGAAATGACGGATCTAAAGACTGACCCAATCATTGGACTCAATCCGTTCATGGAGCGCGACGAGTTATGGAAGACGACGAGACAGGAGATTACGCCGGGTTTCAGCAATAATCGTGTGAAAGCGCAATTCCCCATCATGGAATCCTCTTGTCACAAGATGACAAATTACCTGAGATGTCGTGTGAAGACGCACGGACCCACCATTAAGTTGGAAGAGGTAAGAAGTCAGTAAATCACCCGAAGTGTTACAGATGCTAACAAATGTGCTTATGTAAATGTGATTCTCACCAGTTTTCCCGTCGGTACACTTGCGAGAATCTCACAAATTGCATCTTTGGACTCGAATCTCATGCCTTTGAAGAGAAAAAGGGTAGTTTTCTGCAAATGTTCAAAGACTACCTGAAGGAATTTTTCGTCATTGATTACTACTTCATGTGGAACTTCATTTGGCCAAGTTTTAAGCATTTTCACAAGTACCAAATGATGAAGCCGAGGGTGAAGAAGTTCTTTGTGGATATGCTAAAACATGGAATTGCCTTTAGGAGTGAAAATCCCAGTAATCGCGAGGATTTCCTCACATTCCTCATGCAAATCCGAGAGAAGAAAGGCTCTTCCATTGATGAAATGCTCGCCCATGCGTTAACGTTCATTCTCGATGGATTCGAGACTTCAGCAATTGTATTCGAATCTGTGCTGTATGAATTAGCTAGGAATATGCGAGTGCAGGACAAATTGAGGTCAATCCTCGAGGAAGAGGGAAATCTCTCATACGACACCGTCAATGACCTGCCCTACTTGGACCAAGTCTTCAATGGTAATGGACTTTTCCCGCCAAGAAGTGTACTTTATGACAATGTTTCGTTCTCTAGAATCTCTTCGTCTTCATCCGCCAATTCTCTTCTTCCTGAAGCAGTGCAATGAGTCTATAGAAGTGCCATTCAATGACGGCAAGGAATCGAGGACCTTTCCCAAAGGTATCAACGCTATGATGTCTTCTTATTCCCTCGGACGTGACCCAATTTTCTATGAGAACCCCGAAGATTTCAATCCGGAGAGATTCGACGATGGAGCCGTTAAGGATTACAAGGATAAGGGCGTTTTCGTGCCATTCGGAGACGGTCCCAGGATTTGTATAGGTGAGTTTCCATTGCGATTCTGTCTGGCAAATATCAGAGAGGATAATCCTGTTCTTCTAGGAATGAGATTCGCTGTGTCACAGATCAAGACTGCCACTGTGGCGATTGTGCGGAATTTCAAACTCACGCTCGGTGCAGAAATGAGGGAACCTTTAATGCTTGAAAAAACATTCTTTGGGATGCCTGCACAAGAAATTGCCGTAAATTTCGATCCTATTCTCGAGAAGTGATCGAAAAAGTGAAATTTTACTTAAAGTTATTAATTTCGCGCTATAAAACTGGGGTGTTCACATGTTATCAGGTGGGGAATGAGGTTAAATACACCATTTATCGTTATCAATTGTTACACATTTCCCTATTTTTATAAATTCTTCCCAGGTAGTGCAACAATATCAGTTCATTTGTAAATTTTATGTATTTGAAATGGAAAACACTTACATCTTCCTTGAAGTGAATCGTTGAGCACTGCAGAAGAGCACCCATCAGCTTGTGCGGATTCCAAGTAACGGAGAGTGATCTGAAAATGACAAAACCACTGATTTCAGCTGATAAAAAAAAACAAATTTCTCCTAATTAATCCCATAACTCTGCTCTCTGTGTGGACTGAAAAACATGCGATAGAGGAGTGTCTCTTGCAACCCTTATCGATGTTTGTTCAGCGCCACCGAAGAGATTTGAATATTGTGTTTGCGCAAAAGACACTCGAGGGATGTTCATTGGATTTTATATGCTGGGGCGCATAAAATGAAGTATTTCTCATGCCGGAATGTTGAATGAGTGTGCAAATAATTTATGGCGAGTGTCACATGCAGAGAAATTTGTGGAAAACTCATGTGAAAGTGCATTGAAATGGGAGAACCGCCTCAGCTGCGATGAGATTAGGACTTTGACGCGGGATGCAAAGTGGTCATGAATGGAGTTGCAAGAGTGCAATTAATCAGTTCACTAAAGTGCCCGTGAGGATTTCCCTGTGAGGGAGTCTCAAGGGTGCGTTTCCACACTCATTTTCACTGGGGCGGGAAATGGGAACAGGTGCTCTACGCCCAGGAGAGGATTACAAAGTCAATCCTGGCACATGCTTGGCAGTAAATATTGCCGAGAGGGCCATCAAATTCGGCGTGCTGTGAAAAGTGTGTTGTACAGCGATTTTTAATGGGAGTTTCGAGGGAATTTTATCGCGCATCTTCTCTTTTATGGTTACAATTTCGTGCTCAGAATATTCAAGGAAATTTTGGCAAAGATGAAAATGTGACTGTAATGAAATTTCCTCCATTTTGGCCATTAATTAATGCCTGTGATTGGCATATGTTGAGTGATTTTCAATCTTCACTTTAGTGGCAAACTTTTTTCAACATGAGTCGCCGTGATTAATTGAGAGCAGTGCTGAAACTTCTTTTCCATCCACAATGGCGCACAAGAGCATTGATTAATGACTGTCAATTAAAGTGAAATTCATGAATGACTTTAATTATACACTCCGCAGTCAGAATCCCTGGCTTAAGGGATATGCAAATTTGACCAATTTCACCAAAACTATTCTTCCGCCACTCAGGGAAATTGGGAAAACAGGCCGAGAGACTGGGAAGGAAATGTTCCATCTGGTTTTGATGTAGCGTATTCACTAATCTTCCTCGTTTAGTGCATTCACTGATTTCCAGGACGGATTTATCGAGCACTGCAGGGGAGAGTATAAAGTGAGGGGATAAGAGTTGCGGCGAGAAAAGCCGTTGATGGAATCAAATGACTGAAAGGGGGCGGAGAGGTGAACATTAAAATACAATTTGTTGCAGGCGCGCGCGAGGGTTCCCGGGAAATCCTCTTTTTGCGGAGGAATTTTGCGAGAGGATGAAATATGCTTATCATTGCGATAATGAGGCGCTCCTAATAACTCACCTCTCAATCCCAGAGAGTCGTGGATGCCGATACTTCCGCGAGAGCAGCAGTCCTCCACCCCAGGCGGCCTGAAGAAGGAGGAAAGGATGATTGTTAGACATTAGTTCCTGCCCTGGCGAGCCCATAGAAGGATCTTACGTCAACGTGCAGCCAGAGATTGTACTTGTCGCAAATGTCCGCGATCTCGTTGAGGGGATCGAAAGCGCCGAGAACTGTGGTGCCGGCGGTGGCGCTGACGAAGAAGGGGATCTGCCCCTTGGCCTTCCGCTCCAGCACCAGCCGCTCCAGCTCCGTGGTGATCATTCGGCCGTGCTCATCCGAAGGCACCATGACGCAATTGTCCGTGCCCAGGCCGCACACGGCGGCGCAACTCTTCACAGAGTAGTGAGACTGGTCGGATGTGAACATGACCAGATCGCCGGGCAGAGCGCGGCTCCCGTGCTCCTTGTAGCCGGGGAACATCTTGTGGCGCGCCGCCAGGAAGGCGTAAAGATTGGAGATGGAGCCGCCGGGCGCTAGGATGGAGTCGCCACAGTCCCAGCCGATTATCTCGCGCATCTTCGTCAGCACCACGTTCTCCATCAGGATGAACACCGGGGCGATCTCGTACGTGAACATGTTGGTGTTAGCCGTGGCCGTGAGCCACTCGCCGGCCATGGAGATGATGTCCAGGCCGCAAGAGAGTTGGTTGAAGAAGTGCGGATGACCTGACGATTCAATTCAGAGTTCCCCAGTCAGTCAGAAACATGTCAGAAATCTTCGCAGAGATCATTAATAATCAGTTAATGCGCATAAATGCCAGGAGAGTGATGACCTTATTGCCTGGCCGAATCCGCTCTGTTTTTCGTGCGCATCAAATGTCCCGGAATAATCCCGAAGAGATTTACTAATAGAATAGGAACACAGATGGAGTGTCGTGCGAGGGCAGACGAGTGCAAAGTGCGGGAGAAGATTAAAACACCCTCAAATGTGGCAGACAAATAAGAGACAATTAAAATCGATAGCAAGCGGGCATTAGGGAAGAACATGTGAAGCAATTTCACCTCAATCAAGGATCACCCGGCGGATCCAATGATCCCACTTTGATGGAAATCCGCTGTAGCGTGAGTAAATGCCCTTATGCTGCACACATTGCTCAATACCCCGAGAGAGAGACCCATTTGAGGGAAAACAGCAGAGTTGGTGAGCAGTGCGCAAAGTCTAGAACTAATGATTCACTCGTTACTCATTGCCAAGATGTTCTAGATGTTCGCATGTTGCTCATCTGTATTCTTACCAACTCTTTTCTCCCTTCTCCACAAACATTTTGCCTTCTCTATGGCGCTCAGACGAGTGATTCTGTGGAATTCCGTCGCTTTTCTTCCCCATTCAAGCGCACGCGTTTTTTGCTGAAAAATATTTTCATCTTGCAACTTTCAATTCCTCAAACAATCCCTCTGACATTCGGCGAGAGGGTGTCTTCATTGTTGAGCGAGAGAGGTCAAAAGAATGCACGAGAAGGGCTGTAATCAAAATCCGTTGTTATTTTCTGACTCGGTGCACTAATCTCTCTCTCGGGGAAAATGCAAGGGGAGAAAGTGTTAGACACCACCATTTCACGTCCATTGAGCGGGAAAACAGACGTATATCCGGATGATGGGATCGAAGACCGGAAGTTATTTCTCAGGGCGTCTTTTGATGGCCACCCATAAATTCAATTTCTCTTCTCCGGAGATTAAAATTCCACGTATCCACTCGCGTAATTTAATATAAATCCTCGGTCAGGACTGATTGAAGAATGAATGGGAAATTGTTTATCGGCGCGTGCCATTTTCCGCCCTCCCGAGAGACACTTTTCAGTGCGTCGGTGGTGGAATTATTAAACCACACAAAAGGCACTTGATTATCATCCATCATGGTGAGATTGGCGAGACCTTCGGGACTCCAATAGTCTCTGTGGTGTTGTGCAAACAGTGGCGCACTGTGGCTGAAGTTTTCAATAACGCACCCCAACTATCTCATGAGCGCTCTTTTATGCGACAAAATCTGATTTTTATAGCTCCTCTCGAGGGGTCGGAACGTATGTTTGTGCGCCACCCTCGCGCGGAGGGCGAGGAGCGTGTTTTTCTGACACCGCCTGGGAACCCTCTGTCGGGATGGAATAAATTCCGAGGGGTTGTTATTGCACAAATTGAATGAATAGCCCTCAAATGGGCGATGCTCGCCTGGGGTGAGTGAACAAATAATTAAATTCCTTCTCATCACATTCATAAATTCTCGCCTGATTTTTCTAACAATTAATTAAATATCATCCCGACCAATTTCTGGGTTGTTCAGAAGTCAGCATGATTTATGCGCATCTCTTAAGCCGCAGTAAAGGAATAATGGGCATTGCTACTCACCAGTCTTCACCTGGTACTTGAGTGTTGTGGCACAATCGGCGAGCAGTTGCTGCAGGCAGACGGGATTCTCTGGGATTTCCAGCTGCAGGAGCTTCTTCATCTCCTCCGGATGGTGGAAGTCCAGCACCTTCTCGCTGCGATCATTTGTGACCCGGATGAAGTCGAGAAGGATGTCGATGACTTTGAGCAGGAACTCCTTCGTCTCCGGTCCGGCCATCACTTGGTGCGGCAGCAGATCTGCAAGGGCATCAATTCCTCAATTCACTCCGCCTAATCCCAACATAAATCATCTCTCGAGCAGTGCTTGGGTTCATTTTTTATCACTCCCGAGGGCGAGAATTCTCATCCTCTAGCATTGCGCAAAAATAGCAACTAAATCCCAAACTCTACATCTTCCTTAAGCCTCGAATAGATGGGAAATTGATTTGGTGCGCATTTCACTTCATTGAGGCGTCAATTCGAGCCCACTTCTAAACCGAATGATGAATGAGAACTTGTCTTTAACCAGATGCGAAATTTTCATCTAAACCAACTCCTTTCGATGTAGGTTAACTTGGAAGATCAATAAGAAGTGTCACATGCATGAGGAAAGGCGATTTCTGCAGTTGACTTATATTTATTTGGTGTCACTTGTGCAAATCCTCTTCATCCTCTCAATTCATCATCAGTCTAGCAGTTGCAACAAGCAGTTGCAACTCTCGATTGTATTTACAGAATTGTGTGCAACATTCGCAAACAATTGAGATGGAAGAGGATTGCTTTCAGCACCAGAATTCAGACTTTCGCAAATTCAATCATTGTAAGACGCTGTGAAATGACCTAAAAATTTCTGGCATTGATCAAATAGGTCAATTATATTCCCACTTTTTCCGACGCAAAATATGCTTTTAATCACTCCAGCGCCACCTCGTCAGAATGGGGATTTGGGGCAGCAAAAAACTGACCCTCGCCGGACAATCCCCCAAAAGCGGCCAGACTTTTTGCCTCCATGGTCGCTTTACGTAATCCTTGGAGTGAAAATGTGCTGCCAAATTGATTACATAACTCGGGAGCGACGTCACGGGAGGAGTGCGCATGTGGCGAGAAAAGCCACAAATCCGCCACGTCCTTTTTTGCAGCATCGCACTTTTTGTGAGGCCTGATAAAAGGGCACAATGCTATCTCGCATCCCGATCCTGAAGGAGTGTCAAAGATTCTGGGGTAGTTTCCAACCCCTCACGATGGGTGAGATTGAATTAAACTGCCTGTGTAATTGATACTCTAGTCTAGAGGGGACGGGAATTCCCGCTGGGCGCGATTTGAGTGGGCGTTTAGGCTCATTTCCGGGCTGTCGGAAGTCACCGCAATCCCTCATCTTTATCTCCTGCAGGGTCTCTTAATCATAGCTAAACGAAGCTACTTTACTCACCCTGAGCCGTGAGTCTGGCCGTCCGATCCGACAGTTTGTAGTTGGTGGGGTTGACTGCCATTTTCTCCTCTGTAAAAACGGACAAAGAGTTAACTACTGCACCTTCGCATTTGGAGAGGACTTTAAGCCAAGAATTGTCATGCAAAAATTCTAGTTGATAAGTTGTAAGCTTGTGAATTGTGCGATAATTTGGTAGACGGAAAAAGAGAGGCAGAAAATGAGTATGAAATGGAGTCTGTTACCAATAAATTTGCGGAGATTTTCCACGTAATTCTTTATGAGAATCACTTTGACGGCCTTTCACTAGCAACTTTCACCACGAAAAATGTTATGAGATGAGGTTTTGGGGTGTGCGTGTGTGAAAAAATACCTTTTTGCGGGTATCAATTGCACATAAAATCACAGAACTTCTTTTTCAGCACTTTTCTGCACGCGCGCGAGATTTTTCTCAATGACTTTTGGCGCTTATTCAGTTGAACCTCATTCGCGGGGAATTTTCGTGGGTTGCTGGGCGAAAGGATCACCCCTGGATTGCTCCTTTGTCGGACGGACCGAGAACTCTCCGTGGATCCACACTTCAGGTCTCCAACTCAACTGACTCCAGCCTCCGGATCGTCGTCAATATTTCTACCCTTATGGCGCAAATGGCGTCCGCAGCCTTCGCGCCCTCGGCGGGTGGTGAGCATGACGTCATGGAAGTGGGCGTGGCTGCTTTGGGGTGTCCCCACGCACACACACACACACACGCCCGCTCAAGAGTGCCCCCGCAGCAGGACTGTGGTCCGAGGGATTAAAGGCAAAAAAGGGAATCATGTGGAAAATCGGTGATTTCTAATCTTTCTGACATTTATCACTTTAATTTGGAATATTTTAGCACTTTGTCACAGTGAGTTTTATGTGCGATCCCACATCATCGCCCAAATTGGACATTATCAGTCTGTTCGCTGTGCTCAAGGACTCATTCTCACTTTAAGCAGAAAGGAATTCGCATGAAAATGTCACTCAAAGAACCAGAATGTCCCTCAACATAATGTAGGATTATTCAGAATAGTCTATATTTAGTTTTTTCAGGGTTATTGTTCTTCGTTATTCACTGTATAAAAGTGCAATGAAGCGAAATACCCGAAAAATGCATAAAAAAATGCAGATAAATTTAGACCAAAAACAATATTTTCCATATACTTTTTCAATGTAATATATATATTTTTCTTCACAGAAAGATTAGACGATTTCTGCCACTCCTTTCTAAAAGCGGTCTTGTGTTTTTTAATGTTATTTGTGGCTAAGAATAAAAATATGTATAGTAACTATTTTGCAATTCTTCTGGACAATCATCAGATTTTGCAAAATTTCACAGTGATTTCTGTGATTTGTGGCTCGTGGCATTTCTTAAAGCTGACTCATTTTCCCTCTTGTTTTAAATGTTATCTTCGTACTCGAGTTCACAAGTATTTCAATTTCATCATTTGATTGCTTCCGAACCTCTTCTTAAAAATCTCTTATCATCACTCATCATCATTCTCTCTATACTTCTCGCTTCTACTCTTAATGGAAATTCCTGAAAGGACTCTCGAGCTACCATGAAAAAGAATAAAAGCTCTCGGGTGCCTGCAAATGAGGTGAAGAGCATCGAAGAGGTGGAGCTTTTGTCAGACGATGGAAAAGCTCATTGATTTTCCACACACACACACACACACACACACAAAGGCTCTCGCCAATGTTTGCACTGCATATCAAGAGGATTTTCGTGGAAATGTCTCTGTTGTTGCAGAAAAAATCTCTAGTGACGCTCATGGCAGTTCTCCTTATCATCGTGTACTATCTATTATGGAAATTGTCCCCCTTTTTCACTCGCAGTTTTCTGCGTGGGCGGACGAAAAGTACAGGATCGATTGCGGGTCACCTTGAGGTTTCGTGAGTCACTTGTGACGTCAGGAGGAAAGAGTCCTTGCACGCGCCAAGGAGGAGTTCCCTCGTCCTTCGCACGAGTGCGAAGGAAAATCAATAGGCAGAAAGCTCGTGTCCAAATTACCATTTCGACTTCTATTGATACTGAATTGTGCGGAAGCGCAGGCAATTTTACGCATTTCCAGAGCGTAGATTCAGTCGACGTCATATTAAATGGTGTCTCGAGTGGATGGCTTTTGAGGCTCAATTTAGCCTGATGGAGTGGCGCATCAATAAATCAAATAGCGGCGATGAGTGACGGTGAGAATCATTTTTAATCGCCATCATAAAAGTCTCACTTTTCCAGTGATAATCCCTTATCACATCTCATTCATTCACCCATTTATCGGACACTTCCTGAGCACACTTTTCAGTTTACAACCGCCATTCGTGCCGTTACAAAGTGCCTCTTCTTGCAATCCAATTTGGCCGCCGTGGAAGAAATATGAAGGTAAAAGTTCATAGGTGATTCACAGGCGCCGGAAGGAGCCCTCAAGGTGTCCTTAATTACATCCCTAACGAGAGTTCTGCTTGGAATCACCCACGCAGAAGCTACCACAGAAGGCAGACAATTAAAAGCTCTGACCCGGGAAATGGAAGAAGCTTCAGAGAATTGCTCAAGTGTTAAATTAACATAAAGAGCACTCAATGTCGTCCTCAAATGAGATGACAAAGAATGGAGAGTCTTTTGCTGTTGAGAAAAGTTAGTGGGAAATATATTTGCGCCTCAATCAGATTGAAAAAGTTCCTCAAATACGAGCAATTTCAACGGTGCGGGAAAAGTCCTAATGTAATATATTGAGTTTTTCTCAAAGTATACACAAAGTTTTGTGGGAAAAACTTTCAATTTGTGTTCTCAGGGGAAATTGAGAGAGAAAATATATGTGGATTTTCTCGCATTTTCGCACGATAAAGTGCTTACTAATAACTTGAACGTGTGTTCGGGAAATTACACCATTGAAATTAAAATCAATTGGAAGCCTTCTTGGCCTTCTCGAAGTTAAGAAAGTTAAATTATTGGTCTGTAACTCAATCTTGTAAGAAAGTTCTTATCTAAATTGTGGGAGATTCACTGCGCCGGAATTTCCAGAAGGCGCTCAATAACCCAAATTACAGCCAAAAGAATTCAGCAGCAGAATTCCAAAAGGATTAGGAAAATGTTTTCAGATATTCGCCCAGTTTTCAACACACCAGAAGAGGGATGAGAGGGGGTGAAAAGCCTGGAAAAGCATTTGGGATGACCAGAAAAGAAGGAGTGAAGGAAAAGAAAATGGACAGATTGGGAGCAAATGTGGAAAAAAGGAGGCAAAAAGGGAGTTTTCAGCGAATATTTTGCATTCGGAGCCCCACGGGCGCTGAGCTGTTACGCAAGAGAGGGTTGAGGAAGCAGGAAGTTTTGCCTGGGTATTGATTTTCCTCGGCGACGGAGCAACATGGCGCTCGGGAGGCTGAGTGAGCCATTTACAGGGGGGCGCCTGTCGTCATCCACCCACGCTCTGGGGCGGTGACTGTGTTCTCAAGCTCGTATCTCCTTCCCAGGCGCACATCCTCAATCCGGTTGCCGCCCTCGCGCGGATGCTATTGGTCGTCCTGGTGATGCGAGGTGCGCATGAATCCGCCGCCGAGACAACGGCCGACCTGCTGGACGCCACCGCGAGCAAGGACAGCGTAGTCCACGATTGGAAGGCAGTGTGTGAGCACTTGCAGCGGTGAGTAATCTTCCGCTCCTATCCCTTGTCTCTCTGCATCCGGCTTGTTGCTGAGCAGCTTCTTCCGGGCGCTCTTTGTCCCCAAATTGCCTTCTTTGTACTTTTGAACACATTTTAGACTTCTTATCAGTGTTTGTGTAGCATTTTAGCGATGATTTCACGTATTCATTAAATTTATCAAAGTTTTAATGAAGAATAATGTGTGAGAATTATGATCGAAAATGTAAAATATTAAGATATTGAGGTCGTTTTCTCATTTAACTTCCGGTTGAGTCCAAGAAAATATACATATTAAATATTTAAAGTCGGTTTACAAAATTTACGCTAATATGGAGAATCTTAGAGAATTAGTACACCTCTTTTCATTTACGCTACGTTATGTAAGGACTCTTTTCCTAACATAATTCATGTGACGGATATGCATTAGGTTGCATTTTTATATAAACGAACGCCACAGATAAAAAATTACAAAATAAATTTTCTGTGCATCTAAGAATATGAATGGGCCATTGATAGAAACGCAGGGAAATTGAAAAGTATATAAATTTATTAATATAAAATGCGAAAAGAATTTAGGCTTATTCTTACTGATATTTATTAAATTTTCTATCAATTTCTTTGAAATTAAGAAAATACTCATATTTTTTCGACGTTAATCTACTTTTGTGGGTTAATCGGGTCAATTCGTGTTTTTTCACCCACAGAAACTTGTGCTGAAAAGACAAATTAGTCATTTTTAATACGATTTGCGAGAACACTTTTTTCTTCCAACACAGTGTTCAATTTTAAAAAGCTGGAAAAAGCTTTTACGTTGACGAAACACATTGTTTCACATGAAAAACTACATATTATATTTTAGAAACTTTCAGGAACATTCCTAAATCTGCGATTGTTCAGCAATTTCAAAGGGTTAAGAATAATGAAAATTGTATAAAAGGTTTTACAACAAAGTCAAAACTACACATATATCACTAAGAAATCGATTAAGATTCTTCTCAAACTCACCTCCATATTAAATAATTCCGGGAGTGAAGAAAGGAATTCACTCGACCAACTTCAAAATCAATTTTCTTCCGCACATTCATTGTTGCTTTGCAATGGAAGTGAACCAAAGTGGAAAATTGGAGCGAATAGTTGAAAAGAATTTGTGATTTCCGCCCACAGGATAAACTTATCGGGGTCGGGATGTCGGCCCTGGTGGTATGTGCTGCGCCCACCGGTGACGGAGAGTCTGCCGCAGGAGCAGCTCGACCTGATGTGCCCCACGCTGTGCTCCAGTAGCCTGGGACTGCCCAGCTGCGTCTGCATCGTGCCCTACAGGGACTTGTCGGCGGCCGACAGGGACAACGTCTGTCAGCTCTTCTGCTCTGTGACCGGGTCCAATCTGCGGGGCTGCACGGAGTGCGTGGACAACCAGACGACGACGGAAATGATGACGGTGACAACGGAGTCCTCCTCCACGACCTCCACAGCCAGCAGCACGACCACTCGAACCACGAGCACGACCAAGAGCACCACGAAAGCGCCCACGACGACCACGACGCCCGACTGGGGGGCGCTATGCAACGTGCTGTGCCAGATTGGCGAAGGCGGGGTAGGAAAATGCACGCCGAACTCACACTTTTTACGATGTTTGACGATTTGTGTCTCTCATTGCAGGTTCTGTGCAATTGTGACTTGCCGCCGTTCTTCTGAGCCATGAGGTGATCGTCAGGAGGACAGCGGTGACTTGTAAATATGATACAATTTCCGTTGGACAACGACAAGTGGATTTGTTCTGAGGGTTCCATTGATAAGGCAGTTAATTAAACTACCAACTTTTGTTTTTGACTCGATGTTGAGAGAATTTTTAGCATTTTAACGACAAGAAATAATCACAAAAGGGCTTCCAAAACCATCAATTCATTGTGACCATCGAGACGTCGTCTCGTTGGGCGCATGTATTAAGTATAGTGGACAAGAATATATAGGTGTAACTTTAAGAAGGATGTCTATGTTAAGAGTGTAATGAGATAAATGAGGAGGAGATGTGAAGAATTTGGTAGACAAGGAGTATCTTATCACCTTCATAGAATGAGTAGAATTTTCATATCAGTGAGAAATGATAGGAAATTGCTGTGAAGACAATAAAAATTCATCTTAAATGACAGTCATTGAAACTTATAATGTGTAAAAGTGTTGTAATGTTGTTCTAAATGATGTATACTAAAAAGATGAAAATCATGCTCTAATTGATAAGTTCAAATTAAGGTGAGAATAAAAAGCTTAAAAAACTGTCGCTTAAGTGTTGCCTAAATGTCACATTAATAGATGTTGATTGAGAGAAAAAGAAAACCACTGAAGACGAGTCCTCTGTCTCAATGTGAAACATAAATCCAACTCCAAATGTAATCCACAATAAAGAATTCCATGTATTGCAATTAGTCTCAATTGGTTTTATTTTTTTTAGCCCTCTCGACTCTTTTGTTTTACAATCTTGTTTATAATTCATAATATATTTCATTGCATCTTCTTGTGGGCAAAAACGCGCAAGGAAAGAACGCAACATTCCAAAGAAGGGAGAAATTCTGGTGTGAATCACTTCTAATTCATGCTAAAAAGCCATTATTATGGACGAAAATGTTATTCAACAATATCATGGTCAAACTGATGTTGTGTTAATCAGCAGAACTCGGGATGATTGCATCTCAAAACCTCATTTTGTAACAAACAACAGAGCTAATGTTGCCATTCACTATTCAACAATTTCTTATGGAGAAGATTGTCTCTCTTCCCTGTGCTTTTCTAAGACTTCATCTTTCAACGCAAATAATTTTCAGGCATTGCAAAAATTGTCGCGTGAAAGAATAATATCATTTCACTTCGAGTTATCTCTCAGTTGGTAAAAAAAATCCATGACGCTTTGCACATCACTTTTAAGTCACTTCGGAGGCAACACAAAAAAAATCAGTAAAGTACAAAAAATTCCCTCTCACTCATCTAGTATTATTAAAATATGTTTTATACTCTTCATTTTTAGCGTCTCTGCAGACAGCTCTCTATTATATGCAATTTACAAAAATTCCTCCTCACATCGCTCTCCCAATATGCATGATTCATTTTGCTCTCTACGCAATATTACAAGTAGTAAAATGTGATAAATTGCACGTTTTAGTATGGATTATTACATGGAAAAAATCCCTTTTACATTCAAATTCATTTCATTTTCCTCTTAAGTCATTTTTCACGCCAACTCTAAACGTGTTAAATTGAAAATATCATATTTGCCAGAAAACCCAAAAAGGAGAAGAAAAAGGGGCGCGCAATTTCTTATTGGCAATTTTTTCTCTTTCTTGGTCACCATCAGAGCGTTTTATCTCGCTCCTCCAGATGCAATTACTCCCACTCTCAGTGGGAAAAGTCTGCTTGTCGGAATGAAACATTTCAAGAGAAGTTTGTTAGAAAAAATAAGGAAACTCGATTCATTCTCAATCCGTGGCCAATTCATCGATTCGACACCGAACAGCGTGCTCAACAACCTCCAAACTGGGATAGTCCAACTCCTTCACCAGGCAAAGGGTGGCGGAAAGAAGGTTGGCATTCTGCAATAAACAAGACACCAATTAGTATTGGATTATAGAAAAGATTGACATTCACTTTAAGTGGATGTTTGCAATAAAATCCCATAGATTTAAGGTAAGAAGTGTGATTTGAACATTAAGTGCTTCGATTAAGCACATTATGGAGATCTCTTTTTAATAATTAATTACATTCTTGAGTCATCACTATAACTAAACAAAACATCTTCATATTCAATAAGAGTATCTCAGATATAAATCTATTCGCAACCTTCTGCCAAATGATGATTGTTCGTACTTAAGAGCTCGTAAGTTTAATAGCTTAATTCCACGCATGAATAATAGTTGCAATTCTTCAATCTTCAGATGTTCATATTTTCATGCAAATATTTTTTCCTATTAAATGCGCTTGTTATTATGTTGAGACAAATAAGACAAAAAATACGTCCTTTTTGCGATAATTCAATACAATAACTGAAACTTAACATCGAATGAGAGAATTGGAACTGTGATTGGAACAAGTCTAATTCTAAAGTCAAAGGCAATGAAAGTCACTGGATTTCTTCATTTAACCAGTTATAATCCTGAATAAGAAGCACCAGGATTCAGTAATATTCTCTTATCATCGTGAAGTCATGCCAAGTGCATCTAAATGCCTCCATCAGCTCACAAGATCAAGTGTAAAGTGCAGCACCTACCCTGTTCACTGGCCGCCGATGGTAACTGGCGTAGTGATTGAGAACGGCATTGGAAACCACACTCGCGCTGTCATTGAATCTGCCCTCGGAGCGACTGCAAAGACAGGGAAGTGATGCTCACACAGATCGGTGCATAGGAAAGCTAAGCTTACCGCTCCCTTCGACGCATCTCCGCGTTGTCGTCCCACTCCTGATTCGTATTCCCATTGCGGTAAGCGTAGTCCCGCTGAGCATCGCCACCGCCATTTCGGCGGTTCGGATGCGGCGCCTGGTGATGCTGCTGCTGCTGTTGCTCGTCCCACTCGGTCAGGTCCATCTGGCTGTGGCGATAGGACGCCGGATGTGGCTTCTGGTAGTCAGACTGATAGTACTCCTGGCGTGTGTTCGACAGAAATCATATTACCACACAGTGCAGAGCTTTCCACAATACATTATATTGGGGAAAAACAGTGTATTTCAATGAAGCAAAGGTGCTCAAAGTGAAGATTGTGAGTTGTGGAGGCAACTCAAGGAGACATTAAATTAAATATATTCCCACCTCCCTTCGTTGGACGATTTTTTTTTATTGCTTTACCTTCATTGAATGCGTCGACATTGATGGCGCAATTGGCACACGTTCGCGATATCCAGTGGCTGGAGATGCCTCCTGATCAGATCCAGGTGATCTCTGTGTCATATTACATTGTTAATTAAATGGAAGAGAGATAAATAATTGGAGAAATCGAAAGTAAATTGGAAGATCTTTTGCAATAGTGCCAATTAGTGATGCCAATTAGTATGAAAATGCTTCTCATTTCGCAACATTTACCATTGAGACGTCATACTGATGGTAGGAGCCTCGATGGTCTCGCTGGTATCGCGGAGAAGGTGGTTGATTTGTCTCTGGCGGTGAATACTGTTCCTGATTCGATGGACTCCTCTAAAAGTGCGCGTTCGAGGAAGAAAGTTAGGTCAAATTAGTGGTTTTAGCAAATGCCTTCAAAGCCTTTTTCAGCATTACAACAAACAAGAGGTGTTAATCAAGACAAGGACTTGAAGTATAACATAGAGCTTGTTCTTTACCTGAATCGGTGACGATGGAATTGAATTACGATCAATTGGATCACTTATGGATTCCTCAGTGTTTTCGAGACTCTGATTCTATGTTAGTGTGTTTTTATGTTTTCGCAAACATTCATTTTGCAGGCAAGACAAAATGGTTTTAACAGCAGAAGATAGAATAAAAGAGAGCAAGAAGACAAAACATTAAGCCATTATTTAGTATGTTTTATAAGATGAGATTCCCAAGTGAAGACACTGCAATTGTGATCAGATAATTTGCAAAAGTAAATGCCTTTTTTTCTCACCTCTCGCATCGGACTCTGCTGGCGATATTGCGATTGCTGTTGATTCTGCGAGGGCGGCGGTTCAGCATATGAAGAGTCTTCATATATGACATCATCCCTCTTTACAGAACCCCTTCTGGCTTCCGCCAGTTCCTCCGGAGTCACATCGATATTGTCCAATTTCTGCAGATTTGGCAAGGTTCTCAGCACGATTGCGCGGTAGCTGCAAAAGAAACACACCAATATTACTACGGAAAGTGGATGGAAAACACCTCCGAATCTTACTTTGGACCTGCTCGCTCTACACATGGATTCTCCTCCAGCCAGAGATACTTTAAATTTGGCAAACTCTGAAAGATGCAACAGAAGAATTTTCTCTTAACTGAATTCAGCACAATTGGTGAGAGTCTTGGCTGAGTGCTGACAAAAGTTTTGGCGCGCAAGAGAAGCGTAAAATTGGCCAGAAAGTCACACTTTTAGCTCTAATTTCCCAATAAATTACTTCAACAAACCCATAAAATGACAAAACAGGCAATTAAATGCTCTGCAATTTTGACGACATTGTGATTATGTATTTCATGGTCACTCTTGTGACGATTTTTTATGTAATAATTTCATTATTTTATTCCCAAGAGAAGTGTGAAGATTGTGTGGGTTTCGCTTCACTGAGAGACTGAATATTATTCCATATAATTGACTCTTCTTTTTCATGGAACTCACCTGCAGATATGCCAATTCTGATAAATCCTTTATATTGTTCCGTCTGAGGTAGAGTTCTTGCAAGTTTTGGCAGTTCTCAAAGTCGGCCAAGCTACTTATTTTATTCACACTGCAAAGAGAAGAGCAACACTCATTAATTTCTGCGTGAACTTCGCCAGACAACAGAGATATCGTCGTCAGTAAAGTGCACAAAAGAACGCCACACATTTCCCATGCGGAATGACGTAAGGCCTTTAAAATACAGCCATGTATCGCGCGTGGGCCCGTAATATGTATTACAAAATAATCAAATATCAATTGTTGGACACACACAACATCGATTTGGCGTTCGTGATGAGAGTCCTCGCAATAGTTTCCAGGCAGAGAGTAAACATTAGGCAAAAATATGTCACGCAATTCAACCCTTTTTTTCTCCTTTCACCTTTTCCATTCTACATACGCGATATTTTCACACCCTCTTGTCTATCTCTCGTGTGAAAATAGCTGTTAAATTGCGCTCTAGTGTTTGTGTTTGAGAGAAAGAGCAATAAAAATGTGTGATTGATGGTTGTAATTTGTCGGAATTCTATCAATTTCATTCGAGTAACTTCATTTCCATTGACTGAACGCAGAGTGAAAAAAGAGAGCAAAGTGTCTTCCTCCTTCACATCTTGCAGCAAAAGAAAAGTGCATGAAACCTTTTCTCATACGCCAATTAAATGTCTCTGTTGATCTTCAGCTGCAATTATCGACAAACAGAATGTCTTTCAACGGTAGAAAAAGCACTTTCATTTCGAATTATTCAATAACTGGAGGAAATCCGCAAAGAAATTCTACAATTGCACCAATTTCCCGATGAATTGCAGTGTATTACTATTGCACAACACCATTTGTGCGGCCCCTCGAACGCCGCTTCCAAATTCCCTCATTGTCAATTACATGCGCCAGAGAATTAATATAAAACTAGCAACTTTCACTGATACTCAACCGACTTTTCTTTTGCCTATCGCCATCACTTATTGTTCCTCCTCTCTGTTGGTTATTTTGATTTTCCATCCACTTTTCTATCACAACTGTTTCTCTCTTGTTTATGCGTACATGTTTTTTATTCTGTAAATGTAAATCACATTCTAAATGCAGCTGGAGCGGAAAGATTCCTTGTCTCTCCACTCAAGTGCACAGAAATTACGGGAGAATAGAATCTCCAATGCAATTGAACACACATCACGAAATTGTTCCCTCTCTCTGCCGGGATATTTGGGAATTTGTGGTCTGCACAAGTGCACGCGAGAGTGAGAAAGAATAATAAATGCAGCGGTGAAGAAATTTCATGCGTTGCCAGTCTGTGAAGAAAATAGAAAATTCCCTTTATTGTCTTTCTTTTCATCCTCTTGTGTCTCACAAGAAACTCTCTCGCACATTCACCGCGCGTCGTCTTAGTTACATTTTAATCGACGTGTAACGGTAAAGACACGTTTTCTCCTATATATGTATACTTTATTTAGAATCAACAGCATAAATTCCTGCAATTTATTATTATTTAGCATCACTGCACATCTGATCGTCAAACAGTCGCTCAAGAGTTCATTTCCTCAGCAATTCTCCACGATTTTTCTTACACTTCATTCAACCATCTTCTTTTTTTCTTTCTTTTTATGATTGTCTCAGAGAGATAGCAAATAAACCATCAGAAAAATTCCCTTTCACACATTTTTTTAAAGAAATTTCTCACCACAGCAAAAAGACAACAGAGAGAGAGAGAGAGCGAGAGCGCGCGATGTTGAGGTTTCGGAATTCATTTTATATGATAAGTAGAAGAAGAAGTTAAATTTACAGCTCAATCTACCTCATATCATACTTTATTGCTTTACTGACTTCACCTTTCAATCATAAGCAAACACAGTTAAGCCTTCTGCTAGGGAAACTCCCCAATTGGAAAAGCCTAAATGATGCGTATCATGTAGCAGAGGAAAATTGCAGAACACGCTTGGAAAGCTTCAACAGTTGCATTGCTGTTCTTCTACGCAAAATATACCTTTTTAAATATTCATATCAATAAGCATTAAATCTCTGTCAGTCTTGAGACAATTCAGGCACAAAAAACTGTGGAAAATCTCTCTGAAACCACGAGGATCATGACCTCTTAATTGTCTTCTAACTGTTCTGTAAGAACACTATATAATTTTGGAATGTTGCTTTGTTGGAAATATTTTAAGAAATTAGTGAACTATTGAATCCAATTCATGCAAATTTGCTTTTACTCCAAATCGCCCAAATCTCACTTATGAGATAAAGTTGAAAATTTTCCACTAATAAATCACGTGTCTAAATAAATTTCTTGTTCTCTCACAGCTTTTTACAGTGAAAAGAAAGCGCGAAGTACATTTTAAGAATTCAAAAATGTAGAATTTCTTGGCAATTAGAACAGGTCTGTTAGTTTCTTAATGACTTTTATATAGGAGAGAAAGAAGCAGAGGGAAAAACATTCTTTGCTCGCGGCATCATTTTAATACATTATATGTTTGTTGTGATCGTATTGAGAAATGATCTTGTGAGAAAATCAAACAGATTGTGAGTCACACAGAATGCAAATAGACGGAAAAAATTCAAATTCTCAGCGACAGTCAATCGTGTGGCTTGAATTTCTTTCAATACCATCCAGTTTATCTACATTTTTGATGTCATTTGCCTCTCTTTGCCACACATTTTTCCAATTTCCTCATGCAAAAGACTCTCTCATGTTCTTCGATATTCTGCAAATATGCAAACACACGGAACTGCGCGGGTGTTGGTGAAGAGAGAAGGTGACGCACCAAATTGGGAAGTGAATCGCCAGAGCAAACAACAAAATCTCTGTACGAAGGCGTTTGATGATCTTGAAAAGTTGTGTAACTGGCCACAATTTTGAGCCACAAAAATGAAAAAAAACTAATATCTTGCATGGAAAAATCCCACGAGTTTCTGAAAAAGCCAAAATTAGCGTATGACACGCCAGAAATGACAATCGAGAGGCCTTTTAGTGCCCCCAAAGGAGCCTCAATTCTCAATCCCATTTCCATCAATCAATTGTCTCTTGACACACTTTGCCCCGCGCTCCATATATCGATCTAATAATTTTCCTCGTAATTTACCCTCAAAGCCGGAATAAATAATTTACATTGAACGTGAACTATCGGCCAAGACAAGACAAGCCCGTAACCACATTTTGTACACAGACTAGATAACACAAGAGATTTTGTACACTTGCCGATAGTGAATGAAATATGCACGATAAGCTATCAATAGCGATTCCACCGTGAAACCAGTGGAATTTCAACAAAAACCGCGTTAAGTGTGTGTCGAATTGATTTCTTTGCTGCCTTCTTCAACAATACTGATGGTATTTTTCCTCTATAAATTAACTATGCGGAGATTCTTGAGAAACATTATCATAAATTTTGCAGGAAACCTGAAAATTTGCTTAAAATATGTTCTTATTCTACGCCGGCAGATAAGAGAGATTCTTCAGATCATAGTTCAATAAACTGCCTTAAAAAAATTTCGCTTGATTTATACTGTATCATGATTTCTTATTCTATTAATTATACCAAAAACTTTACAATCTGATAAAAGTCAAGTGACTTTTCTCCAGCACTTGTTGAACATCGCTTAAGATGTAACTAATTAGATACGCTAAAGAACAATAGATTGGCGTTAGAAACAACTCAAACTCTAACTGCCTCGAAACTTTTGCGACTTCTCAAGAATTTCGCTCGACTTTTGACAGCGGAATGGTAAATCTTTCCGCGAGTGTCTGGCCATGAACTCGCCACCCATTGACGAGGTGGCGTTTTGGGGTCAAAAACGAGCCCTTCTTACCTGAGCGCCAACACCTCCACGCCACGCATGCGACGAATGATGGTCACGTCGGTCAATTCGCTGCCCCTGGAAGAGGGATTTGCCCATTAGTGTGGCCGGAAAGCCTGGCCCAAGGACGCCAGAGTCTCAGAATGCGTGTCCCGCGAATCCAACGCGGAGTTCGCCATAAATGGACACTCCTTTGGCTCTCGCTGCATGTCGTCACGGTCACCGTGTGGAAATGTAAATTAATTTCATTAATGGGTGCTCTTTTGGGTGTGCGGGAGCGAGAGACAGGTCGCAAATCACGCCTCAGAATCACAAACTACACACTGTTGAGGCGGGTCGACGAGAATCTCTCGCTTTGTTGTCGAATTCCGCAGGATTTATCAGGGAATTTGGATTTTCAAGCACACTTCTTGGGAGTCATCAACAAAGATTGTCTGCCTTTCGTCGCTCTTTGGGAGGTATTTTCGAGATGAAGCGTTCAATACTGGCTCTTTGATTGTGTTTGACGGCAAAAACTTTGCACTTTGCGGCAATTTTACGATGACCAGACGGCAAACAAGCAGTTCATAAATGTCTCCACTGAAAATCAACTTGTCAACAGTGTTATGCAGACAATTTGTAAACAATAACAACTTTTAGAAGTGTTTCAGCTTAAATGAAAGCCTAGGAAAGCAAGGAATTCCCAATTAGAGAGATTTTAATGAGCAAGTTTTATCTTTATTAGAGAATAGTGAGTAAATGAGCTCAAATCCCTCATTATCCTTTATATTCCAGAAGCTCCACCCTTTGGAAAGCCCCGCCTACTTAGTTAAGGCTCAAATCCGTGCCCTTATTCGACAGACATTTCTTCAAATTAGAATGCAAGTTGGTGGAATTGCCCTGTGTTGTTCAAACTAGTCACGAAGTGGCTATTTTTATGGAACTCTTTGGGTGATTTTCACGTGAGATTGAGCACATTTCCCTACGTCACCGCCGCCACTGAGGGCTTTCCACCTCGTGGTCCGCGAGCGGAGCATTGTCTTGCGAAAGAGGCGCGTTTTGCCAGCGAAATTCTGAGACTCCAGCCTTCTTGGCAAAGTACACTTTCTAATTTGGCGTGGCTTCTGACGCCACACTCACGCACCAGCAGTTGAGCTTCTTCACTGTGGACAAGTCAGACTGTCTGGACCGCGCGATGACCATCTCCTCAGTCAACTTAGTCATTTTCCTGGGCTTTTCTTCTCCGGAGAAACACGAGAAAGGCAGTCAAATTTTTCACGGCACCTCAAACAAAAGTGTCATTCGCACACACAACTGAGATTACTTGCTACGATTATCACAGCTCTCGTGAACCATTGGAGCACTCTTCAGTAACACCAACACGGGGAAAAATGAAGAAAAGTAATTGAAAACAAAATTGCACCTCTCGATCGCACTTGCAAACACCGAATGAAATCGTGGAATTCGTCGGAAATCGCCAGACTTGACACTTCTTCTTCTTATTCTTCGGTGTGGGGCAAAATTCCTTCGCAGGGCGTGTTTCCAGTCACTGTCACCACCGACCAATTGGCGCTGCAATCAATCAAGAGGCTGTTTTGTGGAGATTTCGTCAAATTTTATTCAATGCACAATTTAACACGCAAAAATATAGGAATATTACACTCTGGCAAATCATCACCTAGCTCTCGAAGCTCTCGTTTGAGTCGATTGCCTTGAGAGCGGCCAAAAGCTTGGTTTTCTTCTTCTGATCAATTGGCTGCCGCTTCGTCGGTTGAATCTTGGGTTTTTGAAAAGTAACCGCTTGTGGCGGTGCTTCTGGGAATCCATTCTTGATAACATTCTCGCAAATCTCATCGAGAATCGCCTCGTTAATCTTGATATCCTCTTTGGAAGATAATCTCTCAAACTTCCTCGACAAATCTGCATCGACTTCTCTGTGAGTTTGCTGAGCCTGTTCACTTTCATCCTCGAGTTCCTCGCCGTTGAGATTACCAGCGCACTCTTCGCTGGAAATGCTCTTTGTGGTGCTCCTTTCACTGCTTTCTGCGTTTTTCATGATCTCCCGAACTTTCTTGATGTCTCTCTTGGTGGCTTCCTTCCTTTTCTGAGTTTCATCCTCTGGTTCTGTCGCGGGGAGTTTTTCCAGTCGATGAGGCGTGGTTTCTTCAGGCGATTTTGAACATGCCGATGAGGATCCACTCGCTCGGAAGTGATTGATGGGCGCCAGGGAGGAGCTAAAGTGCGCCGAGTGTGACTCTCTGAGGAGGAAGTTCTTCTGGTGAAAACCACGCACGAGGAAAGCGCCTCCATTCATCCGCCTCTCGCCCACGTCCAGCCTCGTGCTGAGGCGCGTGACTTCGCTGGTGGCCTTGTCCAACTTCTGGCACACCTCGCGATATTTGACACTCTCTTGGTGCATCTGGTTGCGGAAGCTCTTCGCCTCCAGCTGCAACTTCCGCGCCAGCAACTTCGTGTCGTTATCCTTCTCCACGAGGCGCGCCTCCAACTCTCGCACGCGATTCGCCAGCTTCTCGCGCTCATCCAAATGCCTGTCTCGGTTCAGCTGCTGGAAGTGCTTGTTCTCATCCGAGATGCTGAGAATGACCTGCTCTTTCTGCTTCAGTTTGCTGTGCAGGTCCTTGTTCTGCTTCTGCAGTTCGCGATATTTCGCGTGCCACGTGCGAATCTCCTCAGCATGCGAGTTGAGAAGCTGTGGCAGCTCCGCATTGGCTCCGTCGTACTTCAGGAGAGCGCTCTCCTGACGCCTGATCATGGTCTTGAGACTACGATTCTCCTGGCTGAGTTCCTGTTCAGGGAGAGAGAGAGAGAGCAAATAAATATGGGAAATTGAGGATTTACGGAGGGAATTACAAAGACTTGCTGCTGAGCCACTGTCAACTGATTCTGGAGGTGCTTCAGGCGCAACATGCGAGCCGAGAGGATTCTCTGGCGCACCTCACTCGCTCCCGAAGACACCATGGTGGCCTGCCTGCCGCCCAGCTTTCGTCCGTGCACTGCCGACGTGGAGAATTTGGAACTGCTGGAGGAGTAGACACTCTCCATGGTGGGCAATCAATCCTCCCGCGATATCGATTTATTATCACAAGTTTGACACAGTTTCTGCGCGCGGTACGCGGGGGTGAATTGAGGTAGGAAGATTCTACTCGGTGCTACCCTTTCGCCAATCTCATTGGGGACGCGTGTGGGGCAGGATTCGCCTCACAAACACACTCACGTGGCCACTCAGGCCTGGATTCTCTCGGGATTTTCCACAACAGCTGCTCCAACACTTTTTCCCTTGGAGCATGTTGTTGATACTCAACCGTCTCGCGGCAACGCGACGTCCTGCCACAGAGTTGAAGCACAAGGCAGGTGTAGAACGTATAGATCTGCAATTCAATTCCACCTCAACTCTACTTCCTGAATGCACTCTGCAACGACTCCCCTCCGTTTGATCAATGAACCACGAGGAAGCGTGGAAAAAGCGTGTCTCGTATCCTTTCGAAAACAATTCATCTTTATTGTAACATTTTACCTATGCCTAAAATTTTCATTCATATAAAAATATCCTTTACAATCTTTTTATACCTCAAATTCTGTGGGCTTCACCCACTATTCTGCAATTAACATGATCCTTAATTAGTCTATAGCTAGATACATAAAAAAATCATTCATGAGAGAGCTTCCTAGCAGCTACATTAGAAATGGTGATAAAGGGTATAATGTGCCATTAAATCCTAGTCATAATTAGCTTTAACATTTCCTCTCTAAATGAATATATATAAAAATTCAGATCATACATCATTTTGGCGCCTTTTAGCGGATATAAAATCATATCTCTTTGTAGCTATCATCTGATAAATCTTCCATCTCACTGTTGCGATAAATGCTTTCTCAATTAACAGTTTTCTCTCTCTCTCTTTCTCTCTCTTTCTCTCTAAGACAATTATATACATCACATTGCATATAGGCTAATGGTATTTCTTTCACACAGTGAGAAGACACTTTTGAGATTTTAAGATAATTAAGAGTATTTAAGCGGTTTCCCTCTCGAAGACTATCGAAAACTCACTCCGTACTTCTTCGCCACCTGCGGCGAGTGCACTGTGGCCACAGACATGAGCAGCGGCACATCGTCAGCCGCGAGATTGAGCGCCTTCGTCACAGAAGACATGGAACAGAAGTCCGTGGCGAGGAGGAAAGCTGCCAGGGTTTCGCTGTGCATATACATCTCCTGCAACTTCGACTCCATGAATGACATGCACTGATATGGAGACGCTCCGGCACGCCACATCGCTTGAACGGTCTCCAGCATTGACGCCACGAGTGGAGACATCACGACAGGATGGTCACTGCCGATTGTCGGAAGTCCAGGAGCACTCTTGGAGGACAGCACGGAGACACCCCACTTGTCCGTGTTCGCCACAATGGCCACATTCTCCGTAGCTACTTGCTCCAGCGTGGCGCAGTGAGAGGCCAGTGTGAGATCCGTCTTGAGCGCGCCCTCGAAGTCCTTCGCTGGCGCCAGAGTGCCCTGAAGTACCATATCTGAGATGTAGTGGTCAGAAATGCCCGTCATCAGCGAAGGGACGAATCCCGACTGAGCGATACTCATTGCCTTCCTCTCGAGACTTTTCGTCATCTCACATTCTGCACTCTGCGGCATGGGAATCGACACAATCTTCACGGCATCCTCAAGACCCCCATTCTCAGCTTTGTCCTTACTCTTCCGGCTGCCCGAAGCCACTTCCGACGCCGGTGGAGTGTTGTAGTTGTTGTCCTCACTGCTAAACTCCAACTCGGAGGCATTTGAAGGTGTCTGAAGAAAAGTTCCGCTTCCGCCAAGACAGCACTCACATTCATTCTCCTCCTCAGTCAGGCTTCCCATGCTGCTCGTGCCCGCTTCGCACGCGGTCAGCTTCACGTCACGCATCTTCAGCAACTTCTCGAAATTGGCATCAGTGATGTCCAGATTCTTGTTCCTCATGTACGTCTTGGCAATTTGTGGGTACTGCTCGAAATTGAACTTCACCCCGGAATGTTTCTTGTACTTGTGATTGCAGACCTTCTTCTTGCCACTCGGTTCGGCGTCTCCATTCACTTTCATGCCATCCACTGATGATGACGAGCTGCCACGCTTCAGTCCCACGAGTTCCTCATTGTCGCCCAGGACGAACACAACATCAGGCTTTTCTCTTGTTTCCCTATGCTTAATCTCCTCAATGGTCAGATTCTCCTTGACCGGCTCCACGCCCCACAGAAGCCTCCCCGATTGCCCAAAACTGTTCTCCGTGATGAGATCCGATAAACTCTTGCAGCTCGTGAGTGTCTTCAGAGACTTGTCCGTCTCCTCACGGAAGCATCGCTGATGATTCTCAATGGTATCCTCGCCAATTTCCACTCCCTGCTCAATTGCCGTGGCTCCACTCACGCCAAACGACGCGAAACTCATGCTAGTCTTTCGAATTGCGCCCAAACTCACACTCTCCACACTGGACACTTCCTGCTGCTCCTCAATCTCATCCACACGCGCCAGCTTCTCCTCTGTGCCACTCATAAAACTAAACTCCTTACTATCCGCGCTCGTGATCATGAACTTGATGGGATCACGACTGCTCTTCACTTGATACGATCTCACGTCATTCTTAAACTTGGGATTCATCTCAATTCCCGTGTCCATTAGGTGATTGCCAATCCTTAGCTCCTGCCGCACGAATCTCGAGTCTCTGTACACCAACACATTGGGTATGTCATTCATCACATTCTTCCGCTCAATGTCCTGCATCTTGTGGCTGTTGATCGCCCCAACCGCCTCCGGACCGCCCGGCAATCCACTGAGATCCTTTACGTGCGTCATTGACCGACTCATCCCGCCCTTCGGCTTGTTCTCCACCACACTCCGCACACTCTCGCTCCGGCTCAGCTCACGCAGCATCTCGAAGCGCCGCCACGCCGTCTCGTCGCGCCCCTCGTCCAACTCCTCCAGCGTCACCGTGTGACACTCGAGATTCTCCATCACACCATCCACGGCGTCCTTCACCATCGTTGGCTCACACATATCACGCTGAATCTCGCCGCAGCGAATGAAATATGTCAGCACGTTCAGCACCTTGTCCACCATCTGCGAGCAATTGCCGCTCACAACAGTCTTGGATATCTTCGGCGGACTCCCGATGGCCCCAAACAGATCGCCCAGCTGCGCCCACAGCGCATTGTACGGGTGCCTGCGCGAGATCTCAGACATCTTGGCGCGCTCCTGCGTCTGCACCACATCCGCGTCCGCGGCCAGCGGCATCGACAAGGGCGCTACAGTGCCCACCCAGCCAAGGTGGTGAGTCAGAATGGCAGTCAGAAGGGTGCTGATGAAGCTGCAAAAAAGATTCGCGAGTGATTAATGGATTGTTTTGAAAACCGCCATGTGTTAAAAGAAATCAATAACAGAAATAAGCCATCGACAGATTTGTATTGCCGGCTAAAAATATACTCACAAGTTGGTATCTTTGGTATCGGCGCTTGTGAGGAGTGAGCAGAGCTCGTCCATGAAGAAGTGTGCCAGTTTGGACGGTTTGTTGGAATTCCCATTGCTCAGAGTCAGCCAAACAGGATTCATAAGACGCGGAGCTGTGAAGAGGTCTGTGATCCACTGACTCGTTGCATGCCAAGCTCTGAACATTGTTTGGAAGAAGTTCTGTCGATTGTTGTACGCTGTCTCAGCAGCAGCTCTCAGTCGACACAGCATCGCCTCGAGCAGAACGGTGTGTTCAGAGCAGAAGGTCTTCATGTCACTGGAAATGAAATTGAAAAGGTTTATTTGAAAGTCCTGCAGATTGCTGGTAAAACTGTGACTTACTTCTCAACGGCATCGCTCAGTTTGATACAAACAGCGAGTCCCAGTCTGGCCTTCCTTGCACTCTGACGCTGCAAATGATGCGGAATATGGGCAGCAATTCCATCTCCACTCGCTGTCTTCCTCCTCACCATCTCTGGCTTACTCCTATTTTCCATAATCTCACTATTTCGCCTAAATCTACTCGACACACTCCCCTCACTTCCCATTCCCACATTTGCTGGGTAGTTGTCCTCGATGTACCCAATGAAGTCACTCATTGACTGCCGATTCTCAAACGACGTGGAAATATTCCTGAGAATCCGCCTCTGGAGACTCCCGTCACTCGTCCTGCCGCCCCCATTCGAGTACCCACTGTCAACTATCGACGAATCTATGCTTAGCTTTCGCAAGCTCGTGCCCTCCTGGTCGCTGTACACAGAACCGAAACTGCTCCGTGTGGACGACATTGGACAGTAGGAGGACACTGACGTGTTCCACGGATCTGTGCCGCTATAGCCGGAATCACAGGCGCTGTACGTGCCATTCAGACGACCACCATCTTCCGTGGCAGACGATGGGACATCGAGTGGATGTGAGATTCGATTGAATGTATCTGAAAGTGCAGGAAAAATCTGAACATTGCTTTTTTTGACGTGCACACGCAATTTCAACATACCACCAGTGTTATTCTCCACACAGAGCGAGAAGGAGAGCGACACAGAGTTCACAGAACTCGTATCACCTGAACTCAAGTCACTGTGATCAGTGCTGAGGAAGGTGTTGACTTGGAGTGGCGTGAAGAAGACTTGGGAACACAGTATTCGCGGTGGTGACTGAAGCCAGTGAACTTTCAGTGATGTCCCACGAAAGGCCATCGCCACAGTGCCGAAAATCATCTCTGCCAGACTTCCGCAATCGCTACCCTGATCTTTCTTCTGGGACAAATACACACACGACAATTAGTTAGAGATTCAATCAGTCTTCCAGTATGCTTTTTCCCCTCACCTTGTAGATGATACCATCTGAGATTTCCACAATATTCCCACTCGGCGGCGCTCCACACTTCCTTCCCGCCGCCGCACTCGGATGACCGACATGGCGCACAGGTCGCTCCACATGCTGGATGGAGTCCGAGTCGAAGAGGAGTCGCGGCGTTTCGCACTCCCTGAACAACAGTACACGAACTTGATCGGTGGAAAATGGAAAGTCACTGCTGGAAGAGACAACAAACAAGCCATTAATCGTCAGCCTCTCCTCATCAACTGTGTTATCATGCGCCGGCATGAGATAGAGATTGACTTCAGAACACTAGAGAGACAGAGCGTAGATAGGCAGAATCAATAAAAATCATAGTCATATGATTTGGCACCGCTAGAAAGGTCTCTTATCAAAATTTTCTCTCACTCTCTGGAACTTCACTGCGTGTTTATCACAGAAACACTCAATGAGCCACTCCAGGGAGGGAGAAATATTGAAAAACATACAAAATACTCGATAGAGAGCAAATTGATCATCAAGAGAGACACAGTGTGAAAAACAGTCACCCGCAAGAGGCAGTCCAATTAGCCACTCATTCTGATAGTACACCCATTCTCTATTTATAGCCCTCCTCAAATAATAACAAATTTAAAACCTCATTGAAGAATTTATTCATCAGCCTCGCGCGCACTCACTCTCTCGACCCCCTCATTCCCATTTCGCGCATCATTCGGCCTCATATTTCAGGTCCCCTGCCTTCTGATGAGGCTCTGTATACTGACAACAATAAATTATTTCATTACTCGAGAGCTCACCACAAAACTCTCTCTCCCTCTCGCATGCACTGCATTCGCACTCCCCGAATGCACTTGAGAGGAGAAATTCAATTGAAAAATACCGAGAAATATCATTATACTCATGCCACTCTGGCATGAAGTCTTTCAATCTCACGTGCCTTTTCTTTTTCGTGGATGTTAACAAATTGAACTATTTATATTGAACATCCAAGAGTTCTAATATCGCGTCAAAGCAAACTCAACTTATGGATTGATTGAGACGATTAAGGGTAGTTCAATCACTTTACTTTTGGGTTTCTAGTCTGCTCAGAATTTGTTAAATGTGTTGTTCAAAAGTTTGTACACATTATGACTTCAATAAAATTCACTTGATTTTTCAATTTATTCCAACAAATGCAGATTCAATATACTTGATTGAACGCAAATTCACGAACGTTTCCGTCATACACATCATTTTGCACCAGATTGTTGTCGAAAACTGTACAAAATTTCCTCCAAATTTACTTTGTGCTTCAATATAATTATTTCTTCTTAAGTTATTACGTCAAAAATTAGTTTGCAAATTTACACAAAGAATCGGCGGTAAAGTCACACACTCAGAGATGTTATTTGAAACCTTTTCCAACACACCTATTTTTGGAGCTTAGCAATTAAGCAAATATTATCTTATTATTCCATTCATTGAAATATACAGGTAAGCAATTATTTGATTTGGAGCAAAATTTCTGAGAAGTCACTTATTTTTCAGTATTGGATTTTTACAGTTGAAACTAGTAATTTATTATAACTTTGAAATTAATGATACTCAGTAATTTTCCACAAGTGTAAAAAGACTTAAAAATCCAGTCGAATTACAAAATAAGTGACTTTTTTCTCTCTCTCTTTTCTTTCTCTTTTTCTTGGTAGTCAAACAACACACACGAAAAAGCAAGAGAATGGCACAAAATATGATCGCATCATTGTATAAATTTCATGCCATAATTAGAATTTTTTTTAATAATATAAATTCTGTGTTGACTTGCATGGAAGTCGCGGAGAAGCGCAGAAAAAATATTTACTCTTTCCCGATCCGCGAACGGAGCAGAGAATTCTAAATATAAATAAAATTGTAAATAACTCTTATGTGGTTAATTTTGCATGCTGGTAGTTTTCTTGTGATCTCTTCTGTGTGAGCTAAATCTGGTTCAAAATCACGTGAAAAGACTTTTTGCAGTGACTCTTTTTTTCTCGTCTCTTAATTTATATTGTGGCTTTTTCTCCGTCTCTGTTTCGCGCGTTCGCTGTCTTCCTCAATGCGCTGCTCTGGTATATTGTATTAATTCTACCCAGCGAGAAATCCACCTCTCAGGTCTCTGTGTCTCGCTCTTTTCTCCAATTTTTGCACATATATACGCTCTTTTCCCATCCACTTCATGCCATACCAGCAAAATGACTCGACTTGGCGCGTGACTCCGCGGAACAGCGAACGGAAATTTCAGCCAAGAAAAAAAGATACAAAATTGTATATTCAAGCAATACAACACACACCCAAATGAACCACAAATTCGCCCAGTGAGAAGATCACAAAGTCTTCTATTGGAGTGAAAAGAGGATGCGAAGTGGCATTTCTGAGAGATGATGACATAGAATGACCAATCTTTAGCTGTTGATCTCTGTTTATCGCCCATTCTCAGGACAGATCAATCGCAACAGTGACGCTATTGAGGCCTCTATCAGTCACTATCACAGCTCACGCGACAGTGATAAGCGCCAAAAACCTCCGCTCTGACGGTATATTCCATTTCACCCGCTGCTTAGCACCCAGACAGCATTTTTTCCCACCGCCCAACACCCGGCTGTATTAGCGCGATCGGAGATCATGTGAGTGAATCACCTGCGCACGATTAAATTCCTCTTCAACGTCCCTCACCTACTGTCGCCTCTCTCGCCGCAATAATGTGTAATATCTCGCAAGTCTCTCGCCGTCTCCTTTGCGCGCGCTAGTCAAATTATTTATTCACGTCTCAATCATCTCCAATTTATATATTTTCTTGTGTCTACTCTGGCTCATGGCTTCGGCAATCTATCAAGGAGCAGCGGAAATGTTTACATAAAATTTCTGCTATTTTTACCCATATTCTCTCTCTTCTTCATCACCATCGTACAACACACTCAAGAAGTGTTGTATCACACTCTGTGCCTATTTGCGTCCCTCCCCCGACTTTTCAAACATTTGCGAACAATTAGAAAATGTGACCAACCGAAGAATCATGTGATGAAAACATCAAAAGAAGCATGTGAGGACTGCGGATCACCTGATCTACAGCCCGAGTTTCACATGACTCTCTCAGCGCGCAGTCATTTCGCAGGACCATCATCAATCTACACGAAAAGCCCGGAATCCAAATGCCCTTCTTGCCATCAAGATCAACCTCAGAACATTCCAGGCGATAACACTTCCTCTCGCCAATTAATTGATGGATGACCAATGCCGCGAGGGAGTGGGAAATGTGTATTGGCCAATTCACCCCACCCTGATGCCATTCCTCACACACCGCACATGGCGTTGTGCCGTTGGAGTGGTGTTCAAACAACAGAAAAGTCTGACCTCACCTACCCAAAGTAAACGCGCACGAACAAGCGCAACCGTCACATGACTTGAGCAGCTCTGAATGTGTTTAAACAATTAAACAATCGCAACCGCGCGTCTCACCTCAACACATTCGCGCATTTGCCGTTGACACATCGTGCAAAATATGAGAAAGCACATTTTTGCAGCGCCCGCGCACATGTACAATAAATAATGTAATTCCCCCGAAAATTTCTACCGGTCGAATCTTTCTTCCCATTCATCAAACTGCCCGTCAAAGTCCAATGCAATTGCCTCGACAGAGAGAGAGATTACATGCCGAAGAACATGTTTCCCGGGCCAGAGGCAAAAATAAACAGTATATCCATCTAATTCCCTATCAACACCTTTTCCATGGGGCAATAAAACGATTTGGGAATACGTCAAGAAAGCCGTATGTGAGGAAAAACAGTGTCAAGAACTAAAACACATAAAAGTCTTTAACTGCGACGTAACTAATAATCTCAAATTGAAGTAATCCCCATCAATCACGAAAAAAACACCCCAAGCATGTGACTCGCCGCGAGTTCACGCAATCGCAAACACACATGCAGGCAAAAAGAGAAATAAACACACACTCCAATTGCTGCGAGTGTAAACAGACATTAGGGGCCCCTCTTATCATTCATCAATTTATAATGCAGCAAAATGTCGCTATTTGGCACTCGACGAGATTAGCTACTGTGTGTGTTCTCTTTCTCATACTCAATTGCCTTGCTATTCTCTGCCCTTCCTCAATGCACACTTCTGATCTGGATTCGCGCTGTTCGCACATGAAAACCCATTTCAGCGGATTAATCAAAGCTCTCTGCCACGCTATCAAATCAGCAATATTCCGCATTGATTTTCAAAATTGAGTGACAAGAAAGCTCTGCGAGACATCGATAAAGGGCAAAAGGACATCGATAAGCACTCGAATTAAGAAATATTGCGAAACCACAAGTCCAGTTTTGGACCTCTTGACCTTATCTGTTAATTACCCAACAAAACAGTGTGTTATTTTTAAAATACAGACACCCGACACATACTCGGGAAGTTTGAGAGGTTTCAGAGCATTTGTGTATTATTCTATAGGACAGTCAAGTGGCAATCAGGTGAAAATAGCTTTCAATCTTTGTACCAAGACAAATTCTTAATAGATTACATCGAATTTCACTAGTTTTATAATAATTCTTAGGAACTGAATCATTTTCGAGATAGAAAACTCTTGTTGCTAACACTGTAAAGAAGTACAAAATTAATAATTTCACACTTCATTCAGTGTTTTTTCATCATCTTTTCGCCTTTGAAAATTTTAAATTAAATCACTCTGAAAAATCACTTTTTGACTGTGCCAAAGCCTCCATAAACCATCTTTCATGCTTCAGTCCATATAATTCTCCTCGCGATAAGACATTTCCACTTGACCTTAGTCTCGTGACAAATTTCCTCAGCCTTTATTGACATACAAGAGTGACGATAAAAGAATGATATTCAAGTCAACATTTCTCACATAATGTGTTAATTGGGTGGGAAAGATAAACAATCGTATGCTGTTTTTTTACGTAGAAAACATATGCAAGGAGAAAGAAAAGGTTGAGCGGAATTGTTCGATTCCCACTGATGATCGAAGGTTTCAGGAATATATTATTAATAAATTGTGCCAAGTCAACACAAAATATTCCGCGCGATCATTTTCAGGCATTCGACAAAACGCGCTTCTGTACATTGATGTGAGAAAACGTCTTGGGGCAAAAACAGATTTCATCGTTTTTGATCATTTGGTTCGTTGATCTAAAAATAAAGAGCACGTGAGTTTGAGTTGAGTAGTCGCACAGCAAATAAAGTATGTATGACTCTATTTTCTATCTTGCTCTCTTGGCGGCTGTTTTTTCCCTCTCTCTCACTCTTTATCTGTATACCTTCAAACGGGAATCGCGCAATTGGAGGGCACATTGCGAGTTATGGCAGAAAATTGGACAGAATTTTCATCTTATTTGATGTGCTGAGTAATTAATTGCGCGGGTGATTCGTGAGAAAATAGACCGAATATTTAGCAAATATTTATCTCCATGACACAAGCTACAGAAATCGTCGCCGTATCATACAAATTTCCCTCTCTTTCGCCTATAAATTTTCACACCATGATCATGATGGAGAGTCAAAGTGCGCGTGCACTTTAAGGTGGCAGAGTCACGAGTTGGCAAGTGGAAAATATACAGACACTTTCGATGAAATGTAGATTGTAATTGAGCCTAACACCACAGAGTGGAGAAGTGCGAGAGAGGCGTGAAACAACTATGATAATAATTTCTTATTGTCTCTTTATCACAAGCCCACGCAGAGCATAAAAGGAATCGCGCGCAAGTAAGACGCATGAAATTCCATATGACTTTATTTATAGAGACATGCCATAATGCTCGAGAGTACTTGTGATAAAAGTCCATTTCCTTATTCAATCCCCGCGCGCAATCTCTGTGGGCCACAAAAACACCTCCTGAGCCACTTGAGGTGGAGCGCGCGCGCGCGATTCCGATCGCAAGGAAGCTCGCGCTGAACAAGCGATATCTTTTTTCCCACACTCCAAGAGACACACGCATAAAGACACAACAAGACTGCGGAGAGCCTTCGCAATCCAGCGACAAAAACCCAATTATTTCCCTATCTTTGGCGTCAGTTCCACCTAATTGAAGATAATTGATGAATTAGATTAGAAATAACTAGAAAATTCGATTCGAGTAATTTGTTGCCACTAATTGTGATTTAATCAGTGTGTGATTTCTCCCCATGTAATAGCCAAGCAAATTCCCTGTTGCCATTGAGCAATACCACCCACATTTCTCTGCCCTTCGCAAAAACATTGCTTCTCCGAGGTCTGATAACGCACACACTAAACACACCCTTCTATCCCCATCTCTGAAAATCACACCGCTCCCAGTATTGTGTACTCTAGAAACTGAGCGGGTGATAATTTGAACACCTTAATTGTAATTTTATATGTGTGATTCAGGTGTGATTTCTCACTGTAGCACCTTTCGATAAACAACGAGAGTGGCAAATAGGCATGGTGATAATCACGAGCCCAATTCGCTTCTTGTTTGCCGGTGATTTTAGCGCATAGACCAGTTGCTCTCTCTCACTCTATTGACGCCGATAAATGCATGAGAGAATTCACACAGAACAACATGCTAAGAGATTGATCTCGTGAGCTTGTTGATGGAGGAAAACAAATAACTTTGCTTTGGGCCACTGACAAGTGACTCACAAGTCAATTGCGAATTGAAGAGAATTTTACTATTAGGAAAAAGAGTCGAGTTGGAATCACCTTTGTTCCCCGCTTCACTCCAAGCTGAGACGAATTGGAAGTTTACGAAATTTCACAGAGACTTCACTTGAATAATGCAAAGTGGGCGGCGCCTTTGGGTGGGCGGGGCTTGTATGAAAGCAAATTGGCAAGTTGAGAATCTCCTCTACGCAACTCTGAGCCACCCTGTACGCGCGCGAATCTATACAAGACATTCCAATTCAGGCCTTTCGGTCTTGTGATGCTGAAGTGACGATGAACAGTCGATAGACAGCTGCGTGTCGCTTGGGCATATTCAATACATCTAGCATGGAGATAATGCGCCATAGAGCTTCAAAGATTGATTCTGAAGCACAAAAGGTGGTATCTCGACAAGACAATGCGAATAATCTGAGTGATTTATATCGCAACACTATTTATCGACATAAATTGTGCGCCCTCGGGATGATTTCATCTGTCTTTTCTCAAAGGAGCATTGCATAATCAGCTTGTGTTCATTCACAGAATTTTCCTTCCTACGACAAAGCAAGAGCAGAAGTGACTTGTATCTCTTGTCCATTGATGTCACAAATGTTACGCCCGTCCCTCCATTTGTGCAATGATATAAATAAATTGATCAATTGACGTCGCGCTTTCTCAATGAATTCATATGAGGATAAATCACGCGGCCAGCGATTGGATGGTAACATTTACCTGACATTGCGCGGCGACGGAGGCACAGGAGTGTGCTTCCTCTTGGAGAAGAGCTTGTTGAACAGCGCCATGGCGATGCTCTGGACCTTGCGACCACCACTCAGTCCTCAGCGTCTCAGACATTCTCGTGGCACGTCATCTATATAGAGGCACACTTCTTCTGGATTGCACACAATTTCACACAAATCTCTCTTGGCTGATGCACTCTATCGCTGGCGCTCGGACACAACCACTCTTGGCAACGGCTCAGCGACGACTGGCGAGGAGGAAATGATTTGCTGGCAAGCCGTTCTAGCGCCTTCCTCGCTCTGGCACCCGATCGGACGCGAGACCAACACCACGTTCCGCAGCCTATCTGGCCAGCTCTGCGGAGATAGAGGAGACGAATGTGTGTGAGAATCAATTGTCCAGGCAAATCGTCCGCACAGAGCCTGGAGATTAGGCGCCCAGTGGAAATCTCTCCCAACCTCCCGCCACACTGTCTCACTGGCCAGTCTGCGGACGCTAATCCGCTCCTCGTGACTCGCCTCGCCAGCAGATGTTCCCCCTAGTCACGCACACACTCTCCCCACCGTCACGTGCTTGTCGAAAGCGCGTCATATGACATTTGCCAGAGAGAACGCCACAAGTGGCTTTGTGCTCGCTTCTCTCCTCTGTGTGTACCTTTTCAGCGCAGCGTCCGGGGATTATCGCTCTGCAAACAGCAGCTTCCGCGGCTCCCTAATCTCAAGCGCAGATTGCGCGCGTGCCACCAGCCTTCGCACCCAGTGCAATAACCCAGATGGTGATGTGCCCCCCGCGAATTGGGGCCCGGAAATTGGACTTCAGGGATAAACACAGCCACACAAATCCCTCACACTAAAACCCGCCCCAAATACCGTCACTATTTCTCGATACGCCACGTTGTCGATGCACAGGGAAGCGTATTGAGCCACTTGCGGGACCTCTTCGTGTGGTCTAGCATTGTTTTAACGCGGAAATTCATGAAAAACTGGGAGAGAAAGCACACAAACAGTTCTTTGATGTCACTAAGCAATTCTACTGAAGTCCGCATGAAGACAATGTGGCGCTGTTGCTGGTTGAGGAGGAGAGAATCCAAAATATGGCATACATTATAGCGTATTTTGATTTATTAGGATCAAGTCTGTGAGAAATACGCGGCATTCCTAATTGCCTGTTTATTAATCTTCTAAACGTCTCACATGTAGACTTTTTCTTCTTAATACATTGAGTTCAAAATGATTTTCAGTACAACCATCCAGTTGTTGATTTGATGCGTTTGATGTGTAAGCCAAGGTGCGTATTCACACATCCAATTTCATTGCAATAATGCTTCCTGACGATCTGCATTTATATGAATATTTAAAACAGCAAAGTGTAAAAGAAAATGTAAGCTTTCTTAGTTTTTCATAAATTTTCATCATTTTCATAGACACAGAAGCCAATTTCAGCGCCATCTGTTGCGTAAATTCGACCAAGATGCCCAAATGAAATTCAACCCCTCGATTTTATGGAGAATAAAACCCCACAATTTCATACCATTTTCTCAAATAGGACTTTATTTGACTCTCTAAAATCTCAACATATGATAACAATTTGTCTAATGCAAACGCTTAAATAAGAATGAAGGAATTCCATAAGGCATGGAGACGCGTGAAAGACTGAATGGAAGAATTCCAAGAATGCCATTGTGCGACAATTGGAAATAAATAAATAAATTTAGAGTCTAAGGAAAATCACGACTTTGGTACAACTCCTCCTAAAAGATTTCTCTCACAAGGTAATACAAAATATTGCTAAGCTAACAATCGGTAAGATTTTGGAGGAATGTTTTCTCAATTGTCTTTCTTCTCGAGCTTCGTTTCCTTCAATTGATCTATATTGCTCTTCATCAGCTCTTCAATGCCGACGGCTGGCTCCCCTGAGCCCCCGTTGCGCCCAATGTCATTGTTCATCAGCAGCAGATTCCCATTGCCCACCGTCTTCTTCGCGCTCACGGCATTATTGAGCTCCTTGTCAGACAGCGGCGACACCTTCTTCAGCTGCTTGGCCACGTCCTCGGTCAGATCGCTGTGCGCCAACCAGATCCTGCGCGCCGTCAGCATGCAGAGGTCCTTCACGTACACCACGCCCCAGAACAGCTTGCCCAGTACCTCGGCCAGCGTGTCGAACTCGTTGGGAATGATGCCGTCCACGGAGCTCTCGAAGTAACTGAACATGGGAAACCAGATCCTTGTGCGTGTCGAGTCGTGCGACATCAGGGCCTGATTGTTGGCCAGCGTGTGGTAGTAGAGGAAGAGACGCGACGTGATATAGAAAGCCACGAAGACGTCTATGGAGTAGTGCTCGTGAGCGGCCAGGATGAAGAAGATCCCGAACATGTTCAGCAACCACGTCATCGTGTGCAGGAAGTACAAATGACGAGGAGTGTCTGCAGAGAAAGAGTCAATCAGTGAGGCTGGCAAAGCTCTAATTATTGTCACTTATTGCTGGCTTCTAAGATCAGCAAATGAACCTTTAACACGACTTCTATGAACTGAAATAGACCAGAGTCTCGACAATGTGTTTCTAGACTATTTGGCAAAACATCAATTCTTATGCTTAAGCTAGAATTGATTTGCAAAATCGATCAATTGTGCTTAAAAGTAACAGTTTTGAACCTCTTGATGAATCGTATTTCATCAAAAGCTCACAAAAGTTATGATCTTCTAACTAAAGATACTAAAGAATATCTAAATATTTGATAGCCTATCACGTGATTCTTGAGAGATTTAGTTTAGGCCTCCAAAACACTCACATTCGGTAATGAAGAAGTTGAGGAGAGTGAGAGTGACTGTGTGGCCACTGAACATGTAGTCGCCACACGTCCTCACACCCTGAATGGACATTCCCAAGCCGCTCCAGATTGTGTAGGCGCGTTGAATCCTCAAGTGAATGGCGTCCAGCCACGTCACCACGCTAAGAGAGAAGAAAATAGACTTGCAAATCACATTCTTCGCTACCATATATAGATAACTCTCACTTGGTTTCATCCACTTTGTGATCCTGTGGCGTGCACTGAAGATGCGTTCCCGGCACAGACAGCGATGTTATCAGCATCGTTACGCACCTGAGCAGGAACACGGTTCCCGCCAGCGCGAAGAAGCGCCTGAGTAGCACCAACCGATGCCTGTGCACCACAATCACGCACGCCCAGATGCCAAAGAGGAAAGTACCTGTGATCTCGCACATGTGAAATGCCCACGGAATGTGCGGCACATTGTCCAGGAAGATGTCCGGCAGCGGTGGCCACTTCTTCATGTCCGGCACCCTCTCGTGCACCACCACCATCACGAACGACGTGATCCACGTGACGAGAAATGCATAACCTGTGCGCGTGCGGAAGAGATGGAAGGAAAGCGTGGTTTAACATTCATCTGAACTGAGTCAAGGTGAGCCGATTAATTAAATGCAATCGTCAGATTATTAATTCCGATATATTGCATGGCAAAATTTCTCACTCAGCAATTCACTCTCAGCCAAGTGAATAAAAGTATAAAAAAAATTGCGAGCGGAGTTCATGGTTTGGAAATTTCCAAGATTTTCCTCCACAGACAAGAACACAAAAACTCGCTTTTGTGCGCTCACCCACTTTCGGAAAGTGCCCAGGAAATTCAACCATTGTGCGCGAGTTTCATTTTGCTGTGCATCGAAAAACAACGCACAGAATTTTCACACTCTTCTTGGGCACTTTTTGGGCCTTTGTTCGCCAAAGTCATCCTACCTCAATAATAGTCATTCACTATTGCAAAATTTGCATTAATTTGAGCAAAGAAAGGCATGAAAGAATTGTAGAGTCGAAAATTTGATGTCAAGGTTCAGCAGAGTGAACAAAAACTTCCATTTATTGCGCTCCTTCTGATGATCTTGAAGCAATTTACAGTGATATGATTTATAGCCCTGATTTTATGAGCTCCGAAGACACGACAAAGAAGTAGAAATTACAGGTGAAATTCTTGCACGACAAGTTATTGCGCATTTTAGTAAAAAAAAATAATGACAACTTTAATTGCGTCTCACAAAACCGCAAATAAACAGAATATAAGCAAAATAAGATCCAAGTCTGAATAATAACAAGAAATTAGTCAATTTCCTCTCTTGTACACACAATAATAAATTATCATTGTTTTCATTTAATGATCAACAAGAAAGTCTTTCAAGAGGTTTTTTAGTGTTTGCACGCGTAGAATTAAGTCTGAGGACAGCAATCAACTTCTTAGAATTCACATTCTATCTTAATACAAGTCTGATAAATCGCTCCAGCAAATCTCCAAAGCCATGCGAATCATATCTGCACTTTCGCGATAAGACTCAAGGTACAAGGCTAAGTAATGTGCCACAAATTGAGTGTTTCAGGGCACTTGATAAGGAGAGTTTTCCCATTGCTGGAAGTAAGCCACTTGTGAGGTCACGTGTTGAAAAGCCAATCCAGGCGGTCAATGATCCGATCATCAAATGACACGGCCTGAGAACTGACGAGGAGCACTCTTTCAGTACATTTCCTCGCAATTAGCCAAAGGTAATTAGGAACGGTAAAAGCACTCACGAACGATCTTGAGATATTAATAGATTTTAGGCGGTAAATCTGCAATTTCTCTCCTCAAAATACATATGCAGCAATCTTCTCCCTTGAATTTTTGTGGAAGCAAAAATCTTCATACGCCAGGCGAATGAGGTCAAGATCATTAATAAGAGAAAGATGTAGAATCACCATCATTTGATGGGTGTTGATGATTTTTATGATATTTCTAGGTCATCGCATTCTCCAATTGTGTCTCTTGCATTTCTTCCCTTTTCTTTTGCTCCTATTATTGTTGTCACACACACGCGATCGTGGAACGTAAAAATACCGTTTTGTCGCGATATTTATTCTCTCAACTATGCACGCAATACGATCTCAGTGACTCAGTCAGCTCCACGTGATGACGTGGGCCTCGTACGATCGAGCTCCCCTCTGCGGAAGCGGCAACATCATTCTGTTGAGTTTGATCAAAGACAAACATTTGATCCTCTGCGCGCGCTCTGTTTACAAACTTTTCGTCGTATCAGGGCGAATTCCTCGCCGGCGAGGCTCTTCCAACTGCCCAATGCAGCTAAAATTACATCACTTAAGAGCTGACTCGCATTCACAGCGCGTCTCAATTGCACTCTGTGGCGTTTTCTAATTCAATTTGTTGATTCACATGAATTATGAAACAGGCTGTTGGACTTTTTCTCAGTCACTTATCGACTGTTTGGATTGTGGATTTTGCCCTGACAATCCACGGATTTCACGCTGTGGCTCGGAGACTATCAGGAAGGCGACTTTGGCCAGCGATGAGTCATGCAAAAAGTGCGGAAAATCACGTCGTCGGGGGTGGAAAATCTCCTGTCCTCTGACAACTCTCTTAAGAGCCAAAAGTAATCAATTGTCTCTTCTCAAAATATGTCTCAGCAATGCGATAAATATCCGAGTTATGCAATAAAAAATGAAAGTTAATTGTCTTGTATGCCACATCGTGTTTGTTTTTCCTCAACTTTCATCTATTTTGGGCACACATTTTATCCCCACCCGCGGATTTCCATATCGCCCACCCCCTCGCGGGTGGCTATTTCGGGGCAAATTACATGTTTATGTGGTTTAGGTGGGACGGAAATAGAGGGAATATCCATTAAGCGCGCTATTCATGGTCGATTCACGTGTTGAATGGGACAATGATGTTGATAAGGAGTGCAATTTAAATCCCTTCTGGCCAGAGGTGGCCACAAAGATAAGGCTGGTCAGACAAAGCTATTGTCTTATCGTCTGGACAAAGAGAGATCATTTACCTAAGCTAATCATTGTTTTGAAGAATTCTGGCTGGATGCTCGTTGCCCTGCCGTCCACGGACATCGGCGGGGATACCCTCTCGATGTCATTGAGGTGTAGCACCTCGGCGGCGGAGCCCCCGAACGCGGGCAGAACGCCGTGGCCCTGGTGATGATTGTCACACAATCCCAGGTACACGAGACTGGCGTGGTTGTCCTTCTGTATTCCGCGGACGGACAGCGACAGCTTCTTCATATCACCGATGGTGAGTTCACAGAGGTTGGAGCACTTTGTCCGGATTGTCCGGAGGTCGTCCTCCGTGAGGGAGAGAAGGCACCTGCCATCAATCTCCTCATCGCGGATCTGTTTCACCACTCTTGCACTCAATTTCTCCTTCCTCGCCCACTCGCACACCGCATCCACCGTCCACTCGGCAACGCGGCACTCCCCCATTGTGTTCTTGCAACCTTTCAGCCGCCCAGAGCCACGATTTCACGACAGAATTGCACAATTTCTGCACACCACGATGCAACGCATGTCGACAGAGAATTTTGTTTTTCCGTCTGCCCAATCGTCCAGTTTCGTCTGACAGCCTCATCGACAATCGTTCAGTTTCCATCTCCACTGCAGACACGTCGCAGGACAAATCGGCGAAAAACCTGATTCTCTCCAGCTCCTTCGTGCGCGATTGCTTAGTGGTACGCGGTCGATGCATCGAGGGCTTTGAGGGCATACTATAGTGACGAAGAAAAAGTGCTGCCTCATCTCTGAAAGGACCTTCGCGTGCTCCTAAAGTGCTACCATCGTGAAAACAGTGTGCAATACCAGAGATGACGACTAACCAGAAGTCAGAGAGGGTGGTTGACACCGTGCTCTTCCCACCGAGCCACAAGCTGACGGTGAGCGAGGTGTTCGACTCCCGCACGGGAAAGCCGCAGCCGGAAGTGCTGAAGCAGCACTTCATCCTGGAGGGGCGCATCGAGGAGGCTGCAGCGCTCCGCATCATCAAGGAGGGCGCGGATCTGCTCAAGGCCGAAAAAACGATGGTGGACATTGATGCCCCAGTAACGGTGTGTGGCGACATCCACGGACAGTTCTACGATCTGATGAAGCTGTTCGAAGTGGGCGGACCGCCCTCCACAACTAAATATCTCTTCCTGGGCGACTACGTCGACCGCGGCTACTTCAGCATCGAGTGCGTCCTATACCTGTGGGCCCTCAAGAGCTGCTTCTCCACCTCTCTGCACCTCCTACGCGGCAATCACGAGTGCCGCCATCTCACGGAGTACTTCACGTTCAAGCAGGAGTGCAAGATTAAATACTCCGAGCGCGTCTACGACGCCTGCATGGACGCATTTGATTGTCTGCCGCTGGCGGCCCTGATGAATCAGCAGTTCCTCTGCGTCCACGGCGGTCTGTCGCCCGAAATCCACGATCTTGATGACATCCGTAAGCTGGACCGCTTCAAGGAACCGCCTGCGTATGGGCCCATGTGCGATCTGCTGTGGTCGGATCCTCTGGAGGACTTCGGCAACGAGAAGAGTTGCGAGTTCTACTCCCACAACAGCGTTCGCGGCTGTTCGTACTTCTACAGCTACGCCGCCTGCTGTGACTTCCTGCAGAACAACAACTTGCTCAGCATCATCCGTGCGCACGAGGCACAGGATGCCGGCTACAAGATGTACAGGAAGAGTCAGACCACTGGCTTTCCCGCGCTCATCACGATATTCTCAGCGCCCAACTATCTCGATGTGTACAACAACAAGGCCGCTGTTCTCAAGTACGAGAACAACGTGATGAACATTCGTCAGTTCAATTGCTCACCTCATCCGTACTGGCTGCCGAACTTTATGGATGTCTTCACATGGTCGCTGCCGTTCGTGGGTGAGAAAGTCACCGAAATGCTGGTGAATGTCCTCAACATCTGTTCCGACGACGAATTGATGCTGGACGGTGATGATGCCTTGGAAGAAGGCGATGCGAATCTCAGAAAGGAGGTAATCCGCAACAAGATCCGCGCCATTGGCAAGATGGCGCGTGTCTTCTCTGTGTTGAGGGAGGAATCGGAGTCTGTGCTGCAGCTGAAGGGACTCACACCCACCGGAGCTTTACCACTAGGCGCCCTCTCGGGTGGCAAAACGTCTCTCAAGAACGCCTTGCAGGGTAAAATCACGTCATTCGCGGAGGCGAAGGGTCTGGATGCCATCAATGAGCGAATGCCGCCGCGCAAGGACGGACCGCCCACGCCAAGTCCCAGTCAGGAAGTGAAGCCACTACCAGAAAGCCAAAAGATCAGCCACAGCGCATCATAAGCTGACTCCGCATCGTTGTAGCGCCCCCTCGCAACAGCAATAAAAGGGTGCAATTTATGCAATTTACTTATATTTACAATTATGTTTGTGATTTCGATGGATTTTGGGAAAGGCGAATAAGATGGGAAAGTCATATTCAGAAAAGAATCTTAATGAAATCTAAATGTATTAACATTATAAGGAATAATTCACTTTGATCTTAGATGTTACGTGCATAGAAAAATATTATATATATATATATATCAACAATTGAAATTCCATGCTAAATCTCTTGGGTGTCATATGAAAAATACCTGAAATCTTCACAATGCAATCCATGAAACGCATGAAACCCATTTTTCCTACTAATCACACACTCTATTTTTACTAAAACAGGGAAAATTATCAAATAATTCCTCGAAATGTGAAAAGTTTTCACTCAAAACCAAAAAGTTAATTTTGAATCGTAAACTATTTATAGTTCTAGTCCAAATATTATTATTGTATATTAGAAGAGATATAAAATAAATGAATGTAAGAAGGAGATGACTGTATTATTTTGGTATTCTACAATATACTGCATTTTTTGCGTCAATTGTGAAAGAAAAGTTCAAAATTGATTGTGATTGTGGAATTGTCTTAGGAAAGTCACATCGGACTTCTTCGGTCGGTCACGGACTCGTGGTTGCGGGTATTGTCATTCTTTCTTTCCAAACATGGCGGATCAGGTACGTGTGTTGTGCTGAAATTCCCGAATTTTTCTCAAATATTTTCACAGAAAGCACTCGCTGGATTACACAAATCACCGGAAAATGTTCCCTCTGTTCCGACGAAGAGGATTTGAGTGGAAGCTGTGTGTGGAAAGTGGGTGAAGTGAGGAAAAACAACAGTGTCTGCTATTCCCACGTGCAATTGTGCTTTTCGCCACTAAACACCCACTTTTCCGGCCTGTGGGGCTCTCGGCGAAGTGATGAAGTTAATCATGACGGTCTTCCGAACACACATGACGAGATTTCAATGATTTCTGATCGCCAACAGAGCCCCAAAGCGGGGTGAAATCCCCCAAGCCGCACATAACCTCACTCGTGGTACCCGGAAAGCTAATGTTGTTTTCCTCCTCCGGAATATTTGCAGAACGAGCGTGCATTTCAGAAGCAACTGGGTGTCTTTCTGAATCGCAAGAAGACCCTCACGGGCCGCAAGAAGCCACTGCGAAAATATCACAATATTGGACTTGGCTTCAAAACCCCGAAAGAGGTAATTTTGGGAGCGAATGGCACTAACAGAACCCCGTTTCTTCCACACAGACCGAAAGGGCGTTTCAGAAGCAGGGCGGAATTCCCCTAAACAGGAAGAAGAGTGGCGGCAAGAAGAAGACGCGCCTCTACAGGGACGTCGGTCTGGGATTCAAGACGCCACGCGAGGTAGAACTGCAGAACATGAGTCTTGGGCTGCACTTTTCTCATTCTTTTCACGGCGATTATTAGCTGGTGGCGGTAGATCATTGCATCTGGTGGCGGAATATGGCCTAACAAAACTATTCTCATTCACTAATCCTGGGCTGCACGTCTCATTTTGGGAAAATGTCTTGTATTTCTTGTTGCTTATGACTTTTTTGTGCTGCTTTCAGGCCATCGCCGGCTCTTACATCGACAAGAAGTGTCCCTTCACCGGCAATGTCGCCATCCGTGGCCGAATCCTCACGGGAATCGTGCAGAAGATGAAGATGCAGAGGACAATTGTCATCCGGAGAGACTATTTGCACTACATTCGCAAGTACAACCGTTTTGAGAAGCGCCACAAGAACATGAGTGTGCATCTGTCGCCGTGCTTCAGGTGAGACTCGCCTGAAATGATTTCTGTGGACCTTTAGCTGATGTTTTACTTGTGATTGCAGGGATGTTGAGCAGGGAGACATCGTGACGGTCGGTGAGACGCGCCCGCTGTCGAAAACGGTGCGATTCAACGTCCTGAAAGTGAGCAAGGCTTCCGGATCGAAGAAGCGCTTCAAGAAGTTCTAAAATGTGTGCAGAGAAAAATAAAATCATTTGATTTTATTGCTAAATATCGATGTATTACAAGCCCCTGACAAAGTCCTGATGCGTAGCGATGTCGCTTGGCGATGGTGGCAGCGAATAGTCTGCCGGGTCGACCAATCTCTTCTTTTCCGCCTGTGAATTTGACAGTGACGCAAGTTTCTCGCTCCGATTTTAATTCCCTTTTAATCATAGTTTTAAGGAATATTTTTAGGTGAGTGTGAGTTCTGGAGTATCTTCAGGCAGTGAACTTTCACTGGGAAGTTGTGGTTTTCCGGGGAAATTGGAAATACACGGGAAAAGTGCGTTCCCAATTTTCTAACCTCAATTCTGTGTGCCACATTGAACAGAAAGTGGATTCTTGCGAAATTCGTGAAATTATCCTACTTCAATCAGTGTGAATCACTTTTGTGTGTTTTTCATCTGCAATTTCAGATTATCTAGTGGTCCCAAAGTGAAATAACCAGCGGAGAGAGCAACAGTACAAAGAGATTGTGGCCCTTTTGGGGCCATAGGAAAAATGTGATATTTTCACCCATTAGACACACTTTTCTATCCTTTTTTGATCCTTATCGTTACTTTCTCCCTCTCAATTCCTCCTTATCACACTTATCACTTGATCAGTTTGTCCGGCGAGCCTGTGGAGTGTGTGCGCACGCAGAGGAATGGGAGATTTTAACAAGAACGCCCCGCCGGGGCAGCCAAATGAGCAGATGTACGTGAATTTCGACCAATTCATCGCTCAAAACAACTTCCGACAGTTCCAACAATTCCCATCTATGGAGTTCTACAACACCAATCACTACTATTCCACTCCGGCTCAGGGATTCTCCGGTCACAACACGCAGATGCACAACACGATGTATCAGCCTTTCGCACCTTTTTCCAACTTCATCGCCGAGAACTCATCTCTCACTGCCACTGCCAGTGAGTTCGTGCCTCGCGGGGCCACGGCGAGTGGGCCGGAGGAGCCGCCGGAGCCGCCGCCAGTGGAGCAGAAGGAGTCTCGCGCCGAGGAGACAACTAGGCGCACGAATGAGGCGGATGCGATGCTCTCGGAGCTGAACATCAACGGGCATCAGAGTCAGACGGGAGCCATTCGCAAGCAATGGCGCACAGAGAATCCACGCCGAGAGTATCGCCGGAATCAGGAAGCCGCGCCGAGATTCCAGGCACGCAATCGGCCTGCTCAGCATCACCAGGAGTGGCAGGAGGTGGAGTATTCCAGTCGCAGAGGCGCAAATGGGAGGCAGAAGTTTGCATCTGGCGGTGAGAAGCGTCAGAAGTGGTCGAAGAATAGGCAAGACAAGGAGAATGGTCACTCCGAGAGCATTGAGGAGGCGGATGAAGCGAGGAAGCGCAGGAATCACCAGGATTTCCGGCCAAATCGCAATCTGAAGCCATCGGTGGCAGTGGAGGGTGAGCCTTGCTCGCAGCGGGAGAAGCTGGAGCGCGAGATTGACACGGGAAAGCTGGAGTGTCTGGTGTGTTGTGAGAAGATCAAGCCCTTCCATTCGGTGTGGACGTGTGGGAATTGCTATCACATCTTGCATCTGAACTGCATCGTGAAGTGGGCCGCCAGCTCGAAGAGTGAGTCGGGATGGCGTTGCCCGGCGTGCCAGAACATCACGCGCGCCGTGCCGAGGGACTATCTGTGTTTCTGCGGGAAGCAGAAGAATCCGCAGTACAACAGGAGCGACGTGGCGCACAGCTGCGGTGATGTCTGTGGCAGGAGTGAGAATTGTCCGCATCCGTGCACACTTTTGTGCCACCCGGGACCCTGTCCGCCCTGCCAGGCGTCCGTGCAGCGCAGCTGCGGCTGTGGCAAGGAGACACGTACGCTTCAGTGTCATCAGGTGGTGAAGATTCTCTGCGGGGCCACTTGCGAGAAGACGCGCGCGTGCGGTGTGCACAAGTGCGTGGAGATCTGCCACGTGGACGCGTGTCCGGAGTGTCAGGAGACGCGAGAGCACAAGTGTCACTGTGGGAAGCACCAGAAGACTGTGACGTGCTCCAAGGAGAACAATGAGGTGACTCAGTATGAATGCGGCGAAGTGTGTGGTCATGATCTGGAGTGTGGGAATCACAAGTGCTCGGATCTCTGTCATCCCGGAGAGTGTGGCGAGTGCAAGCTTTCTCCCACTGTCGTGAAGACTTGTCCGTGCGGCAAGAAGTCGGTGAATGAGAGGAAGTCTTGTCTGGACACTGTGCCTCTCTGTGGACAGATCTGTGCCAGGCGCTTGCAGTGCGGCACGCCTGGGAATCCGCATCTGTGCGCCGCTAAGTGCCACCAGGGTACTTGTCCGCCCTGTCCCAAGTCCACGGCAACCAAGTGTCGCTGTGGCCACATGGAGCAGATGGTAAAGTGCCGGAAGTTGACCACGAGGGCCGATGATGCGCGCTGCAAGCGTCGCTGCACGAAGAAGCGCAACTGCGGCAAGCACAAGTGCAACCAGGAGTGCTGCATTGACATCGATCACGTCTGCCCGCAGCCATGCACGTATACGCTGAGCTGCGGAAAGCACAAGTGCGACAAGACGTGTCATCCTGGGCACTGCGATCCGTGCTATCGCAGCTCCTTTCAGGAGCTCTCGTGCGAGTGCGGCACCACGACAATCTATCCGCCGGTGCCGTGCGGAACTAAGAGACCAGTCTGCAACAAGCCGTGCACGCGTCAGCATGCGTGCGCTCACGAGGTGCTGCACAACTGCCACACGGCGCAGCAGTGTCCGCCGTGCATGCTGCTGACCACCAAGTTCTGCCACGGTCGCCACGAGCAGCGCAAGACCATCCCTTGCAGCCAGGAGGGCTTCAGCTGCGGCATGCCGTGTCGCAAGGAGCTGCCATGCGGGCGCCACAAGTGCATCAAGACCTGTCACGAGGGTCCGTGTTTGCAGCAAGGTGTGATGGAAGCCCGGAACGTTATTAGGAAGGCTGCTAATATATTTCCTTTTTTCCTCTTCGCAGGTGAGATTTGCAAGCAGAATTGCCCAACGGCTCGGGTAATGTGTCCGCATGCATGCCGGGCACCGTGTCACGATGGTGAATGTCCGGAGACGCTGTGCAAGGAGTTCGTGGAGGTGTCCTGTCCGTGTGGGAATCGGAAGCAGCAGAGGACTTGCCATGACTTTGCCAGTGAATACCGTCGAATTGCCACGTCGCAGCTCGCGACGTCAATGCAGGAGATGCAGAGGGGCAACTCGATTGAGTTGAGTGACATTCTAGGTCCCATTAGGGTCACGAGTGCCAAGACGAAGGTACTGGAGTGTAATGATGAGTGTCGCACGCTGGAGCGCAATCGTCGTCTGGCCATTGGTCTGCAGATTCGCAATCCGGATCTGCCGTCGAAGCTGCAGCCCAAGTATTCGGACTTTTTGCGCGGCTGGGCGAAGAAGGATGCGTCGTTTGTGAAGAACATCCACGAGAAGCTGACTGATCTGGTGAAGTTAGCCAAGGAGAGCAAGCAGAAGTCGCGCAGTCATTCATTTCCCACGATGAACAGGGAGAAGCGCCAGGTGGTGCATGAGATGTGCGAGATGTTCGGCGTGGAATCGGTGGCGTATGACGCTGAGCCCAACAGGAACGTCGTGGCCACGGCCTCCAGGGAAACGGTGAGAAGAGAATGAGAGAAGTGGGATTTATTAGGAAAAGTACTCAGTGATTCGTGTTCTTTCAGTCTTGGCTGCCTGGGATGAGTCTCCTGGAGGTGATGGAGCGCGAGAGCGGCCAACGACGAGTTCCTCTGCCGAATGTTTGGGGAACAAAGAGAACATAGAAAGAGAGAGATGATCTGCTCCACACGCCCAATTTTGGTAAAATTTTTCGATCTACTTTCTTATCAGTTCACTTCTCAATTCCTTTGTGCGCTTTGAGAGAACAATAATTTCCGGTTGAACTTAAAATATCCTTTATTGACGGGAGGGAAGAAAAGACAGTGTTGAGAATGAAGGGAGAAAACGATGAGAATAAAATATGCTTTCCTCCGAACGTGAGAGTGTTCGTCAGGGCTTTGGCGGCTGGAACTGGCACTTCTTGGCGTGCGTGCGCATGTTGCTGGACTGCGTGAAGGACTGGCCGCAGTTGGCGTGCGGGCAGTGGTAGGGCTTGTAGCCGGTGTGGTAGTTGAGGTGCGTCTTGAGGTGGTGCTTCTTCGTGAAGGCCTTGGGGCAGATGGGGCACGAGAAGGGCTTGATGCCCGAGTGGAGCCTCTGGTGCAGCGTCATGTTGCTGCGATCGGCGAACGTCTTGCCGCAAATGGTGCCTTCGGAAGACAGACAGAGTGTTGAGATTCGTTGGCGTGTGGAATTTATGGGCGAACAAGAATTCGGTGAGTTACTTAATTTTTGCAGTATCTCTAGGAGTGGTCAATTCAAAGAGCGGTTCGCCAATTTAGGAAGATAAATTAGAACGAATGATGCTCCTAAATACCGTGACATTTAAATGTTTTCTGATTAAATTCTTGCTAGCTTTGAGATAAAAACGACGTTTCTTAAAAATAATGTCTTCATGTCACAAAGGCTGTAAAGTTTAGTTTTCTCAAGACTTTATCTTAAGTTAATCTGCATCAAAATAGTCATGATGAATCATTCGAATTTACACTGATTCAGAATGAAATAAAGTCTGGCTTTTAGTGTTTCTGAAAAATGAACAAAACTAGCCCTGAATTTAATTACAACAAATAGGACAATGAAATTGATGCAATTTTTCATACTATGTCTTTCAATTTGACGTAACACGATTAATAAAAAATTCCTAATTAATTTTGAGGCGTTTCATATAAAATGAATTTATAGCAAAAATGGGAATTTTCAGTTGCTTTCATCAATGAATTAGTGATTCATTTAATTACTTTTATAAACTTATAAAATTTAACTTGTGTAAAATATTCTTTTCGTATATTTTTAGATTGTTAATCTAGTGTAATAATTGACAGACTTTAAGAATTCCTTTATTGGAAGGATAAATATCTTCTAGATGACGTTTTTATCTTATGATTTTCTCGTATTTCTAATTTTTACGCTCGCCGCAAATTTATTACTAAGGATCGCATCGATTCGAAATTCCTGCTTTCGATCACAAAATTATCTTGGTAACAATTGCTAGAACTTCGATCTGATCTTTATGCACAAGTTGTAAAAAATTGGTGAATTCTTGCTCTATTGTCCTGAAAATGCGGGAAAACTCACATTGGTAGGGCTTCTCGCCGCTGTGCGTTCGCGAGTGTTGCTTGAGGAGCATCTTGCGGGAGAATCTCTTGCCGCACTCGGTGCACTTGTGCGGCTTGATGCCCGTGTGGATCCTCACGTGCATGTTGAAGGCGACGCGCTGGTTGAAGGATTTGGGGCAGTGCGGACAGGCGTACTCCTTGCGGTTGCGGTGGATCTTGAGGTGGCTGCTGAGGTAGCCCTTGTCGTTGAACATCTTGCCGCACTCCGGGCAGTGCGCGGCGAACTCCTTCGTGCCGCGGTGAATGGAGATGTGGTACTTATAGTTCCTGAGCTGCGAGAAGCCCTTGCCACACTCCTCGCACGCGTATTTGGTGGCTCTCGGGGGCGTGCACGGCTGAAAGGTGGCGGACTGGCACTGAAACTCCCCGACGATCTGCACGCGCGCGGCGGGATTGAACACAACGGGGCCCTGAGACGCCCAAGGACTGTCGAAGACTTTATTGAGTGGCCGCCGAGAGGTTGTTCGGCGCGAATCCCTGGCCAGGATCGAGGAGATGCTGAAGTCTGTGATCCTCCGCGAATTATTGCACTCCTCACTCGACACTCCGTCGCGCAAATTCATGGTCACAGCGTCGATTTGCCAGATTCCCATCACGAGCGGGGCTCCAATTCGTCCAGCGCGCGCGGTGAGACTGATCTCGCGAGTGGACGAATGGACCACTGCTGCTCTTCTTCTCATTTTCTTCACCGTGGCGGGGAGAGACTCCAGCAGCAGCGCGAATCCGCGTGGAAAGCCCGCAAGAAGTGACTTTGGTGTGGGCGCCAGACTCGGAATAACCATTTAGGCTACCTCAAATCTCCTGAACGTTTCAGGTGTGATTCGAGCTGAGGCAATTATAACTGGGTTTAGAAAAAGAAATCTGATAGACGATTGAATTTATGTGTTGTCCGATTTTTGAGAAAGGGTTGAGCGTTGTTTATGAGTGATTTGGACTCACGAGAGATTATGAAACAATTATTAGATTTTTGCTTGGATTTTTGTAGCATTTTTCCTTTGAAATCTGTAAAAGATTTTATTTGTGTGACAAATATGACTCGATTAATGCGGGTTGAACTGCAATCTATCCAATTTTCATCATAGAAATTATCATAATTTCTTCAAAAACTGATCCAGCTATAGAGTATCTTTAAAATCACGTTCGCTATTTAAGGATTTCTGTATTTTGTGCAAAGATTTAAGCTGTTTTATTTTTACGTTTTGCGCATTTCGCGTGCCATTTCGTCGTTTTCACAGAGATGCTCTTCGCCGAGCCCGACTTCTTGGCCACGCGATAAAGACTAAAATATAGGAGTTGCGTCAATTTGCACATAATTTGTGCGCTTAGCATGGAATTAGAATCTAATATAGATCCCTGGTGCGGCGGTCCGTTACCTGTGAAAGGTTGCGGCGGCTCGGCGATTGTGAATCATCGGCGTGGCGCTGGAGGAGCGCGCCCAGAAAGAAGCGGAGCAAATAGAAGACGCGCTTAGGATTCCATGGCACACACTTTCCGGCATCAGCCAGTTGGTCTTCCTTCGCCACAACTTGGGCCATTAATATGTTGCCAATTGCAGTGCGAGAGATTAATTGCAGGAAACAATTTATAACTTGGCCATTATCTCATGTCGTGTGTGACTCTCGTCAGGTGATTTTCGTGCTTGCATCCTCTGAAAATCACAGGTGACAAAGAGCTAAACAGCTGAAGATGGGCAAAATGGGTGAGAAAGACTTACACTTTATTAAATATTTTATTATTTACACCTCTCGACGCGGCGCTATCATGAGAAATGTGCGTGTGCATGATAGACAATCGAGTGCTTTGTTGTCAGTCAATTTCATTCACATTTCGTCTTTGCTTAAGTAATTTCGGGTTTGGAGTGAAAGAGAGACAATTTCCACTATTGAGAATTCCAATTCATCAATAAAGTGAGAAGTTACACAGCAATTTACTATCCGCAACTTGTGTAGAATGCACGAAATTTCGAAATTATGTAAATTCTTTACAATGCATAAATGAGCTTTTTTCGGCACTTGACACATCAATAAAAATCCGTGTATATCAATGCGAGAGAGGTGGAAATTAACACGAAAATTTCATGTGAATAGAGCAAAATTTGATTTTATTGATATTTAATTGACTATTTTTTGGGTGTTTCTCAAGATCACAAAAAAGCTCTTTTATTGCCCTGAAGATTTAGTGAAATGGAATCGCGATAGCAAGTCATATTCACACTGTTCACACACAATTTGTGACTGATTTCGCGATGTTCCCTTTTGTCCCGCGATCATGTCAAGGATGTTGGTCAAGTCCCAATGAACTCTGTTGCCTTCGCATGTCCACGAATGGAGAGAAGATCTCTCTGCAGATCGCGCGCCCCCGACTTTTCCCGCGTGTTGACAAAAATGTAAATTGATTAAGGTGTTTTATATCGGAATTATTCAAATGGAAACGAAACTCGCGTTTCGATCTCCGCATCGCGGTGAAAAGGCTGAGGCTTCGCTCCCAATCGAAAATCCATTTGATTATTTTCCAATAAATATTTTGACCACACTTTGCATATTTCTCGTGCCGCGGAGGAATGCTGAGGGTTTTTTGGGGCTCGCGAGTCAGGGACGGATTGTGTGATTTATGGGATTTCTTCTTGATATCTGTGGTGGGATTTGGTGGTCATAGAGAGAGAGAAGATGTGAAAGAGAGGTAGGAGAAAAAAACGGGAAATTGGCAGTTAAAACATCGGCGGAGACAATTCCGACGTAGAGAATCCAATAGATTACAATTATTGGAAGACAATTTTTGAGGATGGAATTATTAAAATATATTCATTAATTCCGAATGGCCGTGCACAGTTTTGTGCCACCACTCCCACCTCCGCGATCATCTGAATATCCCAAAAAGAGCGCTTCACCCAGAGAGAGATCTCTTTCTTCTCTGCCTAGAGATTATTCCATTGAAAATCACCAAACTGTGAAGATAAAATAGACTCTAAACATAATCATAACAATAAATTACACATAAAAATGCCAAAAATGTTTGTTCCATTCGTCCACTTTAATATTTTCAAATTTCTTCACACTCTTCGTCGACGACTACATTTTCCCGCTGATTCGCTCTTGACCATTGGCCATTTGCTGCCTCTGTGGGTGAAAAATTGTGTGATGAAAACACATTCGGGCTAAATGGCGGGGAATTAATTCAGTGGAAAACATATATTGCACGATTTCCATACGAGATTTTTATCAATTCATCTCAATAAATATTGGTTATTCCGAAATACACTTTGCGACTGTGCGGCGAGTAGGAATTTGTCTATTAGAAAATGTTTCATTCCGACTATCGTGTTAATGATTTCAATATAGTGAACCGTGTGATTGTTGCAAGAACTTTATCTTCAGAAGAGAACTGTGTTAGTTTTCAAGCAAGGCTCATGAATGTTCTAAAGAAAAATCCATTATTTTTCCAGTAGAACTTACATGGTTTGAACATCCTAAATAAACTAGCATTTTCTCATATTTTCCCACACTGGCGCTGCTTTCTATTAATTATGTCGATTTCTGTGCTGCTAATTTGCGTTTCCAACATGGATTTTGGCTAAGTTATTTGAAATGCAAAGATCTATTCAAATTTATTGAAGTATGTAAACATAATTTTTCGTGTCTTTCCTATAATGACAACTGTTTTAGGATATTTTCTTGGATATTTTTACAGAATAGCGGAAGATATCGTTAAGATTTTTGTAAACATACTTTCAGTCGTTGAAAAATGTTCTAAATTAAACGTATCGCGATGGACTCTCTCTTTTCAACATAAAAATAGAAAAAGAGGGCGGGGCAACTGAGTGGGAGGAGCTTGAAAGACTTATTCTCAATTCTTGTCTTGAAAGTGGAACTATCCTTTGGGATAATCTTATATGACAAGGAGAAGCGAGAAATAATTTATAAAGAAAAGTTTATGCTACAGAATTTCTCAGCATGTAATGATGTGTCATTAAAATCGTACAATTTGTCATAGACGTCATAGATGATTTTATGTATATCCGATCATTGTGAGAATGTTGAGCTGTCGCTAGGCACATAAATCAAGTGTCTGTACAGAGTTTCCTTCGCAGATCAATTTTTCCCACCAATAAGTCCATCAATTTGCCAGGCAATCCGCGACGCGAGAGAGCTGAAGACGACTGGCCGCGGAGACTTCGCAGTGACAATTTAATTAGCATAAAATTATATCGAAAAGTGACGACACAGGTCTTCTTCAACACATGCGAAATCATAGAAAATGTCCATCAGAGAGGTGTTGCAAAAAGGGAACTTGTTCTAGAGGAAATTCACATTGCAAATATAATCAATGCGTAATACGAGGGGACACAAAAAAAAGGCATTCGCGACAATTCCACGGAGTCCAGAAGCGATTGTGTGACGGACAGAAGATAAAAGGCGCGAACGAAGACGTGTGTGATGAGTTGTGTGGAGAAATAAAATCGATAATTAAGGATGTACTCATTACTAGCTGGACAAATTTCCATGAATTGAAGATGTGGCGAGAGACCATTAAACCCTTTGAGAAGAGATCTCTCTCGTGACTTGCGAGCTGTGGAAGCTGGACAGATGGAATTTATCATTGCCGACACGAGACAACAAATCTCGGAAATGATTTTTATTATTTTCAAGAGGCATTAAAGACATCTCTCGCCAGCATTACAGCAGCCACAATTAAGTGTAGATAAATCACCCAAGTTTCCACCGCAAGTGTCACACTATGGAGATCAACGGCGAGAAAAAGGAGGGAAAAGCAATAAAAGCTGAGCTACAGGTGCGTTGATTAATTTCATCTGTTTTAACCTGGGCGAGGAAGAGGTTTAAGAAATCCTCATAGCTGAACACCCAGAGAAGAGAATGTAATTCGAAACTTTGCACACGCATTTTTATGACCGCACCAGAGAAATTCTACGTAATTTTTCTGAAATAATAAATAAAGAGACGCCAGAGAAAAAATGTCGTGTGACAAATCCACGATTTTTTAATTGTCTTGGAGAAAGACACTTCACTATATTAAATAAGATGAGAAATTGAAACATTCACTGCACAAGTCGTGAGACTTTAATTGTTGGGTGGATTTTGCTAGGAAGATGACAATTTTCGTTGAACATAACCAAGAGAAAAACTTCCCCATTCATTCTTAAATTGTATTTTCAATGTCGTTTATAAGCTTGTTTTTTTTTCTGATTTTCCATTAGAGAATACAATTTTTATTTAATAAATTGTGTGTTTTGCATCTCCTTACAATGTATTATTCTCTTCTGTCTTTCAGTAGTAATTAATGGTAATTATTGTAATTCTGCTTATCACTTAGAAAATTGTAACATTCTAAAAAATTCATTCAATGCAACATGTTTTCTGGAGTAACGATAATATTTGTATATTTTCTAGCATCTCGTCAAATCACTTTGCGAATGCAATGCAGAGTTTCGGAGATAAAATGAGAGATTAAACTTGGAGGAAAAATTGCATTCTGTCCATTCTTTCAATGTGATTTTTGATTGATGTATTTTAATGAGTTTTTCAATTGCGCCAAAATATCCGAGAATTGATATGTTTTGCCCCAAATATCCATTCTAATTTGATAACGAATAGTGATAAGAAGCTCAACAGAGAGTTATTTTCGTCACAATTTCACGTGGCAGAAATATTGTACAAATACTTGTTGAAATAATAAACAATTTCCAACAAACAATCAAATATCACATTAATCTTTTTCACGAGTATATTCACAATGTATTCTTCAATATTCTCCAATATTCGATGACTATTCTATTATCACAATCAATACATAATTAATGACAATACTTTTCATCTTATTTTTCAATTTACACTCTTACTATGAGTACTTTTTTTTTCAAGGAGATTCAAGAGAAGGTGTAGATATTCAAAGGGAATTGTATATTCTTTTAACCAAAAGACAACTGGATCGGATATTTTGAATTTTATTAGTCATATTCCTATTTTTTTCTTGTAAATTCCTTGTAAATAAAAACGATGTTTAAGAAGCACATTTTTCGATCATGGCAATTTTTCCACAACTTTTACAGATCTTTTTCTTTTTTTTGTATAATTCTTTCCCTCATTATTGCTGAACAATTTAATATGTTTAGCAAAAATATAATATATTTACAGTAAAACCTTCACATGGTTTTGTGTGGTAATATTCATCCACAATTCGACTGATGAGGCACAAAGAAAATTATTGTAAAAAAACTTAGTCTTACTTGAAAGAAATATATAATCTTACACACAATTCAAAAGCGGCAACTCACGTCACAGAAAGCTCAGCTAAAGTTATCATTTCAATTAGACTAACAATTGCAAACTAGTCTTTTTTTGTAACTAAACTAATTCTCCTTTTGTGTAACATTGCTTCTCAACCTAAATTACCAGTGTGCCTTCCTTTAGAATTAATTTTGCTTGGAATCTAGCTAAAAATGTAGTCAGTTTGACCCTAAAAGGAGCTCTCTTGAGTGCTCACCAAATCTCTCCTCAAGTCAATGTCTCTTTACGCTGTTCCTGAGCCTGACGATGAGTTTCGATGCTTCACAACATCATCCACTTGGATAAGTTGCTCAATGGGCAGGAAGGACAGTTCACCCCCGGCCGGAGGATTCGTCACTTGGGCCACGACCTGTGTTAAGAGAAATTGATTAAACTCCGCCCTTTCGGAAGCCACGCCCACTATGAATATGTATTTCCGTTCTACCTTTGCGTGCTCAACGGCCGCCAGGGCAGCTTTTTCCGCCTCCCGGGCGCGCCTTTCTTTTAACTTCAGCGAGAATATCGCCACGGACCTGGCTCTCTTGACCAGACTCTGCTTTATGCGGGACTTTTTAGCTGCCAGCTCTGCCGCCTTGGCTTCTTCGTCGGTTCCCGATGTGGAGAGCTTCTTGGGCACAGTACCACTGGCCGGAGAGGAGCTTCCCGTGCTGGAGCTGGCCACAGCATCTCCGCTACTGCCCACACTATTCCGCACCGCCACTGAACTCCAGGAAGGCGCGTTCTTGAGCACTTGCTCAGGCGATTCCGTGCCCGGAAGGAGCTCCTTGGCCGCAATACAGTCTGTGCTTCGGTGAATCGGTGATGGCTCGGCTGCCTTGAGACGCCTCGCCCAGTCAGGAACGCCCACAGGAGGGCTCTCGCCAGACGCTGAAACCGGAGGAATTATTTCGGCAGATTTGCGCGGCTTGAAGGGTGGAATTTCGGGAATCTTCGGCGGAGATGGATTCGCCATAGATGAAGAGACTGACGAACGCTGCGACTGGGTCTGTGATTTTCGGAAGGGCGGAATCTCTGGGATGTGTATCGGCTGAGAGACGGTTTTGGTAGTTGGAGATGCGCTGGAAGAAGCAATTTGTGGAATTATATCTCTTTCCTCAAGAACGGCTAACTAAACAATCAAGACCAATCAAGACTATGTGAGGCACTCTCATTATGCTAAACTAATTGTGGAGGTGTGGTGACTCGTGGTCTGACTAACACTGTGTCTCGTGATGCTGTTGAATCCTATCTAAACATCAACTATCTTAGAACACATATTAAATTTGTTGATTTACCCTGCCGCAGTGTTCTTCTTTGGCATTGAATTTCGTACGGAATAACCACGATATGGAGGTATTTCGGACAGTTTTGATATCTCTGTTACTTGCTTTAAATGCCTACATGCACTAAAATAATATACATACAAAGTTAACATTAGCACCATGATTATTATTGAGTGATTATGCCAGAGTTACTCACCCTGCACTTGTTGAGGCCACTTCTGTGATGTTCTGAATGGAAGAACCGCTCGTGTTCGTGGAACTATCGAGTAGGGGTCGAATAAGGACTGTACTTGTCTGCAAGAGAAGATGGTCAATACAAAGTGTCTGATGTTCACGAGGATGTTTACCTGGGATATCGGAGAGTCTGGTGTTATTGATCTGGGACCTCCGTCGCGGAACATGAGATTGGGATCTTCAGGCTCAAAGACGATGTCTTCAACCTCTTGGCTGGACTGCTCAAGCAGTGGATCGGGCGTGTTTTCTTCGGGATCGGGATGAGAGATTGATGTGGATGATGGGGACGGAGGAGTGGCTCTTGGGGATGTTCCTTTGCACTGCATCTCCCGGCGGTAGTGCTCTGCCCTGGCAATCTCCGCCGCCAACCAGGATGGCAGCTCTGGTAGGAGCCAAGTGAGTGCTGATCTTAATCCCAGCATCATATGCTCAAGCGCCACAATCAGAATCACTGTCTGTGTGGAGGTGAGGCCTGGCCAGAGCCTGGACACTTGTCCTGAGAGTCCTATGAGGGCACAGTTGACGATAACTGCGGCCAGGCCAAGCAAGCTCAAAGCGTTCTGCCACGTGCCGATGTTAGCCACTCTCTGGCCAAAAGGTCGCTGATGGACATGGGCGAGTTTGAATGCATCTGATCGTATCTCCATCAAGTTATTCGCCAGCGCGCACAGTCCAGCCAGAGGAAAGGCCGCCGAGAAGAGCACAACATATCCCATTTGCACCAGCATCTCCAGATGGTCGGAAAACGTTCCGTCGTACTTGTAGAGAGAACTCTCGATTTCAGCCTGACCGATGCTTCTTTTGCCCGTGGGTGTCTCAGAGCGCTTCTCCTCCGACTTTGGCGCTTCCTCAGGCTTGACATTGACCTCTTGCGTGGGACTGAGGGCGCCCCAGAGCTTGAAACTCAACTTGGCAAGCTTCCACTGCTCCAGCACGTATGGCCATGCGGATTCCCGCAAGTTGCCGATTATCTGTCGGGAAATCAGGAGACCAGCCAGTTGCTCCTTGAGTTTGTCCTGGTCACAGAGATAGAACGCGATGTAGAAGAGCGAGAGGAAGGAATTGACGAACTGGAAGAGAGCCACCTTAGCTATAAGATGATTCTCGTACTTTGACTGCAGACGATAGTTTTCTGTAATGATGAGGAAGCCAGTTAATTGTGATCTGTAAGAGTTCCTCTTTACCTACCTTTGTCGTTAAGCCACACGGCTAGTTTAAAGTAAGCCTCGTCCATCAAAGTGATGGCACCCGCTAGTAGAACCTTCGGAATCACACTCAAGCAGCTTAAGAAACCATTTTCCGGCAATTTTCCATCCCACCAATCCTGCAAAGACAGCGAATCGAGATAAGTTTATGACACTAAATTAGTTGCATCTGTCCATTTATACACTATGGTAAAGTGCTCAAAGCCAAAGAGAAGAAGTGTTTTGGGAAAAACATAGCACAATGAGGACGAAAAATAATGTTCAACTGAACCTGAGGTGCCATGCAAATGCATTTCCAAACGTCTGCGTCTGGAAGATGCTCATCTAGCCAATCCTGAGAGAAGAAACGATATTGCAAATCAATACGCCGCCAAAATCATAAGAATTTTGATGAGAATGACGGGATGATTTGTGCTCGTGTATCGAGAAAGAAGAAAAGAAGGTCAATTGATGAGCTCAGCGTCTGCTATGGTGCGACAGATGCGGGAATCTGGGCGGTGGGCTCACCTGGAAGCGCAGCATCACGAACATGACGATGAATACCAGGACTAGACAGAGACCAATCACGGGGAAGCTGACCAAGTATCGAAAGGCTCGTCTCTGCCAGGCTGGAGCCTCTTTGGGCTCCAGGCGTCCGGTCACCGGGCTCTCAACAAGGGGTCCCTAAAGGATGATTATGGGCTTTAAAAGGGGTTCTGGTGGGTCAGCGTGTTGCGGCTTACTTTGTAGAGCGGTCTGGGCGGCTCGAGGAGTTCAGGAGGGGTTGACAGAGTGCCCCAGCGGAACGCCAGTTCTGCAGAGTAGCGACGCCAGGCCTCCAGGTACAGAGACGCCCAGGCGACGTTGAAGAGCGAGAAGAGTACGTGACCGATATCCTGGGCGGTCTGGCCCCGACCGTAGAGTCCGGCCCACAAGAGTGTGCCGAAGACCGCGGGAACGCCCAGGGCGCACGTGTAGTGGCCCAACCAGGCAAAGTAGAGAGCCACCTTCACCCCAAAGTACTCTGCAATGTCGTCTAGAAGGGAGGAATTCCTCGTGACTTGTGAAATTATTTACATATGATTCAGGTTATTGCGATACACAGGAGGAAAATGTGCTTAAAGAGGAAGAAAGAGAGTTGAAGAGGCCAGGGAGGAAGCTTCTTAACTTTGTAGGCGATCTACTACGCCACTGGCAGTCACTTGCATAAGCAAGTGACGAATCTGCATTTGAATGGGTAGAAGATAGTCCATTGATAAAAAAAGGCGATTAAATGAGAGGCTTTCTTCTTAATATGCTAATGTGATGGCGTGAAAGATTGGGCAATGAAATGTGCAAATATCTAATCTTAGATTTCTGCAAACCATCATTCTCGAGACTTGCTTTAAATTCAAAAGAACATAATTTATGTGCAACGGAGTGTTTTGCATATTGTGGAATCTATAGGAAGCTTATGCCATAAATAATACTGATCAGCCCATTTTCAAATCTTCAAAGAAGCTTTTCTCTGACGACTTTCTGGGTCAATTCGCAGCCAGATTCTTCCTCCTTGGCCTTCTCCGGACTAGAGATTAGAGTAAAATTTCGGCTTACCTAATGGCTGTGGTGCAAAAATGTTACGTACCCAACTGGATTGCAATTGGGTTAAGGCGGTTGTTTCATGCAGTGGAAATACTTGGGTAATGAGACCGGATTCCTGCCATGCGGCAATTATGCTCTGTCCCTCCGCCACCGCCGCTTTTCCTTGCAGTGCTTCCAAATCCCCAAGTCCCGCTCTCAGGCCTTGTAGTATCTGTGGAGAATTTCCCAGCTGCAATTAGCTGTTCAGTGGGCGAGATTAAAGAGACACCGCGCACCTGAAGCACCAGCCACTGGCGCTCTTGGGAGGTGAAAAGTGTGCCCCCGCCGCCGTCGTCGCCCTCGCCCGCCGGCACCACTTTCGCCTGGGCGAAGCAGTGCTTCTCTCTGGTCGTGAAGTCGCGCAGCGCCCCACCCAGGTCGCTCTTGAGGCGCTTCGGCAGGCGCGCCTCCTCCGCCGCCCGGAAGAGTCTGAAAAGGCACGCGATAAATTGGCCATTCGTCACGCTTCCTCATATTCGCTACAGCGGCATTTTATCACTCTCAGATGTGCCATTATCGCCCGAGTGAAATTACTCTCGAGATAATTGGAGGGAAATTCACCAAAGACGAGAAAATTCTCAAGATTGTAATCTGGAAGTCTTAGAAAATTGCCCCGGATCGCTTTTAATGAGATTTTTGTGTGAGCAGAAAAGTATAAAATCCCTCCCTAAGATGTCAATCTCAATCAATCTTTAGTATGATGAGTTTTGAGGGCTTTTGATGAAAAGCACGAATTATTATTTGATTAGTGTGAGAAACGGAACATGCTTTGTAGAATAACATTGTTAACTATAATTTTAACCGACGTCGAACGCCTTATTGTATTGAACATATCGATAGTACGCAACATCGATAAAGCGGACAGAATAAAATGTATTACTTTCATTCTTTTTTGAGGTAAATATATAAATCCAGACATTTTTCTCTATCAAGGTCTGTTCTCTTGATTTATATATAATTGTGGCTTCTGCGAATAACCAGGAATTTTAAAATAAATTGACACATCACTGTCAGTGATATGAATAATTCAAAAATATATGGAATGGATTGATTTGAGGTGTAACAACCTCGTGTGAACTACTTTCAATCATTCATAAAACTTTAAAGAGCAATCGACCCATTCAAACTCACGACACGCGCTGCTTCGCGCGACTCACATGTTCATGGGGGCGCTCAGGTAGAACGCCGTGCGCTTTGTACTGTCGTGCGCCCGCACGTGGGCCGAGAGACCCAGGCCGTTGGGCGTGGGCGACCGGATGCGCGCCAGCAGCCAGCGGAGCGCCTCGTCCGGCGCGTCCTCCGGGAACTCGATCACCACGTCGCACTGCGCGGGAATCTTGTTGAGCCAGAGGCGTCGTGGCGTCATCAGGTGTCCGGCACAAGGCACTCGTCGACGAATAAGTCTGGAAGCTGTAGAGAGAGATTTCACTTTTCAACTCCCATCAATTATTCAGGGTGTCAATGGGAAGGACTCCTTCCGCCATTCAATATTCAACGGGCTTTTCACTCTGAAATTTTGCCGAAAGTGTTGTTCTTTTGCCACGTAAACAACGCACAACTTTCTCGGGGGAAATTTGTACATGTCAACAAGGTTTATTAATGTACACTGAAAAGAGATTTTGTTCCAAAAATTGTGTGTATATAATTAATTATAGAAATTCCGCGCAGCGTTGAATACAGTTATGATGCGGAGAAAAAAGGACATGCGGTTTACGCATGAGTTTCGTGTGTGTCCTGATGTGTAGCATTTGTCGCAGAGAATCAGGATAAAATGCTGTAATATATCTCAAGTAAACTGCAAAGTGAGTTTCTTGGGTGCATTTTTAGCCCCGAAAATCGATTTTTACGGCTGCAATTCAGCTGATATCGGCGATGGCATGTCTCTCAACCCGTATTTTAATTCGCCGAGGACACAGACAATCCTTGGCTGTGGGTGAAAATCAATTCGGTGGGAAATGTAATGAAAAAGTGCACATCACTGGTGGGTCAATGAATTCCTCTTGGCGGGAGGTTCGAGCTATATTCCCACGCAGGGTGGAAACTTTATTAGTTTGTGGCGGGGTTGTGAAATAATTAATGGGGTTCGCAGTGGGGTCAAGCCTCTCACGGCAATTTCCAATCCTCTTTTCTGCTGAGGGATGAAAATGTAAGTGAAATGTCGTCAGACGATTGCGAACGGGGAGCAAAATACGCACACCTGCCGTTGTGGAAAATTTCTTATATTGTGCCGCGTCGGGTATTGATTTTCCACCGCACATTGGAATTTATGGGTGGAAAATACAATAATTTTCCTCTTGAAGTGACCTAAAAAGTCCCAAAATAGTCCAACACGTACTTTTGGACGCAGCACGACAAGAGTTTCAGGCTAAAACTGAAGGCGATGCGGTGAGGATTTCTCACGGAATCCGCCTGGGGACCTGTTACATAATCCATTGGCTGGCGAGGAGACAAATCCCCGCAATTGAGGGACAAGAATCCAGGGCAAGATTGATGACCAGACACTTTTTCTCACCATTTTCGATGGTTTCTTTGGCACACGACATTATTTTCCCCTTGCGACGCCTCAGTCCCGACGCCGGACCCGCGTCGTCCGCATACTCCTCAGCTCCAGTATCCTCGGCCTCCGCCAACAACACTTCCGGCTCCTCAGTGCGTCCAGACGACATTTCGCGCCAAAAGAATCGGTGGTTTTCTTCACAAATGGCAAGGAAAAGTACTCAAGGAAAAAGTCTTTCACTGCGCGCCCCAAACTTCAATACAATCACATAACTTCGACTCCCCCCGAAGAGAGAAATTTTCCGCAGATAAAAATTCAGTGAGAATACGAGGGAAAAGTGTAGAAATTCGTTCACTTTCACAGTGAATGCGAAGTCACGAGCATTCCTCAGTCACTTTGCACACATTCTGCACGCACGCGAGCCGAGGGTTCACAGGCAAATGCCGCGGAAAACAACTTGTGTGACGTTTCAAATGGGCTGGAGATATTACGTTTCATTTTCAGGAGGAGGAAAATCGATTTTCTCTCTGTTTGATAACACGCTGCAGGGTTGTGCGGCTGAGAAAATGTCCCGCCACAGGATTTTCCTGCTTGTGCGCGAGAAGTCGTTGAAGCTTAATTATAATTGTGAACACGCTTCTTCGTTTTAACCCACTTAGACTATAAAATAAGGGAAAATGGTGGATCAGAGAAAAACAGGATCATAAAAGTTAGTTGCTTTAGAAAATTGTTTTATGAATAATTTAATCAATAATTTTGAGCAAGTTTTGAAGCGAACAATTGTAATCACATTTGGTTTTTCATAGAAGTACCTAATAATGACATAATAAACATCAGGACAACAGTTCCTTCGTATTTTGAGCTCTCGTAAGTGAAAAGACTCTTCTTAAGAAGTATATCGTTCCAAAATAAGTCATTTTTGCATGTTTATTAAATAATATGGCCAAAAATGGTGTATTAATAATATGCAACATTTTAAATGTTTTAAAGAATGTATCGAAAAATTGTGATGCATTAATTCTATCGTTATTATTTGTACTCAGAATTATTTTAAAATCCCATTCTTGGTCGTTACTCTTCAAATAATTTCCCTGTTCATCTCAATGAGCAGCAGCGCCTCGATTGGTCAGTAGACGAATCACTAACTTGTCATATTGTTTATGTTTTCCTTCGTCTCGAAAATACTTGTGTTTTATGTGAAATAGCAATAAGAAGTAAGAAATTTTGTTGAAGGATTAAAGAAGAACCTCTCTAGTTTCATACTTGGTGTGAATATCATGGAATCCGACACTGCGGATGACTTAATCGTGTATGATGAGGACTCCTTAGGAGAGAGCGCCGGTGCTGCGACTTTGGAGCGTCCAGAAGGCGAAAAAGGGGGCGAAAAGTGCATCGTGGCCAATGTTGTGTCCATGTACCAATGCCAGGAGTGCAATGCCGTCGTGTCGACGGCTGAAGAATTCCTTTCCCACCACAAGATCATGCACAGCGAGAGCCAGGAAGTGATGGTTGAGTTCCTCAAAGATGAGCCCCAAACAGAGCCGGACAGCGATGTGGAGGTGAAGTACGTGTGCAGCCTCTGCTATGGCGTGTTTGAGTCCGTGGAGCACACCAAGCAGCACATGATGTTGGACCATCGGCTGAAGGAAGTGGGCGCCAAGGAAGAGGCAGGAAGCAATGTGCCGTCGAACCCCTCATCGGATTCCAACGAGGAGAAGACAGAGGAGTCAGCGGGGAAGGAGCAGTGGAAGCCCATCTCTCTGAAGCAGCTGAAGACAAAGTTGACGAGGAATCTCACTCATAAGTAGAGTAAAAATCCCTTCAGGATGATCTGGCATGACTCTGGTGTACTTCTCTTCCAGATGCACCGTCAAGGGGTGTCTGTACAAGTTCGAGAGCACGGAGAAGCGCGACATCCACCTGAAATGCCACTGCTCAGTGGAGAACATCCGCAACTTTCGGTGTCCGGAGTGCGGCGAGGAGCACAAGAGCTGGCGCACATGCGGCCTTCACATGTGGAAGGAGCACAAGATTGACGTGGACATGCTCAAGTGTCCGCTCTGCACGTACAAAGTGCTCACGACGGTGCAGATCTTCCGACACCTGCAGAGTCACGGCCCGACGCGCGGCTTCGCGTGCACAATGTGCCCCAAAACCTTCTCGCAGTACTCGAAGCTGCGCTACCATTCGGTGAATCATCTGGACAAGAAGGCAGCGGCCGCTAATCGGTGGTACTCCAAGAAGACCTGCGACATCTGTCTGAACGTCTTCGCGAACTCCAAGACGCTGTCGAAACACGTCTCCGGATGCCATAACCAGATCATGTCGTATCGCTGCAATATCTGCGGCAAGCTGTCTACCAGGAAGGCCACCTGGCTGATCCACCTGCGCCAGCACACCGGCGAGAAGCCCTTCCACTGCGAGTTCCCCAACTGCCAGTTCATGGCCAGGGACCCGAGCGTACTGCGGAAGCACAGGCTGCGCCACACGAAGACCAAGCCGTACAAGTGCAAGCACTGCGACTACAGTGCTATACAGGCGGAGCCGCTGAAGACGCACATTCGCACGAAGCATCCTGAGGAGTACAAGATGATGAAGTGCGACCAGTGCTCGTTCATCTCTATCAACAGCGAACTCCTGCAGCGGCACATGAAGGATCACAAGGCAAATCTGATGAAGAGCGACGAGAACAGAGACGTCGATATTGGTAGCAGCAAGATTCACAAGAGCATCCCTGAGGTGAGTAATTATCGAGGCTGTAGTGATGTGTTTATCAAAGATTAAGGCTCCGCAACATAATTTCTCACTCTTCTTCTGATTTGCAGACTTCTTCAGATTGCTTCCTGCCGCTTGAAAGCACGGATTCCATGCACTCTTCTCTAGACACTGGTGGCGTGACGATTCCTGCGATTCCCGCTCATTCGGAGGATACGCAATTTCCTCACTTCAACGAATAAATGCAAGTAATCAAGTAAGACGTGTTTACTGATATGACCCATGGTTTATTTTCTGCTCAATGTTTATCAATGTTCAAGGAAATTTGCTTCTCTTAATTCTATGGAATCTCATACAATTTCCACCTTCCTTTTGATTTACTCAGTTTGGCTGGGAATCTCACAAGTTGCGATAAATTGCAATGCTTCTGGTAAACGCTGAAAAAACGGTGAGTTTTTATTCCTCTTTTACAGAGGATTAATTAATTAAAAGCATAAGTGATTGAATGGAGGAAATTTGTAATGTTTTGCTGAATTATCCTTTGTAATTTATTACGGGGAAATTAATGTGACCCACTTTGCGAGTGCGGCAAAGTTGATTTATCAGGGGAAAATGTGGGAAAATCGGTCACTGAGCGTACTTGCATAGTTTTAAATGTAATTAAAAAATAATTGAAGCATTGCATTCCGCTGTGAGACGACTGATGTGCACAAAATTCAATATTATTTCTCTTTTTTCCTCTATTCTATTTATACTTCTCAATCAATTCATTTTTATTGTCTGACTCCCTCACACTTTATCTCTGATGGCTCAACTCTTTACAGTTTTTAAGTCAACAATATCGTCTGCTTTTGGATGATTCCGGAAGAATTTGACAAGTTTCTCTTTGTAATTTGTTTCTCTAATCTAACCATAATGCATAAAGACACTCGCGTCGGTATTTTCTCAAGACTCTTCCTATTAGTTTATATAAAACTTCCAACATTCTAAGATACTCAATTCTCTCTCACTTTTTCTGCTTTGCTTTTCACAATATTACTATGGGAATTTCCACTATATTTCTTTAAATTTATTTAATAGGTTTTCATTACTTTTATTCCTTACAATGAGCTTTTTTTTAGTAATACTTCTTATCAGAGTGAGATTTTCTGGATTTTTCATATTGGAGGGAAAGGGAGAGGAATAGTACTTCCAAACTTACGCTACAATTTTAACAACTTTCCTGCTATATTTTGCATTTCTTAGGTTTTTTTTCTTACTCCACACAAAAGACACAACATGAATTTCTTTTTCTTCTCTTCAAATGGATGCCATTCAACAAGTTTTCTTTCCGCAATTCGTACATTTTACTAAGTTATTATTATTCTCTATGTCTCGAGAAGAAACAGAACATTTAAACAATGACTTAATGGAAATATATTAACAGATGTGTAAAAAATGTGTCACTTTTGTGCTCTCGCTGGTAACAAATTGCAAGGATAAATCACTATAAGTTTTGTAATTTTTTCATACACTTGGTTCTCTAAAATGTTTCCTCTTAAATGGCAGTTATGAATTGTTAAGGGTTCTTGAGACGCGCGGGCCTCGATAAGAGATCCTCTTTAAAATGTGTCTCACAACAATCTCGCGAAATAATTGCTTTCGATTGTGCTTCTATCGAGATTTTACGAAGATGAACAGATAAAAATCACATGATAAATTATTCTCAATCGTCCTTCTTCGCTTCACTTGTCTCCAAAAAGTGGCAGTTATAGAAGTTATCTCACTTCTCATTTTAATTTGAATATTGGCAAAGTTTTCCTCCTTCAAGTGGTGGTAACAAGATTTTTATTGTTGAACTTCTACTTTCAACGCTTCACTACGAGAATTTCTGCATTTGAAAATTCGTTTGACCTCTGACAGGTACCTAAGAATCACATGTTAAAATACGTTTAAGTCTACATTGAGAGTACTTCCTTAATATTTTTTTTCGAGAAAACAAAAAGACAAATAGAAAACAAATGATGAGTTTAACTATTCTGAGTCAAATTCTCACAAATTCGCCTTCTTCCCAAACGTCTTTTCCTCAGCAAAAATACAAATCGAGGAATCTCTAAATTGTCATATTCTAATGAGAAAGTCCTTGTCATCAGTTTTCCTTCCTTCTCTTTGTCAAATTGGTCCGTTTTACGTAACAAAGATGCGCGAGATGCGGAGAAAATGAGGAGTGACAAATCGCCAATTGTTCAAATGCCCACGGAAAGTCTTAAGTTGAAAGTAGAAAGAAGTCTCTTCCAGGGATGATTTAGTCCGGAAATTGTAGAAAAATGCTTCTGTGCGCCATTTGGTCAAACCGTAGTGACACGATCGATCTCCACGTAGCGCACAGAGTTCTCGTTTTGTCAGCTAATCTGGTCCTTCTCGTCGAACACGGCCGTGTCCATGGAACTCAGAGATTTGAGGCGCGTCTGAAGGACAGAACTTCCTCGACAGCTCCTCTTCACTTTCCTGCAAAAAAAAGTCGGCATGCGTCAGACGCGCGAAGCAAGTGATTTAGAAGTAAAGTACCTGTAGGCATAGGCTGCGAAAGCGCCGAAGAAGACGAGGAAGACCACAGAGAGCGTGGCCAGAATTTCGGCAGGGAGTCTCAGCAAGGCGGAGCAGTGCGTGAAGGATTCGTCATAACCTGAGGGGCAGTCAGACTTGCCATCGCACCAGACGCTGGCGTTGACGCAAGCTTCCAGCTCAGGACAGCGATATTGGCAATCGATGAGACCTTGCGGCGGACGCTTGGACATCTCGAGCCAGGAGAAGGAAAAGTCCCCGTCTTCGGCCTCTAGGAACTCAACGGACACCGCGCGCGGAGGATCAGTAGCCAAGTAGCCGAAGTCCCTGTTCCATCCGCTGCTAAATATCTCCACGGTGTGTCGGCGGCCAGCGTCAGAGCCGAGGGGACAAGCCGTGATGGAAAGGCCTTCGCCTGGATTGTGTGGAAACATGGTTAAAGGGATGGTTTTGTGGGCAAGTGAGAGTAACTTACCAGTTGTGAGGATGACTCTAGCCTTGGTGATGCAGTTCTCCGCAGTTCTGGTCTTCATGCTGGTGTTCACATGCTGATGCACTTGAGGATCGTATCGTCTGAGGAAGATTCCGTGAACCTGGACGTATATGAAGCGATCGACACTGGGCTCTATCAACCAGGGTCGCGAGCGGCACTCTAGGACGCCGAAAGTCATGTCCACGTGACCGCTAGGGCCGAATTTCCTGCGACTGTCACGGCACGAAGACGGAGACTTGATGAACTCAAAGCTGCCCTCGAAATTGATCACGGAAGCGTCATCGAAGCTGGTCATGTTGATGGCGGAGAAGCGGATCTCGAGGTCGCGACTGGTGGACGTGTAGACGATGGGCAAGTAGGAGTCGCTGGAGTTTGTGGAGTTGCAAATACAGCCTCGCGGGAATGCCACGACATCGTGCCAGGGTTTCTCGAAGATCTCGAGCTTGATTGATGTGTCGCCGAAGCAGTAAGATCTGTTGATGTCGTTATCGAGTCGAGAGGCGCACGTGCGATTTCCCGTCATGACTCTGCGGATTATCACGCGCACTCGCTCACCGCGCTGCGCCTCGAAGCGATGAACGCAGCGGAAACTGCGAGCGCCGCCGCGGCCGAAGAGGAACACATTCCTCACGCTGCGGAAGACGCCGGGATCACGTCGATCCATCATGCTGCTGACGAAGCGTCGATTGCAATCCTGGTCAGCTCCCATTGGGATGCCATCCTGCTGCAGGTCCACAAATTCATACTTGAGTCGGAAAGATAGTGGTCTGAGGGCGGTGGATTCGGAGTTTCTGAGCTCAAGAGTGACGAACTCAGAGCTGGAGATGAAGCTCTCGGACACCAAACAGGGGCGCACGGAGGACTCATTCAGAAGACCGTGTTCGCAACTCCTTGGCACTGTTCCTCGACAGAATCTGGCTATCAGATTCGTATAGTTCTGGCCGTACTTGGTGAGGACGCCAGACTTCAGAGCTGTGTCCCTTTCACTGAAAGCAAAGCCACACGTTAATACGAGTTTCGATTGAGTAGGTTTGGATGCGACTTACCAGTTGACATCCTTGCAATTCGGGGATTCCCTCAGCGGCCCGTCCCAGATCCGCAACATTCCAGCGCAGTCTTCGCTCTGTTGCTGCTGCACTTGAGCTGCGCCACCGGCAGGATCGTCGAGGATGCCGAACTTCGGCGCCAAGTCGAATTTCAGGACAGAAAGCCACACTTTGAAGCGACTTGGCGGCGATGCCATGTTGTCTCCGCGTCGAGGGATTTGGAAGTGATGGTCAATGCTTCCGCCACCGCGGAAAGTGGATTCTGTTCCCTGAACACATTTGAATAGAAGCATCGCTTGAATATTCTCGTGAAAGACATATAAAAGATGATTTGTGATTTCACAACAGCGGCAAACCCTCAAGTTTTTAAGCCTCTCAGAGAGTCTTAAGCAACTTTTGTTGAGTGTTTTCATGTGAGAATTCTCTGGAAATATGATTTTTCTGTGTCTTATCAATCTTGTTTAAATTTACTGATACCGCTTAATTAAATTTCATATAAGAGCAACTTTCACAACTCTCGTGCATTAACAGACTTATAAATACAAAATAATCTGGAAAGTTTTCGGGGAAAATTCTCAAACTCATGAGAATGTGTGACATATTGTACAGAAAATATGAGGAAAATACGATGTTTTGCTATTAAATAGAGCAAGCCAAGTGTGAAAAATCTGTATTGAATATCACATAATAATGACCAAAATGCATTTTTGACCTTTTTCTCTCCTTCGGAAAACTTTTAATGTGTTTCTTTCCTCTGGGAAAATGAGTGCAAAACTTTCTGTTGCACTTTAGCAATTTCTATCATCATTTTCACTATGAATTCCAGACCTTTTTGTGACCCAAATACATAATAAGCGGAGACTTTTCTGGTCCGAAAATTGAAAACCAGAAGCTCAAGTTAGTCAAAGTTGTGATTATCTTTATAATGAGAGCTTCTAAAGCCATCTTGAATCCATTTAATTTCCATTATAAACATCTAGAGAAAGCTCGCCGAGATGGAGCTCAGCAAACGGTGAATGATACTTGAGAAAACACGTGGTGTTTGTCGGAAAATAGATTGAATTACACTGGGGAGGTTTGCTCGCGTCGCTTCGGCTAATGAATATGAATTCATCTGCCATTAGCATATTGGATTTCTGCAGGTGAAGATGGGAGATTTCTCTTTTTTTTACCTGTAAGTGATACAAACACGTGGTGTTGGGCGACAGAGAGTGTTGCGGGTTCACAATGAGTCCTCTGCCAGTGCCTCGAATCCAGAACTCACACAATCTCTTATTTTCAACGTAAGTCGGGCTTTTAATGTCCACGAATTTGACTTCAATCTGGAAATTATGAAGTTAAGTTTAGTGTGAAAAAACGAAGCACTTTGCGCTTTTAATGTCTGAGTAATAATTGAGTTTTCTTCCCAATTGTTGCTATAGAATAGTTTAATTATCATTAATTAGCTCAGCAATTTGATAGACTGCTTTGGCATCATTATTTTTGCACATAATTTGTGTATTTCTGTCTTCCTCAAAGAGAAAGGGAAAGTCTTCTGTCTTATTTGTCGATAGAATGCTTAAGAAATGAAGAGCATATTTTCCAGTTTGGTGATTTTCCTGAATCAATATCAATATACACTGCAAACTAATTAGTAAAATAGTCTTCTATTTGCTCTGTGCGCAAAGCGTGTTCATCAAATTGACCCAAATATGCTATTGAATTCTGTGCCATTGAATAAACTGTGTAAATTGTGAAGCGTCATATGATTTTCCTGGGTTGATATAGCGTGATTTTTTCCATGATTAAATCACAAAAGCGTCAATTAGTTGTGATCGATTTGTTAATTAGTTGTTAAACATACTTCCAATTGAAAGCCATTCAGGGCATTCATGTTGGGTGGCGTGTTGATGAAAGTGCCGTAGGGCGACGTCGTGAACTCCACGAGCAGTTCGGGGCCACTCGAGATGGACGGCGGGACACTCTGGCCGCCGCCGCAGAACTTAAGGATGACAGGATCTCGCGTGGTGTAGCCATCGTAGATTGTGATGTAGTCCTGCGAAAAGGGGTGGCTTTAATCCTCTGGCGTGAGATTATTTCTCCAGTCACAAATACTGCCAATTCATACCGATGTGAGTGATTGTTAATGAAAGTTCACGGGTACTTTTGTGCAGTATTTGATTGATGCATGAAAATTGATATGAAAATGAATGAAATATTGCGATGAAAAGTAAACAAATACTGAATTTATTGACGTGTGGTTGTTTCTCTGCACTCTCCAGTGCCCGAGCTTTGTTTTTGCCGTTCGCCCACTCTTTAAATTCATCCATTTCATCGGGCGTTTTTCCGTGTGGAGGAAACAGGAAAGAGTGTGAGGGTGTGAGGATCAGAATGTTTAATTACAAGAGATTGACCGAGATTGGGAGCATTCATGGTGTATTTATTTGATGAATATTCCATACAGTCGCGCTGATTTTTACTGGATTTCCGGGAAATTTATAGTGCTGTGATATTTACTCTTATTTGCCACGATTTTCACCACTTTTTTCATTCACTTTCATGCCAAACTCTGGGCACAACGTACACAACAAAGTCTCACGAGGGAATTACACAATATCGAGAGAGAGAGAGAGAGAGGGTGAAAGAAGTTCAGGTAAACAGATACTTTAATGCACTTTTAACACTTTGATCAATCTCAACGGGGGTTGTATTAATAGAACATCGAGTGTAAACATAGATTTCTATGGCAGACAAAGGGGAGAAGGGTTTAAGCTTAAACACAGTATTAAATATTAAAGAGCATGTGGATTTGGTTAGACGAAAAAGTCAGTGAAGAATGTCGCAATCTTTGAAAGTTTCATGAGCAAATTGTGATCCTTTTCATTACTAAATCATTTGGAAAGCAGCGAAAGAGATTTTCACTCCGCTGGGAGGAATTTTATTCACCCAAGATTCATCCGTCAACTAGTAAACAAATTAACTAAAAGCACACCAACTTGCTAATTTATCGTGACATGACTGGTGAATTTTGCATACATCTTCGGGGGATTTAAATGAAAAGTCAAAGTGTTTCGACGATATACTTTGCAAGATTCACACACAAAATTCCACCCTTTTTGTGATATTGAGAGACGGAAGTCTGTCGGAATATTTTATGGAATTGAAAAGAATTCTCAGGAATTCTGTGAAGTGAAAAAATTCAATAAAAACATAATTTTCTTAAGATTGTTATTCCAATTTTCTGGGAAGTTCAAAAAAGAGGAACGGGTTTCCCTTTCCCGGAACCACTTTGCTAAATTTATCACTGGCTGAGTTCCTCGATGTCGTGATTGAGTGAAGACACAGACTGTGAATGGAGAGTAATTATAAAAGAGTGTCACAGTGGAATGTGAGCAAAAATGTGCGTCTGTGTACAATAATTTAAAGTGTGAATGAAAAGCTGTCTCGCAAAATTTTCCACCGCGCGCCTCGAAAAGAAGAGTTTTCCACAGAGTTTTGGGAAAAGTAAACATTTTTGTCATTAGAGGGTCATCAATCATGAAATTGTATGAATTTCCGTGTCTCTTGTGCGCCCACAATAGTGAGGGTGTATTCAATATTCTGACGGGTGGTGAAGGGACTCGCACCCTTATATGGCTCTCACAGGGCTTCAACAATTTACTGTGTGCGAAGAATGGCGAGAGGATCGAAAGGATAATGAAAATAAAATATGAGAAAAATACACCATTGAGTGATTTTGTGCGTGTTGTGCCACTTTTTTCTGGCTTCTCATTTCCGTATTACATGGAAGACTTATGGCAGAGTCAACACCCTCGCGCCGAGTGAAGACAAATGTAATTTGATTAGAAATTAGGCATTTGGGCTAAAATGTCTTTTCACGTAGGGAAGCAATTATGTGAAATTGTGGTGTGAGAGTGACTGTTTTTGCATACTGAGTGAAATGAGTGATAAATTCTTCTCCGCTCTGTAGAAAGCTCACGCCGCACAAGTGAGAAAAGGGTGCAAATGGTGTGTTTTTTCTTGTGTTTTGTGAAAGAGATAGATAAGTGATAGCAGAGAGAGATACAGAAGAGAAGAAAAGAAAGATGCTTCTTGTTCTTATATGGCATTGCTTTCTTCTCGGGTGTTTGTGTTTTTCGTACTACTTCAAAAATGGGATTTCTTAAGTTGTGATACACAAAATTATTTACCGTAGATTTCCACTTAGGGTTGTCAGTGTCCTATAAAATTGGGAGCATACAAAAATTCTCTTTAATTCTCTTATCCCTTCGCATTTACTCTTGCTGTCTTGGTTGTTGTTCTAAGCACAAAAACATTATAGAAGGTGTTTGCTTGAAAAAATCCGCTCACAATTTTTGGGGGTTTTGTTTGGCCAATTTTAGGGGGAATTTCGGTCAATTTTTTCGCCAATTCGTGCCGCAGTCAAGGAAAGTGTTGTACATCTGATTTTTTCAAGTGTCCACTGACGATTTTGAGGATCACAATGAAATTATTCTCACCTGAACGTGATCACACTCTTGCCATGTTTTGATCTGAGGGGTGAACTTCTCTTTGTCATTCTTCTTCGTAACGGCAATTGGAGTCTGTGTTGATATCCAGATTAGATTTCCTTTTGGCTGTTTCACGATTATCATTGCGTGCTTCCCCGGCGGCACTTCTTGCTGCAGTAAAGAACACGCAATAAACAAGAGGAAGAGAGTGTTTTGATGGTGTGAATTACCTGTCTTATGGCGTAGTAGCAAGTTAGGTTTCTAGGATAGACTCCTGGGAAGTTCGGAGATTGCAAACGGCAAATTTTCTTGTCGCATGAACTAAAGATCCGTGAACAGTAAGTGCCTTGAATTAATTTTCCTGCAAAATAGCCAATTTCGTATAAATTAAAAATGTAAGTAATAATATGAGGAGACAAATTGTGCCTGTTTAGAGCCTTGTGAAATGATTTATCTCACCTAAATAATACTTGGGCTCGGTCAAGTTCCCTCCGCTCTTGGCTGGCGTTCTTCCAGAGCTCGTTCTGTTGCCGTAGAAGGTGGTTAGATCTTCGTAGGGCGGCTCAATGGGAATTGAATCGGGTATTTTGAAGCGAAAGCCACCCAAAGGGTTGCCAGTGGAAGTGGATGTTGGGAAGAATGTGGTGCCGCGCGTGGGATCATAATTAGCAGTAGAATTTCCATATTCAGTCAGTGTGATTGAATTGGATGATGAGCTGGATGAATAATTTGTCCATGGTTTCACGTCTATTTTCATGTTGTGATGTCATTTAATTGTTGCATGGTTGGGAATAAATTGCAAATATTTTTTCATGAATTTTTTATTTTGTTTATTGTGGGATAATATTTACCGCCTATTTGAGCTCCACCATAGCGAACGACGGCACTCTCGCGCGAGAGAACCTTGAACTGTATCCGAAAGTCGAAATTATAGCCACTCTGGTCGCGAGCAAGTCTGTGCCGAAGAGAAGAAGGGTGAAGAGTGTTGGAAAAATTAGGGATTTCGGACATTACTGTGTTAATTTACCTGAAAAGTTTGACGGTGAGCACGAGGGATCGCGTTTCGCTGTAGAACACTTGAGGCCCCCATGAAGATCCGCACCACATTCCGCCCACTGTCTGTCTGGTGGCCTCTGTGATCTGCAGATATCCATCGGGACAGCCGTTTTGGGTGTAGGAAACAAACTTCCCCACCGTGAAACTCTCGAGAGTCACCTTCACGTTGTGCGCCAGAGATTATGAAGGAATGATGATAGATTAGTTGGGATAATGGGAAAAGAATCACAGTCTTGCATATCGATTTTCCCGTGGGAGAGTCGGAATTAATGTCCCGAAAATTTAATTACAATTTGTCTCTCTGCGCGATAGGGACATTAAGCCCACGGAGGAGTTTGTGCTGGCAGCGCGCCAAGGGAGTTTCTCATATTCGATATACAAAAGCTCTGTAGGCTCTTGAGAGACTTGCCATTTATGATTGAAAGAATCCAGAGTTTGCAAGTTCGCCTCTCATGGCTTTGCATCTTGATAAGTTGTGGGTGGAAAGTGGAGAAAATATTTCAATTATGATAATGACACAGTTTCCTTATTTTTCCCTCCGCAACTCAGGCCACAGAGATGAAAGATACGGCAAATTCATTATACAGCATTACGAGCTGCGGCTACATTTTCTGAATTGCGCAAGGAATTCAGATTCTAGTTCAGTCCTTGGCGTTCTGGGAGTGTTTTTTTTCTTGATTTGCGATATGTAAACAAATTGAAAAGAATGTCTAGGAATGTAATATGTCGCTATGTCTGAAAAGTTTGCCTTTACTCAACTTATTGGTGTCGTCATTCTGTGAATCTCATTTGGAGTATAAACAGCGCGAATGTGTGTGATTCTGCGATGACGGGGCGGCAGATAAGGACGGGTATCAAATGAAGTGGGTGGATTGGGAAAGGTACCTGAACAATGTCGCCGTGAATCCCTCCGGCGGCTGTAAATGTCAATACACAAATATAAGGTATTCGATCCTCTTTGGGTCGATGGAGCTCCAAGTCGTACGTGAGACCCAAATTTCCGTAGAGCGTTCGATTGCAAGCTGGAATGGCAAGAGAATGGGGGTGAGTGGGGCTAGTTAGGGTGGGTGAAATGTTACATAAGTTGGCTATGTGTGGCCCCAATTGCTGGGATGATACTCCACATAATTCACAAATATTTTTCTCTCCGGCTCTCGCAGCTCGCAAAAGGGTGGAGATATTCGCTCGTAAAGACTTCGACACAAATTCATTTGGTGCGGCTTAAAAGGGTGGTAAAAGGGGTCGACAAACTGTCGGGGAATTTACCACAAAGGACCGAGGAATTTACTCTCCACGAGAGCACCTTTGCCAGCAAGGTGGAAAAACCCAATATAAATTGATTTAACTTGCGTAGAAAGTCCTCAAATGAAATTTTTCCCCGCATTCTCATAATGAATTCAGCAAACAATATAACATTCAGAGTAGTATGGTGAGATGGCTTTTTATTTGCTTTGCCACTTTCAGTGGGAAAAAAACAGAACTTTTGCTCAAAAGTTATATTCTTCCCGCAGCTTTTGGCCTCGTGAGAGTCCTCGAAGGAGAGAAATATGTGACTGAAAATCAATAAAATCACCCACCCATTGTTGATACCCAAACAACGTCTTTCGATTATTTTTACGGTTCTCCAGTAAATTTTGCCATTTTCCGTGACCTCATCCACAATCTCTGTCCCTTTGCTGTAAAGGAAAAAAGGTTTGACTCGGCACATGTGAATTGTGATTTCTTCACACTTGACTGAATTTTCTCACATCAAATGATCGACGGTCGTTTGGCCTTATCCGCAATTTGGAGGTACTTGCGCGAAAAATAAGAGTTCAAAATTAATAATTTCAGTAGCGAATTTGACTTTGTATATCCTTAAGGTCACGAGAAACTTGATCCACTGGAATATTTGTGCATTTTGGATACATTTACAGACTAGAATTAAATGATTTAAATTTTTTTTTCAGTTCGCTCTAGTTTTGACATTTGGCGCTTGTTTATGGGCGGGACATCTAAATGGGCGGAGCTTCTGTTTTCTTATTTCTACGTGAAACTGCTCAAGTGCGCACAAGTTTTGAGAGAAGTTCAATAAGATACTCACGTGTGCAGAATCTGGGCTCGTCGCTGGAGTCACCACAGTCATTAATATTATCACAGAATTTATTGAGTGGGACACACTTTCCGTTGGTGCATGTGTGCTCCGACATTGCACATTGCGTCACTGGTCCCATGCCTTGTTGACCTGGTTTCGCCGTACCCGCGCCCCCGGCTGACGTCACGAGCGCAGCAGTCGCCCACAGGGTGGTCGTGAGGACGGCAAGGATGTCATTCATGTGACGATTGCGATGACGCGGCAGCTGGCGAGGGAGCTCTGCAAGAAATTAGCACGGGTTATCCTGCTATCGCGCCAAACAGTGGGAGGTTCGCGGGGGCGCCGGACAAGGTGGCAACAGTATCTCGTTAGGGACTGTGCGGATTCTTCTCACGTCGACACATATATATGACATATCACAATTGGACGAGGCGAGAGAGATGTGTAAGATGATCCCGTGAGTGTGCCGTAGTTTTGGCGGGTGGGTGGATAAAAATAAATGCGGGGTGGATTATTTTATATGTCTTTCTCGTTCCTCTGGTCTTTGAAGACTCCCCGGGGGGATTTGGCTGGATGATGAGACGTGTGATGGAGTTATTTCGACGTTTCCTCCACACTTCAATTTCATGGCAATTCCAATCCTCTAAAAGTGACTGAGCTCACATCGATAGAAACGCACAGTTTAATGGATTTTCCGGGCGTGTGTGTGTGTTTGTCTTGGCGCAAATAATCATGATTTCATTTGATGTGAAGATGAGAGGGAAGATCTCAATGGCAATATAATGCAATTTCTACGGTCGTTTCACCAATTTTCACCCAAATTAATAACCTTGTTTGGTGAATTTTCCAATACTTGTCTGTACAAAGGTATTAAATTTTAATTACACTTCTAAACAATACTTTGGCTTGCAATGTTTGCATCATTACCGTTTATGGGATTTTCTTGCTGTGCACAATTTTATTATGGACATTTTGTGCTTTATCGAACGAGGCAACTTTTTTAATAAACGACATTCCCTCCAGCATCAATAATAAGACTTTTTTTCAGCAACATTAGAAAATCTCAGCAATTTTGCTGGTTATGGATTGTCTAAACTTTTTATGAACGCTACTGTCTGGTTAGTAGCAATTTTTCAGGATTGCAATCAATATTTTCGCCAGTATATTTTGTGACAATATTTGAGCTTCGTTTATGTACAGAATGAGCTTATTTGTCTCGTTAAATAAAAGCCAACAAGCATTGCATGATTATGTTTCCAGAAAATATTTCAACAATGCAATTGCAGGGCAAAAGGCAGAGAAACCTGGAAAAACAGATGTTATGTGTACAAACATAAATTGTAGAGGATTAAATCTGGAATTTGGACAAACTAAGGAAAATTTGGAGACGAAATTAGTATTCTGAAGTTACAAAAAGTGATTAAAGTCCCCCTTAAAACTTTACTCCCTTGTAATTGTGTCTTTATGTGTCAGTTTGAAGAAATAATTGATGGGGAACAGTGAACCTGAAACTGTATCTGTGCGAAAGATCAAATTAAGCTGCTTCCCTTCCTCGTGAAGTCTCGGATTAAAAATTAGTATCCCGATTTTATCTCATTTCGGCAGGATTGGCGAATATTCTTCTGAATTGGATGAGTCAATGGCCATTTTTGTTATCTTCTTTTCCACCCGTTTTCATCCTTTACATTCCTTGTGCATCCCTTTATCGGATGGGGGAGTTTTTGGGTCATTGTTGGCTCAAGAGTGCAGAAATGGCAGAGTTCAAACAATTGCCAATTTACGCCCACCGAATGTAATTCGTTCGATCCTTTCACCAGAATGAAACTCACCCTCAAACTGGATTGAGGTTGATGATTAGTAATTTTATCTAATAACTATGTAAGCAATGATTAATTATGATTATGACTTCTCTCCTTTCATCGGCAGATAATTCTGTAATATTTCACCAACACTCTGAGCCATTCTCACAATAAACCGGAATCGATTTTTATGATATTTGCCCCTCATGAAGCAAATTAACTCCACTCATTGCCTAAGTGCACAGCATGAAATTTGAATGGGCTCGTATTTTACATGCGGAAATCGATGAATTGTTGAGGGTTGTAATTAATTTTTGGGTAGATTTATCGCATGTAAGACTTAATGATAATATTGGCTCTTGTATTCACATCTTAAGCGCTTGATAGTGCGCCTGATGGTGAAAGCCTTATTCTTCCTCGGCAAAATTAAGCTCAAGAGCGTCAGGAGTGCCAATTTAACTGATAAATTTGCAATTTCCGTGAAAATTTAATTTCACCATTTGCATGTAACATGACAATCTGTGGAGTATTTGCCAAATCACTTCTTGTCACACGGATGTCGACTATTCAAATTTTAATGAATTGCTAATGGAAAACTTGACTGAATTTGAAAGTAAAAATATTCATGAAATGGGGGAATATTGAGTGTGTAATTCCCTGAGAAGCACATTTGGTGTGATAATGCACATTTGCGATCGTATTTCTTTGTGCTAAGGCTCTAGGAAAATAGTGAACTACATACATAAACAATTTTGTGCCATGCTGCAAAATAAGCTCCTCTAAATGCACTATTTTTCTATGTAAAATTCCAGTCATTCTTCGAGGGCCTTTCATTGAGACTTGTATAGAGCTTAGAGCGTTCTTTCGTCACTGAACACAGCTCAACATCCGTTTATATAGGAAATCGTTATCCACTTTTCCCTCCCAATCCTGCATCTCTGGATAGTTTTTCTCAGTTGACTCTCCTTCCTGGTTAGTGGGCAAATAAATAGGCAGATTTATCGCTGTGCTGTTGTCGCACAGAACCTCCTCTCAATGGGCATTTGTGAGTAAAAAAAGGTCCGGCAATTTGTTTCCGGTCTTCTCTCTTCTCCTGTGCCTGCGTGTCCTCTGTCGTCAAGGGCCACCACAGGAAGGAATAAGACAGAAGAGAGGCAAGAAAGGAGAAAAACTTGTGAAAATACAGACCTCTCAAAATCTCAATGACTCCCGGGTATTGTGCCATTGAGTTCATGAGCTGAAATTGAGGATATTGCATTAAACCGAGGGTGGGGGATTTCCATGCTTTCTCTCTCGGCGCTTTTCTTTCGTCCCACGACTTGGAAATGGGCGAAATGGAGACCTAATGGATTTTTCAATAGTTGAGGATTATTGGAGGTATTTGTCTGTTGTCATTCACCCTCAATTGTATGGTGGGAAATATTTATTCAATCAACTGTCTTTGGCACTCACAATAAAGAAATCGCAGCCAATTTTATTGATTTGAATATGCTTTCTGTCAGCGCTTTAAAGGAAGGTCTTAATTGAATTTTAAAGCTTTCTCTCTCTCTCTCTCTCTCTCTCTCTCTCTCCCTGTCTCTCTCTCTTCACTGCCACCATCACAATTGACAATAATCTCACACTCCAGTGGCTCTCTGAGAGATAAACTTTCCACTTCTTCCCTAAAACTCGCAGAATCATTCTTATCTGCCCTCTCGAGCTGTGGCGAAAATCGGATTGAATACTTTGTTTGCATTTTTGGCTCCGATCTCCCAATGAAAAGTCCTTTCTCACACTGACTGCACATGAAAACAATGCAATTCAATATTGGAAGTGGAATAAATCTGGCAGAGAAAAGTAATTTCAGCAGAAAATTCCCAGGGTTTGGGAGTCAATTTAATTCTATGTGAAAGCATTTTAAAATAATACATATTCTTCGATGTGTAATAGGGAAATTGGCATCTTTTGTAGATGGGATCATGTGCGGTTCGTTCTTGATTTAATTCATCCATCTCCTCCAGAGGAACTTTACCGCATGAAATAAATTGAATTAATGTGAACACCAATTCATCTCTGTCCATTCGGTTGTGGAAGTGGAAGCACATTTGCAAGGGAAACGTCATAGTTGAGGAAAGATGATGCAACTTCCCAAACTCAATTATCTCGCTCACCCTTTCAATGAGGGACAACACAGGCTCCTCAGGACATCGACAGAAATATGGATAAGATGAGAGTCACTTTGTAGTGTTTGAAAATGTCCAACTCCAGCACAAGAATTAATTATCCTTAATGCTCTCCTCTGTCGGGTAATTTTCCTGTCCACTCTGTGTTGGCTTTTCCTGTAATTATTTCAATTTTCTACATCGATGCACTGCGACTTTGATTCTCAATGTGTTATGTAGCTTTACTATCCTACCTCGAGGCACAAAAGCAACAATGCACTTAATAAACAAACAGCTTAAGCTTTCAAAAGTGTTAATGAAAAAACGACGTTGGCGTTAAGATTTAAAGACTGTGGATAAGAAACTAATCATGAAGGCAAAAAGTACAGAGAAGAGAACTTAAGTTTCGCTAGCAAAATTTCATTTTGTAAAATTAATTTCCATCGTCTGCTCCATTTTTCTCCCCATTCAATTCCGCTATGTAACTTTGCGCATGGAGTGAAATTAAATTTCTTGAAAGAGAGAAGAATCTTGAAATTTCATCATGATTTCCATCACTGATCTCACCGTGTTTGGATTAATGTCTGCTTCGCTCGCATGGAGATTTTGCAGTGGAAAAGTGTCAAAGGAGGGATTTCTTTATGGCGGCCAAATTGAATTACTTCCAGAATATTTCCAATCATACAGAATTGGTGATTTCTTTCCACTCGACGTGAAAATTTCTTAAGCAGTTTATCTCTGCGAGAGTCTCGGAGTGTTTCTTTGACACACAAAGTAATTCTTTCTTCCCCCGGAATGATTTATGATCTCAGCGCGGTCCTCGTCTTTGGGGATCATTGTTCCACCCTATATTTAAGATATTTGTATAATAAATTTCCTCTTGTACAACTCGCTCACATGCACATTGAGGTCTTTTTCATGCTCCCACATAAATTGCTCTTCTCTCGCTCGCTTTTTTGCCGCTCCGCCGCCCTGAGCTCATCGTGGGGATCATTTGGAGCTGCGCCTCCCTTCGTGGGACAGAATATTAATCTATGGTTTAGTTAGTGCTGATGACAGCCAAAATCCAGCCACTCACTGAGTCCTGGCTGTGCAAATATGAGTCAGGGAATTTGATAAGTAATACTACACCGAAATGGGCGCTTGCCAAAAACGCGCTCAATATTCCCAACTTGCGCCCGATACATTTTCCACACACGCCCTCATACAAAACACGGTGATAGCAGAATATATATTGCGCGGTATTTAAATTTATTGCATTATCTTGCATTTTTGCACCGTGTGAATTTATAGTGAGAAGTTTCAGCAAAAAAGTCCGTACACATTGTGGAAGAAAGTG